TTTTTTTTCTTTTTTTAGGTAAGTCCATCACACTGACCACGAAGGCCTGAGGTATAAAAGTCTTTCTATAATTTTCTCTATCGCTCTAGTTACTTTTTTATAGAGTTGTCACTACAGCGTAAGCGATGGAAGAAAAATGCAGTTGCTCACGCTGTGGTGTATGGTTACCATGGTTACCATGGCTACCATGGCTACTATGGCTGTCGTAATTATTCTGCTGCAAGAGTGAACCTAGCCAAAAAATTGATCATCAAGAGCATTCAATAAGGATATCGAATTGCAGCAGTTGTCATTTGGGAAGAGAAGACGTTGTCAACGGCTAGTAGTTGCTTTTCAAAAATGATTTTCAGCTGCCGCTTGCTTAATTCGAGTTTGCTAAAATTTATGCAAAGGAAGGGTGTAGTTGACCTGTGAGCCTGGTTTAAAATAGAACAAAGCAACTGTTATGAGATCAAGAGAGAATAGATATAGAGTAAGAGAAAAGGTAAGGACACAGGGAAAGTCCGCTAGAACTTGTATAGGCTTTTATTTCCCAGGAGGAAAGGTGAACAAAACAGAGCCTGTAGTAAGTGATTGACTAACAATGCTAGCTGCTTTGCGATTCAACATCTCGGATTCAAAGCTATGCGATTTGATGTTTTCATGTACGTACTTAATCGCGTTGTTTTGGGAGCTGATTCTCGGTGTATGAGGGATGCGCAGTTTGTTACCGATCTCGGCAACCTTAGTCCAAGATATTTCACCGAAGACTGTCATAGTTGGATAGGACAAAGAAGTTTGCTTTTAAATGTCTGTTTATTATTACTACTCAAATGGCACACTCAAACTTTCTATTAGTTATGAATATGCGAAAGAGCCCCGGATACGATAAGCAATGAATGTCATGCAAAAGGAGAGTTCAATGCTTCAAACACCAATTTTTTTAGGTGTACTCTCTGCTTTGATGAGCTTTCTTTTTCTCTTTTCTAATGGTCAAGTATACAAAAGCAAAAAATGATATCATAACGTAGTAAAGACAATATCATCACATTTTGGCAGGCGGAATGTACCCTGTTCAACGCATATTGAAGATGAAAGACAATAATAAAGCAACAGACTTGAGTGAATGAAGCTGTTATACAATTGAATTACACGTATAGCTTTTGTTAGACAAAAGTAACAACAATGAAGAGGAATATACACAATACACATATATTGCGGGTTCAATCAGGACAATCAAGCCTTTTCAAGTCCTCTTCTTGTCTGATCAAGAGTGAATCAGACATCTAAACAGAAATAAGAAAACTCAAAAAAGTAAATATACATTACGGAAATTTACCAAGCCTTGAATGAATATTCTCCAAACGCTAAAGAGAGCAGGGACTTGAGGAAAAGGTCTTGAAAGACCTATTTCGCTTGATCGAACGTCTGACACCTGAAAAACCAGCTTGAGTAGAGCAAAACTTGGCTATCGTGGAGCTTACCAACTAAATCAGAGCATAATCATAGAAAGACAGTCTTGAACCAGCAGTATACCTAGTCTACAACCAATCAGCAGTTATGCAAAGCTTTTGGTTCACAAGTTTCGGTGCAACCTCATATCTAAAAAGCGCCAAAGAAGCAAAGCACTGAACAGACACAGCTATACCGTTGAAAGACACCACTCCTCCATACCTATAGAGCAGGCAAAATGAAAATATAAGCCTTTTGAGCAATACGAGCTTGCTTTAAAAAGAGCATGGAAAAAAGACAAAGGATAGTTTTTTTGAAGGATAAAAAAGTTCCACGTTCGCGGCTGAGTGGTTCAACCAATCGGTTTGTTGCCCTGGCTACTTTGAAAGATACATAGGCAAATGGCTATGCATTAATTACAATAAAACATGTTATTCGTCAGCTTGTACACACATTTTGACATAGTAAATATTATGAAGTAGCCCTTTATTTTCAATGCGATTTCTTTAGAAGGAATTGTTTCAAGGCATCGTGAAACTTTTTTTTTGTTTCTATTATATATCTACAGAAAAAATAAATGAAGCAATTAGAGACTTACAGCGAATTCTGTAAGTATCAGATTTCTCACAAACGTGATGGAATTATAAAAAAAAAACTATATTGTCAAAAAAAAAATTAGCAAAATATAGTATCTTTTAAAGATTTCTGTTATTGCTCCGCGTAAAAATGTCCCAAAGGCACTTCAGAGGTGGACAAAATTTACAAAGAATTATATTAAGCTAATGTGTCAAGCAAACTAATAAAATAAAATTAAAAGCAGGCCACTGCTATCAGTAAGGGAAAGTGAGAGAAGAATTACAGTCTTATGCACACTTGCTTTATAGCTGCTTGCAGCTATGAAGCAATACATGCCTGTTATAGGGTGGCGTAAGCATCAAAGGAGATGTTATCAAAGAGAGATTTCCAGTGTGCTTTCGAGACCTGCAGAAGGGCGGTAATGACAATGTCAACGACTGCTAATCTTTTCTTCTGTGAGCAATTTATTCTGCAGAAGTCTAGTATGAGAATTACCTGAATAACATTGTCGACAGTGGTTGTAGGTCATAGAAATTCGAGAGTAAGATTTTTCCAGAAAAATGTCTTTGGCGAACAGCAGAAAGGGAGAGGTTGATCATTCTCAGGATGGAGTGTACAAATGAGAAAAAAAGATGAGGAGAATCTATCAGGGACTATGTAGTAGAGGGTTTGTCTGGAGGCGGTTTGGAAACAAGCGGCAAGTACATCATATTACGAGCAACCGGCTACAGAGACCAGCTCCAAAACTCGACCTAAAAGGCTCTAGAAATGGCTTGCAAGCATTCCGGCAGATATAGTACTCTGACAAGTTAAACAAAACTTCATTGTTAATACCCTCGTAGTTGATACAGTCAGAGTAGCGAATTGCAAAGAGTCGACAAATGGAACAATAGTATAAAAAAAAGTACTATCTTCAGAATATGTAATCAGTTCAAACTCCGCTAAAGTTTATGCCGACTTACAAGTATGCCACTTGTATTCAAAAAAATATTTTTCAAGAAAAAAATAAATACCACTACTTTAAAGTAAAGCAAAAAAATTTTCTGTAGTAATGAAAAGTAAAAAAAGTAGGTAGTTTTAATTTTTCTGTTTTAAATTAACAAAAAAAGCCAATTTTTCAATTTTTTAGTTTCAAATAAACAAACGAGTCTACCGGATGATGATTCTACTGCTTTATTTTAAACAAGAAACTACTAGTTGGTAGACTTGTTTATTAATTTAAAACAGAAGACTTGGAAAACAAGCTTTTTTTTATTAATTTAAAACAGAAGAATAGGAAAATCTCTCTTTTTTTTTTTTATTTCTCTTTATTGTAGATAATATTTTTATTTTATTTTAAAGTAGTGGTCTTTATTATTTTTTAAAAAATATTTTTTGAGTACACAAGTGGCATACTTGTAAGTCGGCATAAATGTTAGCGAATTTTAAAACACACATTTTTTTCTGTAAATCCATTAGATTCATAAGTTCCTGACATCTATGGTTATCGTCGTGATATTTTTATGGCTCTAGCTTTACTTTTTGTATGAATATTGAGAATTTTAGTGGTACCCTCTTTTTTAATATTTTTGATCTGCGTTGGCGTTGGCCATACACGCCTCACCGTTGACAAGTCGCACAAGTAGTCCCAATTCATGAAAAAAGTAACCCAACTGATCCAATCAATTACCAACTAATTCGTCTGACTACTACTTCCGGAGAAACGCTCAGAACGTGCATCAAAAAACTTCTCCAAGGCCAAGCGTCGTCCTTAGACACTGTCCAAGACGGCTTTAGAAAATGCAAAAGTGCTCTTGGCCAAGCTCTTTGTCATATCGTTATTAGTAGTAATTTTGAAAGCTATGTAGCCAGTAAAGATTACAATTCTAAAAGTAGTATAAATAGCATAGATAATAATTATATGAACAGGGGCGATTCTTGGGATAATAAAAAAAAACCATAGAATACTTTATTGCTGAATTTTGGATTGCTTTGATCTGTTTTTTTCTTTATTCTTTACACAACCCACTTCTTCCAACATCCAATCAAATGTTTCTATCTCTTCTCTGGTTACAAATCTACGCCCAGACGCACCATTAGATTAACGCTCTCCTCTCTATTCCTTTTTGCCCTTGTTTTTTGAAATACTTTTAAATTAGTATAGTTATTCTTATGAATTGATCGGGTCCGAGCAGTCAAAGGCCATATCGGACCATGTATTTAAAGGACCTCTTCTATAAGGTCAATAAATTAAAAAGCTTTGGATATGAATTTGACAAAATTAATACCAAAAATTTGTAGAAAACACTTATTTTTAGGCAAAAAAATACACTCTCACCACAGCGTAATCGATTGCTTCCCCCCCCCCACATTTGAGTGAAAGCTTGGCCAAGAATTTCCTTCAATGAGTGAGAAATTCTTCAACTTTCGATGAAAGATTTCTTCCATCGCTTACGCTGTAGTATCTTTAATTTTAAGAGAATTAGATTAAAACAAGAAAAAAAATGAAAAAAAAATGAAAAAAAAATGAAAAAAATGAAAAAAATGAAAAAAATGAAAAAAATGAAAAAAATGAAAAAAATGAAAAAAATGAAAAAATGAAAAAATAAAAAATAAAAAATAATAAATAAAAAATAATAAAAAATAAAAAAATGTTGATAGAATTGTCAATGATTACAGCTAATGCCAATAACTACCTTTAGAGTAATTTTTTAATGATTTTAGTAGCATAAAGGGCTTCCAAACGTAAACATTTGACAATTTTAGCAGAACAAAATAAGTTGATGCATAGATGTGGCTGTTACTAGCTTTATCGAGCCAAACAAAAGACCTATGACTTTATTTTAATGATTTTTGATGTTCAGAAAAGGACAAAAACTTTAACTTGTGTTACTACAACATTCCTGATGATCAAATCACGATAAATCCTCAACCAATCAAAGTTCAATCACCTTGGGCAAAGGTATATTTCTTTGCATTTCAAACAAATGGTATAAATCTTTTTTGATTGGACAATTCCTCACCCATACGTGGCTTTTTGATATTTAAAAACTCCTCTGTATCTCACCTTGCTTATCGTTTTTTCTTTCCCCCTCTCTTTTATTCTGTTTAATAATGACAAACGGACCTGCTTTTAAAAAGATCCAAGCAGAAGATTTTCCTAAATCCAAGTTGTACAAGTCTATTGGTAAAAGTATAAAAACTGTCAAAAACAAAGATATTAAGGAAACGGATGCATATCAAAAGATTTGGCAAGTTCAGGTTTAGGAACCGCTGTTGTCAAAGTGACAGATGATTTCTTTGCACCTGCTTCCATGATGTTGAATCCTCAACCTGCAATTCATTGCCCTGATAAGTTTGTTGGTAAGGCATCATGTCTATCAAATAGCTTTAGTATGTTGATATTCATGTTAGAAACTGGCTCATGGATGGATGGATGGGAATCGAAGCGTCACAACAGCTCGTATGACTGGTACGGCAACAGAACTAAAAAATTTGGTTAATGCAATATATGTATATAGGTGCATTATTAAACTGGGATTTCCTGGTGTCATTCACGGGTTTGATATTGATACCAGCTTTTTTACAGGAAACCAGGCATCTGCTGCTTCAGTTGAGGGCGCCTATTGTCCTACTGGCACCGGCTTAGAAAAAGATATTGAATGGATCAAGATACTTCCTCGAGTTGAGCTACCACCTTCTTGTCACAACATTTTTGCTTTGGAGGAACAGACTGCCGTATATACCCATATCCGATTGAACAATTATCCTGACGGTGGTATTGCTCGTTTCCGTGTGTATGGCGATGTTCAGCCTATTCTCCCTCAAGATAAAAAGTAAAAAACTTCATTTTAATTATTTCTTAATCTGATTTTATAGTGAAATCATTGATTTGGCTTTTGTTGGACACGGCGGACGATCAGTTCAAGTCAGTGATGAGCATTATGGTCCTGGTGACTTTTTATTATTACCTGGCAGAGGCAAGAATCAGGCTGATGGATGGCAAACAGCTCGTTCTAGAGTAGAAGGTCATTCAGATTTTGTTGTACTTCGTTTGGGTGCTGCTGGTCACATTCTACAAGCTGAAGTGGATACAACCGATTTCAAAGGCAATTTTCCTCGACAAATTAAACTTGAAGCTACCAATTCATCCTTCCAAGTGCCAGATGATAATGCTGAATGGTTCACACTTGTGGAGCCTTCATCTACAGGCCCTAACGGTATTTTTTATTTCAATACATCCTTTACAGAGAAGGTATTTACACATGCTAAAATCTCAATTATTCCCGGTAAGCTTTGCTCTTCTTTTATAGCTATTGATTAACATTGAATAGACGGTGGTATCAAGCGCCTTCGCCTCTATGGTATCGTTGAGGGAGGCGAAATTCCTAAGCTTCCTATTGTTGCGCCTACCAATCTTCAAAACAGTGTTGTTGCACAGCCTTTAACCTCTGAAGCTTATGCTCCTTATGGGGATGTGATTCATCCTGCTGCTACTAAAAAAGTCACCAGTGCTAATCAAGGCACAGCTGAGAAATATCACCGTGTAGCCACTGTTGCCAACTTGTTTCCTAATGAAAATGGTAAAATGAACCTTTGTATCTTCCATTGTCGTCCTACCACAGAGTTGCCATTTACTGTCAAATTATTGGAGAGACATCCTTATTCTAGTCAAGCCTTTATCCCAATGACAGACGGTAAGACGCGCGCTTATTTGGTCGTTGTAGCTCTCAATGGTTTGGACGATAAGCCTGATATGTCTACTTTAAAAGCTTTTATTGCCACTACAAAGCAAGGCATCAATTATCGTCAAGGCGTTTGGCATCATCCTATGGTTGTTTTAGAACATGAAACTGATTTTGCCTGTGTTGTTCACGAAAGTGGCGTACCACAAGATGATTGTAATGAAGTAGGCGTTACTCATACATTAGTTCAAGTGCCTGGTTTTCAATAAACATCATTATCTCAAATACGACCAGTTTTAAACAGGGAAGAGGGATAAACGGCTTAAGTTTAATAAATACAAAAAAAGACAAATACATGGAAATTACAATTTGGCTTGAGGCTTGGCAGAACCTTTATAAAAGGCTTCGCTGACTTTACGGCGTTGGATCTTGCCTGTAGCTGTTTTGGGCATCATATCTGTGACATAGAATCTCTTGGGAACTTTGAATTTAGCCATCTTGGATTGGCAATAAGCAGTCAATTCACGTTCAATGGCTTTAGGGTCGTCCTTGACATCATGCTTCAACACAATAGCAGCATGTACTTCTTGACCATACATTTCATCAGGAACGGCAAAACTGACGGCTTCAGCAATTTTGGGATGACTCAACATAATAGAATCCAATTCAATAGGAGAAATCTTTTCACCACCTCGGTTAATCAATTCCTTGATACGACCCGTCAAGATCAAATAGCCGTCTTTATCCTTTTTACCTTGATCGCCTGTACGGAAAAAGCCATTCTTGTGGAAGGATTCAGCTGTTGCTTTAGGGTTGTTCAAGTATCCCTTCGTGACGTTCTTACCACGAATACAAACTTCACCTATTTCAGCAGGATTACCTTCTTCGTCCAAAATGGCAACTTCCACACCTTGTCCAACACCAACAGATCCAGGCTTATGAGGGCCACGGTGAGGAAGAGGGTTGGAAGTCATTTGATGAGAGGCTTCTGTCATAGCATAAGCTTCTAAAACAGGAGCCTTGAATTGCTTTTCAAGTGCATGCAAAGTAGCAGGAGCCAAACTAGAAGAGCAAGAGCGAATGAAACGAATGTTTGGTACTTCGGAAGGAGGATGACGAAGCAAGATTTGGTGAATAGTGGGGACAGCAGTGTACCAATTGCATTGGCTGTCCTTGAAATCTTGCCAGAAATGGGATGCACTAAACTTGCGAGGAATGACAGCAGCTCCACCGGATAAGAAAGTAGCAAGCAAACCACATTGAAGACCATGGACATGGAAAAGAGGCATGACAAGCAAAGTGCGATCCTTAGAGTTCAATTCATAAGTGTTAACAATGTTCTTAATAGATGTCAACAAATTGAGGTGTGTAAGAGGGACGCCTAATCATCCATTTTTTTAGTATAAAAACTATCCGTTTTACCCACTCTTTGATTTACCTTTAGGTCTACCGGTTGTACCACTTGTGTGTAACAACAAAGCAACACTCTCGGAGTTAGGTGTAAACTGATCAATCTTGAGATGAGGCTCGTTGTTTTGAGGAGCATGGGCATTTACTTCAATCTCTTTGCCATTCCAGTGAACTTCTACAATGATAGCGTTTTGTTTACGCGCAGCCAAGACAGCAGGGTTGTTCTTTTGTTCCAAAGCGCCTTTGGGTAAAATCATGATGGAACTCTTTGCGTCTTCTAAATAAAAGTTGAATTCATCTTCAGTGTATGCAGGGTTCAAAGGAGAAGCGACCAAGTTCATGAATGTGGAAGCTAAAAATGCAACAGTAAATTCAAGTGAGTTGGGGTAGCTGATAGACACAGATCTTCCGGGAGCCAAGGCATGAGCAGGTACTTGAGCAGCTAATTTACGAGAAAAGTCATAAAGAATATCTAAAAGCTGCTTGTAGTTGACTTGAGTAGGCACATCACATGACTTTGGAATGATGATAGCAGGGCTTGTAGCATTCTTGTTGCTACTAAATATTTCAAATAGAGTATTCGACATAAGGAAAAAAGAGATAAAGAAGAAGGAAGAATTATTGACTGGTATTTAACGAGAATCAGAATGACATCACGTAATCATATCGAAATCAATCGTGATTGTTTAATTCGCGCGTATAAAAACTTTAAATATTGCTATATATGGGTAAAATATAAATGTTTATTGTGGTTCTTGTGGTTGCGTGGTCATAGTTACAGGTCTATTTGTTGTCACAGGCAAATGTTGTCTTATGACATCGTTGTGGTGTTGATGTGCTGATGCATATATGCCTAAACCGACATTCATATAAGGCTGAACAAAAGTACTATGTTGCTTTTGTTCGCTGGGTCTTCTTGTTGGTGTTTGGCGTGATAATAATGAATAAAGTAAACTGTCATTTTCGGATTGATCTGTAGAGGTGGTAGAAGAAGAAGCAGTTGTCGTAGTTGTACTAGTTACTGCTGTAGTTGTTATAGGAGGAGCTGATGTAGTGGCTGTTATTGGTGTTGTATTAGAAGAGGACGTACTCCAATCTTCATTTGAAGTATTACTCTTATCCTGTATCTGTGCTACAAGAGCAGCTATATCAGTCGAATGCGACTGGTTTAATAAAAGATCAGAGTGATAAGCAGGCGGCTTGGGCGAGTTATTTACAGAAGGTGATTTGTGGTTTGAGTTTCGCCAAGACTCGACTGTGTTTGAGTTGGATAAAAAATCAAGTGGATTGTTTCTGATTTTCCAGAATTCTTGCTGATCAAATAGACTATTATGCCCATAAGCAGGAGAAGCAAACATGGTTGAAGACATCTGAATAGATTTGGATTTGACTGTAGGTGGTGTCACTAGCCCATTTGCAAAATAATCTAGTTTAGACCATTGTTGCCGCTCTTCCTCACCATACCGTGTATTTAAACTGCCGAGAACAAAGGGAGTCATGATATCGTCTGAGAACATACTATTGGTATCTGCTTCATTGATAGCCTGGTCAAGTCGAGTAACAAATTGAACAATGCGATATGTAACTTGTTCTGTTTTGGCCTCAGATAAAAAGGATTTGAGCGTATGCATTGATTGTTGGAACATGAACCGAGCATGACGAGCTAAATTCATATTTTCACATGCACAGTCCCTTAGATGGATTTTGATAGATTCGAATAGACCATTGACTGTAAAGGAATGATTAAGTATCCATGAGCTATTTTCTGCAAGGCAAGAAACAATTCGAGTCAAGTTAGATGCCACTGCTGCTGACCTTGCATGGATAGATTTGACAGTGGAAGTAGCATAGGGCTTAAGAACGCATAATTCAATATAATTATAGAGTAAATGAATGTGTGCTACCATACCATTAGCAGGTGCAGAAGTGTGTGTTGAAGTAGTAGGGGCATAAGTAGTAGAAAAAGAAGGAGTCCATTGTAAATGTGAAGGTAAAGAACGAAGCCATTGCAAGAGTTCATTTTTCGAATCAAATGACATTTGGTCATGCGTATGGGTTCGTATAATAGGCTGACCAACTTGATGGAGTGATTCAGGCTGTAAGACACGTTCGGCAATCTGCAACAAACGAATGGCAGATACAAAGCTCTCCAATATGCCATGTTCAGTCACATCATCTCCTGGCAGTAAAAGAGGCATATCCAACTCAATATCCTTGCTCCTCAGGAACCAAGGTTGACCAGACTGGATATGCATCAATTTGTCCAATATATAGCATCCCCAACAAACTCTTTTCCTCAGCTCCTTGAGATCACTTTCTATATTACCATTGTAGTTACGTATTAATTCGAGATCCAAGCACATTTGATAGGCCAAGGCACTGTACATAGTAGGATTCACATTGTCTTCAGATTCATATAAGCACATCAATACAAGGGATATCACTGTACTTAAGCTAGGTTTATCTACATAGTCATCCAATAAGGCAGTCCTAGCCAACCTAAAATATCCATCAGCCTCTTCTTGCTCCTTGTTTTGATGTGCAGCATGCGCAAACATGACCAACAATAGAAGTGGGCTTGGTAAAGGATTGTTTGTCTTTATAGGTGATTCAAACTGTTTCAAAAATAATCGCTTAGGTACAATAGGAAATATAGAATAACAATGCTTGTAGTAAAGTTGTACAAGGCGTTGTTGCGTAGATCTGGCAGGTAATAAGCTGCTATTGTTGATTTCATTGTCAGCTGGTTCGAGGTTGTACATATCATGTCGTAACTTATTTTGATCCAATTCCCATTTGCCTTCTTTGCCTTCCCCTGGCCAAGCTTTGTTAAGACGATTCAAGACTTGTATTGCAGCGTTCATTTGCTTTTGGTCTCTTTGTATCTTTTTAGGTGCAGGTGAAGGAGGTCTTGAATTCGTAGATGAAGGAGAGTGCTGTTGTTCTGTCGAATCGTTCTCTGCTTGTATTTCCATGGCACCATCTTTTGAAAAAGTACATTGTCTTTTTCTGGCTAATTAAAAGCTGTTATTAAATTGACTTAAGTGCTGCTTAATTCATTATAATTTTAGGCTTTACCTTTACACTAACAAGAAGAAATTAATTTATTAGCCTCAATTGATATGATATAGACTGATCTTTTACCTGCATACAAGGCTGTATTCCATCACACTATAAAAAAAAGAGAAAGAAAGTGAGATTACGTTTTGACCAAGATCAGCTTACCTTGATCTTCTTTACACGACAAGTATAACAGGCTTTTCCTACTTTATAGCGTTTTTGTTTAGGTTCTTCCTTTTCTTTAAGTTGGTGTTTAGTCGACATGATAAAAAAGAAAAAAAGAGAGAGAAAAATGTCTATTTCCAAAACAATATATATATATACAATTAAAACTCATTCTCTAGCCGAGGAAGAGGTTTCCCTGAAAAAAAAAAAAAAAGGGTTCAAGCATACTATCTGCTCGTCTTCCGCGGTAGTCGCTTCAATAACTCGGAAGCATTTTGTCTAATTTTAGTTGCTATTAACAAAAACAAAATGTGTAAGGAATTCTTTCAATCTCTTTGTATTCCATGGACTCCGCGCAGAGACTATAAATAGCCTCTGTTATCTTCTAAGGAAGAAGGGATTTCTTACAACGTGGTAATACAACTTGTTTTTATTTAGAAGAAGTTTGTTCCCTTTCAGAAAGACCTAATCTCGCTTCTAATCGCGTTCGCTTTCGATCGCCAAACAAAGCACGTCCCATAAAAATATCGTCACGTTCTTCTTGTACTTTTTGGTGGTGTTGTTGTTGCTTGATAATTGTTTTAAAAATATCAACATCCATAGGTGTTAAAGAGACAGAAGTAGGAGCTCTTCTTAACATGAAAAGATTATTTTATTGTGAAAAAAGAAGAGGAAAAAAAAGGAGGAGGGGAATATACAAACAATTTTTTTTCTTTATGTGATAACAGTGGGTTCTTTACGACCAGTGAACTTTTCAAGTTGAGACAATTCCAAAGCAACGTCAATCAAAGGTCTTAAACCAACTTGAGCATCCTTGACATACTCAGAGGGATCGCTAGAATACTTTTCAACATAGAGACGGACGGTAGCACCTTGAGAGCCAGTACCAGACAAACGAATAATGATGCGGGAGCCATCTTTGAAGATAATACGGATACCTTGATGCTTAGAGACACTGCCATCAATAGGATCCAAGTATTCAAAATCATCAGCTTTTGCAATAGTGAATTGACCAAATGTCTTGTTTTCCAATTCCTTCTTTTCAATCAACTCACCAAGTCTCTTGACCATATCTTCAGCACCTTGGCTTTCAACTTCTTCATAGTCATAACGACTAAAGAAATTACGACCATATGTCATGTAATGGTCTTGAAGGATATCTTGAACACCAGCCTTCTTGGTCTTATTGACATGAGCAATGATACTCAACCAAGCTAAGTTTTGAAGTCAGTATTACATAAACATGCCATCATAACCTTACCTAAAATAGCCCAAACACCATCTTTTTCACGAATATGATCGGAACCAGTACCAAAAGATTCTTCACCACAGATAGAACAACGACCAGCGTCCATGAGATTACCAAAGAACTTCCAACCAGTGGGCACTTCAAAGTGCTCAACACCCATCTTTTTGGCAACCAAATCAACGGCTTGAGAAGTAGGCATGGAACGAGCCAAACCATTGACGCCATTCTTCTTGAAATAAGGAATAGCATCTTTGGCATAATGAGCAATGATAGCAACGCTGTCTGAAGGAGTAACAAAGGCATCCTTACCAATAATCATGTTACGGTCACCATCACCATCAGAAGCAGCACCAAAGTCGTAACCCTTTTCCTTGACAGCTTCTACCAAGTCATGAGCATAAGTCAGGTTGGGATCAGGGTGAGCACCACCAAAATCAGGCTTGGGAACATAACGCATCACGCTAGATTCAGGAAGGCCAAATTCTTCGACAAAGAGACGGTAGCCATAAGGACCAGTGACACCATTCATACCATCAAACAACATCTTGAAATCCTTGTTATTGGCAAAAAAGGCCTTGATAGCATCAAAGTCAAAGATAGTCTTCATCAATTCAACATAATCTTGGACACCATCAATAATTTCAATTGTCAAGGAACCAATCTTTTGAGTGCCCAATTGAGAGAAATCTACTTTAGGAGCTTCACCCAACTTGAGTTCCTTGATAACCTTGGACTTTTCATAAATCTGGTTGGTCACAGATTCAGGAGCAGGGCCACCATTGGAGCAGTTATATTTGATACCAAAATCGTTATCAGGACCACCAGGGTTATGGGAGGCAGTCAAGAGAATACCACCAGTAGCCTTGTACTTACGAATCAAGTTGGAGACAGCAGGAGTAGAGACAATACCATTACGGCCCACAATTAACTTACCAACCTAATATTTTTGATAAGCATGACAAAAAACGCGTTTTTTTTTACTTACACCTTGACCCAAACTACACTTAACAATCACTTGAAGGACTTCATCAGAATAATAACGACCATCACCACCTACAACGAGAGTAGCACCAGAAGCACCACCATCAGCTTCGGGAATAGATTCAAGAATAGCTTGAATGAAGTTCTCGGTATAGTTTTTTTGTTGGAAAACCTTGACACGTTTTCTAAGGCCTGAGGTACCAGGCTTTTGACCTTCGTAGGGTTCAGTAGAGACAGTTTGAATGTTGACCATAATTAAAATAAGAAGAAAAAGATGGAAAAAATGGGAAAATGTTGGTTTTACCCTTTTTATGTCATGCTAACAGCATACGGGGTTTTAATCACATCTTTGTTTACTTCATTGGAGCAGCAAACTAAGTTATTATTTTTTTTCTCAAAGGTAAAGCTCTTGTTACACGTTACTCAATGATGATTCTATGACTAGATGTTTGAAACACCGTTATTTCTCTTTAATCTTCTTTTTGGGCTGAACAATAAAGTCTTGTACACCTTATACGTGGTAAATAACTGTTTTGTTTGTGTATCCAACGTTTACACGACGCGCGTATTTTTTATTAATTCATGCACCGCCTAAAAAGAAGAGAGAGGTCTAGAAAGTTGAGCTACTTTGATCGCTCAAAGTATAAATCTCAGCTGACGTACTCTCGCAGTAGACAAAAAGGCATAATTTTCCCCCCTATTTTGTTTTTCTTTTTTCTTTTCGTTTTATATACATATACTATGTCAGTTCAAGACGCCTATAACAAAATGTTCTCCAACTTTCAGCGAGTAAGAGATTATCTTGCTCCTGTTTTAAAGAACTCCAAGTTTAAAGAAACAGGCTGTATTACACCTGAGGAAGTAAGTTATTACTTTGAGTCTTTTTTTTTCAATATTCATTTTCCATATAGTTTGTAGCAGCTGGTGAGTTTCTAGTATACAAGTGTCCTACCTGGCATTGGTAAAATAATGAAGATAAATGCTGTACATTAAGCAACTGTTATAGGGAAGCAGGCCTTGATAACAAAAAGAGGGATTATTTACCAAGCGATAAGCAGTTTTTAGTGACACGCAATGGTAAGAAAGAAGAGTATAAAAAAAGGGGGATACTCATTTTATTTAGTTCCATGTATTCGACGTGCTCGTCAAATGGAATACACTGAAGATGATTCTGAAACACAAATCAAGGATGAAATTGATGATGGCGAAGACTGGATGTTTACACACAGCACACGCGTTACTAAAACTATGGAAGAGATAGCTCAAAACATTATGACAGAAGAAGAAGAAGAAGCAGAGATTAAAAAGGGTTTAGAGAAGCTAAATGTAGAAGACATACCTGACCTTGACGACATGCCTGACATAGACGATATCCCTGACATGGATGATCAAGTGCAAGAAGAAGAAGATCCTGTGAGTAAGATGTTGTATTCGTCATCCTACTTTTACTAACCCCATGATGCACTAGTCTGTCGTACCTAGAGACTCAAATGATAAGGTCTTGCAAGTGCGTACATACGATGTCTTTATCACCTATGACAAGTATTATCAAACACCGCGTATATGGCTTTTTGGCTATGATGAAGAACGTCGTCCCTTGACTTCCGCTCAAGTGTTTGAAGATGTGTCGCCTGACTATGTCAAAAAGACAGTGACTATTGAAACACATCCTCATCTTTCTCTAAGTTTGGCTTCTATTCATCCTTGTAAACATGCTGAAGTCATGAAGAAGATCATTGAGAGGATGGGTGATGGTCAGCCTGCTGGTGTTGATGAAGAAGGTGGTATTCGTGTAGATCAGTATCTGGTTATCTTTTTGAAGTTTATGAGTTCTGTTATTCCTACTATTGACTATGATCATACCATCAGTGCATAGACTTTTGAATAAATAGAAGTTGCTTACAGTCATGAAAGAATACTTGATATAAAATAGAGTTTGGTAAAAGTTATTTTGCTTTATTTTTTTTTTACAAAAATTTGACATATAGTATACAATTTTTCATGATATCAAAAGGCAAACTAGTTAATCGTGTATATAAATGACATGTATAGGTCCCTCTCTTCTGGAGATTATTGTTCATGAGGGGATTATTGTTCAAGTTCTTCAGTCTTGGGTTCTTCGACCTTTGGCTCTTTAATCTTTGGCTCTTTAATCTTTGGCTCTTCGACCTTTGACTCTTCGATCTTGGGTTCTTCGACCTTTGGCTCTTCGACCTTGGGTTCTTCGATCTTGGGTTCTTCGACCTTTGGCTCTTCGACCTTGGGTTCTTCGATCTTGGGTTCTTCGACCTTTGGCTCTTCGACCTTGGGTTCTTCGATCTTGGATTCTTCGACCTTGGGTTCTTCGACCTTGGGTTCTTCGATCTTGGATTCTTCGACCTTTGGCTCTTCGACCTTGGGTTCTTCGATCTTGGATTCTTCGACCTTGGGTTCTTCGATCTTGGGTTCTTCGACCTTTTCTACTTTTTCAATCTTAGGTTCTTCTACTTTAGGTTGTTCAACCTTGACCGTCTCTGCTTGCTCAGCAGCCTTGGCTTCATTCTTTTTGGCCAAAGCTAATTCAGCCAGTTCCGTCTTGAGTTTGTCAAGTTCGATTTCAAGAACACGAATCTTTGTATCCTTTTGACTGATTTGACTCTTTAATTCTTCGTTTTCTTTGGTGGCTTGGTTGTAAGCTTCTTGGTACTAAAACACAGATGAGATTCATGCAATTAAACTCTCTTCTACTTACGTCTTTTTTACCAGAAGTGGTTGTGTTAGAGGCTTCAGGCTTGGGTTCTTCAACAGGAGCAGAAGGTGTGAATTCTTTCTTAGCCTTGGCAGTGAAACCAACTTCAAGATCAATCAACTTGGGGTTAGCATTCTTGCCCTCAAACCATTCATCAGCAGTAAGAGCAGGCTCGTCACTAAGACAGGGAGGGAAGATATCAGATTGGAAGGCGTCAGACTATAGAAAAAATAAGTTTAGCATGGAACAAACACATGCATTGCCATCATACCTTTCTAGGGACAGTGAATGAAATAGGTTCAATCAAGGTAGTACCAACTTTGTATGCTCTGGCAACTTCACATTCATTGACTTGAACAGCACGCTTGGGCAAGAAGCCCATACCTCTTTGAGGTTCAATAGCCTTGTATTCAGAGAGAAGATACAAAGCATCATTGTCATATTCATAGTAACGAATGTTACCATCACTATAGAACAAGACATAAATAAGGTGTTTGTCCTTCTGATCTACTCTAAACACTTACCCCTTACCAGCAAGATACAACATCTTGGTATCGGGATCATAGAAAGGCATGATGACACCAGAAGAAGTATCCAAGAACTCAGATTTGATAGGCTTAGACAAATCAGAAGTGTTCCACAAATTCAATTGACGATCACTCATGCGGGAGAAACCAGTAGTGGCCAAACGATCCATATCACCAAGCCAGACTACACGGGATCCCTTAATACCTTGATGACCAGGGCCTTCTTGAACAATCTTGTTGGTGCGCACATCGAAAATACGAAGCTTTTTGTCTCTACAAGTGGTTGCCATAAGAGAACCATTGTAATTCCAAGCGATGGATTGAATGATTTCATTGTGACCTGTAATTTCTTGCTTTTCAACGCCCTTTTCAATATCCCATAATTTGATAGTCAAATCAGTGCTGCTAGAAGCCAAAACGTTTTCCGCAACAGGATGGAAAAGAACATGGCCAACCTTACTGTATAGTCTTTAGTAACAAGTTCTCTTTTTCTTTTTTGTTCTGTACTTTACCGACTGTGACCAGATAATTTCAAGACGGGAGTAACTTCAATTTGATCTTCAGCGTATTCTTCAGGGATATTCCAGATCATGATTTTACTGTCTTCAGATCCGGAAGCAATGACATAATCGTTAAAAGGATTGAAATCAGTATCAAGGACAGGACCTGTGTGACCTCTATAGAGAGGATAGTTATCGGGTAACTTGCCTATATCCTATGCCATCAGTATCTCATATCCAATCCACATCCTCACACAACTTACCGACTTGAGAGTGAGGAAGAACAGCAAAAGCACCGCCACCAGAGGCTTGCCAATTGACGGAAATGAAAAGCTAGGCAAATCATGTTAGTCTGTAGTACAAGTACGCGAACGACTTACAGGATTGGCCTTCACCATGTTTGTGTCCCAAGCGTTTGCACTGACGCGAACATTGTCATAACAAAAGTCTCTTTTGGCACAGGTACCGTAGACGTGGCGGTATTTGGAAGGGCGGACAAAGAAAGCCATTTTTCTATAGAACAATAGCAAGATGAGCAAGATGAGCAAGATGAAGCGAGAGTATCAAAAGCCTTATTAATAGCTTACCGAAAAGAAAAAAATTAGTTAAGAGGACAAGAAGAGAGAGATAGAGAGAGAGAGAAAAGAAAAAAAAGAAAAGAAAAAGGTACTTACAAGAAAATAAAAAGTCCGGTAAAGTAGAAAGAATACAACTGCATCTGGAGTTGAATTGCTTTGATGCTATTTTACCAAATATCCTATCGAGAAAGACTTGTACGGGATCTGAACCTGTTGATAGAAACAAATTCATTTATTGTTCTCTTGTGTGTCTCAACAAGACAATATAAAGGAAGAGGATTTCATGGCTGCTGTTACCTTTGGGTTGCTTTTGATATCTTGGTTCTATAATTACTAACCATAGCAGCTAATAAATTGTCTGAATTTATGGCCTCGAATATAAACAGCGTGTTCTTAAAAATACACTAAGATGCTAAATTCGTTTTTTTTAATTTGTTTCAACTTACAGTATTTTCGGAAAGTATTCGTGCACTAATAATTTTTCGTTTTGTGCAATAAAAATAAATAAATCGTGCGGACTTGGAAAACAATTTCGAGCAAAAAAATTAGTTGAAAATGAGTAACTTTGTTTATGATGGAAACGGAAACCTAACGAATGAGAATGAAGAAGAGCATCTTGAGTTTGCAATGGAAGTGGATGACGAGACTTTCCCCTTAGGAGATGTTACAGATTTCGCAATGTACACTGATCTCATGCCTCCTGAAAAAGCAGCCAAAGATGTTATGAAGACTGAAAGCAACACCACAAACCGTATTGCGGGAGATGCTGGTGGGATTTCTGAGAAGACCTATCGGAAGTACAGTCCTGAGGACAATAGTAACTTCTTTCAGTTAGTATATGAAAAGAATATGGGTGTCCTAGGTGCTGCTAAACAGCTTGGTATACCACCAACGACAGCACAAACATGGTTCAAGCAAGGAGAGGCGAGCTTGGAAAAGGACAGTGAGGTCGCTATGGAAAGGACTGTAGATGGTAAGCGGAAGCTTGGAAGACCTGCAATCCTCAATGATGCTCATAAGGAGTGTCTAATTGAAGCTATTGATGGAAAGCCTGAAATGGTCTTGGAAGAGATGATGGAGTGTCTTACGAGTAGCTTTGAGGATCTCAAAGACTGCTTTGTATGAGTTTGTCACTACAAAGTGCAATCTCAGCTTCAAGCGAGCAAAGCTTTATTCAGTTGAGCGAAATTCTCCTGAGAAAATTGAAGCTAGATATCAATGGGTGAAACACTGGGAAGAGACTGACATGGATTATATGAGCAACTGCGTTTTTATTGATGAATCTGCATTCCATATCAACTTGAAGCGCTCTTATGGTTGGTCTAAAAAAGGTGATCCTGCCATTGTCACAGTCCCAAAGACAAGAGCAAAGACCACGACTATTCTTGGTGCTATATCTGCTCACGGTGTTGTCAATATCAAGATCAAACAGCCCAAGGTAGCGGAGCCCGCAAAGAAAAGAAAGTTGACAGGAAAAAACTCAACTGTCGCAAACAAGGGCAAAGGAGGAACAGTGACTGGCCATTACTTCAACTTTATTGCTAGTACCTTGGATATTTTGGATCGTCACGAGATCTTCAAGGATAGATATATAGTCATGGCCAATGCGCCTATCCATACGCACCAAGACATAAGAAAGTATATAGAAAGCAGAGGATATGGCTGCGTCTACCTTTCTCCATATTCACCAACCCTTAACCCCATTGAAGGATTTTGGGCCGTTTGCAAGAGCAAGGTCAAAAGAGAGAAACTTTTGAAAGAGGAAACACTCACCTCCAGAATAACAGACGCCTGTAACAAAGTCCTTTTGAGCGACTTGAAGGGGTTCTGTAGACATTCTATGTCTATGTTTGATGATTGTTTGAACAGAAAGCCAATCTAATAAACATATTATTTTCGTGCACCTTGCATGAATTTTTTGACCCAACTTTTTTCTACTTCTGCATCATTGACTAATTTTTTTGCTCGAAATTGTTTTCCAAGTCCGCACGATTTATTTATTTTTATTGCACAAAACGAAAAATTATTAGTGCACGAATACTTTCCGAAAATACTATATTTAATTAATAAAAATGTTTGGAAAATGAAGAAAAGATAGTTTTTAGAGTTGAAATTACACAAAAGAGAAGGAAGGAATTTTGTGCAGAAAAAGAAGTAATCTTTTTCGAGATTTGTTCCAATTTTTAACTTGTTTTTGTTCCATTTTTATTACAAAAAGTGTCCTAATAATAATAAGTGGAAATAGTATATATATCAATACGCGTATCAAACTACTTGAATCTTCTCAAGAGTCACCAGTTTTTTGTTTCTTTACAACTTGTTCTTCAGTCAATTCTGGTCTATCTAAAGACATAGACTCATCTTTCTTTTCTTCTTCCTCTTCTAGTGCTTCTTCCTCTTCTTGTTGTTGTTTCTCGGCTTCGTCTTCTTGAACTGTGGGTACTGTAGTTGACTTTCTTTCGTTTTCCAAAGTATGTGTTAAGAAGGTATTAATTTGATTCTGTAAAAATACAATAGACTCTGTTAGTGTCTTGTTGCTTTCAAGAGACACAGTAAAAGAGTGTGTTGTGTTGGTAGTGGTATTATTGTATACTGCTTTAAGATCTGTCATAGTTGCAAAAAAAAAAAGATAAAGAAAAAGAAAGGTCCCAACTGAGCTTCAATGCAATGTTAAATAAGTTATTATGATGCTTTTACAGTAACAATCAAATATTGAAGAGTAAGAAGACATCAATACTTGATATCTTAAGAGACATAAAGAAGGTACAATTGGTTGTTACAATAAATTTATTTCTAATTTAAATATACACATAATAGAAGTTTGGCTATGAAAGAGACCTTCAACCAAGATGCTGGCAGTGCTCGGCTACTAGAAGGGTTAAACTCTAAGATATTTTGGGATTTCAAAGTGTATTGTACACAGAGTGAGTCCAATGGCGTGCTTTTGGAGATAAGTTTTTTTCATAAGGAGCACATAGCTCTAGAGAATACACCAATTAATTGCGACATAAACAAAAGCAAAGCGTTATGTAAAGTGTCTATAAAACCTTTGTCTTTTTTGGTAAAAAAAAAAAAAAAAAAAAAAAGAACATTTTCCTACTCTTCACAAGAGTGAAAATTGACAAAGAATAGAAATTGATTGTAAAATAAGAAATTTCTCTCAATTAAATTCAGTTACAACAAACTCCAAGCAAGACTTTTCTTTCTACAAACTACGCATAGAGAACTACAACTCTACCATTGTTTGAGCTGAAAAAAAGCGAAGCATTCAAATAACGGTATATTTCATTGGATGAAAAAAATTAATTTCAGAGCCAGAATTTCTGCGGTGAGATTTCACCGGGCAAAGAGGGATGCGTTAAATATCCATAGTGAATCTTTAAAGCATCATCCTCTTTTTCGTGATTGCCAAAGGTACTTATAAATGCCATAGATGCAATATCTAGCTAAATGAAAATGGATGGATGGATGTATATGTTGCAATGGTTGTCTTTTGGGGTTTTCTATGATAAGAGCAAAAAAAAACATCAATGGCACTATCCATCAAACGAACGGATCCATCCGTTTTTAAATGTGTCAATCAATCAAACATCCTACGCCTACAACAATCGATACAGCTAAAGCAACTATCAGAACCATCAATTTAGTGCCACATCCATACTTGATGGCATATTAAGAGCTATCTTGTCGAAAATTAAGCGTGGGTTAGTGATAATGAGCCTAGTCATTGGAGCTTGGAATCGATTTCGAATGCAACTTTGAAATGAACTCAACACTACAATTCTATGTGTCTACATGTATGCATAAACACGCACATATATATATATATATATATATACGGTAGACATGATAACATATGCATTCACTATCCATCTTCTATGCTAGTAGGAAGGAGTACATGTAACTTACTCTGATTTTTATAGCTATAATGCCCCACGCACCTAGAAACAGCTTCCTTGCTCCTGGCGTCTCTCGCTACTCCCGTTCTGTTGCCTACTCCAAGAAGGCTCAGCACAAGCGTAAGCAAACTGCTGTTGCTGCTCCCGCCAAGACTGCTGCTGCTGAAAAGACTGTTGAAGTTAAGGGTGCCAAGAACGGTGGTAAGCGTACCGTCCCTGCCCAAAAGGCCTCTCGTTTCTACCCTGCTGAGGATATTCCTCAACCCAAGGTTACCCGTAAGACTGCCAAGAAGACTCCTCTCCGTAAGAGCATCGTTCCTGGTTCTGTTGTCATCCTTTTGGCTGGTCGTTACCGTGGTAAGCGTGTTGTTGTCTTGAAGCAACTCGACTCTGGTCTCTTGCTCGTCACCGGCCCCTTCAAGGTTAACGGTGTCCCCTTGAGACGTGTCAACCAAGCCTACGTTATTGCTACTTCCACCAAGCTCGACATTTCTTCTGTCAAGGTTGATGAAAAGTTTAACGATGCTTACTTCAAGAAGTCTGCTAAGGCTGAAAAGGCTTTCCTCGAAGGTGAACAAAAGAAGGCTGCTTTCCCTGAATCCAAGGCTGCCGATCAAAAGGCTGTTGACAAGGCTCTCCTCGAAGTTGTTGCTAAGACTCCTTTCCTCCGTCAATACTTGGCTTCTACCTTCGGTTTGACTAAGGGTCAATTCCCTCACAACATGAAGTTCTAAGTTTATTTATAATTATAGCTTTGAATTAACCGTTAATAAACAACCAAAAAAGAAGAAAAAATACATTTTTTGTTGCATGGAAATCATTTTCAAAAAAGGAAAAAATGACATCACCAATGATGCTTCATCATCATCATGGTTAAAGCCCGAATGTATAAAAAGAGAATATTTTTTCTCGCACTCTTTTTTTTCCTTTTTACTTATTTAAAGAAATGAAGATTTTTGCCTTGTCTGCTATTGTTGCCACTGTGTTTGCAACTATTTCTCAAGCTGCACTCACAAGGTAAATAAAACTGCATAAAGTTCCCGCGCATCCTAATACAAAATAGAATTCCCATCAAAAAAGTAAACGAGTCTCCTTCTGAAAAACTCCAGCGTTATGCTAATACCGGTGAATATTTGACTCAAAGATACTTCAACTCTCAGCGTCAAGCCAGTGTCACTCCATTCCAAGTGAAGCCTGACGGTAGTGTTGAGCATGGCGTTCCTATTTCTAATTATATGAATGCCCAAGTAAGTAATATACGTACGCGTAGCATGTAGACTGACTTGGTTATCTCTAGTATTATGGTGACATCGAAATTGGTACTCCTCCCCAAACATTCTCGGTCGTTTTTGATACTGGTTCTTCTAATCTTTGGGTGCCTTCTACTCATTGTACTTCTATCGCTTGTTTCTTGCACAAACGTTACGACTCTAGCCAATCCCGCACCTTTGTCGAGAACGGTACTGAATTTGCTATTCAATACGGTACTGGTTCATTGGAAGGTTTCATTAGTCAAGATACCCTTCGTGTTGCGGGTATTGATGTTGAAAACCAAGGTTTTGCTGAATCTGTTAAAGAACCTGGTTTTACTTTTGCATTCGCCAAGTTTGACGGTATCTTTGGTCTTGGTTATGACACTATCTCTGTTAAGCGCACTGTTCCTCCCTTCTACAACATGGTCAACAAAGATTTGGTTGATGAGCCCCTCTTTTCTTTCTGGTTAAATGATGTCAACAAGGGTGGTGAACAAGATGGTGGCGAACTTGTGTTTGGTGGTATTGATCATGATCACTACAAGGGCAACATTACTTGGTCTGATGTCAGAAGAAAAGGTTATTGGGAAATTGAACTTGAAAATATTAAATTTGGCGAAGAATATGTTGATTTGGATCCTGTCGGTGCCGCCATTGATACAGGTTCTTCTCTTATTGTTGCTCCCACTACCATTGCTGATTTAATCAACCATGAGCTTGGCGCTGAGAAGAACTGGGCTGGTCAATACGTTCTTGATTGCTCTCTTGTCCCTAGCCTTCCTGAATTCTGCTTTGTTTTCAGTGGCAAGAACTTCTGTTTGAATGGTGAAGACTATGTTCTTAAGGTGCAAGATCAATGTATCTCTGGTTTTATGGGTATGGATATCCCTGAACCAGCTGGTCCTCTTTGGATTGTTGGTGATGTTTTCCTTCGTAAATTCTATAGTGTGTACGATCTTGGTAACAACAGAGTTGGTCTTGCTGAAGCCAAGTAAAGAAATATACACATTTTTTAAGGAGAACAAATTGTACAGCTCAAGTAATAAAAACTTATTCAAGTCAAGGCATGAATCTGAAACAATCTTAATGAAAAACTTGAAGTTTGAATTCTCACATCTTGTGAATGAAAATAAATGAAATGTATAGTAACTATTAACTACAAACAAAACAAAAGTCTTCCAAATAATGCATTTGAATGTATCTAGATGTGTGTGTATATATACAATCATTATGACTTTCTTTTCTTGTTAGCTGCTTGTTAAGTAAACGTCATTTCGTGTTGTTTATTACATGAGCGAGGCAATAAAAGTGGTAATGACAAGTGCCCCGATAAGAGATATGGGTTGAAATGATTGATATGCATAGGATGAAGTGGGTGGCTTATGGCTGTCTGTGTTTTTTGGTTTTGCAGCTGCAATAGACTGACTTACTTTCGATAATATACTATAAGCAGATGCTTGATACTGCGAGGGGAGATTACTGATTTGTGCAGAAGCCTTTTAAAAGACAATTAGCAAGGAATTCGAGAGAGACAATGAAAAAGCAATTTACCTGAGCAACATAAGATTGTATACTGGCAGGATTATTCACTAAATTACTAATAGAAGCTATTATTTCTGAAGGGATTGCTGTAGGAATAGCCAAAGGAAAATCAGTAGGTATGTTCATGATTTTGGTAGTAGTAGCTGGCTTAGAGTTAATAAAACTTGTTTTATAGTTAGGATTTTTGGCTACCTTCTTGTCCTTGAACAGTTAACACAAGGGCTCCTAAGCCAATTAAAAAAGCATCTTTGACCATTGTGATATGATTGAACAAAAAGAATAATAAAAGAGAGATAGCTCAAGTTTCTCGTATTTATCCAACTTTGAATATATTCAGGAGTAAAGCAAAACAGCAATGAGATATAGTCACATATATAATAAAAGTCATACTATTCTCCTACATGGCTAAATTGTATGTATACATTTACTTATAAGCACTATTTAACTAAACAGACGGTTCGTACTGGGTTGTTTACCATTGAAACAAGCAGATGCGATAAATTTCATTATAAATCATTACAAATACGCATTTATTTCGGTCCCTTTTAAAATATTTTGCCGTTTTATATTTTAGCTCAATTACATATATTTCTTTGCATTAATGCATGAATTGTTGAAGAGACCTATGCTTATCTCGTTTCAAATCCGTTAGGCCTCGCATCTTTTCTTACATATGCGCCGAACAGCTGTATTCACATCCCAATGAAAGCACGGATATCGATCAATGGGCATATGTTCTTTTCTTGTCGAGTCAGAATTGTTTGGATTTGTATTAGTAACACTAGTAGAACCTGTTTCGAAATCATGCACCGAATGTTGAGACAACATAAAGCCTGTTTCTGCACCTGTTTTATTGGGTTTAAGTTCTGAAGACGATGTGGTTCTTTGTTGTTCTTTGTCAGACATTGAAGAAATAAGCGACTTATCAGAAGAAGTCGAAGAACTGCATTGCTTCATGTTGATGTCGTATCCCTCTAGCAAACCAAACTGAGCATACAACAAAGACCGTCGTACACTTTGGCATAAGCCAGCAAAATGCCATTCTACTTTTTTCCCAGTATATCTGTCAATAGTGTCTTGCGTTGTCCTCAACATTTGTAAGGCAGTCGAATCCAAACGACTGACAGCACTAAAATCTAAAATAATAACTTCCAAGACTGGCAATGTTGATTGAAAATTTTCTTGGCTGCCTTGATTCCAAAGTCGATCATGATTGCTCTTGTTTATATCGAGTATATTTGCACATCTTGTTCTCTGTTTGACAATATGAACAATCTTGTCTGAAATATATTCAGCGTTAGGATAAATGATAGAGTCCGAGAGCTTAAGTACAAGGATGCCTTTAGGTAATTTGACCAAATTGTCTTGAAAGTTAGAGTCCATCTCATTAACATAGAAATAGTTCTCGTCTGTTTCTAATGCCATGGTGCCTGATTTATTGGGGCCTTGTATCGAAGGAACTCTAGACAACACTGTGACTGCAGGCCTCGCCATTTTATAAAGCATGACTATCAATGAGAGACCTACAGCCGTGTAGATACCTGCTTGCACATCTATGAAAATCGTAACAATGACTGCTCCAGCCCACACTGCTATCTCAATTGGATTTGAATGCCATAACTGTTTAAGATATTTGCTTCCAGATACCAAATCAGATACAGCATGAATAACAACTGCAGCCAATACTGCATCTGGTATATAATAAAATGCGGGTGTAAGAGCATAAAGTGCTAAAAGAACTACAGCCCCTGAGAATACACCGGCCATAGGCGTACGACTACCTGACCGGGCCATAATAGCTGTACGGGAAAAGGCCCCTGTTGATGGAAAACCTCTAAGATTGGATGAGCAAGTTGTATATAACTATATTCGTTACCCAAAAAATGATCCGATAACATTACTCATGCCGATAGCCAGAATTTCTTGATCTGGATCAATCTGATAATCGCAAATTCGTCCGAAAGATTTCGCAACTGAAATGTGCTCCAAAACCAAGATTAAGACAATGGATGGAATTATGCCTCCTGCTTTTTTAAATATATCTAGATGAAGACGAGGTACAGCCATAGCATCAAAACCTGCAGGAACTGTCTTAATAATTGAGAAAAGGCTATCGTCTCTACCCATATTAATCAGAAATGAAATTATGGTACCAACAATAACGATCAAGCCATTTCTCATTATACCGAACAGGAAAACAAATTTTTGTAAAATGCGTGATTGAGGTTTGATTTTTACACAAATGTAACGAACACTATACAGAAACACTAGTGATGATAGGCCAAAAGCAACATCAATATGGGTATGCGAGATCTTGGCAAAAAATTGACCAAATATCATATAAGGTGAAGCGTGAGTTGATACATCTGGTATTCCAAATAGTTTTGGCCATTGGCTGATAACAATGGTGATTGCAGACCCAGTCATATATCCTGCAATAGCAGGCTCTTTGAAAAAATAATATAAAAAAGATAGTGTTGATTGACATGTTTTAATCGAAACCTATTTACATACCAGGAATAAAATCTACTAGAATACCTAAACGAAGTAGACTTATGACGATACTGATAATTCCTGCATGCAAACCGAGACTCACTGCTACTTCGGCTGGTGTTATGTTAGGATTTGCATTAATTACAGAATTGACCGCAGTACTGATAAGAAGTGACACAGTAGCTATAGTGGTGTGAGTGCGAAAAGCTTCAAAAAGCTAGGGATCTTTACAAATGGGTCCGACACTAATGTCTTTTGAAGTGCCAAAAAAGCAATAAAGGGTACTTCCTACAAATGAAGAGCTACACACAATAAGCAAAGCTTTTTGATCAATCAAGTGTTCCTTCTTTTTTCATACTATAAACCATATTGAGGATCAAGATTGGCAACTTTGGCATAAGCCATACTTTGAGGCACGATAACAATGCCAACAGTGATGCCTGCAATCATATCTTGTACTAGCCACTAAAGTGATTGTAAGTCCATGTTTTTATTTAAAAGATATATTTTAATTTACCGTAGTATTGTATCTATGAATCCATTGAATGATTGGAAATATGCTAATCAGGTAAATCTTGAGAAGACTAGGTATTTTTCGCATGAATTTTTTTCCTTTGTAACTCAATGACTTTGGTGTGTAATCTATTATAACTGGCAATTCTTCCTTCATTTTCTCTTTACACGATAAGATATAAGATTTAAGACAAAAGAGTAAAACTGTTATATCATTAGTGGGTTTGGCAATTTATATGCGCTCAGGGATAAGCAGAAGGTTATAAGGTTAAAGAAAGGGGGTCATCAGGAGAGGGGGAGGGGGAGGGTGTTTATGCTGGATAGATACAACATATGCACATATTTTATGCTAAAAAACAACTTCTCATTTTAGCAAATTTTGATACATGTTAGGCAGAATTACATCGTTTATACAAGACAAAAATTCGCTAACAACTCCTTTTTTTTGCTATACTTAGTTGGATAATCAATATTCCATTAGCATCAAATCACCATCATACTTGCTGCAATTATTTGATGATCCATGCTTTCATTTATTGTCTTATCAAGCGATTGCATATTGCTATAGTTGAGAAAAAATATGCATTGTTCTAACCAGACCAAAGTTGCTTTTCTCTTTTAAATATGCAAATACTCAATACCTTAAAGCACAATACTTCTTATATGAAAAAGAAAGAGAAGCAAAAAATCATAAGACCAAGCATCCTACAAGAAGTGACAACACCAAGCATACTTGATACAATCTGGGACTGGACTGTCTTATTTTGAGGAGAGAATTTTATGTATAGTCACTTGCCTGATTCTACACTATAGATTCAGATAAGGCCAAAAAACAGCGTTGATGTTGCTTATAATAAAGAATGATGCTCATGATTAGAATGGAATATCTGATTGGCCATACAAAAGAAACTCAACTTTATAAATGAACTTTCTCTATTATTAGAAGATATTTATTCCATTACCATCAAACTGTCCAATAAGTTGCAAATTGCTTGACAAACGATCAAAGTGAGCAGTGTTTTTTCGTACTACAATCCTTTTCTGACTTTGAATAGAAAGGTTGCACTCTTATTCAAGCGCGATTGTGCCTCCTTCTGAACAGATTTGCAATCAAAGCTAATTGATAAATGAATACCCTTAAGTCTGTTTATATCTAAAGCTTTTCAAGCCGAAATAAACTTTGAAGTAAGTTTTTTCAGTTTGAAACTATTTTTGTAAAATACTAGTAACCTTTATCTAGGCAAGTTTCAGCTTATCAGTAAAATGGTTAGTAGTTAAAGTAATGTTACAAGACATGTGTACAAGGTTTTCCTTTTTTTCCTCGAATCAAATCCTGTTATTTTTGATGATGGCAGCTCAAGTCAAGTAATATAGCACATCAATGCGTATTGAATTACTAAAGTAATATATACATATTTCAGATAAAAATTGATATGTACTGAGCTTTTAAGACTCTAATTACTCCCTTATTCTGTTTGTAGATTCAAATTTACAACACACAAGATCAAGTAAATCATTTTTTCTCTCAGTGACAAGTGCATATTATACATATGCCTTTATTTGATATAAGTAGATGATCTAAATGATCTCAATTAATAACAAGTGCTTTAGGCGTGAATTTTTCTTGATATTGATTGGCTTCATCTGGTCATACTGTAGTTGACTTCGCCTGCCACAGATATGTTGGTCAAGGAAGTCTTAGATATGCTTCTATTCGTGCCTGAAAACATTCATGCTGCAGTTTCAAGTATAAGAAGTTTTAACTGATGGCCAAATGTAAGCACCCAAATTAAGATAGCAGGAATAGGAATGCTTACATTATTTGAAACATGTCTATCAGTAAAAATTTCTAAATCATGCATATCTTTTTTGCCCATGTATGAAACTAGAAATTAAAGAGATTTTGCAGATAATAGCTTTTTTTGTAAAAACATCTTGTTCTATTTGTAAAAAAATAATTTATGTATACCCTTAATTTTATCTCCCTCGCAGCATTTGAAACTTAAACTTGTTTCAATTTAGTGATAATTTAAGTCACTATAATTCAAAGGATCTATTCTCAAGTAATACAGGCCCATATATAAGTACCAATGAAGCTTTCTGTAGCTATCGACAGAAGCTGAGTTTGCATGTATTTTTTATCTGGGTTGAATAATGTGTTTGCATGACATGTACGTTCCTCATTGTGATCTGATGCAAAATAGTATGACTAGCATGTTAATTGCAAAAAAAAGATTGCCAAGAACAACATGAGCTCAAAAGCATAAACTTTTAATCTGATGACACTCTATTTTTCTCAATTCATATATTCAAGGTTTGCAAATTATCAATTTTATAATGTACTACTCGATCCATTGAAACAATTCCATTCTCTTCTTTCCATGAAGTAAACTAACTAGAGTTTGTAATGAAGAATTGCATATTTGATCAAAGCAACTCAAAATTGCTCTTTTGGCTCTACACATGAAATCCACGTTATGTGATGAAATTGAAAATTCAGGAACAGTGAGAAATTTCATTGAAATGATGTTCTTATAGTTGGACAAATATTATTACAGTGATCGTTACACCGTATAGGGAAAAATACAATTCTATGGGTTCGATTGATATCAAAAGGTTCATGTAGCACTGCTTTAGCTCTTACATCTTTTTAAATCTGTGTAAGAGACTGTAATTTACTTTGCACAAAGTACAATATCACAAACTATAAATTTATCAACGTTTAAACTACGGAAAGTTTGAATTTGAATGCATATAGTTATGTAAACAATGAAAACGTTTTTTATTTTGCTTATTAATGTTTGTTTGTTATGTACATTGACAAGTCATAATTTAATTTTTGCAGATTTCCCCGCAATTTCCTTTGGTTGCTGCTGCACTGTGTTTATGATGAGAAAAAAAAAATGCCTCGTAAAAAGATTATATCGATTTTGTGTAACTGCATAGAACAGTTTTTGCTCTGGCTTAATGAGAATTACACATGTACTTCAGATAGCCTGTGCTAAGTAAAATGTAACCATACTTGAATAAGCTGCGTTACTCCAACTATCTGGTAACTAATATGCTATTGACAATCAATTTTTTTTCTTTCGTATATAAAGAGACATCTTCATGTATATTCCTTTTTTTTTTTCCATTAACAACAACTTCCCAATCCTTATTTATTTAATATAAATTCCTTTCCCTTAGACTAAAATGGTTTCTTTCACTTCTATCTCTCAAAGCGCCAACATTTTGATTTTGGCATCATGCTTATTGATTGGTTCTTCTCATGCTGCTCCTGTTGCTGGCAACAGCTCAGCTAATCACACCGTTTCTGCTCTCGACACTCTTCCCCCTATCATCTCAAGCCGTACTCAAGCTGTCAAGGTTCCCAGCGGAAATCATGATGTTGAAAGTGCAAACATTGAAAAGAACAAGGAATGGTATGCTGCTCACGGTGGTACCTACAAGTTCGATAAGCGTGACTCCAGCACCATTGCTGGAATGACCATGTCAACTCCTAATGATGCTCCCCCAGTTACTCTCTTGGCTGCTACCAGTGGTATTACTGCCGCTACCTCTGCTCAAGTTGCCACCTTCAAGAAGTATGCTGGTATTGCTGCTACTGCTTACTGTGATGCTGTCACTTCCTCCAAGACTTGGACTTGCACTCAATGTAAGGCCTTTGCTTCTGATGGTAAGGTCATAACTTCTTTTAATGTTGGTGCCGATACTGTTGGTTTTGTCATGAGAAGTGATGCTGATAAGACCATCTACTTGGCATTCCGTGGTAGCAAGACTCTCTCTAACTGGGTTACTGTAAGTTCAACAATTTTTTCTTATAATATCTAATTTAACTCTTTTAGAACTTAAACTTTGGTTTGACCAACTACACACCTGTATCTGGTACCAAGGTCCACACAGGTATAAAGACATATTCTTTTTTAATTTCGAGCCCTTTGCTAAATATACCTTACTAGGTTTCTACAATGCTGCCAAGAGTGCTGTTTCCTCTTACTTCTCCACTATTCAAGGTCAACTCACTTCTTACCCTGACTACAAGGTCGTTGTCACTGGGTAAATATAACTGATCTTTAATACATCTTTATTGATATTTATAAATAGTCACTCTCTTGGTGGTGCTTTGGCTCTGCTCGCTGGTATGGATCTCTACCAACGTGAATCTCGTCTCAACAAGTCTAATCTTTTCATCTACACCGCTGGTTGTCCTCGTGTCGGTAATCCTGCCTTCGCTTACTATGTTCAGGGCACTGGTATTACCGTCTCTCGTTCTGTGAACGAAAGAGATAGTAAGTGTGTAACAATATTTAAAGAGTACTCGACTAACTTTGATCTGTAGTTGTTCCTCACATCCCTCCAGCTTCATTCGATTTCCTCCACCCTGGTGTTGAAGCATGGACCAAGAGCGCCGGCAATGTTCGTAAGTATCAAGCTATACATTGGATAAAAAGAACTCTGTCTGATAGCTTATCATAGAAATCTGTACCTCCACTGTTGAATCCGACTCTTGCTCCAACACCATTGTTCCCTTCACAAGCATTGATGACCACTTGACGTGAGAAAAATTATAATATGTACAATAGAATCATGTCTAATTTTATTTCTAATAGCTACTATGGTATTAACGAAGGTGGTTGCAAATAATTTATAATATAGCGGCTGTGCCAAGAAACCCAGAATCAACTCATTTAATAAAGTCATTGTTACAAAAAAAAAAAAACTTTCGATTTACCCCTTTTTTTGAACCTTAAAATTGCGGCAACTCAATACAGCAGCGGATGCCATTATTACATAATTATTTTTAGCATACTACTGAGCTCAAAAGCATGACTATCAGTTGATAAGAAAATACTTGTTGTCACGCCAAATATCTGCTAGAAAAAGCTTATTTCAACGTGCATATCTTATGCCAATTAAAGTTTCGCATTTTTTTTCTTTCGAAAAAAAAAATAACGGTGTACGTTCGTAGAAAAAGTGTCACACAAATTGGAAAAAAGCAATTGATAATGATACCCGAGGGACATTTTCTCAAATCAACATATATTTTTACAATGATATTTTCTTCCCTCTCTTCATCCACAAGGTTTTCAGATCCATTATAATTAACATTACCATTCACTTTATTTAGGCTGTCAGTAAATACATATATAACGAGTGTTTCAAGTTTTGGTTGACCTGAATCTTTAAGTTTAGCTGGATATAATGCTTTTGATTTGCTTTATAGAGTAGTATCAAAAGATTGCTTATAATAAAATAAAATAAAAAGATACTATTCTCCAAATAATTATAAAAGCTAGCGAGAAAGTCGCTCAGACATTTTGTGGTGGGTCTAGACAATGCGCTTTAGACCACTTTGACGATTGCTTGCAGGTCATCTCATTTGGTGAAGAACTATATGCAACATATTTTTTCTCAAATACATGAAGCCGAAGCTTCTAGAAATATCATTAAAAAGAAAGAAGACATCATCTGGTTATCTTATACATTTTGTCAATTGAATATATCGATATTGTTGTTTACTGCACATGCGAGATTGTGATTTATCAAATGCATATAAATCGAAAATGAATGAAAACTTGTAACATTACTTTATCACAAAGTAGACTAGACATATCGTATCGTTCTCGCATGCAAACTTTTATTTTCAGCTTGTCCCTTCATTATGTTTGGACCAGAAATCAGAAGAGGCATCTCTTCAAGACTACAAAGAAATTCACTTTTCTAGGCACAATATGTTATGCATACGAAAGAAAGTCTTTGTGACCTTTGTTCTTCTTGTATCTCATTGATTTATAGTTACACTCATCAGCTTCTATAGACATCGGAACATGCTAACGGCACTCAACTAAACGAAATTCATACGAGTAAAAACGATTGCACGATACATAAAGCTATTACAATCAAAAACCAACGAAGTTTTTTTTTTTTCTAATTTATACTATAAACCAATTATTTATAAGCGTGACTCATTTAAGTGCAAATCTAAACAGAACACTGACAGTTGATGTTAAAAGGAAATAACAACACTACCAACACTGATAAAATAAGCCAATATGACAACAAGCAGTCTGGCCTTCTTTTAAACTTTTGAGTTATCATTACATCTGTAAGCATTTCTTCATCTATTATAAATAAGTTGAAGTGGCCAGCTATTCTATACAATTGCATAAAGTTGTTAGCTAAAACCTTTTTGTGCACTTGCAGCGATACAGGTTCTTCAAAGGCGATAAGAGACTACCCATGAACAGCATTGAGTCCAAAAATACATAAAAGCATATTCGGCTCAGCTGTTGAGTACGAATATATCTGCATGGAAATCAAAGAGAAAGGGATTGATTGCCCTTAAACCACTCCGCTTTCATACAAGTGCTCATTGAACAGTGCTACAAACGATAGCTTAACATTTATCATGTAACCTAATTTCAACTCAGTATTTTATGTCTCTGGCTGTTTGAGTAGCTAAATCTTAAGATTTATAGACAACAAAAAACGAAATGTTCTTTAAATTAGCTAATTGTACATTTGCGTCCGTGTTAATTCCATAAAACAAAAGGCATGTCATAAAAGTCTCGAATTTTGCAAAATAATTTACATTGAAAGCGTTTTACAGGGTGAACAGATAGTCGCACAATTGTATGCATCTCATTCGACCCACTCTAGAGTGTATAATAGTGATAATTATAGCATATATATATATATATATATGCAATGTCACATTAAAGGTTTGAATAATAAAATTTCGCCAATGTTATTCCTCCATTACTACCAGTTTTGCCTGGTAATTTCAGGTGAAATCTAACTTTTTTTAGAACACATATTGACGGCCACAAAAGAAACACAAGAAGTGATCGTGTCATACAGTATTCAGAAACATCAAGTGCCTGGGCATTCAGAGAAAATACTACTTACGATGTGGTGGGAACTCTTTTAAAGAAGAAAGAAATGGAAAAGTATAAATGGCTCAGTTGTTTATGGCCTTTTATTCTCATTAGTAACTTTTTCTGTAAGCACCAACCCTCTCATTCAAACCCCCCCCCCCATTCCTCAATCCTTTATCTGAAATGGTTTCATTCACTTCAATTTCTCAAGGAGCTAACCTTCTGCTCGCTGTCTCTTGCTTGTTTCTCACTGCTTCCAACGCTGCTCCTACCTCCCCTGCTCATACCAAGAGTCATGTCAATATCACTTCTGTTGAAACCAAAGCTGATCTCCCTCCTCTCATTAATAGCCGTACAAAGCCTGCTAAGGTCCCTTCGGTTGACTTCAATTCTGAATCAAAATTTGCTGCCAAAAACGTTGAGTGGTATAATAAGCACGGTGGTAATTACAACTTTACGAAGCGTGATGATGAACAAGTCGGTGGTATGCTTATGGATCTTCCCAAAGATGGTGTACCTGGCTATCAAAAGACTACCAATTCTAATGGTGTAGTTCAAGCCTCTGCTAGTCAAGTAAATGAATTTACAAAATATGCTGCTATTGCTTCTACTGCGTATTGTCGTAGTGTTGTTCCCCTTACTAAATGGGACTGCAAGCAGTGCTTAAAATATGTTCCTGACGGCAAACTTATTAAGACGTTTTCTTCCTTAATCTCGGATACAAATGGCTTCATCTTGAGAAGTGACGCTGAAAAAACCATTTACCTTGTATTCCGTGGTACCAACTCCATTCGTAGTGCCATTGCTGTAAGTAAATGAAAAATGATCCATATGATTTTCTCACCCTTGTCACCAAAACAGGATTTGAAGTTCGACTTTGTAAACTACCCTAATGTGAAAGGGGCCAAAGTTCACAGAGGTAAATGTGATAAAGTAAAGCTCAGAATCATTATTCTAAAAATTCTTATCTCCTTAAGGCTTCTTACAGTCTTACAATGAGGTTGTTGCTGCCTATTTCCCTGTTATTCAGGATCAGCTTACTGCTTTCCCTAATTATAAAATTATAGTCACAGGGTAAGAAAAGCGATTTCTGTCACGAAGTTTATTAACACAGAAAATTGCATACAGTCATTCACTTGGTGGAGCTCAAGCTTTGCTTGCTGGTATGGATCTCTATCAACGCGACTCTCGATTCTCTCCCAAGAATCTTCACATCTTCACTGCTGGTTGTCCTCGTGTGGGTAATCCTGACTTTGCCTATTATGTTGACTCTACTAGTATTCCTTTCTCTAGATCTGTCAATGAAAGAGATAGTGAGTTTTTTGGTACCTATATTTATTTCTAACTGTTGCCTATAGTTGTACCTCATGTTCCTCCTCAAGCTTTTGGTTATCTTCATCCTGGTGTTGAAGCATGGACCAAATCATCTGGAAACGTTCGTACGTATCACGCTAAAGACTTTTCTTGATGTTTGTGCTAATCACATTTTGTATATAGAAATCTGTACTGACAATATTGAAACGGATTCGTGCTCCAATACTATTGTGCCTTTCACAAGTATTACCGATCATTTAACGTATGTATGCAAAAAACTCTTGGATAAAGTTTTGTACTCACAAGCGAATATGTTTAATAGCTATTATGGTATCAATGAAGGTCTTTGTCTCTAAAAATTTCTCTTTCTCTCGTAGTTTGATACTAACGAAACAGTATTATCAGCAGTTTTATCTGAATAATATATATACATAATTCTAAACAATGCATGGAAAAGAAAGACCAATTACTAAAATTCAATCCTGACATCTATTTCGGTATCAAGTACAAAGTTAATTGCAAAGTCATGTGTAGTTTTTTTCTTAAAATTCTCTACTCTTACGAGCCATATGCGCCTGTACTAACTAGTTTTTGAGTAAAGCATTTGAAAAAAAATTCTTTTAAAGAAAAATATTATTTTTCTAAACTATACCTGATAGAAAGTAATTGCTTATTATGTTTTTGATGCGAAAGAATTAGTCAAGCATTATTTTAGTTGAGTTAATGAACTGAAACGAATGACTTGTTTACATGATATGATGTTTTGGATTATTCTAGTATTGCCAGAAAGCTAATTTTCCTTGTTTCAAATTAAGATATTGTTTTTTTTTGGGGTCCAAGGGTGTTTGAGTAACATAAGCTATCTCAGAAACATATAAATACATAAAAGCCTTTGTTTTCTTCAACAATAGAATCATTGCTAGAGAACATGCTCTATTTGATTTTTTATGTGATTCATAGAAGCATATGAGCATTTAGTTTGATAGGAAGACAAAAAAGTAAGACCCAATAAATTTAACAAATACGAAACGATCAGTTGACCCGCAAATGCTCCTTTTTCCCTGAGGCGGGACAATCATTGTAGACTTACTTTATTAGGCAAGTGAACAGGTAGTTATTTGTCGTTACACCATCATGTATTCCCTAAAAATAATATATGCATGTCGACGCAAGTTTATCTTTTTTAAACTTCGAGTTGCACCTACTATTTATTTGGAGAGATTAGCTAGCTATGGTCTTTTTTTTTAGAAAAATAATGAAGACCATGTAGGCAGCATGCTTTGGTAATAGCTTTCTTAATCAATCGTAAAGATGTAGATCTAATCAGACTTCTTATAGCCTGATTTTACCAAAAAAAAAAAGACAATCCAGGAACAGCTGAGTATTATGCAAGTACTCAATCACGAATTGATCTTCCTCTTTTTCAATCTCAATTAAACGATTTTTTGGGGTAAAGCTGCTCTCGGCTTTTACATTCTCTATGTATTTCTCTTTAAACAAAAAAAAAGGAGAAACCTATGTAATTACAGTAATTTAAATTGGAGGCAAAAAAAGGCTTCTCTGTGCCATTGTGCAACATTTGAATCAAAAAGGTTAATGTGTGTGTGTGTGTGCGAAAAATTATTTGCATATATCGCAATTAAAGGGTCTTCAATTTCTCTTCATCAGTTCTTTTCTTTCACTTTTATAAGTTATGGTCGTATTTTCTCAAATTCCTTATGGCATACTGGTTGCCATTTCCTGCGTGATGTTTGGTCTAGCAAACGCTGCCCCTTCACCAATTGATAGCAAGAAATCTTCAGGATCTGATTCCAGCAATAATGATTCATCTGAAAAGAGCTTTACTCTGCCTCCGTTAATTCCCAATCGTGTCATTCCTCCTCATCTTCCTCATTCTCCCAATAACTTTGATGTCGAGTCAGAGAACATAGCAAGAAATTTGCAGTGGTTTCAGCAGCATGGTGGCAACATGAACGTAACCAAGCGTGAAGACAATACTGTAGGTGGCATGACATTAGAAGTTCCTGAAAATGCTCCTCCAATTCCTGGAGACAGTAATGGAATCATAAAAGCTTCTTCTAGTCAAATAAACTCATATAAAAAATATACTGCTCTTGCAAACATTGCTTATTGCGAAGGTGTAGTGCCTTTGACCAACTGGATCTGTAAGCGTTGTTTGAACTATGTTCCAGATGGTAAAATAATCAAAACATTTACTTCTTATACATATGATATCAATGGGTACATATTGAGAAGTGATGCTGAAAAGACAATCTATCTTGCTTTTCGTGGTACAAAATCGTTCAAGAACGCCGTTGCTGTAAGTCCTCTTTGAAAGAAGTAACACATATTAACGTGATTGTAGGATTTACAGTTTGTTCTTAAAACATACCCTAATGTGAAAGGTGCAAAGGTCCACGAAGGTACTTGATTTCCGAAAAGCAACCATTGATTAGTGTATTAATTGTTTTTGTAGGTTTCTTGGAAGCTTATAATGAAGTCATTGCCAGTTTTTTTCCCACCATGCTTGATCAAATTACTGCTTTTCCAAAATACAAAGTTGTTATTCTTGGGTGAGTTTCAATTTGTTCGCCGTTTCATAAATTAAGACAATTAATTTTGTGTTCCTAGACATTCACTTGGAGGTGCTCAAGCTTTGCTTGCTGGAATTGATCTCTATCAACGAGATGTCAGATTTTCTCCAGATAACATGAGCATTGTTACCGCAGGCTGTCCTCGTGTTGGCAACCCTACATTTGCACAATATTTCAATTCGATTCGAGTTCCTTTCACTCGTATTGTTAACAAAAGAGATAGTACGTTGAAAGATTTTGTGAGATATCAACAATTGTATAACTTAACCAATAGTTGTACCTCATTTGCCTCCTCAATCTTTCGGTTTTCTTCATCCTGGTATTGAAGTATGGATCAAGTCAACAAACAATATCCGTAAGTATATTATTTTTGAATTAAAACATTTACTCAACCATCAAAGAAATTTGCGAGCAAAACACTGAAAGTAAAAAGTGTTCCAACTCAATTGTTCCTTTTACTTCTATTTACGATCATACTCAGTAAGTTTTTTTTCTACACGTTTATTTCGCATTACTAATTGTAATTCTTTCTAGTTATTTCTATACAAACGAGAGCGATAAATCTTGCTCTTAGTGCTTCTTTGAACAAAAGTTTCTGTTTCTTGATTTCGTATTGTTTTGCTTCTTCATAGAATTACTTTTAGACCTCTTGTATATTAACTGAATAAAATCTTGCTTTTATCTTTAAAATAAAAGAAAAGAGATCTGATATGCTTTTGAAAAAAAAAAAGAAAAGTATAAAAAGACTGAGAAAAAGCAATAAGAGAAAGAGCACTTAATTTTCCCTGTAAAAAAAGCTATATTGAACAAATCTTGTGGAAACCATACACATAAAATGCTCTTTTTTTTTTGGTATAAGAAGCTTAATTGGATTACTCATTGTGCATATTTCTTATGTTGATTATGTCGTACATGAATCCATTAAGAAAAATGGTGGGCCCTAGTAATTCGATCCTCTCGTTTATTATTTCATAAAAAATTACTTAATGGTTAATCCAAGAGATACTGGTAGTCGTTCAATTTCTTAATTCAAAAGAGCTACATTTAACGCTCAGAATGATCTATAGTTATACAGCCACTGAGAGGGAAAAGAGTATGCTATTGTAGTTCATTTATGTCTTGGCTTTAAATGAAGCTATGCAGTCTAGAAATAAGCATATCTAGCGTATTGTAAACATGTCGACAGAATAAGAGGAATAATGCAATTGTAAGTATAAAGCGACTATATATGGATGTCGCATGGGCTTCAATGGAAAATCTTGGAGTATTTGATGCATTTGTACTATGTCACAAGCATGTCGTGATCCATTTGAATTTAATTTAAACATCACTAAATTAAAATACAAAGACTGCAGCTCAAAATACTGAAATGCAAGTCATGATCTTGTCAATCGTAACGAATTCTCATTATAAATCAGAAATTGAGTTTTATTAACGAGCATTGATTTCTCCGACTATACCGGTTTTGGTACAGTAAGATGATCCAAAAAGTCACGATCTGATATTCAGAGAACTTCCCATATCTTAATGTGGTCTCACATTAATTTGAATGAATTATGTCTGGTATCAATTGTTCAAAAGAGCATCATGTAAGATTGGTTTCTAGATTTTTTTAACGGTACCAGAACCGGTGCTCCTTTAACGACATATTACACGTATCATAAAACAAAGAGAAATATGCAGAATTTATATAAAAAAAGAAGAGATTTCAGGCATTAATACCATTATGTTTCTGTAGACTTTAAAACAAATGCATAGAGTTACATTTCTCAGGAGCACCTAATTATCAGAAATTGTAATGTTAATCTTCGAAAGACTATGGTGAAGAAAATACAATAATGAAGCGATTGAGTAGTATACATCATGTTAATCCATCAGCAATGGTCTAAAAAATAGCTTTAGCCACGTTATCAAAGTAAGTTTTATTTGCTCAAAAAAAATCATTTATGGAATGTATTGAAACCGGTACAACAAACGGTTTTGGTACAGTTAAATTGGTACTTATTAATTATTGACGCCCATACAGAAATTTAAATTAATTGCATAGACACTAGCAAAGAATAAGAAATAAACTCCTTGCTTCAATGTTTGTATCACGACAATTTACGAATCATAGCCTAGTTTTAAGCAGTATAAAATAAATTCGTACTACATGAATGGTATAATCTTATATTTGACAGGCTTCCAAAATTTACACATATATAAAGGAATGTTTCTAAACATCTAATTTTTAAAAATCAATCCAATTCCAATCCTTTAGTCCACTCATACTCATTTGATACAATGGTTTCCTTCTCTTCTATTTCTCAAGGTGTTAATCTCTTGATCGTGGCATCATGTTTGATGCTTGGCTCCTCCGAAGCTGCACCTGTTGTTGGCAGCACTACCACTACATCTGTCAGCTCCTCTACTGCTAATGCCACTACTACTGCTGCCACTACTACCGAAGCCACAACTACTACTGATCCAGCCTCTTTTCCTACATTCCCTAGCTCTGGATTATCTGGATCCTCTGGACTTCCTGGTCTCTCCTCTGGAGGTAACTCTTTAAGCTCTGGCCAATTGGAAAAACTTAAGGACTGGTTTAGTCAACACGGTGGCTCTAACTCTAGCCTAAGCAATGGCGATCTCAGTAAGATTAAGGAATGGTTCAGTCAATTTGGAACACCTGGCCAATCTTTGGGATCTAGTGATTTTAGTAAAATCAAAGACTGGCTTGAACAATACAAAGACTCTTCTGAACTCTCCAAACGCGATTCTGTTGTATCAATTGCTACTACTGAGCAAATCAATACATACAAAAAATATGCTGGTGTTGCTTCTGCTGCTTATTGTAATAGTGTTGCATCTCTCAAGTCTTGGAACTGTGTTCAATGTAAAAAGGCAGTCTCGGACGGCAAGATTATCAAGACTTTCAAGTCCATAGCTACAGATACTAATGGTTTTGTAATGACTAGCGCTGCTGATAAGACTATTTACCTTGTGTTCCGTGGCAGTGTATCTGCTCAAAACTGGGCATCTGTAAGTTTATTAAGATAGTTCATCATCAAGCTAACTTCTTTCTTAAAAAGGACTTCCAAGCTACTCCTGTTTCATACTCTGCTGCTTCTGGCGCTATGGTTCATTCAGGTACATCTTTGTCATTTTTAAATCTCCTTGATTGTACTGAAGCTATTTAGGTTTTTACACTGCTCTGAAGGACTCCTCTAAATCTTACTTCTCGACCGTTCAAGACCAATTGACCGCCAATCCGGACTATAAAGTTATTGTCACAGGGTAACTTATATATATATATATATATATATATATCAAAAAATACTTATACATTGCAATTTCTTTGTAGTCACTCTCTTGGTGCTGCATTAGCTTTGCTCGGCGGTATGGATCTCTACCAACGCGATAAGAGAATTACTTCTGAGAATCTTATTATTTATACATATGGTGGTCCTCGCGTCGGCAACAAAGCTTTTGCAAATTACGTTGTTGATAGCAAGATCCCAGTCTACCGTTCCGTGAACAAGATGGATCCTATCCCTCAAACTCCTCCTACCACAATTGGTTTTGTTCACCCTGGTATTGAAGCTTGGAAAAAGACGACTGGCACTGTTCGTAAGTATTAAATTGTATTGCAAAATGGGATATTCACACATCTTTCCATAGAAATTTGTAACACACAAATTGAATCCACTCGATGCTCTTCTTCTAACCCTTCTGCTTCCAATATGATGGACCACTTAAAGTAAGTAACAAAACTAATGTGTATTATAGAGGGCTAATCATTTTTACTCAATTAATAGCTATTATGACATTAACATGGGTGTCTGTTTCTAAACAAGCTCTATTTTTTTTTCCTCTCTTTCTAATTTTACTGGCTCTGCCATAAAATTTGACTAAACACAATTGAACAAATAAACACATCCTCATATCATATTGATTGCTTTTTTAAGTGCTTCTCTATTTTTTGAGTTTTTGAATACTAGCATCGAAAAAGGTAAGAATAAAATGTCCTTATCGAAACTAATGAAGTGAAAATCAAAGATGCACAAAGAAAGAATTAAAAACTGAAAATAAGTTAGAAAATGATAATAAAGATCAAAGCTTAAAGAGTCACTCATCTAAATTAGCCTTAATATCTAGATAACATTGGATGGCATCATAAAACAAGATTTTGTTTATAATGATTTAAGGCAAAATAACGATTTTTCGGCTTTGTTAAAACTTGCTATATTTCTGCATAAATATGTTCTTTTATGCATGTTCAAACATGGGAAACTCAAAAAAAGGGAATTGGAAGGCAAAGATGATGGTTCATCTTGATAAACAGTCACACCTGCAGCGGATTGCTAATCCGCCGTTAATGTTATTATGCTAATAGATTGTTTGCCAAACTTATTCAAAAAAGAAAGGTAATTTATGTTGAAGGTTTATTCAAGAAGACTCAGGCTATAATTTGAGATTGCATAATAAGCTTGATGCTTGAAAAAGGCATAAATTGAGGATCAAAAGCATATTATGGGTGTAATGTGCCAAATGGAATCAAAGGTTACTTGTTAATAACAAAATATGTATGCTTTTGATACAATGATGATACAAACATCAATAAATATGACAAGCAAAAAAAAAAAAAAAAAAAAAAAAAAAAAAAAAAAGGGGGCCAAAGATATTCAAAAGATACGCAGCAATAAAATGAAAATATAGACCTCTTCTTCCTCAGAAAACAATAGTGTTTCTAGCTTAATTGAAGCGACTGCTAATCTCGATACTACTTCATTGCCTTCATGTTTATGAACTCGTTTTATCTAATTATTTACACACATACACAAAAAAAGATTATTTTTTACATAAACTATTTACAATGGACTAGAAAAATCTTTTGCAGAATCCGTTGTATGAAAGTGATTTTCAGTAAGACCATGAAAACATGTATCACATACGCGATACCATGCAAGTAGCCTTGAATGACTGATTAATGGGATACGATTGAGACTGTGTCGTTGACAGACAATAATGCCACACCTAAAAACAAGCAATCAGTACATTGTGTATGTACGTAGAAACTTTGCTTACTTTCTACAATGATGCCTTCGTTGAAACAATGAGAACCGAGTGGAACATAATTCAGACTGACAATGATCCACTTGATGATCGGACACCCACTCTTTCTTCGGCAATAGTCGAAACTTATTGTCGTGTGACCTAATATGAATCATATAAAGACAACGATCAAATCTAGCGGTTGCTCCTACACCAGCTACAATCCATTCTGTTGCATTGTTACAACTAAAAGAATGTATGACACGGCCTGTACTTGCACTTCCACCAATCATCAGACTCAGTTCGCATCGTACACGATGTATTATGTGCTCTAATGTTGATTCTGATGGTTCATTGACCCTCGTAGCACCCGTTGTACTGCAACTCTCTCTGTTTCTTTTTGAGCATAATGTAGTGCAAGAGGAATCAAAAGAAGACCGAGAAACTGGGATTTCATGGCTCAATTCATCCAAAAACTCCATCAGATTTGTTTGGTATTGCGAAACTTGATGACATTCTTCAATTCGAGAAAGATATAAATTTTCTTGTTCCTGATATGTTTCGAGCATAGACTTTTGAAGCAATACGAGCTCACGTACTTGACGTTCTGTGTTTAGTAATTCTGTAGAGATAGATTCGAGTTGCTCTGCACAATGGATCAAGGTAGACATGAGTTCAAGAAACTGGTTTTGCCAGTCTTTCTCAGTAGTTATGGTGTCTGGTAAAGTAAAGCTGGATAGAGTACTTGAACTAGCTGAGCTTATGAATGGTGAAGATAACGACAGATATTGCTGCGTGATGCCATTCAACTTGGCTTTGGCTATTTCGAATTCATCAATATGGGGATCAAGAGTAGGGCTGTGGTCTATAAGAAGAAACATGATAAGAAAAGTTAAAGACAAAAAAAAAGGGGAAAGATGCTTACAATAACTACTGGCATAGTAATGAGAGAGAAAAGAAGGAGGTTTTGTAAGATGATGATGATAGTCAATTTCTAAGGTGACGCTTGCATGCATAAGGGATTTATCGTGCTTCAGATTTTGTTCCGACTATGAGGCATAAGCAAGACAAACATCAGTGCTCAACTTGCCTGTTCTTCTTCTGGTTCTTCAGCAACCGAATACAATAAACCAGTTGTCTTTTTTCTACTTGCCATTTAATGAATCTCGTAATGTTTAATTTCGTATCTCTGCAAAGCTATAAGATAGATCAAAAGCATCATAAAGTTTTAAAAAGAGAAGAAAAAAGATAAAAAAAGAAGAAGAAAAAGGCAATTGAAACATTTTCTACCCCTTTTTCATATTTTATTATTATTATTGTTAAACTTGGCATTTGCCACAACTAAATTTTCCTTTTAAACTTTTTGAGCACAAGTTTTTTGTTTCCATGATTGTTTGTCGGACTTTCTCTATGCTGCGGTTTATAGCACATCATTCTGTATCATTTGTAAGTAAACACAAGCAAAGACCAGTCTGTGCCTTGTTTTCGTAGCACAAATTTGTCCAATGAAATCCCTGCATATCACAAGGTACCCTTTTTGGTATGATGTAAAGATTGATATACCGCTAATGCAATACTCACATCAGCATAAGACTGATATATATGTTGTACAATCGTTTGGATAGAAGATGTCACGTCTACTTGCGCTTCTATCTGAATTTTGAGAATACCAGGGATATCAATCTCTACATCTTGAATATGTGTTTTCAATTGAGTGTCAAGGCAAGTATGTAGTGTTTTTTGAATGTCTGGTAACTGAAGTTGCAGTTGAGATTGAATGATAGTTTCTGCCTTTAGTAATCGAGATACACGGTTTAATGATGATGTATCAAATCCTGCAAGTGAATTGGAAACAATCTTGTCTATCTTCTTTTCTAGTGTGTTAGAAATATGAGCTATGCTTATGATGAGTGAATTATTCAGCGTATAATTTCCCTTACATTCAAGGCCATCAACAGCAGCTGTTTGAATAGCTTCAATTTGTGTCTGGTCGACCCGAACAGTTCCACCCATGACAGAGACTTTAATTTTAAGATTTGTTTTCACTTTTTGAGATATCTAATGATGTTACTGCATGCATACTATATACAAAGAAACTTACTGAAGCGGAAATCTTGGATACCATCTGAGTATGTATACGTGCTTTTATTTGAGCGATAATCTCATTTGCGGGTATTTTGTGTTGCTGTATCCATCTCTTTGCAAGTACCTCTGACAAGTGCTGATTTAAAATATCCTTTTGAGTTACAATGGCTGCATTTAGCAGGGTGATACATAATAAGCATTGAATAAAAACACACCACTTGATAAACATGTTCATTATTTCACTAGTAACATTAAAACCTCTTTATATACTTTTCTTTAGTTTGAAATGATTGGCATTGATGAGCAACCGATGGTCGTTTCAATGCGTGTATAAAATGCTTATAAAGAAAATGTCTTCATGTTTCTTTCTTTTTGCCACAGCTCCCTTTTTTTCTCTCCTTTGAATGGTTATTTTAAACTGTACCATTTAACTTTCCCCTTTCTCTCTTTTAGAATTATGAATTTTTTTTGTGTAATGTTCCCCTAAGATCTATGTATTTCCTTCTCCTCCTCATTCCCCTCTTTTTTTTTCGGTTTCTCTTTTTCTTTTTGGGTAGAGTATATATGTGTGTATGTTCTATAGGAGGATGAGTCCTAATTTTTATGTATTATTTCATATAAAATAAAATGATGAACTGCATTCTATTTCGTCATGTGGTGATATCATCTTCTTTAGTTTATTCAATGTGATCTGTAAAGAAAACTTGGTGATACAGAAAATAAAAAAAGTGTCCGACTCTAAATAATTTGAGTTCCTCATATAAGCCCGCACACAAATGTGCACACACACACACATACACACACACACACACACACACGCGCGCGCGCACGCAAGCATAGGAGAAAGTGAAAGGAATTTAAGTGAAGAATATTTGTATAAATAAAGAAAGGAAAGAAATGAAAAACTTAAAGTAGTACATTACATATTTTTTTTCTTTTTTTTTCTATAACAAGATTAGCCTTTTTTAGGCACTCACCGCCATCCAAAAAAAAAAAAAAAAAAAAAAAATCACCTTTCATATACACATACACAGCATAAACTATAATTACCAAATTGATTTCTTTCTCTTTTTCTCTTTTTTTTTTTTCTTTCTTTCTATTTTCTCCCTTTTTATTATCAATGACAACACAACCTATGGACAACAAAAGGCGAAGATCACTTAGCAGCGCCTCTGCCTTACTCGTCAGAAGATTCACAAGAAATACCAATGTTCCGCCTACACCAGTTGCACCAAGTGCTTCTAAATCTGAAAATTTACCAAACAAAAGAGCCACAGAACCAATTGCAACCACATCTACAAACAAGAAGCTACACGTTCGTATTGTACCCAGCATAGAGAATCCCAGTCGATGCGTGATTTTTGACATTGTTGATCGCGAACTTGAAGCAGGCTCAGTGATCAAAATTGGCAGATACTCTGAACGTCATACCAATTCAATGAACTGTATGTCGTTCAAAAGCAAAGTGGTCTCTCGTTGCCACTGTGAAGTCTTTGTCGATGAACATGATGGCAAAGTATGTAACATCACAAAGTTTGAACGGCGCATCAAATTAGCTTTATTGACACATTAACGCAATAGATGTATGTTCGGGATACAAAATCATCTTCTGGTACTTTTTTGAACCATGTTCGTCTAAGTCCTGCTGGCAATGAAAGTAAGCCTGTTGAAATTCACGACGGCGACATTATTCAGTTGGGTGTTGATTTCCAAGGTGGAAGAGAAGAAATGTATCGCTCTGTCAAGATGAAATTCGAATTCAATAGAAATAGTCAAACAAGACATCTTTCTTATAATTTAAACGCTTTTCATAATATCCGTACACTCACTACAAATCAGCCTGAAAAAGAGCCAGAACATAAAGTAGAAAAGCAGCCTATGAAATCAGAATGTGATGGTCTAGACGAATGTTGTATTTGCCTGTATGCCATGGCTCCATTCCAAGCATTATTTGTATCTCCATGTTCTCATACCTATCATTTTAAATGTATTCGACCTTTATTACAAAGCTACCCTGGATTCCAATGCCCCATTTGTAGAACCTATTCTGATTTAGAAGCTAGTGTTGCTACAGAAGAAGATGATGAAGTTATCGTTCCTTCTACTCATTCTCCTCCAATCAATGAAAGTCTACCTAGAGTCGAAACTGTAACTCGAGTGACAACACATGTTGATGAGGAATCGCCTATTACTGATACTGAAATGGTTAATATCAGTCCTTTACTTTTACCATCATCATCATCGTCATCACCAAATCAAGGTATGTGCACTTAAGCAACTGTACATGGTCTCCTTACTGTATAGAATAGGCCATACATTGAATAATAACGACATCATTCTAACAGAAGAAACACATGTTACAGATGAAGAGCCTGGCATGTCAAATACGACAGATGAAGAAATAGAAGACACAATGGAAATAACACCAGAAATAGTAGTTCCAAGCAATGTCATTCCAAGAGAAAGACAAGGACCTCCTGTCAATCGAGAGAGAAGATCGAGTCAATTCATGGAGAAATTAAAAATGGTATTTTTCGAAAAGCGAAAATCGCAACAAGAGCAATCCCCTCGTCGTCGGTCAAAGAAGCATCACCAAAGACGCCCTGTGTCATATCCAAACCATATTCTTCATCTTCAACAAGATATACCACCTTTGCCAACCATACCATCCTCTTCCTCAAATATGAACAATATACCACTTAATCAAACACTGTCAAGACAATCAACTACAAATGAGGAGAGACTCACTATGATGATGGTGGTAGATCAATAATTATAATTTATTTATTTGCTATTAAATACTCTTGAATTCCTTTTCAATTTGTTGGACAAATAATTGCATAAATTGATCGCGCTCAACAGCAAGTGCCTTTCCTTTAGGTGTTCTCATCATGCTCTTGAGTTTGAATAGTTTTTCTATAGATTTGTGTGAGAAAGAGAGAGAAAGAGAGTCATATTGAGAGGAGGTCATGCATGCTTACCGTGGAAATGCGTAATAGCAGAGCTGTTGGTTGCATTGTTGCTCAAGTATTGTTCCTGAGTGATGTTCTCGATAGGTTTGTGATCGGGTACATATAAAGGACGATTCTTAGCCCCACTAAATGCAGCACATCTCAAGATACCAAAAGCGCCAATGGCATCTAATTTGTCAGCATCTTGGACCCTGAATTTTTGGAGTCAGATCAAAAAAAAAAAAAAAATCATTTTTGCGCAGTAAAAGAAAAAAGGACATACTTACGCATGTAATTCCAAACAGTGGTTTCTCCAGGAAACTTGTTCAGGATCATCACATTCATCGTTCCAGCCGAGTTCTTTACTGAAACCAATGTTGTCTACAATACGAGCAACCAATTGTGCTTTGGGGTAGTTTTGTGCTTGCAAAAATGTTTGGATCATTTGTCCGCCTGTCTCTTTTCCTTGATAGTATTTACGGTCACCTACATCATGACATAAAGCAGCCAACTCGACAAGCTCTAAATCGAGGTTTGGGTTCGAAGTCTTCAAATCATTGGCAATGGCAAGTGCTTTGGTATGTGAGCATTAGATGAATTTGACATGTATTATTTACCAACATCAACAACACGGTCAACATGGTACATGTCATGAGACGAATCAAATCCAGACATGTACTCTGAGACCATTTTGCGCGTTTCGTTTAAAACATCACTGTAAGAAACCATATTAATTAAGAGAAGGGGATGGGGGAAGTGGAGAAGGAGAAAGAGGGATAGATCAAAAATAGATTCATCTAAATTAGAATCAAAAGATTTTATGACTGTTATTTCTGTTATTTACCGAGAGGTGTAACGAGACTTGCATGATGGATCCTTGGTCAGTATGACAATACAGCATATCTGTAATTGAGGTGTTATCCTAATGTTCTAGAATGAACTATACTCGATTATTTACAACTGAGAGACAATAAGGAAATTAACGTCATTATTCGATGTCTTGTTGATCTTTATAGCAAAAAGAACGGGTTACTATGCATGTTTGAAATAATCAAATCCAGTAAATGTGGATTACAAGAATTCAATGCTTTTATCCGTAAAAAAATTCGAAATATCTTTGGTAAAGTTAGATTCAACAAAATCACAAGCAAGAAGGGAAACAGAGATTATGATACTCAAAATGACTAGAGACCTGAGAGCCATCAGCTGGATCAAGTGTCACCATGGACAACAAAGGCACAATAAAAGATAGCCCAACAATAGGACATTGGTTGCATATAAGAAAGAATTGAAAGACGATGAAGCTCTTGCTAGAAACCTTACCCAGATAGAACTGTTCCTCTCTCTGATTTGTTAGTTAAGGTGTCCTAGCTGTACCTAAAGCTAGAATCCCTTCTTTGTCGAAATTCTCTTGTGTACGCTTCAAAGCGAAACTGGCGCTCTAAGGACTGTCGCTCCCTTAAATTGGATAGCGAATAAATGTCATCAGCCAATCACAAGTACTTGTTTTTATAGAAAATTGAATGGGAGGGGTTTTTTTTTTTGCCAAGTTAAAAAGTTTTTGTTGTTTATTCTATATGGACTACACTTATACTAACCCACAGCAACAGTTGCAATATCAGCAACAACTACAGCAACAACAACAACAGCAACAACAACAATCATCAGGTTTCTCTGGTTACCAAGCTGAAAATAATAGCTCATCTAGTTTCTTTTACCAACAGCAACAGCAGCAGCAACAGCAACCAGAACCCTTCCATCGTTCCACTGAAGGGTTTCCTCGAAGTGTGTTAGACAGAGCAACTGCTGCTAAACTTCGCTTGGAGAACTATTACAAAACAGCGCTTGAACAAGCTTATGAAAGAAGCCAAAGGTATACAAAGAACGCAATTCGATATACAGCTATTGAACGCTTTTTAGACGTACTGAAATTGAAAACAAGTTGAGTCAAGAGCACTGCAGCGAAGAAAAGAAAAAGAGACAACTTCAATCATATGGTAGAAAAGAATCGCAATATTTGAGATTACGCAGAACTAGACTTGGTCTTGATGATTTTGTCACCGTCAAGGTGATTGGTAAAGGTGCTTTTGGCGAGGTATGTGTTGCTTCTAACCTACTATTATGGACTTACTTATGTATGTTTTCTAGGTGCGACTTGTTCAAGCAGGAGATACAGGCAAGATTTATGCCATGAAAACATTAAGAAAGTCAGAAATGTTGAAAAAAGATCAATTGGCACACGTCAAAGCAGAGCGTGATGTGTTGGCAGAAGCTGACTCTCCTTGGGTTGTTCAGCTCTATTTTTCTTTTCAAGATACACAGTTTTTGTATTTAATTATGGAGTTTTTGCCTGGTGGTGATTTGATGACCATGTTGATCAAATACGATACATTCAGTGAACCAGTGACACGCTTCTATATTGCAGAGATTGTATTGGCTTTAGAAGCTATTCATAACTTAGGTTTTATTCACCGGTAAGCAACCATGCAAAGACTGAACTACAGGTAAATAATGACACTCTTTTTTTTTTTGTAGTGATATTAAGCCAGACAACATCCTGATTGATAAAGACGGCCATATTAAACTATCAGATTTCGGCTTGTCTACAGGTTTCCACAAGACACACGACTCACAATACTATCAACGACTATTAGAAGGTGTATCTACACAACAAGGTATTGACACAATTCATCTCAACACACAGAAAGAGAAAATTGCTACTTGGAAAAAGAATCGCCGTGCACTTGCCTATTCCACTGTTGGTACACCCGACTATATTGCCCCTGAGATCTTTTTACAAAGAGGTTATGGGCAAGAATGTGATTGGTGGTCATTAGGTGCTATCATGTTTGAATGTTTATGTGGTTATCCCCCTTTTTGCTCAGAGAATCCTCATGATACTTACCGTAAAATCATGAATTGGCGCGAAACATTGATTTTCCCTGATGATCAGCCTATCAGTCGAGAAGCAGAAGATTTGATTCGTCGCTTGATTTGTGATCCTGAAACTCGGCTGGGTAGAAATGGTCCTGAAGAAATTAAGCAGCATCCTTTCTTTTATGGTATCAATTGGGAGCAGATTCGAAATGAGAGATCACCTCATATACCTCAATTAAGAAGTATTACAGATACTTCATACTTTCCTACAGAAGAACTGGATGCTGTGCCTGAGATGGTGGATACGCAAAGTAAGTAGATAGGATTAAGGTACATGTATGCTGATACCTTCTAGTTTATCAAACAGACACTGTCAATGCACAAAAAGACCTTGCTTTTGTTGGCTACACTTTCAAGCGATTCGATTATTTGACAAGAAAAAATGTGATTTAATACTCTATAAACAAGCGAACAGATACCTTTCTTCTTACATCCCACCATATACATATCAGTCTAGTTTATTAAGAAAGTGTTCATGTATAGTGCATTTAGCTTTTTAAATAAACCAAACAAGATTAGTTTGTTCTAATGGTGTCCTAAAGAACACTTGATTATAGTGTAGCCAAAAAGAAAAAAAAAATACTGTAGAGGGAATACTCCGCACCCTGTCTGTACTTTTTTGCCTTTTCTCATGTCATGACACCAGCGTCCAAGCTAAGTAAGAAAAAACTAGGTCTTGCTACCACGTTAGCATTGGGCGCAACTTATTGGTACTATAAACCTGCTCAAACCAATCCACCACCTGTGACACCTTATATTCCTCCACCTTTTGTTTGGGAAAGTATACCAAAACCAATCTTGAAGCGATTCACTACACCTGATCCCAAACGCGATGGATTTGTCTGGAATATGTTTAGTACACTGACAGTAGGCATGGCAGGTATGGTAGCCAAAGGCTTTATGAATTGTAGCCAGGTAACAGTCTATGGGCTGGAAGAATTCAAAAGCATTATTCAGGACCCTGAAAGGCAGAAGGGCATTGTGACAGGTGATGATAGCTTACACAAATAAAGAACATAGCTGATGGTTTAAACTTAGTATCTAATCATGAGTCTGTGCTTGATGATCCATTTCTATGGGGTGTATTGCCTATCAAGACACTGTTTTCTATCCATCAAATGCGTTGGGTACTTGGTGCAGCCGACATTTGTTATACATCCATGTAAGTAGGCATGAATTGTTTCTTATATGCTAAATAGGTATTTAGCTTTCGATCTTACTTTTTTGCCTGTGGTCAGACCATTCCCACTATACGTGGCGCTGGTATCTATCAACCAGGCGTTGATTTTGCCATTGATAAAATCAATCATAAAGGTTGGATTCATATTTACCCTGAATCTAAAGTAGTTCAAGAGAACAAAATGGTTCGATTTAAATGGGGTGTGGCTCGTATTCTGATGGATGCAGATCATGAACCCTTAGTGATACCCATTTGGCACAAAGGCATGCACCTTGCCAAACCACTATATGGTACAAAACTTGTTCATTTAGGAAAACCTATTACGCTTGTGTTTGGTCCACCCGTAGAGTATGCTGACATATTAAGAGAATGGAAAGAAGGGAAACTTGACAGGGAACAGACCCGAATTAAGCTTACACAGAGACTGTTTGATGCTATAGAAAACTTACAAAGAGAACATGATGGGTAAAACGGCATAAAAAGCTGTGTAACTGTGTAAATAAGGCACACATCTCCGGTTGAAAATAAATATAGAGTCTCCCCCTCTTTTTTTTTTCTTTCTCTCTTTTTTTTTTTTTTTTTGTGTGTATTATGCTTAAAAACTCTACTTGGAGTAAGTGAATTCTATATACAGACAATGACTGATAATAGTCTATAGAGCTTGACGAAACCAACTTGGCCAATTTTGGTTCTGAACTCGAAAGAGAACACCGTAAAGAAGAAGGTGATCTTGAAACAGCATGGAATTATGAGGGTTCTCCTATTGGTCATGAAGTGTAAGTCTATCAAAAACATCAATTATACTGACCATCATAAAGTGGTATGTGGATTTGGCGTGTGCATGATTTCAACTTGGAGCCTGTTCCCAAAAGCCAATATGGTAAATTTTATCAAGGTAAAAGTATAGCCACCATAAATGCGTTTATGTTGATAGAAAACGATAGGTGATAGTTACATTGTCTTGAAGGTATAGAATGAGACCAGAAATAAGAGAGTGTTTATTGATATTGTACAGTCTAGCAAGAAACAAAACTCGGATGGTTTGATTCATAATATTCATTTTTGGCTTGGTTTGGAAACTTCTCAAGATGAAGCTGGTACAGCTGCTTACAAGACAGTTGAATTAGATGACTGTAAGTAACAGACTGTTTGACGTATAGAAACTCAATCATGTCTAGTCCTTGATACATATGCTGTTCAATACCGTGAGGTGCAATACAAGGAATCCAGCTTATTCTCTAGCTATTTTAGACACATTACTTATTTGCAAGGTGGTCATGACTCAGGATTTCATCATGTGGAAGAAGAACAAGTCCATACTCGTCTCTTACGTGTCCATCGTCCCAAGCAATTGGAAGGATCGCGTACAAGAAATGCTGTTGTTATTTCAGAAGTACCTTTGAGTCATGAAAGTTTACGCTCTACCTCTATCTTTGTGCTTGATACAGGCGATATTGTCTACCAATGGCAAGGAGAGAAAGCCAATGGTATTGAGAGAGCCAAAGCAGCTGAGTTTATTTCCCAACTTATTTCTGAGCGTCAAGGTAAAGGTGAGATGGTGATTGTTGGTAAGTGACTACAATGCATATGTAATCATCAGCTGACCTCTTATGGCTAGAACAAGGATCCGGTAGTGGTGAACGCCAATTCTTTGAAGCACTTGGTTCTGAAGGTGACATTTTAGATGATGATGATGAACAAGAAGAAGGAGAAGAAGAAGCAGTAAGCAATAGACGCTTGTTGCGTTTAAGTGCTTCTGGTCCCTTTGGCTTGGGTCATTTGAAATTCGAGGTTGTAGCTGAGGGTACTATTTCCAGAGACATGTTTGATACACATGATGTTTACGTTTTTGATGTTGGACACCAAATCTATACTTGGATTGGTCGTAAAGCAAGTCGCAAAGAACGTAGACAAGGTCTTGAATATGCACAAAAATATGTCAAAGAATGCTCTGATCGTTCTCCTTTTGTGCCTATCTGTCAAGTAGTAGAAGGAGGCGAGGATGAATTGTTTGAGTCTAATTTAGAAGGCTGGCAAGGATGGTAATAAAATGTGACTCATATGTGTCATTTAAGCAGCTCAACTCGGCTAAAATAGTTGATTCCGAGAGTGCTGCATCGTATTGATATGTTGTGTAAGGTAAAATTTTATTTAAGCAACAACAAAAAAAAAAAAAAAAAAAAAAAAGTTTCTACCAACCATGAAATGATTCTCGCCATCTTATCTCATTTTGTTGTGAATCTTTTTGTAAAATAGAGAGTGTTAAATTAGTTTTATGAAAGGTTTCCTGTTGTTGTTGTTGTTGTTGTTGTTGTTGTTGTGATTGTTGTTGATCTTCAATGGTATTTGTGCTTGTAAATGAGGAAGTAGAATTCGAGAGTAATGAAGGCGGAGATGATACTCTGCCTAAAAGATCAGACAAGAGTGATCGACGTGGTGTTGTTGGTCTTGGCTGTGTCTTTACAAAATGATAACTTATATCATTTACTTGTTCTTTTTCTTGTTCTTCATAGTCTTCATCATCGTATAAATCATCCTCACTTGGATAATAGTCGTCGTCGTCGTCGTCCTCATCTTCTTCTTCTTCGTCCTCTTCTATGATGACAACATGCTTTGAACAAGTCTCTTGTTGCTGTTTGTTGTCAATCACAACAATGCTACTTGAACAAGAAGACTCTTCTTTATTAGCTTCATCATCGTGGCATCTTTCTCGTACAACCTCGTGCGAATGTGCGTCATGAACGGCAGCAGGTGACAAGAGTACGGATGTAATGAATCGTTTGATAGTGTTGTTGTCAATCTTATTGGTGGGCTGTCTTTGATATTGCCATAGTCTCCAGGACATGTTTTCTAATCGCTGACCATTTTCAATATAATTTTTGCATTTATTAAATGCTATTGAAATCATAAATAAGATTGATTAAATGAGTATTTTATTTTACCTGTCCACATTGTCTCTAATTCCTCAGTGTTTTCAATTGAAACTAGATCATGACAAGAAACAGAAAGTAAATGAGTTGACGACATTTTCTATAAGGTTATGTACAAAAATTGAAGAAGAAGAAAAAAGAAGGAAAGAACAAATTTTTTTCTTTTAATCAGTAACATAGTCTGCTGACACTCTCACTTTTTTTTTTTTTTTTTTTTTCATAACACTCCTTTTTTCTTTCTTTCTCTCCTTAGTATACTCTTCATTTTATTTTATTTTGTTTTGTTTTTTACGCGTGATCATTCTTATTGTCTAAAGTTTATTTTGTACATGCCTTCATTCTCTAAATGATATCTACTTGTGTCAATTGTGACCAATTAAAAGCGTGGGCTTCAGTGCATAAACTGACAGTAAAAAATAAATAAATAAATTGATCACGTTTGCCCACCTAAATGACTTTTAGGGGGACATTAGTGTAGAAAAGTCATGCATTTTTATATTTGAACGAGTTAAATAAACGCGCTTTATTGTTGGATAATTCATCATCTGATCATTCTCTTTTTTTTTTTTTTTTTTTTAGTTATTTAAGATGGTTTCGATAAGATTCAGCAGCAGTAAGTGGATCTTCTGGTACAGGTCCACTGTATTTATAAGGTTTAGATGGAGCAGAGGTAGGTCTATAAGATGGCGTCTGTTGTGTCTATCATGGTTTTATATATATATATATGAGATACATTATATAGGACAAAATATTACCTGTGGATGATATTGAGAATGATAACCAGCTGGCTGTACCCGTGCATAATAATCATTGGTGGGTGTCCCTGACATATCATAAGAAGTGTTTGGTTCTCCATAAAACGATGTACGAGCTCTTAATGGTGGCTGATGGGGTGTATTATATGGGTTTTTGTTATTGTTATACATAGGTTGAGATGTTGTTGTGGTGGCTGCTGTTGTTGTTGTTGCTGTTGTTGTTGCTGTGGTAGGTGTCAGCTTATAGTATGGTATGTTATTGTCAGTATTATTTGTGTTATACATCGCTGTGGTATTTGGTGTATTGGCATTACTATAGTCTTGCATTAGTCTAGTGGATTGTGAAGTAGGAGTCTGATAGATGACAGAAGAGGGTGGTTGAGATTGTTGTTGTTGTTGTTGTTGTTGTTGTTGTTGTTGAGGTGTCTGGGAAGGTGGCAGATACACACTAGGTGTTGCATTGGTAGGCGTATAATACATATCGCTTGGCTTTGGTTGTGTGTAAGCTGCTGTAGTAGAATTAGTGACCGCTGCTCCTCCTGTTCCTGCTCCTCCCGCTCCTCCTGTTGCTCCTCCTGTTGGTGTTGCTGATGTTGTTTGTCCGTAATCATACTGTTGATTTCTCCAAACAGGCTGTAAAGGTATACGAAGAGGTACTCGAGCCAAAGGACGATTAGGTAATTGTGTAGGAAATTGAGGCAATTGTGCTTTAGATAACATCAATAAGAATTGATATTGTTCTTGTTGCTGTTGTTGCTGTTGTTGCTGTTGTTGTTGAAGATGATTGTTAGGTAACACAATACCCTTAAATGTTTCCTCTAATAGCTTTTGTTGATTTTCTTGCTTCTGCATCTCATCCGCATTCAAGAGTTGGCTTCTAAACAAGAACAATGCAGACTTCCATCGTTCATATTCATCGTTTCGAATAAACATTTTAAACCTGAGCACATCTAAAAACTCGAGTTCCATAATATTTAAATCTGTCACTTTCATGCCTGATACTTCAGACCAAGTTTTGTTGGTAAACGTATTATCATCCAGGAATTTGTTGGCCAACATTAATGCGACAGTAAACAATCTGTATTCAGATCCATCTGCACCTTGTATGGCTGGACTGTTCTGTAGTAACATGGCAATATATTTCAAAGACAGTAATATCACGGATTCTGATAATTGTGTTGCTGTCAATATCTAAAAAAAAAAAAAAAGTGTGAGTTGTGGGGGAGAGAAGATGTACAGCCAAAAAAAAAAAAAAAAAAAAAAAGTATGTTTACCTGTTTACAGAACTTTCTGAATGCACTGCTGGTACGATTGGCGATATTGGCTGTTTCTTTAGAGTGCATCAAGTGTTGATCATCCGTGATTGCTGTTGACTGAAGGATCTTGCTTGACTCATGAAGTTGCATGACAGAGGGTCTCCTCGCATGCCACATCAAATAGACCATACTAGAAGCAAATTCAGCCAATTGTGATATAGATAATGGGGGTGTGGGTTGTGCATCCGTGGCGCTAGGCACTGGCTCAGGTGGTACAATCGCATAGCCATGCTGTATAGGGTGAGGATGATGACGATAAGGCTGTTGATGAGGTGGAGGTGGTGGAGGTCTTTGTGGCTGAGAATAAGGGTGGATGTTGGATGACTTTAGAGTATTGAAGTAAGCATTTGTTGTAGTCTTTGGATAATTTACATTAGAAGAGTCGATTAATTGATAGTGTTGTTGTTGCTGATGTTGCTGATGTTGTTGCTGTTGCTGATGATGATGGAGTTGCTGCTGTTGTTGCTGTTGCTGTTGTGAATACATGATTGAAATATAAGGAGATAGAAAGAAAACTAGAAGACCAAGACCTAAAAATATAAATATTTATAAATAATGATGATTGCTTGGCTTTTTTTTTTCTTGCCTATATATTTCTTTAAATAATTTCACTACTCGTATTGCCTTTATTTTTTTTTTCTTTTTTCTCTTGCAAGTTCAAGAGACAAGAAAGAGTGCAAGTGCAATAAAAAGAAAAAAAGAAAAGAAAGAAGGAAAATGAACCCAAAAATAAAAAAGAAAACACAGATAGTAGAGGAGTTTTAAACAACCACACACACAACAAGATGCTTATTATAGGGTTCACAGCATCTAAAAATGTACACATGCGTAGACTTCACACAGTGCTTAATTATTTTTTTTTCTATTTCCGAGACGAAACCGGAGGGTTTGTTGATATACGCAAAGTCTGTCTAACGCGTCTTTTTATAAATCTTTGTATCATAATGTGTAACATCTAATTGAATCATGCACTTGTAGTGATGAAATAAAGCCTTAGATATGTTGATTAAGCCGAGGCTCAGCCTGAAGAGACGCTCTCTTTTTTTTTTTCTCTCTCTCTCTCCTCGTGTGGTGCTCATAGCCACTATGTGACTTGTCTGTTTTGTATGCTTTGTATGAGATGAAATATGGTTTCTTGAATTCCTTAATTAACAAGTAACATGCTGATTAGTAAAAGAAAATCTCTTGTCTCGAGACATCACATCTAGTAACTGGAAGAAAAAGAAAAAACAACTCAATGACTGTTTGCCTTGCTCATTTAGACTCCTTTGCATGTACGATATTTTTATTTGAAAAGTCAAGAGACCATTTGTATTTTCATATGAAATCAATGTCTTGTTGGGGATTGAGTGTAACATGTTTAAAGACTGCAAAACAGAAAAGAAGCTTGTGCCACTTGGATCGGTAGTTTGATTTTTTTTTTTTCAGTATTAAAAGTTTTTCAAAAAAAAAAAAAAAAACTTTCTCCTCTTCTTCTTTTCTTTTCTATCTAAAGATATGTTCAAATCATTACTGAAGCCTGAGTTTCTTGATAGAGAACAACTAAAAGCACTCGACTCTTATAAATACAGTGCAGTGGACCGTTCATTTACAACCAAATATGTACTAAGTCATTACTGGAATTGGTGCGTACAGTTCTTTCCAATCAGCATGGCGTAAGTAAAATAGATAGGTCATTAATCACTGTATTGATCTATTCCAAGACCGAACCTTATTACACTCACAGGTCTCTTTTTCATGATCTTTAATGTTGGATTGGCTATTGTGTTTGTGCCTAACATGGGTACAGGTGAAAATGAATCAGGTCCAAGCTGGATCTATTTTAGTTTTGCTATTGGATTATGGCTTTATTCCACATTTGATAATGTGGATGGAAAGCAGGCTCGAAGAACAGGTACTTCAAGTCCCTTGGGTGAGTTATTCGATCATGGATGTGACGCTGTCAATTGTTCATTTGCTGCTGTTTTACAGGCAACAGCCATTGGTTTGGGCCATTCAAAAGCAAGCGTTATTTTATATGGTATTGCTATGCTCGGATTCTATCTTTCAACCGCTGAAGAATACCATACCGGTGTATTGTATCTTGGCTATATCAATGCTCCCACTGAAGGAGTCATTCTCTCCTGTGTTGTCTTTATTATTTCAGGCATCTATGGTAACGTGTTACAAAACGCGGGTTTCGTTTCATTGAATTTTCTTCTTAGGTCCGGGTATGTGGAATACACCGATAAAGAACACAGTGCAAGTCTCATGGCTTCCAAAGGTACTGGAAGAAATGCCCCTCTCACATGCTATTATCTGGTGGGTGGGTACCTTGTTCTTATGCACGCATGCTCCTGCTTGGTAAAGTATGACTGATACCTGCATTCACTTTATTGACCTGTACTTAGTCTGTATGCTATCTATGGTGCCTGTAAGAGAAAGAATCAACCTTTCTTAAAGACAATTCTTGTTCAGAATACGCCTATTGCCACCTATATTACTTGTTTATACCTCTGGGTGATGTCGCCTTATTCCACTATTCTATCCCATCATCATTTTATTCTGTTTACCATTACAACTGGTATTGTATTTGGTAGAATGGCCACCAAAGTCATTTTAGCTCATTTGACAAAATCCAAATTTCCCAAGTTTACTGTCTTGTTGATTCCCTTGATTGTAGGGGCTGCTTTGACCAATGTACCTATTCTCATACCTTCCATGTAAGTGTGTTGTATATCAACTACCAAAACTGATTCCTATCTATTTTAGAAACCCCATTTTCACTGCTGAATCAGAGTTCATGTTCTTATTGGCTTATTTTGTATTTGCTTTTGTAGCTTATATGCGATGGGCTATTGTGGTCATTAATAGCTTTTGTGCTTACCTTGGTATTCGCTGCTTGGTTATTCCATCCAAGAAAGTAGAATAATCATTTTATTATTTATTGTGTATTATAGAAAAGGAAAATTGTTTATGCATAAAGATGATCTTGTGTAACCATATAAACTTATCATGAACAAACACGTAGTCGAGTCTTTAGGGTGGGGGTATATATTCATAGTCCAAAATCACCTTCATCTAAAATCAATTCATCATCTGTTGTATGGATGGGTATCGATATGGGACTTTTTCTTTTCCTGCTATTCCATCCCCAATTCAATTCTTTTTCTACTTGATCACTTGTATCATTGATTGTGGTGGCAATTTGACTGATATCAAATGTGTCGTCGATAAATGTACCATGGTAGTCATCTGTTATAGACGAATTGGCATAGTCAATAAGTGCTTCTTCCAGTAAATCATTGATCAACAGTTTAGCATCAGAATAACTCAGTGCCTGTTGATATTCTGAAATGGCTCGGGCAATTTTGCCTTGTAAATGATAAATCATGCCAACAGCGCCACGAGCATCTGAATTTTGTGGGTTTCTTACAAGTGCATTTTGAAAGCATTGTAAGGCACGTTCATAATCACGAAGTCTAATGCTTTATGTTGAGTTCATTGTTTTTTTTTATAGTCAATACTTACGGTGGATGACGATAAACATGCCCTAGATTACACCAAATCTTTTCATAAAGATAATTATTTTGACAGTGTTGTTCTTTAGCTAGATTGAGCGCTTTATGTAGACTTTCATGTGCCTTTATGAAACTATAAAGAGAGAAGGTCAAATCTTGATACACAAATAACACTTACTCATTGTGTTTATAGTAATAAACTGCAATCTCATTATACAAGAATGGATCTCGTTTACAGATCTGTAAAGCCATATTGAAATAATCCAAGGCAGATTGCATTTTTTGCTGCTCCATAAATTCCATAGCAATATTCATGAGAGGCAAATGAGAACTATACAGCAACATGAGAAAGACAGTGAGAACATAAGCTGATCTTACCCAGGTACTAATTTGCTGCATGTATGATATGCTTCAATCGCCTGATCATGGTATTTTTCAAGCGAGAATGAATGTCCATAGCCTAACCAAGCTTCATAAAAATATTGGTCGATTGTGAGTGCTTGATGAAAGTACTTTCTTGCCTCTTCATTCTTTTTGCAGCAAAGATAGTAAAGTCCAACAGCATGCCAAGCAACTGCTTCTTCATTCAATCTCTCTACTAATTCTTGAGCATACAAGTACAGTTCATTCTTCATGCCTAACTCAAATAAGCAAGTGACATGGAGAGGAATAGACTCAACAAAGAATGCGTCCTGACTCTTTATCCTACATAGTTTATAAGCACAATGGAAACAAATCACGGTTACCTTTCACAAATCTTGACGCATTCTTCATATCTTCCTTCTGTGAAAAAGCCTTGGGCTGTACTTAATTGAACATCTAAACTTTCAGAGATATCTTTTTCATCCGAGCTAAGTCTTCTTTCATTCAAAGTATCTCTTTTCTTTAGTTTTAGACCATAGAGATATCGAAAATAGTCTGCATCTTGTCCACAATGCTCTTCATAAGGCAATGTGGTTACAAATTCTAATTCTATAGTCTATTGATAAATATCTTATGCAACATATATATATCTCGGAACTTGCCTGATTTTTCGTCCATGAGATTGTATTTCGCCAGAGCCTTCAGTGCGTCATAGCATTTGACATCTACTGTCAAAGCTTCTTTGAAACATTCTCTTGCATCAGTTATATTCTTAAGTAACAAATGAGCTTTTCCTCTTGCATAACACATAATAGATTCTAGTTTAAGACAGCCTTCTGCAGTATCATCTTCAAACATGTTTCCTATCGTCTATTGTTTGAATACAACTGTCTGTGTTGATTTGACCTACTTTTTTCTGAGAAAGGATTGTTATGACCTAGATAATCAAGTGCATCTCGGCCTTTTTCTAGTGCAAGCTAAAGCATTATTAGATTTCTTTTTAGGAACATGCGTACATACTGAACAAAGAGCAGCTAAATATCGACACCGCACACTTTTGTTTAATGTCTCTTTTTTGTTTAGTATCTCCAATGCTCTTTCATATTGTTGTTGTTGATAGAATGAAACTGCCATGTTATAAATATCTTCTAATCCCTCTACAAATGCATGTCAGCTCATGTCTTTATTGTTTTCTATTTACTTGTTGAAGCAACGAGCTTTTCACCAATAAATGTTGAAGTTCCTGATAAATAATTCATGAGGGCGTCTTGTCGAAGTGTTCGAAACCGATCCTCTCGAGTAGCCAACCGTTCTGCAGGATCGGAATTATACAATCGCTTCGGTAATGCTTCTATATGGGTCATCAGATTATCTGAATCAGTCGATATAATGCTGATATGATCGGGAATGGGAGGTGGTGTACTAAACAGATCATGATCATCGATGCGATCATAGAACGGACTTGGATTCTCGGTAACCAGTCGAGAGTGTCGTGTATGGAAAGCAGTGGGCGATACTTCTTCAAATTCGCTACTCATAATGGGACGTGCTGGAGATCTTAGAGTTCTATCAAATGTATTGTCAGAACGAAGAGGCGTGCTCCTCGTTCGAGGAGACGAGGCTCTATTTCTAGGATTCATTGTTTAAGGAAAGAGAGAGAGAGAGAGAGAGAGAGATACGCGTAGAAAAAACAAAGGTCACATACCGTTTTCTTTGTTCTTTTTTTATACAGATGGAATTTCATGGTTTCCCGCGTATCCATAGCATATTTTATGCTGTTTTTGATATTATCAAAGGCACCGTTGTAAAACATCAGGTGCCAGAAGGAAGCATTACACCTCAAACACATAATTCGAGTTGCATTTCCGAGACAGATCCACAGCATGGCAAAACACTGATCGATTTCGAAGCAATAAGCGAGTACATTATTCCAAAGAAGCAACTTTACAAGCGTCTAGTGACACTTTGTACCAATGGCTATAAAGTAATGGGATGTCCGGTTGTACTGAATGATCATGAAAGATATAGGCACTTTCGTAACGAGTTTCGGTTTAACCTTTGCTTTGTATTTGAGCAAGATGCAGAGACAAGTAGCTATGAAGCTGTAGTTCGAAAACTATCACGAGTACTTGAAGGATTAGAGGTTTGATGGCATGTTCATAGATCCATTAGACTTAATTGCTTGTAGCTTGAATGTAATTTTCTTTCAAAAGAAGTAAGCTCAGAAGCACAAACAATCCAGAATGTTATTGAACAACTCTTTGAAGATTTGAATAGTTATTGTGAATGTCAAATCCCTATCAGTAAGTCTCGACATCTACATAAGTACGCTGACATTGGTTCTAGACACATTCAACACAATCAATTTAAAATTATTTCCTACCTATCCTAACCCACAAACGGTATATGACTATCATGTACCTGTATGCACTGTTGATATACGAAAAATGATGAGTCCTAATTGGGATATCACTGTCCAAAAAGTAGCAAACCATATCAATGGTATCAACCATGTCAAGCGTATAGCTGAATTAGCAAATGTTAAGCCTGAATGGACACGGCAAAGCATGGAGCATATGATGTACTATGGCTGTATTATCATGATTGATATTTTTCAGTATTCTAATGTATATGCTGTGAAGCCTGAAATCACACGTTTATTTGATCCTAAATATGGGCTTGCTGAAGAATGCTTACGGTATATTATGATACCTAGTAAGTCTATAAAAGGGGAGGGAACTGTGTTCTTAATCTTTTTTGTTTAGATGCACCAGAAATTTCAATTGAAAGGATATATGCCTTATATTGCGGATTTAAACATGGTCTGACAGTCAAGGACTGGATTGAAGAGCAAAAATTGGCTTTTTTATGTATTGACGAAAGGTAAGGACTAAATACTATAAGGTCATGCATTGATTTAATAGACGTGTGGTTTCTTTTGGAGTCATTAAAGACTTAATCTATCGAGTACACAAGTATCCTATTCTGACCAGTGACACTGAAAATGAAGGCACAAATCAGCTTGATTTTCCACTACCTAGTCAATACCATCAAGTCATAAACAAGTGTACTGGACAGCCTATTCATCCTGATATCATTCCCTTTCTTGATGGAAAACACCACTACGACGAAATATGTACAGAACTAGAATGCTCTCCACAAGAACTTGATGAGCAATTAGGGCATTTTCAGCAAGAGGAACCAAGTCCTCAAGAAGAACATCTTATTGAAACAGTTTACGAAAGTACAACAGCGGAAGAAAAGCAGAGTGAAGAAACTAGACTAACTCAATGGAGCGTGCAGTTTATATTTAGATGAATGCACTAAATCATTTTGGGACTGAATCAGACAGTCAGAATATTGCTTATACTCTTTTTTCAAGACAATAAAAAAAAGCTATTCTCGCTTCAGAAATGTATACTCACGAAGAAGAAAAAAAAGCACTGCACTAGTTGACAGAATGTTAACAGCAACTAACTTCTTTCAACTTGTTTTACAATAGACAATGTTCTTCTTTGATACAAGTAAATCCCTTTTCATTTTTTTTATCTTTTACATGCAGACTATGGCTCTCTTTGTATATTAACAATAAAAGACTTTGTTGTAATCCCTCCTTAAATTTTGGCTACTTCCTTAATTCTTTTTAGTACTCTTTCAATGGTCACAAGATCAAGTTCATTTCAAACCTTTTAATGGCATTTCCTGTGTTCCTCGGTATAAACTTCCACTCTTATGTACTAAATCAAATCATTATATTCAGCTCATCAACAACACTATATGCATAATGTATAGACTTCCTAATTCACAACAAGTGAGTCTATCTTGCTTATTGCTTTGCAATCTCGGTTAACTCTTGGTTGGATGGCTATTCCTACCTTCTCCTGTTAGAAGCCCCTCTTTTTGTTTTTCTAACTCCATGTGTTTTATGTCGTTTCATCTTGAAAGATTATTTAGTTTTGTTATACTCTTTTTCTTGAACTGACAGTATTCCAAAGATAAATGTTCATTAGTCATAAGTTTTATTTATATTTAGTCCTAGACAAGTTTTCTTTATGTTCCTTTTGCTTTATTACTGGCTAAACATACTACCGTTTTGACAACACTGTACCTTAGAACTTGCCTGTAAAAATCAGGTCACCTTACACTTTTGTATTATGTTCTTTACTGCTTTTGTGATACTCGAGACCGAATATTTTCTTTTTATAAATAATTTAATGTCGTACATAGATCGACGAGATTATAAGCTGGTCTTTCCGTTACTTCCTTTGTTTCCATTTAATTCCCCTTTCTACATGATTGCTTGTACTTCCCTCGAGTCTACTATCCTTCCATGTTGAGCACTATTAATAGATTTAATTCATTATAAAAAGAACGTTGGTTTTCTGCAAGCTTTGTTGGTTATTTATTTTTCTTCCTTTATTTCATACCATAGACCATTTTATACACTCTTTAAGTCATGATTCTCAATACCAACATGTTACTTGCAACAGCAGTTGCAATTGTCTGTACCAGCAACGTTCTCGCCCAAACTACCACTGCTGCTGAAACATATGATATTCCTAACGCCAAAATTGCATGGAAGAATAAATATCCCTCTGGAACTACGAAACCTGTTCCTAAGCCTGAATGGGTTGCTCTTGTCAAAGATGATGCCGCATTAAAGATTACACCTAACATTTTGACACCTGGTAAATACCTTTCACTTTTTTAAAAACAAATTATTCATTTCTTTCGATAGATGGTATTATTAAAAATGCTAATCCCACCGGTAATAACACACATTGTAACTGGACTTGGGATGGATGCGTCAAACCAACAGATATTGTTCATTGTACTGATCCTAAAGTGTGGGGAACCGTAAGTAGCAGTTGATATATGTGCTTTTTTCTAACTAATGCATGTATTAGAGTTTTGATGATGGTCCATATGAAATTACTCGAGAACTCTTGAGTTATTTGAAATCAATTGATCGTAAAGTTACTTTCTTTGTCGTTGGTAAACAAGTCATTACTTGGCCTGAAATTCTTAAGGAAGCCTACGATCAAGGCCATGAAATTGGTGTCCATACCTGGTAAATAACCTATTCTTCGCATAAAAAAGCAGACGATTTATTTTTATTTAGGACTCACTCAGAATTGACGACCATTCCCAACGAACAAATCATCGCTGAAATCAAATGGACTGAACTAGCCATTAAAGAAGTACTCGGTGTCACTCCTCGTTTGATGCGCCCTGTAAGTAACTCAAACATGCTTAGATTTCTCCTTAACTCATACATATGCCCCCTCTTTTTTCTATATAGCCTCGAGGAGATATTGATGATCGCGTTCGTTACATTGTCAAGCAACTTGGTTATACACCTGCTATGTGGTCTGTAGACTCTCAAGACTGGAGAATCACTACAGGTGGACAAACGGAAGCTGGTCTTTTGGCCGATGTCACTGCCTGGGCCAACAAGTTGCCTACCATGACTACCGGTGGTAACTCACTCATGCATGATTTAAACAACGTTACTGTTGGTGCTGCTTTAAAAGCTTTGCCTATCTTGCACCCCAAGGTACAACTTAGTACTGTAGGTACCTGTGCTGGTTGGGCTCCTGGTGCTTCCTATGTTGAAACCAATGGCAAGACAAACACGAATGCTACAGCTCCTGCTTCTACGTCTTCTGTAGCTCCTGCTTCTAAGAATGCCGCTGCTACAAGTGATGCTCAAACTTTTTCTAGACCAGCTCTTTATACAACTGCTCTTGTTTCTGTTGCTGCTTTGATTTCTAGTGTGCTTTAATTTTATTATTATTGTTTTTTTTTTATTAAGAAACTTTGTATTTGTTATCCTTCAATGTTTACTTTTTTTTATGTGTCATTAATTCTTATGAAAATGCATATTACTTGTATAATGATATCTTTGCTTTACTCTGCTTTTTAATTTTCGCTGTCTTTCTTTTTCTTTCTTTTAGATCAATTCTTATTTTAAAAGCAGCGATGCTATTGTTTGAAGATGCAATGCAATATTGACTCTTTGCAGTAAAATACCACTCCACTAATTGAGTAATACAATTTGATCTTTGCATTTTAGATCGTATAAAGCTATTATAGTACAAAAAAGTCTTTTAATTAAAGATTGCTAAGTACAAAGAAGACAGAACATCAAGTAAAATAAACTGCCCCTTCAGAAAAGATACCGAGTTTGACGAATAAATTAGTTTTTCTATAGTCGCACCTGGATATAATCATACCGTCGGTCAGGTCAAATCCTATGACTATATCCAAGCTATGACTTGCTTAATCAAAGAAGTAACAAGTAAATCAGAAACCTTCTTCATTTTCATGCATCTATCGATTTATGATATAAAAACAATCAAGCATTTTAATAATAGTGAAAGTTTAAAATGTCGCTATAACACACACTTTAAATAAACAAGAAATATTTTATAACTATCGTCAAAAAAACTATTGTCCAAACATTTAAGCTTGTAATAGTAATTATAATGTTGTGTACACAACAATAGCCATACTATACCATCTTATGGAAAATGGCTATATCCAGGTGCGACTAGGTACAAATGCATTCTGATATATAGCCAAGAGCATAAAGTTCTTCGCTGTTTAAGCTGAAAACTGACTATAACTCTAAAAATATTAAAAGAAGAACCATTAGCCATTTGAGTAATAAAAAAGACCTAGAGTCAAAGGACTACACACACCACAGCTAAGGATGGAAAAGAGCAAAAGACGATGCCCCCACGCTGGATTGAACAACGGACCTTTAGTTTACAAGACTAACGCTCTACCACTGAGCTATAAGGGCTTTCTGTGCCTGTCGTAACAAAAAGAAGATTCAAGCCAACTCCAAAACCAAGGCGGTCACGTGACATCTCGAAGGTACAAGAAGGTTCTGGAAAGTAAAATGCTAGAAGGTTCTAGACAGCAAGTCACTTGATTACTAATCAGAGATTAGTAATCATGGTTCCGGAACCTTCCACAACTTTCTTATTTTCTTTATAGAATTATCCATAGTACTTGGTAGAAAAGTATAAATATAAGATCATCGTTATTCAATAAAGAAATCAATTAACTATCTCTTTACTCTTAATTAGTATTACTTAAATACTATTAGTTGTTATAATATCAAGACGACATGCCATTTTAATTTTTTTACATTAATACCTGTAAAAACTAGAACGTAATTTTTGGCGATTGAAACCGCTCGGATTGCATCTGATTTTCAATTGTTCTTATTTATAGAGTTATTGGTGGTAATTTGTGGACTGTTGTTTTAACTAAAAGAATAATACCAACTTTATTTGTCTGTTAATAAGTTTGTAACTAATGATTGTGTGGTGATCTGAGCACTTTCAATACAAAATATAATAAATAATCTTTCATCATATAAATGAATAATCACTTATAGCACTATACATTATAAATATAAAGTAAGCACTGTATAATGACAGTAAATAACGGTAACTGGGATAATATGGATATTTACAAATAAGGAAACCATAATTGTACCGTTTAGGTAACAAGGAGAATTAAAGGAGAATTTATATAATCAATTCCCAGGCACACGCTGTCAAGGTGTTAAGTAATCAATAATCAGTAATCATAATTAGTCAATAAATCAGGTAGTATAAAAGACAACCTGGAAAAGATATATTTTAGAACAATCAATTTATTTTTGTAATAAAGAAGTACTGAACAGTCTCACTGTATTTCTTTGTTTTCTTTCTATCCTCTATTATATCTTCATTCACAACCCAAACATCACAGATTGCAAATTATAATTAAAACTAACCAAGTGATGCTGGTAATAAAAGTGATAATTATAAAAGTAGTCTTGAGATAGTATGTGTGTTTTTTAGAAGTTTTAGAGAAAAATGGGAAGAAATGAAAGTGAATGAAAGAGTTGTAATTAAGAATTACACTCTTGGTTACACGTAAATTTATATAATGACAAAATAATGAGTCTCAAAATAAAGGTGCAGATTGCAAAAGTTCAATATTCAGGTCATCACAAATCAGTGGTTCACAAGTTGATAAAGAGTTTTGCGAGACTATCATCAACACTTCTTTAAAACAGTTCAAACTTCTTATTAAAGATATTTGACAAAATGTAAGTATAGTGCTCTCATTTTGTCCTTAAGTTTCAACACGAAACTAGAAATAAATAAAAAGTACCTAAGCCTAGAGATAGATTTTTGGGTTAGAAAAAAATGCGAAAAAAACAAATTGGTTTCAATTATGATCATACTTTGAGTATGATTCTATGATCACTCGCCATTTAAGTTTATGTTAATGGTATTACTTGAGCTTCATCTTTAGCATTTGTTTGGATTGTTCGACGATAGCTATTAAGAATGTAATGTAGTCATATTCAGTACCTTAAGATCCTATGCAGTCTTACTTTAATATACGGCCTACTTGAGTAGTGCCTATCAGAAACACAAAGAAATTGACTCCTGCAATCATATAGTTCTTAGGCAAAACTACAAAGCCATAACGTGTCCAGATGATCCCGCTTACTCCAAGTGCTATGTAAAAAAAATTAAGCCATAGCTAGACAAATGGATGATTCATACAAAGGTTTTGGGAGAGACTCAGTTGATTTGCTGGCTTTTGTAGATCACTTAATCCAGCAATAACAAGTCCCTTATTACAAAAATATTAATGCCCATCCTTCTTTTTTTTTCTACTGAAAAGAAATCTTACCCATTTCATTGTTGGCGCCCAAAAATGAATTGTTTTTGGACCTGCAGCAGAATTCCAAAACTTTAAGAGCGCTGACTGTGCCATTTTATTATAACAATTTTTTTCAGAAAAGATAAAAGAAAAAAGGGGAAATAAAGCCGTGAGAAATTTGAGCATTGGTTTTATTTTCTTTTGTTATATATCTCTGAAGAAGGCGTTTATTTATTATTGTTGCTTGAACTGAAGCTCCATATCGCATTCGCCCCTCGACCGATATGTGAAGGAACCTTGGTTAGTGAGTCGATAATGCTCATATTCTTTTTCGTTTTTAAATCATAAGTATCGTAGACCCCATCTCGATAAATGTCTTTGTAATACTGCTTGCCTAAATTCTAGTTAGTTCTCCCGTCTCTTACTGTTATTTGCCTTACTTTTGGATTGGAATTCAGGCGAAAGTGACCTTCGCTTTGTCTTTTGTTCTAATCTCCATACACTGATGTTTACTTTTATTTTGTCAATAATATTCATTTTAAAGAAAAAGAAAAGATGAACAAGCATATCTATATTGTATTTATATTGAGAATGCCTCAAAGGTTATAATTAGTAATTGTATGCATAAATGCTATTTTTAAACCATGGTCTTCTCTCTCTTTTTCTTTTCTTTTCTTTTTTTTACCTTCTCTCTTATAGTTTATGCAACTAAAGTTTTCATGTTAAACATATGTATATTTATCACTGTTTTTTCTGCGTATAGCATTGGATAAGATATTCCTGTCTTCTTTTTTAGAATAATCAAATGCAAGCAATTTACATTCTAAAAATATACTTTGTGGATCAATTTGCTGAATATATACACCAAGAAGCCTTTAATTAGATAGTTTAATCAGTTTCTACTCGAGGTAACTATTGTGTGCGTAGCTTGTTGGTATCAACAAATGACAAGAGACTGTTTGCCAGTGTTACTGTTTGACATTGCAGTGTACCTTAAGTAATTATTTCAAATCCCGTATTCTTACTCTTTTTTCTTTTTGAATCAAGGATATACATGGTAGCTGTAAGTTTAATAGTTACAAGAAGAAAATACTAACAAATTTCAAAGACTGGAGCAGCCTCCTTTTCAAAAGAAAGAGGATCGATCTCTTCTCTTAACATTCCAAAACGTTTTCAACTATCGTTTATGATCTTGAGATTGCTATGCTTAATCCCTTCAAGTGTTGGTGTCTATAGAAATCTATTCGATGTATCCTATTCCCATAATGACTTTTCCTTAAGTTTATTTCAAAACAAAAGTACACCTTTGATACACCATGTTGCTTTATTATGGGTAAAATAATTTTACACAGTGATGCATATAGCTCAATCTTTGTTTCGTTTATAGTGTTTGTTGGCAGGCTATTGGAGTTGGATATTAACCACAAGCATGCTCAAAAGATGGATTCATCATTATGAAATTGGTAGTGCAATTGTTCGTCTTATCACGCTAACTGTAATCAACTGGTCTGTATCTGCCTACCTCAGTTCATATTATGGCATTGATCAACCTATTTGGCAATGGATGACTATATGTCTTATTTTCTTTGTATCTAACATACTCAAAATCACTTTGGCATCCAACAAAAAGAATTATGCTCGAGTAGATGATATCCAAGAGCCTCGAATCAACCACAAATCAACCTTTGTTCGTGTATTGATTTTGCCATTAACAGTAGTTGTGTTCATTACCATGTTTGCTTCCATGTATCAAGTAGCTCAGATGCGTAAGGCTTCTATTGATTTACTAGAGCAACGCATGATTATGCCATCCTTTCAAAAGCATCCTCAATTGGCTGAAGCTGAAGTGCGTGTCATGGTTTTTGTTTTATCAGCCTGGACTGCAAAGAGTGCACAAAAGCGCCAAGTATTTAGAGAGACAACACTGAAATTAATGCCAAAGGACAATCAACATATTTCATATTTTTATACTTTTATCTTGGGACAACCTCCAAATAATCAAGTGAAGGAAACCATTGGGCCTATAATAGACAGAGAAATACAAGAACATAACGATGTTTTGATTCTACCTTGTTCTGATCTATATCAAGATTTAAGCAGAAAAGTGTATGCTGCATTTGAATGGGCAGAACAGTATGATTTTGATTATTTTGTCAAGACAGATGATGATATCTTTGTTCGATGGGATACTATCTCTAAAGAAATGGAGTTGGCTGGACGTACAAAACGGTATTGGAGAGGGTTGGCTTACCATAATATTCCTCCTATTAGAAATACTGAGAACAAGAATGGAGAGCTCATTTATCCTTTGCCTGTTTTTCCTCCATATACTGCGGGTGCTCTTTATATTCTTTCAAGAGATGTGGTCCACTTAATTGCTGGTGTAAAAGGCCCTCGTATGTTTGTCAAGAACGAAGATCAAAACCTTGGTATTTGGCTTTATCCTTTTAATATTCTACCTATTCATGACCGTCGTATTCAACAAATTGATGTATGCGAAAATGACATGATTGGTAAACACTTTGGTGACTTTGGCGAACCAGATGCTATTGGTGGTACTATGTATGATATGTTGGATAATCTACAAAATGGACGCAAGATGTGTGCTGGCTTTAAGACTTCAGTTTGTGGATTCTGCTATCCTTGTCACGGCAAAGCAAACCATTGGAAAAATTGGAACTTTGACTGTGATGACAAGAAGGGCGTCACGCTTTTGAATTCACCTCCACTTACGATTATGGAGTGAGTTCATTATTTATTTGTAAAATAGAATATAGTAGACGCATTTTATCCCCAAATGTACAAGCATTTTCTTTTATTGAAAGGCATTTAATAAATAAGAATAAAGAGTTTCCTTTTTTTTTTTTTACTTCTTAAGAGTACCAATAATAGCATTAGGGGCATACTTTTGAACTACATCAGGTTTGTGCATCATGTTGAATTCTTCAGTAGCATCACGACCAGCATAGATAAGAATAGCCTTCTTGCCTCCAGGATGATCGGGAAGGAAATCAGTCACATCCAAGACTTGACCGTTAACAACGACCCAACAATCTTCAGGCTTGTTGTGCTTTGCAACATCAGCAAGTGTGTATTCACCCATCTTTTTCTCTGGTTTTTCAGTCTTCTTGGCTTCTTCTTGCTTGGGAGCAGGAGCACTAGTATTGGGAGGAACAGAAGATACTTGTTGGACACCTCCTTCGTTAGGTAAAGCAATGTCCAAGCTAATCATATTGGGTTGAGCAGGGTTTACAACAATATTGATGCCAATACCACCGTTCAAGTGTTGACCAATAGCACCCAAACGTTGTTGAGCAACTTGGGATTTGTTGACGAGTTGAGAGAACAAGTGTCTAGCAGCAGATTGGCCAGCAACACGACCAAAGACAACACAACCCAGCAGAGATGAACCACCAAGACGGTTAGCGCCATGAACACCACCACACATTTCACCAGTAGCGAACAAACCAGAAATAGGTTTACCATCAGTAGATTTGATTTCAGCATCAGGAGTGATTTCAACACCACCCTATATAAAGATAGGAATTAGATCTATCCCCCATGCTTTGTTATATAATATTACCATAGTATAATGAAGAACAGGCTGCATCAATGCAACATAAAAGTAGTCAGACATCTTGATAGGCACATTGTGGAAGAAGCGCTTGCCCCAAGGGTCTTTTTCTTTACCCTCGGCAATCTTGTTGTAGGTCTCGAAGGTCTGTTCAAGTTGTTTAGGACTGATGCCCATTTCCTTGGCCAAAGCTTCGCCATTGTCAAAGCGCTTCATGAGACCGCGACCAGCATAGTGACGGCAGTGCCATTCAATTTCCTTAGAAGCAGCAGTGTTTAAGACAAGACGGATAGGAAACTTGTTTTTGTTCATCATACCAGTCACATAGTCACGGTGGCCTAGTTCATCACAGAAACGCTTGCCATCAGCATCAAGCAAGATACCACCACAACCACGTAAGGCTTCAGCAGCCAAAAACTTGACTTTAGCATCAGGTTCCTTAGGATCTACTAAACCAGTAGGATGCACTTGAACCTTTTCAAGATCAATGGTACTAGCGCCAATAGCAGCAGCCATCTTGATACCATCACCAGTACAATGGTCGCCATTGGTAGTAGACAGGTTGTAGAGTTCAGGACGATGCTTTTGTAACAAGGAATTTTCAGTAAAGTCAGCAGCATAACCACCCGTAGCAAGGATAACAGGACCGTATTCCTTGAAGACTTCACCAGTGGCATCTTTACCAACCATCACGTATTCAACACCAATCACGTTGGATTCAGCATCCTTGATCAAGTTGGTAACTTTGGCCTTCTTGATGATCTTGGCACGATTGGGCTGCTTTTCAGCTAGTTCTTCCAATCCTTCCATCAAGGCGTAGGTGATGGTCATACCAGGGAACTGTTCTTTACCACGATGGGTACGAGGGAAAGAGTGACCACCTAAACGAGAAACAAGGGATAAGTCAAGCTCAAACTTGTCTTGCAACCATTCGACAGCACTGGCAGAACGACCAGTCAAGACACGAATAAGGTCAGGACGAGCTAAATCACGTGCAGATTTAAGCGTATCTTGAAAGAATTGTTCAACAGAATCTTGGATGCCTAAAGCAATTTGTGTACGCGTCAAAGCACCATTGATACCAGAGGTAGCCTTAGTGGAGTTACCGCTATAAGAAAATTTTGATAAATCAAATTTCACATGTGTCTGAACTTACCCAAAAAAAGGATTTTTATCAAGCAAGAGTACATTTCCACCTTGTTCGTAAACGGTGTGAGCAGCTGAAAGACCAGAAAGGCCACCACCAACAACAATGATTTGGTTTTTAAGAGACATGTAGTATAAGAAAACTGGAAAGAGAAAAGAAGAAGAAAAGGTGAGGGAATGGAAGTAACTTGTTATAAGTGACGGCTGTATAAGGTTTAATTTTGTGGTGGGTAAGTCAGGTGTTTCTGAACATCTTGTTTCCCACTCCATATTTTTTTTTTTGCATGGCCATTAATCCCATGTGCATCTCTCACACTCATGTTTACGTATCTAATTGGACACAAACATATGCACAAAATAATAATAAAAGGAAAGCCTGTTTACTTGTAGGTCTAAATTTATCATTAATCGTAAGTCTTGATTTTTTATTCATGCATGAAATATTTAACGACCACAAAAAATACAAAAAGGAGGGTGTTACACAAAAAGAAGAGAATGATGGTAATATAAAACAATCTAAAGCAGAGAAGGGAGGGTATAACGAAAGGAAGTAATCAAAAAGAGTGTAATTCAAAAGAAGGCGAGAGAGTAATGAGGGTATACTTACAATACAAAAAAAGAAAAGTAGGGCATATAAATGGCATATTTGTTTTCTTACTTGATTTTGTCTAATGAATGTAAATTATCAATATTCTTTATCCAGTCAATCATATCGGTTTTTGACGTGGCTTGTAGCATATAAGCATTATTGTTTGTGTACAAAGAAAACACATTGTTTCTCTGCTTTGTATTAGTCTTTTTCTTTCTTTCTTTCTTTCTTTCTACTTACTCTAATCATTTGTTCCAATGCCTTGTTGTAATCAACTCTAACGTTGGATATATTGATAACACCTTGTTCCTCGGTTTCGGACTGATTGGTGTAAATATAAACATACGGTCTTTTGAGTAATACTAGTTAGTCATCTTCATTTCTTAGTATATATTATCTACCTCCGCAAAACAAACCAGCGTTTGACCCATTTATCATCCAAGGCGTTCTCTTGATAAGTCAAATAGCCTTTCTTTGTCGCATTGTCGCTATTTCAATATTAGCATTTGCATAAAGTAAAGAAAAAAAAAACTTACAATTCAGTAATAAGCTTCACTTCAGATATCAACTTGCATGAATTCCAAGCTTCTTTTAAAATTTGCTCAGAATCCTGCATACCAGGAATAGGCGGATCCTGACAAAGCACAATCTAAAAAAAAAAAACGTATGATTAGCTTTAAAAGACCGAATTTCTTGACAGCAACTTACCTCTTTTTCAGGTCCCCATCGAGTATTCCATAATAAAAGTACTTTTCGGATCAAGTCGGCTTGCTTTGAATCAAGCGTAAATTCATGATTGTTGTTTAGTAATGCACTTTCAGTAGTATTATTGATAGATCCTTGACTTGTTTGAGATCTTGCTGCATGTAACATTAATGTCTGTTGTGTAGCAGCCACATGTTCTTTTCTTGAAATGCGATCTTGAATGTGTCGAAAATCATTGATCAAAGATACACCTCGAGGCCTCCATGATCCTAAAGTCTCTTCTCCAGGCACGAATTTAGAAGCAGTGTTCAATCTCCATAATTGACTCACACGTCGTGTCATGGGTGGTCTAAGACGAATCAAGAATAAACCACTGCATTTGTTGAGATACTTGTGCGATCTTAATAATTTCCGAAGTCCAAAGCTAGAAGCATCTCGTCCTTGAATACGAATAGCAATATCCATACTGCATTGAATGGGCTTGGAGCACTTGTCTACCTCAATTTCCCATTTGAGATTCAAAAGAATGCGTGTTTGAGAAGCTGTCAATCGATTCAAGAATAAACAATCATGTTGAGATGAATCCCAAGCACCCTGGGCTGTTAAAAAGCTTGTACCATCGTTGTTGTACTGAACTTTTTGTTGTGACAAGAGACGAATAGCAACATCTTCGTGTGCTGGTGAGCTAACAACACGACCTTTAGCGTCCAATAATCTGACGTGACCAATAGTGGCTTTGGATATTTTTGTCCATGTCAATTGACGACCTGAAGTATGTGACAAAGTGAAGCGAACACGACGTTGAAGGCCTTGTCTTAAATTGAAAGTTCCTCTGTCTGATGCATTTTGGGATACCACTTGAACAGGCATATATTCACCATTTGGCATTAATTCACAAATCTGAACCCAAGCAAGAACATCATGGCGCTCGGAAGCCAAAAGTTCATCGTCAGGGCGACTGTTTTTAGTAGTAATGTGTTGTTGGAGCTCAGGCGACAATGAATTTCTTGAGCTAGGTTCTGCCAACATCTCAGTCAAATGAGGTTTTTCACGTTGATCATCCCATCGTTCATAAGCTGATAAAGCGCGGGGCTGTGCTATACCATAGACTTCAAAGGCAATCATCTTGTTCAACAAGATGTTCTTTGTTGCTTCAGTAACAGAGATTGAGAGTGTTTGGATATAATCAAGTGAGATGATACCATTAGAGCCAAATCCACTCACAGGATTTGTGGCAAACAATTTTTCGGCTGTTGCATGAGCAGAAATACCACCAAAAGCAGACAAACGATACTGAACATGAACCTGTGTGAATTCATTTTCATTTAAGCTAGTGATTTCCAACAGTCTGATTTCAAAAAGTAACTGTTGACCCACTTGAATCGTGTCTTGTACTGCTGTCTTTGTGTTTTTACTTTCATCCAAATCAAGAGGTTCAGCTGTCAAGTAAGGTGCATGTGTGCCTGAGCGAGCAATAGGTGATACGAGAACACGTAATTTGCCTTTGACTTGACCTGTCATTCGACATAAAATTTCAACACAACTTTCGTACGCTTGTTGATGACAAGCAAGATTCCGAACAGAAATAGCTGCACTACCAATAAACGAGTACTTGGGATAAGGGATTTCGTAAAAAGGATCTTCCAAATTGAAGTGCTTGCGATACTTCGGTTTATCAGCAAGTTGTCGTAAATTGCGCATCTTGTGTAAGCGAGTCTTGAGTTTCTCGAGAGACCAGATATAGACGGCCTGGTTCTTTCGATCAATGACTTTAATGCCTATGCACGGTTTTGGGCTGTCAATCAATGCAGCATCTTTTGTATCATCGTCTTGATCAAATCGATGCAGGCCAGACGTCTCTTCCCAATGCGATCTGAGATGAGCAAATTCTTGTTCAATCACTGTGAATTGATAAGTGGCATCTTTTTCAAGTTCGCGAGAAATAACATTGGCTTCTTTAAGCAGTGCAGCGTGTGTTAAGACAACTTCGGCCATAGTAACGTGATGGATACCTTTCCAGCGCTGAAATACTTTTTGAATCAATTTCTTTTGATGGTCTGTATAGATGGTAATACCATCATCGCCTTGATGGTTGCTATAGGCAGAAGAAGAATACATGGAAGACATGCGGTGCAATTTAGCTTCATAAAAACTACGTTGAAGATTCAGTTCTTTTTGATGCTTTTCTTTGACGTCTTTGATCTTGTCTTGTATCTTTTCGTTATTTAGATGATGGTTGACTACAACTGTGGCATCAGTACAAACACTACCATCATCAACCATTGTGTTGGCAATAGAAAGTCGTCTGTAGCTACCTGAGGCAGACTCTTCATCATCGTAATCAGCTCGACTGTCAGTTCGTGTTCTTCTTGAATTACGAATACGACCAATATCATCATAAAGTTTTTCAATTTCTTCATCTTTTAAACCACTAAAGTTTGTTTCAGAAGAGTAATGGTTTCGCATGGCTTCTAAACGGGCAAAATTCCAATCCCCAAGCTCAGGAGAGCCGTTGGGATTCAAGTCTGCAGGTGTAATATCGTCTTCTGAAGAACCAAGGCCAGCATTTGATGATCGATCAGTACATGCACTACCTGTGGTGGCTCTTAGTAAATCATTGCGTTCTCTTCTGACTTCTTCAGGATGGTTGAATCGAAAGATATGATGGTGACCAAGAATGATGCGATAGCCATTCTTTAATTGACGAGGTTCAGTAATACGAATGCCATTGACCATAGTGAGAGCATCTTTGTGATTTGGATGGATAGTGACTGTATTATCAGGGCCATGTTCAAACCAACAGTGCTCATCGTAGATATTGGCACCAGAAAGTCGAATTTCGCATTGACTTTGACCTTCTTGTCGACCTACCCGCGTTTTTCCTGTCTTGATTTGATACATAAGGCATTCCGACATTAAGGGATCCTCGTTCAAGTTGACAATAAAAGGGATTGTCTTAGGCATATAAATACCCATTGTTTTCTTGTCCATGGCTATACCCAGATCTTTTAATGTCTTTTCACGTTCCAGATGGATTTCTTCTGTTCGTTTCAATTTTTCTTCCCATGTTTCTCGCAAATTAGCCAATAGTTTTTCTGAACTCTGGAGCTGATCTACCACTTCCTGCTTTGTCATTTTCTTTTTGTTGCCTTTACTATCTGCAAACACAAGTACTTGATTAGCATTACTGATGGTTGATTTTGTAGGTGTAGGTGTATTGGATCCAGGCTTATCACTAGAACTCTCTTGGCGATAAGAACTCGAGGCTGCTAATTCTTGCACAACTTCGGGCGCATAAACACGCAAACGGTCTCTCAAAGTAGACAATTCTTCTTTGAGTTCACGGATCATTTTAGCATTAGGATCTTCATTAATGACAGCCTTGTTCTGGATCTTCTTGGCCTGATCAGCATATCTAAGTGTACTGAGTGTTTCATCATAATCAGCAGGTGAAATAGCAGCAATCATGGCCGTCTTGGAATTACCACCCAAAGAATCCTTCAAGAGCCAAGTCAAGACAGAGTCACGATAGGGAATAAAGATTTCTTTTTGTTTCTTGCCCTTCTTGTTGGATTCAGCAATTGACTGGTCAGCAAGGCCCGAAATCACTTTACCCAGTGTAGTCAATGATCTATTGATATTCGCACCTTCTTTAAGCCTTGCACCAGTCGCACCCGTACTATTTGCTCTTTCACTACCAGCTAAATCAACCAAACTACAGTGGCATGAGTTAATGTGCAAACATTCCATGCCTTACCTAATACGAGCTACTTTCTCTGTCTCCAGCATTGTGATTTCATCCATACGTGTTTGAGTTAGGAACAAGGTAAAGACAGCGTGTGATCGAGAAGAGGTCTCGTTCATGTTAGTAGCAGCAACCGTACGAGCCTTGTTGCCTTCGTCCATCAAATGATTGATATCGTCAAAAGATGTCACGACCAAGCGAGAAAGATCTTCTACATAAGGACCTAATGAGGGATGTTCACGCACCTTTAAATTGCCCTTGTTTTTGGGGTTGAGCAAATCACGTACTTTTTCATTGTAGATTTCGATATAAGAGACTTCCACTCGGTATGTCAAGTTGGGTTCTTTGTTGATTGAGATGCGGTTGAACAGTTCTGAGCAAGTTCGAGGAATGATACCTTTGTCTTCACCATAGCCCATCTATGTTTTGTGTTGTTAATGAGAATAAAAAAGTACATGAGTTACTTACCATTGAATAGGATTTTCCTGAACCAGTTTGACCATCTAATGTGTTTTATATACAAAAAGAAACAATAGTGAATAAAGAATAAACAGAGAGGGGGAATGTTTATTACAAAAGAAAAGAGGTATTTACATGCAAAAATGCAACAATTATAGCCATCAAAAGCATGATCCAAAAGTTCTTCACCTAAATCATTGTACACTCTGTTCTGATCTGCATAACTGGGATCGTTTTTGTCTGCTGACCAATAAGATTTATCGAACGTAAATGCTTTTACATCTTCCATATCTCGATTGCCTTTATGATCTGGTGGTTTGGTGATAATGGTCTGGTTTCCCTCCATTCGAATCAAACAAGTTGCTCCGCGTGCGAGTTCTGTTTCTAGTCTTAGTTCTGGTTCTCAACATGAATAATTTTTACCTCTTGAATTTAGAGGTCGACAACGCACAACGACCTTGATGTTTCCACCACTCATAATTGTCTAAATATAGAAAAGGTTAGATCTCAAAGGAAGATGAGCTTGCTTACTTTTTGTGATAAAGCTGTGTTGTTCTGTTTTTCTCAGGTATGTTTATGTATATCGTTTGAATTTGTATGTAATAAAAAAAGTTTTTAATGTTTAGAAAAAAAAAGGTACCGAAATAATTACGAAAGAAAAAAAGTTGATAAAGTTGTAAGAATAAAACAAGCAAAGAAAAGAAACAAAAGGCTTTCTTTTCAAACTTGAAGAAAAAAAAAAAAAGAGAAAGAGAGAGGAAAAAGAAAGAAAAAAAGAATTAAATACCTCTAAAAAAAAAAGCATTTCTCAGAATCGTTATTTTAAATAAGGTACTTTCTTTACTGAGTCAACGGAGTTCAAATGGCACACCTTTGTTGTACATGATCTTTGTCTGTTTATGTTGAATCCTTGCAGAAAGGACAATTTTAAGGAGTAAGCCATAATCGCTTCTTGCATATCTATAGTATGGTAGTACTCACAGCGACTGAAAATAGGATATTTGAAATTTTGTGAGACAATATCTTGCCTAAATAGAGAGCCTTTTGGAAGAAACAATAATTACACAAGCCCAAAAATTCTTTGAATCCAGAGATCCTTTTCTTATCTTGCTTTTGGTCAAAATTACTCAATGGAAACATAATAATGACTAAAACCAATTATTATCATCCTCATTGCCTTTTCTTTTTGGAAGACTTTCTTCATTGGATACTTTTGCTTTAAAGAAGTTGTCCTTTAAATCTTTTGTGTTAAGCTGAGCTATAGCAAACATATCCTCTTTTAAACTATGCTATAAATTCAACTAGTATAAAGAGTAGACTTTTTGACAATAATGCAGGTTATCTTGGTAGTTCATGTTTGCCTAACAGCATCAATCTAATTTGGAAAATGAAAAACGTTTTTTATAGCTACAAAAGTTAGATACCAAAGCTCAAAAAAAGCTTTAAGAGCAAATAGCAATGGGAGTTATTCGATAGAGTATTAGAATTTACTCTATGGCTTAACAACTCTTTTCATAAGCCAAACTAAAAAGTACAATTTTAGATCAGATTCACCTTCCACTCTTTAAAGAGACTTCCACTCGATTAAAACGTCATTCATATCAAGATAGAGGGCCTACATAGCCATACTTTATTGAAATGCATTTTGTTTTTGTTTAATTTTTTGTTAGGTCAAGCTATCAATATCTGAGTTTTCTTCTACATCTGAAGAAACAGCAGAAGAGTTAGAAGAGTTGCTATTGAAGTTAAATAGTTGTCGATCGTCAAACCAACGCTTCATGATAGAAGGCTTAATCTCGAGACCACTCAAAATACTTCTAGATTCAATCTTTTGATGAGGTTCCAAATCATCAAACTTGTGTCTATCAAAATCACTGAGAGCAGTGGATCCATTCTCATCTACAAATTTTGTAATTGTGTCTGATAAAGTTTCACGCATTCTACGAAGTTCTGCTGCGCCATCAGGGTTGCTGAGTGACATGAATAATGGTTTAAGGGATCTACATATAGAACATAGCTCAGTATCGTTTCCCTCTTGTTCTTCTTTTTTCTTTTTTACCTGTAGATATCAATACTGTTTTCCAACAATAAGCCGCATACGTATTGAATGAATGGTAGTATGACCCAAACCAAAAGCGAGAGCTTAAAAGGATGAGCAAATCCATGGAAATAAAGATAGAAAAAGAGCGATGCTGAATAAAAACCATAGAGTGTTGGTATACCAACAAGCGCTACCAAGATTTTCCAGGTAGCCAGTACGTCTCTTCCTGCAATCTTGACAGAAGAACCTGCTAATGCCTCTACATGGATGGACATCGTTAGTCTATATATATATATATATATATATATATATATATCACACGCATGAGTGCTTCTATTTACCTTCTTGCTTCTTTTGACTAATAGCAAGTGCAAGGATAATGATAGGTGAGTTGATCAAAAGTCTAATAGGGTATGCTGTCAGTCTATCACCACCATGTTAATTGTACTCACGAAGGGAAACCAAAAATAGCCAAAAAGATGAGTTTCAAAACACGAGAAAGCAAAATAGGGGCAGCAGAATAGGCGGTGTATTGTGTTCTAGGCACTTGATGATCACGCAAGCCAAAATACTTCAACGTGTTGTTATAAGCCTTGATACGATGTGCTAACTCGACTAATCGAGGATCTTTCTCAAAGTACTTGTAGCCGAGCAAAAAGCGACGATTGAGTTCAACCACTTGTTCAATACTGAGTTTGTGTTCAGCTGCAGGTTTGTATAATCGGCGTGCAGTGGCAATGATCTAGCACAAATAGCTTAGTACGAGAAGAAAAGTAAGCGAGTGATTTTCTACCATCAACGTATCATAATTAGGTGCATTCACTGTCACACTCTTAAGACCATCATAGCCTGCTTCTAACAAACTGGCAATCGCATTACGCTTTGCTTCACCTCCCTTCTTGTAGTCATCTACAAGTTCTGGACTAATAGAGATGGGTGCACCGTACGAGACAACTGCTCGGGATCTGAAGCGATGAGGATGAAAGTAGTTGAGACCTGTTTCAATCATGGTTGATACCTGCTTTTCCTCTTTCTTTTTTCTTTTCTTACCAATAGGAACAATTTTGATATTTAAATCTTTGTTTTCTGCCATAGCACCTAATGCCATAATAGCATAACCCGCTATGAACAACAATTGAGTATGTTGAATGGTGCATGTGTGTACACATTTTGTCTTACCTTTCAAGGGCAACATTTCAGAACGATCATGACTACCACCTTCAGGAAAGATCACAATGCAATCTTTTTGGTTTAGTCTTTGGTGCACCTTCTCATACAAAACACCTTGGTCAACATGGGGAATAATTTTAAAAACACCCGAGTTTGTGATCAATTGTTTTGCTTCAGGCGTCAATTCCTTTTTGAGTTTTAACTTTGTATCCGAAATGACTTCCATGACTTCAAATGAGACTGTTTTTGATAAAACAATGATGTCTCGAACAGCCACTTGTTCCTTAAATGCTGTTTCTTTTCCTTCAAGCATAAAAGGTGTTTCTATATTGAATGAAAGTGTACCCGTGCCTTTTGTAGCAAGGTCTTGAGGACGAATGACGGGAACTAGAAAGACATGTCAACAATAAGGTTATAAGCATGACGTTTATGCTTACTTGCGTTAAGTGCTCGAGCACCATCGCCAATGATCTTCTTTTTGAAGGAAGACTCAGCCATGAGAGGACAGAAACGACGTGGGCTCGAGATCATGACCATACCAGGATCCACAAACCTTTTATTTATTAGAACCTATGTTACTCTTTTCAAACAAAACTTACTGGTTAGCATGAGGTGCAACAATAAAAATACAAGGATCATCCAAGGGAACATGATGAACGCCACTATGGTTTATGCAATCAATGAAAGAAAAAGAATAAAGAGGGAGATGTTATACCTCACTTTGATTTCTCGAAAAAAGACATAGGTAATAAGTCTATAAAAGACTTTCATTCCTTCATAAGCATCTAAAGGCATGTTGATAAAAATAAAAAAATAAAAAAAAAATAAAATAAAGAAAATAAAAACTTTCTTTTTTATTTATTTAAACAGAATGATGAAAGAGTGTTTTCATGTGAAAAGAAAGGAAATTCAATATGGGTAGTACAATGGTCATCTTTAACAGTTCTTTATGCACATGTGTATACTTTTTCTTAAAACTTAGTTTTATAGGCTGATAAAAATAGATGAATTCAGGTTGCTATATATTGTTCTTAAGAATTAACACTTCTTTAAATAAGAAAAAATGGCTTCTGAGTGTATATGCTCTAACAAACTCGTGTATATCTATCGTGTGCCCTGAATCGATTGGCTGAATGAATATAATGCCCATCTTGCAGAGTATTTTTAGAAACAAACGCGTACAAAATTAAATAAGTCCTTTTTCTCTTTCTTTTTTTAACTTTCATCTATATGTTACAGATCCTCTCGATCCTCTTGACAACAGCTATTGCCTCGGTAAATATCATAAGACACATTTGTATTTTTGTTGATTTCGATATAGTTTATTGGCTTCTTGTTATTTTGCTCACCCAAGCCCAGAGAGAGAACAGAAAATGAGAAATACTACCGAGACGCTCATAACCAGAAAAAACTATTACCGAGTCTGTTTGATAAACCAAGCCTTAGACTGTCTTGTATCGTGCCTGCATTTGATGAAAGTCAACGTTTACCTAAAATGTTGGAAGAAACAGTAGATTATCTCTTGTCACAAAAGGATTTAACATTTGAAATCATCATTGTCGATGATGGCAGTCATGATAATACTATCCAAGTGGCACTAGAATTCGCTAAACAATATGAACAAGTGGATATTCGTATTTTGGCATTAGATAAAAATAGAGGTAAAGGCGGTGCTGTAACTCAGGTAAGATGTCCATTGCCAAGCAAATTAAATTAATTATATTTTTAGGGCATGTTGGCTGCTCGAGGTGAATTATGTTTAATGGTAGATGCAGATGGCGCTACTCAATTCTCTGATCTTGGTCAACTATTAAAAGAAATCAAAAAGATTGAGAAGAATGGTTATGGTATTGCTATTGGATCAAGATCTCATTTAGTGACAACAGAGGCAGTAGTGAAGGTAGCACAAGTCGTGTTAGATAATATACTGATCACTCTCTTTTTTTTTTTTCTATGCAGAGATCCTTTATTAGAAACTTTTTAATGCGTAGTTTTCATACACTCGTATTTGTACTTGGTATTCGAGGCATAGAAGATACACAATGTGGATTTAAATTATTTACACGTAAATCAGCACAAATCATTTTCCCCAATATGCATGTCGAAAGATGGATATTCGATATTGAGTGTCTTATGATTGCTCAAATACAAAATATGCCTATTGCTGAAGTTCAAGTCACCTGGCATGAAATAGACGGTTCCAAAGTTAATTTGATGAAGGATTCAATTAACATGGCTCTTGACTTATTACTCATTCGAATGAATTATGTATTTGGATTTTGGTCTGTCAAATAAAATAGAAAATGACTGCTGTTCTTTTTTTTTATTTTTATTTTTTTTTTATGGCTACTACTATCCATGCGATTGACAAACTATCGATCCATAAGATTTGCTCAGGACAAGTTGTGCTTGACTTGGCTACAGCTGTTAAAGAATTAGTAGAGAACAGCATTGATGCTGGTGCTACTTCTGTAGGCAAGTGGATAGAACATAGATATAGATATAGATATTGATACGCGTATAATTCTAGATATAATTTTTAAAGAGAATGGTATAGAAGGCCTTGAAGTCATTGATGATGGATCAGGCATTGATCCAGTGAATTATGAAACATTGGGTATATCATTCTATCTTACTTTTAGATTTTTAATTGTATTATTTAGCCCTTAAACACTATACTTCTAAACTAAACAGCTTTGAAGATTTGGAGAAAGTATATACCTTTGGTTTTCGTGGAGAAGCATTGAGTTCTTTATGTTCTCTTGCTCAATTGACTGTCATGACAGCCACAAAAGAACAAGCTCCTATGGGCATGAAATTAGAATATGATCAAAATGGCAACTTGTGCTCCAAGACACCTATTTCAAGAACAGTAGGCACTACTATTCAGTTAAACAACTTGTTTCATTCCTTGCCTGTACGTCTATCTGAATTCAAACGAAACATAAAGCGAGAATATGGAAAAGCATTGACCATGCTTCAAGCTTATTCTATTATTTCCACCCAAGTTCGTATTTCAGTCAGTCATCAATCAATAGCTAAAAAGTAAGTTGGATTATTACCTACATATGTCTTATGCTTGGTAGATCCACTACTAAAGTGATGTCTACTACTCGAAATAAGCAAGTCAGTGCAAACATAGCCAATGTATTTGGTGCCAAACTAGTATCCCAAATCATGTCATTCCATGTGGATCTATCAAGCCTTTTTGAACAAGAATCTAGTTTAGAAGGCTATATCTCAAGGCCAGAATGGGGATTGGGCAGAGCTAGTTCAGATAGACAGTATTTCTTTGTGAATAGTAGACCATGTACCATGTCCAAGGTAAGAGATCATGGTTTGGTTTAGACTGACATCTGTTTGAGATCGCCAAAGCGTTGAATGAAGTCTATCGTATCTTTATATCAAATCAATATCCAGTCATTGTTGCAAATCTTAAAGTACCAACGGATGCTTATGATGTCAATGTCAGTCCTGACAAAAGAACTATCTTTATTCATCAAGAGAACAACATTGTCAACTGCATTTTAGAGCAATTGAAAAAGACAATGGAGCCTAGTCGATCTACATTTCAATTGAATCCACTTATGTCACCTTCGAGTAGTATAACTGCACCTTCGAGTAGTATAACTGCACCTTCGAGTAGTATAACTGCACCTTCCAGTAGTATAACTGCACCTCCGAGTAGTATAACTGCACCTTCCAGTAGTATAACTGCACCTCCGAGTAGTATAACTGCACCTTCCAGTAGTATAACTGCACCTCCGAGTAGTATGACTACGCCTTCAAGTAATATGGATAGATCAACAAGTATAAAGAGCACACGTAGTTTAAGTTCATTTGCCATGTCAGCAGGCAACACATATAGACCAACACAGCCTAACTCAAGCAATAAACGACCTTATACAGCCTTGACCTCAACAAGCACCTTGTTGAACTATATCAACAAAAAGCCCAAGTTAGACAAGCAAGACACTCAACAAGACTCAAGCCAAGAACAAGTGACTTCTATCCAAGCAGTAAACACAGCAACTCCTACTTTAGCTTCAACAGAACCGTCGACAGATACTCGAGAGTACGTTGAGATAATGACAGGCATCAAAAGTTATTCTGGCCTACACAAAACAACCGGTAGAACACTCACATTACAACCTATCCAACTCAATCGTTTGAAGCGACCTGAGCCTATCTTGCCTGAACCTACTACCAACCATATACCCTCCCCTAGTACACTAACACATGCCAGTGTAAAAAACACCATGGATCACGAAAAAGCAGCAAATGCCTTAAACCGAATCATCAGCAAGCCCGATTTTGCTCGTATGCAAGTCCTGGGTCAGTTCAACCTGGGCTTCATGATCACTTGTTTGGATAACCAAGACTTGTATATCATTGACCAACATGCTTCTGATGAAAAATACAACTTTGAAACCCTTCAGAAGACCACTGAAATCCAAGGACAACGCTTGATCAGTCCGCCCGTCCTTGATTTGACAGCAGCAGAAGAACATGTTGTGATGGAAAATCTGGATATCTTTAAGGCAAATGGATTTGATGTCCAGGTCATGCCTGATCATCCACCCACACAGCGTATTCGTGTTATATCACAGCCTGTGAGCAAGAATACCATGTTTGATAAAAAGGATTTCAGTGAAATTATCTTTTTGATTCATGAACGACCAGGCGATAAGACAATCAAATGTAGTAAAAACAGAGCCATGTTTGCTTCAAGAGCATGTCATAAAGCAACTCGTATTGGTGACAGTCTGACAATTCCCCAAATGACTAAAATTGTTCGCCATATGGGTGAAATCGATCAACCTTGGGTAAATGTCTTTGAAAGCATCCTTATGCTAATCCAATTTTATAATAGAATTGCCCTCATGGTAGACCTACTATGCGGCACTTGCTTCACCTGTCAGAATTTAAACAGACACGGACAGTCCGAGAAAAACGTCCTTTATCTTTTCATGGTTCACTCCATCTCTTGAATCAATAAAGCATGGTTTTATTTCCAGAAAACGGTATTCTCTACAAGATGTTTATATGCAGATAATGGTACATTAAGTGATGGTTCAATAGGTTCAATACCAGGTTCACCCATAAGTGATAAAGCAGCAACACCCATATAAGAATGCAACGCATCTATATTGACATGTTAGTCTCTCTCAAAGTGATTTTTTTTTTTTTTTTTTTTTTTTTTTTTTTTTTTTTTTTTTTTTTTTTACCTGGAAATGATTCAGGATCTTTACCGAATCCTCCCATCTTTGGCTGACAGTCTAATAAAAAGTCTCTCAAGGCTTGTTGATTGATCAAGTCAAATGCATTCAACATGTCTAAAGAAGCACCTAACCAGAAACAATAACACACATCAGGCAATTTGTTAGGTCTGCCTTGAAATCCTGTGATTTGGCGCTCAAGACTCCATTTGATCATGCCTTCTTTATTCACAATCCCTTGATCTAATTGACCCATTAACTTGAGTGCTGCTACACCACAAAAAGTAGAACCACCATGAGCTTCTTCATGAGGGCATTGCGCTACACCATATTCATAAGACTATTACTTATGAGTCAAGGTTATTGTAGTTTTCACGTACCTGCAATCGTCGAATCCAGGCTACTGTCTTTTCTACATTGATACCAGACCAATCGTTAAGGATATAAGAGATAGAACAAGCACAAAACGCAAACCGAACATCGCGTTCAAGACTTCCAAAAGTAGGTGCAATACTACCGTCGTCTGACTGAAGTAATGTGAGTGTCTTGATGATAGCTTGCTTATTGACACGAGAGAGATCATCACCCAAGATGAGCAGGTTTAATAAGGCTGTATAGGTATTGGCAATATGACTTGAGTCGTAATGTTGAAATGATGTGGTTGTCTATAGACATATGAATGACTAAACAATGGATCCTTGTGTATTTACCGCATGGGGTTCAAATGATCGACCTGACCAAGGAGAACCTCGGAAACCACACAGGGCTTCATTAGGATCAGGATCTTGTCCTGTAGGCAGTACTTGCTGAGCATAGATCCATTCGATCCAATCTCTTTTGTTCTCGGGTGTGATGTTGGCATCTAGTTCACCTAATAAACTCAGAGCACCTAAACAAAAGAAACCAAGTGTCATCCTAAAGATTGATGAGTCTATAACACATATCTATCTTATGTACCGATTAGTTTCTGTTTGTGTATAGGGTGTAGGAAGCATCGTGAGATTGGACTTGAAGTATCTCACTAGCTTTTCTCGAGCAAATGCTTTGGCCATAAGTAACTAGAAGTAAAAGAGAAGGGAAGACGCGGAGTTCTTTCAGTTGAATACAAGTAACCAAGGCATAGTGTCCCTCTCTTTCTTTCTTTCTCTCTTTCTTATGAAATAAATCTAATGCTTATATGCATACTACTTTAGTTACTCTCTGTCTCTTTCTTTCTTTTGCTTTGTTGTTTCGTTTGTTTTAGTCTTTTTTTTTTTATGTAGAATGTGTCGTGTTACTTGATTTAGGTTTCCGCAAACGTTCTTTCTCCTTCTCTTTTTATTATTTTTCCTATGGAGCAAGTGTATGTATGCTATGCATAGATGAGTAATTAAAAGACTAGACTTAATAGTTTAGAAAACGATATACTTGCTGTCTTTGTAGTTCATTTTGACATTACAAAAGGCAATGTTGTTGAATGGCAATACCCTCCAGGTAATAATAGAAGTAAAGATATGGCCCAAACTAAATATACATAGACATTGATTTAGAAGGTATCGAATATCAAGCCATCTGTAGTGGCTTGCATAAAATAGAATCCGATGTTATGTAAGTCAAGTTGGTTTGCATAAATAACTCATATGTATAGTTTATTTACTCGACAAAAACATCAACTTGGTCTTTGTGTGTTTGAGAATAAACCCACTAGAGATCATGCAAACCGAGGTGCCTATATGAAAGCCATAGGTGTGCTTGTACAACCCTCTGATACTGTTCTACATCATACAGTCTTTTTAAAGCAGGAAATAAGGTATATACACAACAAGACTGTTCTATATTGATGGTATCATAGTAAGCATATGGTTCCTCAAGAAGACATAGAGCCTAGTCGGTATGATGATTTGATTCAATATTATACCCAACATCAATCTCAGACACAACCCACACGCCTATCCACCTATGATGCACCTCAAGATCTTAACATGAATCGCAGTGTGAATGATAACTTGAGACATACGATCATAGCTCCTCAACGCAGGGAATATGATGGTATGGACGTATTTACTGATTTAATACGTCAATTTGGACCCCACATATTTGTTTTGTGGAAAGCTGCTTTACTAAGAAAAAGAATCATGCTGTTAAATACACCACCTATGGAAATTGCATGCAAGTATGGTAAGTGCTTTCTTTTTTATAAAATAAAATACTGATCATTTATCAAGTACATTTAATCCATTTATTGGGCCAAGTACCTCCTGTGTTTCAAAAGAAAGTGGGTCAAATAGAAGCCAAATTTGCAATGGGTGTAAATGATATTCCACAACTAGAAAAGCAGTATCAAAAGAAGAGTTATATTGCATGCAAGTGGATATCCTATCTTTGCATAGACACTCATAGTTTATAGGTACACCGGATTCAATATTTCAAATGAAAACTGAATTATACGATATACTGGTAAAAATGCCTGCTTCGTGCGGTACGCATCGTGCTCGCATATACAATGATGAATTGCCTGTTATGTCATCCAGAACAGTAGCTACAGAATACAATGCTGCTGATTTGATACGGTATCAAATCATGTTTCATCAAAGGGCTTATCGACCCTCTACAGGTGTATGGTGTACCATGTCTTCTTTATGGACAGGACTCTGTTATTTTGTATATGATAAACAAACAACCACAACACACAGTGATTGGCAGCGTTTGTTTGCTGGAAGAAGAGCATCCCGACCTATTCAGTTAGAAGAAGAAGAACAACAGGATTTACTTGCTTATCCAGATGAAGAGCAAGATGCAACAGAAATTCAAAATAGTCAAGTATTTGAAGCAGTGGCTGCTCGAGCATCTGAGGAATTACAGCGACAAGAAGAAACAAATGATGTGTTATTGAGGTATCTGATGAATCATTCATGGGGGAGGGGTGTTTTTTTTCTGACCTATATTTAGATCATTTCATCGTTTGACGGGATGTATGCTATACAAACTACAGTCGATATTGAGTCTAAGGCAAGAAGAAAGGATCCATACTATTCATCTCTACCCAAAAGACATGGTTCAATTAGGCCTTGATCCACAATGCGATATTGACTTTGTCGTTGAATTAGCCAATCTTTATTTCAAGAAACAAGTATTTGTACATGGTCTACACAACTCCATTGGCTATGTGAATGATAGTTTATGCTGTTGTAAGACCTAATAAAGCCATTGTTGACATCGCCATAAATCAATGCTTAATTGTACAGTCTCTATGGATTTAGGCACACCCAACACAACTGGAGACTGACCAAAATGTTGTTTGATATGATCTGTCTCCTGAGTAGACCAAAACTGATGTACATGATAACAAGGTACATTTTTTTGTATTGTGTCTTTGAGCTGAACCTGATGAAAACTCGGTGTGTTGGATAGAACAGAATCAAATACGAGAATACATTGATAGCCCATAGGATGCCTATGTTGTGCTGGTATCCAATCAGAAGAAGAATGGGGTACTAAAAGATCATATGTATCTATGGGATGTTGTTTGAATTCATACCATGCTTGTTGAAAGAGTGTTGTCTCGATATGTTGTGTCATGTCTGAGCGATAGGTAGCATTACCTCGAAATGTTGCTTTATAGCCTAATTTCAAGATGAATAAAGGAGAGGAAAAGATAAACAGAGAACTTACCTCCTTTCTCAAGTAAGAGAGCAATTTTTTTCTTGAGTGTGATATAATATCCAAAACCATGATGGACTTTTTTGATGCTGGGATAAGCCCAATGTAATTTTGTTTCTGGGTGCCATGCTATGCCAAATCGTAATAAAAGTCCTATTCTAGGTGAATATTGATTTTGGATAGTTATCAGTCTCTTTATTTACTTGAAGGAAACATGCGACTATAAAAAGTACAATGCCGTAAAGGTGAAGCCAGTATAGCAGCTAATTTATATGAGTAGATAGAAGTGGGTTTTGTTATTTACCATAAGGACTTGTAGCTAACTTTGCTTCTAGACTATGAGGTTTTTGTTGAACGAGTTGTTTTATTTGTGGTTGAGAAAGTCTATTTTGACGCTTCTTTATTTTTGTCTGCCACTGTTTGATAAGGTGTGAAATTGTGCTTTTTGACATGTAATGAAAAGAAAAAGAAATACGCGCATTTTTTTTAAAGATGCGTTTACTAACAACAATAAAAAAAAAATGATTCGGACATTCCTCTTTTCTTTTTCCTTTTTTTCATGACAGATACAACAGAAGAAAAAAGACGTTTTCAAATAGAACTCGAGTTTGTACAATGTCTTGCTAACCCTTGGTACCTAAATAGTAGGTAACAAGTATAGACACATAAAGATCCAGTTTGACTTATCTTGACCCAGATCTCGCACAACAGCAATACTTTAAAGACCCTACTTTTATTCATTATCTTGAATACTTGCAATACTGGAAACAGCCTGAATATGCTCAATTTGTCGCGTAAGTTGTTATCCTGGTTGAATATACACTCATAGTTTTAGTTATCCACATGCACTTTATTTCTTGGACCTGTTACAACACACTCAATTCCGTGATTACATAAGTACTTCAGAAAATACCCAAGAAGTGCATCGTATGCAATATTACCACTGGCAGTACTTGCGTAATCCGCCTAAATCAACAGCCGTAGAAGAACTCGGTGCATTAAAAGACGAATCCGAAGCATAAATAAATAAATAAATAAATAAAAAAACATTTATTTAACGGCAACAAGTCTCGAGACCATTGCTTGTTGACGAGCTTGTTTCTTCTTTTCTCGAATTTCCAACCGAGCATTTGCTCTTCTTTCTTGCCGAGATAACCGTTTCTCAACCACCAATGCTTCTTCTCCTTCCTCTTCTTTTTGTTCCTCTATTATTTTTTGTGGTTGCCGTCTCTTTGTAGTGGGTGCTATGACTTCGACCCACTCTCCTTCCTCTGTATCATATTGTTGATCATGAAATGGTTCTTGTAATTGTATTTGTTGTTGTTGTTGACGGTACCAAGATGATAACCAATATGGAAGCATGTAATTAAATGGCGGCTACGACAGAAGTGAAGACGACAACAAAGAAGAGAAAAAGAAGAAGAAAGGTCAAAGTTTATTTTATACAGTAAACTTATAACGTGATAGAATGATCATTATCATTTGATATGTGATATTCACACACACGGTGAATTCTAATATTGAGATTCTAACGACAATCCTATATGCTCCTATCAAAGTAGCACGCACAACGTAGACTCAACGTCATGATTTTTATTAGTTGTTTTAAGAATGTCAAATCAAGAGTGACTCATAAAATACGTATTGACTCTTTTTAAAGTCGTTCTTGAAGGAGAAGCCTAGATTGTGTTGTATCAATAAGGACGTATTGGTTATCTTGGCTTACCTTATCCCAGTTGGCAATAATACGAACTAATTGATGCTGAATTGTCTTTTTGTCCACTTTAAACATAATCAATAACACTCTATCTATTACTTTACTTACCACGTGGCTTAGTGTCCCTTACCCATTGGCCTTGAAGGTCATAAAAATACACCAAGATGGACAACAAAAGACCCACTGCATAATCTTTGCCCGTTCTACCATGCACCAAGATTCGCTTTTGGTTCAAGAGAGGCTCTCTCACAAAATCAATTGCCTTTTGAATACTCGAACCAAACACAATCTGGCCCTTTTTACCTTCAGGAACAGGTAAATGTAAATAGTTTTCTCGACCCTTGTTTTCTGCATGTTCATGTTCAGAACAATTGATGATCACATCAAAATCTTGCCAACATAGACCACTGGCATGATTGCCAATACCTAAAAGTGTAGGTTGAATAGTCGTAAATTCGGCTTCTTGTTTTGTTGCTTCTTGACGAGACAAGGCTACTATGTCTCGAACAGCTTGTTCGCATGTCGATGCATTGGCTAAAATAGTAGCATGATGTTCCCAAAATAAAAGAGATGTGAGGCCCTATAGGTACATATGAATCATCGAGTTTTTTTTTGTATCATTTCGTTTACCAAAGACCAAGCTTCTTGATCGTCACCCGAACCTTGTACATATAAATACCCGGGCCTTGATTGATAGCCTGATGCCACAGCCTCAGATGCACTCAAGCAAATCACTGGATAAAACGGGGTTTCTTGATCAAATACTGGAGGAGACAATGCATCATAAGACTGTGGTGTAAGCCAGATAGGCCGTAATGGTTTCTTGAGCTGTTCCAAGCTCTCTAGATCAATACTCGACTGAACTAATTTGTCTACAAAACTATCTATCCTGGCCTCAATCTGAGCATGTTCTGACCTCGACACAGCAGAGGGTAAAGAATGGAACTGGGTGTCCCAATCAGGCCTGCCCTTAGCCAAGGCTCGGTTAAGCGTAGCACACCAGATGGGAATCGTTTTGGATAAGGCGTCTGGAATTTTCTTGCCTTTCCGAGTTGAGTCTACAATGATACAGCCATGATGTTGAGTGATCATGGGGATAAGGTGAAGGTTGTTTCGTCGTATGTTAAAGTCCCACATATGCATATGGCCGTCAGTTGATTTGAAGTAAGCTGAATACGCTTTTTTCTAATAAACAACATTGACTTCTGTAAACTATCCTTCTTTCATATACTTACCTTTGTGCGATCAATATACCATGATCCACAGCGTTCGTTGGCTACAAGCATAAGTCTCTATGTCATTGCGATCATGCTTACCAATCAAGGCTAACTCTGACATCATGTCTGCTACTTCCATAACAAAACTAGCATCATCGACTATTGATCGAAGACGATTATAACTAGATCCAGAAAAGGATTCAATAAATCAAGTATTGAGAACAACACCTACATGTTTTTACTGTCATTTCGAATAAGTTTTGACTCAAAGTTAAAGTCATTATGTTCTGCAAACAAAAGATCGTCTCCCATGATCAGAAAAAAACAAGAAAAAAAAGACGTAGTAGGACTACATATATTTTCTTCCTCTTCTTCTTATTTGCTATGCACCCTAAAAGTATATACAAGAAAGAACCTGATTTTAGTCAACTTGCTCGAGATTATGCTTCATTCAAGCCTTAGTAAGCACTTGTGTATGATATGTATGTCCTCTTATTTGGATAGTGTTCAAATCGATTCTCAAGGGAGAAGTTTTATCGACTTTAAGGACGCGTCTGCAGTCAAGTAAGCAACAAACACACATAAAAGACATGCCTAACTTATCGATAGAGAATTATGCTTATGTCTGTTGAAAAAAGACTTTAATTTAGAGGTTGATTTTCCCTTAGACACACTATGTCCTGCTATTCCTAATCGACTCAATTATATTTTATGGCTTCAAGACTTACTTGAAGATACTCATCCTAAAGATCAGCCTGTGAAAGGCATTGACATGTATAGCATTCATGACCTATTTCTACGCATACTCATCCTACTTTAGTGGTGTTGGTGCTTCATGCATTTATCCTCTTTTAGGTTGCGCAACCCATTCCCAATGGAGTTTTCTGGGTACTGAGATTAATGCCAGGTCACTGTCCTATGCCACTAAAAATGTTGAGAAAAACTGTTTACAAGACAGAATTCAACTTGAACACAACAGAGACCCAAATAAGATATTCTTGCTTGAAAAAGACATATCATATGCATTTTGTATGTGTAACCCTCCTTTTTACAGCAGCCAAGAAGAGATCGAACGAGGCCTAGCCAACAAAGAACTTGAGCCTTCTGCTGTATGTACAGGCAACCAGGACGAAATGATCACAGAAGGTGGTGAGTATGGATTTGTGAAGCGTATGATTCTCGAAAGCCTTGAACTCAAGACAAAAGTGCGATGGTACACAAGTATGATTGGACTCAAGCGAACCATACGGCCCTTGATCCGTGTCTTGAATGATCAGGGCATCACTAACTATATAGTCACGCGTTTTACACAAGGCAAGACGGTTCGTTGGGCACTTGGCTGGTCCTTTTTTCAACACAAGTCTAAAAAAGCATATCAGATTGAAACATGGCGTCCTGTCTATCAATTCGAGATTGAGTTGCCTAAACCTATGTTGTTTGTCTTGAATGAGACGAAATCTATGTTAGATGATTTAGACATTCGCTATCAAGAGGATGTTGATGGGACACTACAATGCACAGCTACTAAAAATACATGGTCAAGAGCAGCCCGTAGACAACGCAAACGACAAAAGACATTAGACGATTTAGAAGAGCCCTTTGTGTTTTCTCTTGTTATGTCTTTTAGTGCATCAGAAACTGATAGTTTTCTTCAAATCTGTTGGTTAGAGGGAGGCAACAAAGCACAATTTGAAGCATTTTGGTCTCACTTAAAGAAGCGTATTGAAGAAGCTTGTGGGTTAGACAGAGGCACTCAATTTATTAAAGCAGTTTAAGGCAATCTGCCTGAAATGAATCACCAGCCCATCTGGCTACTTGCTTCATGGCTTGAACCTTTTTTTCTGTAGCATCTTCATAGCGTAATTCGTATAATGTACACATGTTTGTAATGGCTGTTTCGCAAGTACCTGCTGAAGTAGGGTTATTGGCTGTCAATGTCTCTAGAGTATCAATCGCCTATGAAAATACCATTAATCTCAAGCAAACTTCATAATTCTTTCTTTTACCTTGGCTAAATGACCAAGATAGACTTCACAAACACCTAAATTATTCATGGCCATCAAATTATCCTTGTTCTTTTGTAATATATCTCTTGCTTGGCTCCATTCACCTTGTGCCATATAAGCGAGTGCTCTATTGGTCTCTAATGCTTCTTTTACATGATCTTGTTCTCCGTACAATGCTTCCATACGATCAAACATACGATTTGCAGACTCCATATCGCCCATTTGTAAATACAGTCGACCTAGACCTGACAAGACGTCCACTTGATCGGGTGCCTTTGTCAAGATGAGTTCCATCGTGTTTGCAGCAGACGAATAATCCTTGATATGAATCCAATGAGTGGCCAACACAAGATAGGTCTGAATCTCTCGTTGTTTCCATACACTATCGTCGGATTGTCGTTGCATTTTTTTGCAGTAAACAACCAACAAGGTAATTCGTTCAAGTGCAAGTGCAGGGTATTTCAGATGAGACGGTAAGGTAGCGAACAACATACGAAGTTCAAAAGGTACAATGGATACATGGGTAACAGGGTCAGTCAACTCAGGTCGGTCCAGATCACCGAGTTTCTCAAATTCGGCCGAAGCTAATTGACATAAGCCAAGCTTGGTCAGGGCTAATAAACGCATATGCCATAGCTTGAGTATATCTTGTACTTGAGTAGGATCGGACTGCATGATCTGTTGTCTAGCATACTTGGCTATGGATCGCCACATGTTGTTCATCTATCACGTTGAGAAGAATCCATAATGAAGTTGCTTACCACCATTGCTTCAGGTCCTTTGATAGTCTTGTCTGATTCAATATCACGTTGAGGTCTCTCATGAGGGGGCACATGGCGCTCGAGTAGATCGTTAAAAGTGTCACTCTAGATGAATAGTAAATAACAAGTCATGTCTATCTATCTCTTTTTATTTACAACTGGAATATCATAAAAGTTAGCACTACTGTTGAGTGTATTGCCAATAGAGAGTGTTATTGGTTGTTTATGGCTTCTAGCTGGTTTTGAAGGAGGAGACATGGCTGCTTCGTTTACCACTGAAGGTAAAACGACAGACTGAAGTAACACAGAGGCATCTGTTTCCATTTTATAGGAAGAAAAGAGTAATAATAATAATAATAATAATAAAAAAAGTGCTTTATTTTTTTTATATATAAATGGAAAAAAGATGTCTGCGTGTGTTTATATGGGGTGAATATGAGAAAGAGAAAGAATGTTTATATGTGTATTGTGTACAAGTGTGGACTACGATTATTCTTCCATGATTTCTTCTTCTTCTTCCATGTGTTCATCTTCGTATTCCTCATCGTATTCATCATCAACGGTGGCTTCTTGGTATTGTTGGTATTCAGAGACCAGATCGTTCATGTTGGATTCAGCTTCAGTGAATTCCATTTCATCCATACCTTCACCTGTGTACCAATGCAAGAAAGCCTTTCTTCTAAACATGGCGGTGAATTGTTCATTGACACGCTTAAACAAGTCTTGAATGGCAGTAGAGTTACCAATAAAAGTACCAGACATCTTGAGACCCACAGGGGAATGTCACAGAGAGAAGTCTTGACACTGTTGGGAATCCATTCAACAAAGTAAGAAGAGTTCTTTTGTTGAACAGCCAACATTTGGTTCTCGACTTCCTTAGTAGACAAACGACCACGGAAGATGGTGGCAGCAGTCAAGTAACGACCGTGGCGAGGATCAGAAGCAGCCATCATGTTACGAGCATCGAACATTTGAGCCGTCAATTCAGGTACGCTCAAGTTACGGTATTGTTGAGAGTTGGAAGCGGTCAAGGGAGCAATACCAACCATGAAGAAGTGAAGACGAGGGAAAGGAACCATGTTGACACAAAGCTTACGCAAATCACTGTTGAGTTGACCAGGGAAACGCAAACTGGTAGAGACACCGGACATGACGCCAGAGACTAATTGGTTCAAATCGCCATAACCAGGGGTTGTTAACTTGAGTGTACGGAAACAAATATCGTAAAGAGCTTCGTTATCGATACAGAAAGTAGCATCACAGTTTTCAACCAATTGGTGAACAGACAAGACAGCATTGTAGGGTTCAACAACGGTATCAGAGACCTTGGGAGAAGGCACAACAGAGTAAGTACTCAAGATACGGTCAGGGTATTCTTCACGGATCTTGGAGAGCAAAAGAGAACCAAGACCGGAACCAGTACCACCACCAAGAGAGTGACAGAGTTGGAAACCTTGAAGACAGTCTGTGTTTTCAGCTTCCTTACGAACCACATCCATGATAGTTTCGACTAATTCAGCACCTTCAGTGTAATAACCCTTGGCCCAAGAGTTACCAGCACCAGATTGAGCATTGACAAAGTTATCAGGACGAAAAATCTTGCCATATTGACTACTACGGATGGCATCCATTGTGGCAGGTTCAAGATCGACCAAGACAGCTCTATTTCATAAAATGAGTTGACACATCACACAACGATGGTATTCTTTACCTTGGCACATATTTGTCTTTGGAGCCTTCATTATAAAAGACGTTGATGCGTTCTAATTGGAGGTCGTTGTCGCCCCTGTAGTTACCATTCTCATCAATACCGTGTTCTTGTGAAATGGTTTCCCAGAATTTTTGACCAATCTAATCAAGAGACGTTGAGTGATAGGTTCTTTAATAGTATGATTTTTATATTTTACCTGATTACCACATTGACCTATAATTATTTAAAGAAAAAAAGAAGTAAGAGAAGGTTTAGAAAAAAAAAAGGGGGGAGAGACTCAAAGTATGCTTTCTTACCAGCTTGCAAGTGAATGATTTCTCTCATGTTTGATATTATATGTGTATTAAAGAATTAAACAACTAAAAAAAAAAGTCTATAAAGAAGAAGAAGAAAAAGAAAAGAAGAACAAAAAAAAAAAGGTAAGTTTTATATACACGTATAACTTATTTTTACCCAAAAAAAAGGTGTGTTTAACTCAACGAAAAGGAAAGAAACCTCGTATAAAAAAAATATTTTATTTATTGTCGATTTTAAAAAAGTCACGCCTTGTTCTCCAAAAAAGAGTCATTCCACGCGGTTATTTTTTGATTTGAAATAAGTGAGCCCTATCGGACACTGTCTTTTTCTGCTCTTCTTTCATAACACTATTATGGCAAGTTACCTTTCTTTCTCTCTCTTTTCAGGTTTCGTTTCCAATTTATATATGTGAAAAGAAAAACACGGCCTTTTGTTTTTTTTGTGGCATTGCTTCGGAGATTCTACCTTGGATAAAATGACGATTTTGATGAAATGTATATTGATCGTTTACTGAGCCAATAAAACAAAGTTCTCCTTTACAGTGGATATACGCTACCCTGAACTCCTCGCATTGTCAAGGGGTTTAGGATAAAAATCTGCATTTGAACATGTATAATACCAATGCTGAGTACACTTGTTTTTGCTAGACATAGTCATGCACTCCGTCTGTTTTTTTTTCCAAGAATATGGGCTAAGAAAAAAACATGTTCAGGACAACGGAGCAGTTCAAGCCAGATATAAAACTACTATAAAATGATGCAGATGGCTTGTTCTTTTATGGATAGGTTACAGTTCTGACCATGATTGGTTGCGGGAAATGAAGGGGAAGTTTGTATGGTTTCCAAAAAGAGAACTTGCTGGTTCCTGAAACTGCTAATAGCATAAAAATCAAATTTTACCACACAGGCCATATGCGAAAATAGATGAGTTATTTGGGGTGTATAGACATGTGTCGCATAAATTAACCTCATTCTCTAATATAGGCTTTGACAATGAGGAACGTTCATAAGAGGAAAGTAGTTTCAATGGCAGAAACTTGTTGAAGAAAAAAAGGGGGGTGGGCGCTGAAGCAGAGGAGTATTTGGTTACTACTTGATCATTAAGGCTAGCTTACTAATCAATTCACAAAAAACCTTATGTGCTATTCTTGCTAGTATGGGAATACAGTTTTTGTTTTTAAGCATTACACATGAGCGTATTCTTACATAAGCAATTGTTTATTATTTACATATGGTGTACATAGCTTAGTTTGTGTGTTCATAAATAAGTAATTAGGAAGCGTTTTTTTCAATCAACAAATTGCGCAGAAACTTAATTTCAAGTTCTAATTCCTTGACTCGATTTTCAAGTGTTGTTGATTTCTCTGCCATTTCTTTTACGGTTTTCTCCATAGTTTGTTCACGTTGTTTCTTCTTGATACGGAACCGTGCACTGGCAGCTGTATTTCGCTTTCTTTTCTCTTCTTCAGTAGGATCTTTTTTTGGACTTTCATGTTGATGTTGTTGCTGCGGAGAGGGAAGGGGCGTTAGGCTGCTATTATAAACAGCAGAAGCGATGAGTAATGTTTTGCTCATTTCTTCTAGTGTCATAGAAGGAGATATCTTGGGTAAAATGACAGGTGTCTTATTGGATATCAGTTTCTGTTCAGTTGACATGATTTGTTTCTGTGCAAGTTCATAGTAATTGACGACATCTTCACCAGAGAGACTAGCAGCTGTTGATTTAGGACTTGATGATATGCTCTTAAGTTCATCATCATGTGTGAATTGAACATTTGTCTAGATCAGATGAGTACAACAAGAACGAACGAAGCAACTAGACTTACCCAAAGGCTTAAATTATTTTCTAATTCGATATCTGATCTTTTGGGTTCAATGATAGAACCGAACACAAGTGGATCTAGACTGCTGCTATAAGGTGAGAATGACATGAAGGAAGAAGAAAAGAAAAGAAATGAAAAAAAAATGTCAAGTGTAACTTATAGTTTGGTGACTTAACAGCTGCTTAGTAATTCAACACCCTTTCATTTCATGCTTCTTTGAGTGGCTTTTTCTTAGGTTCTAAAATTGGTTGAAATCGTCACTTTCCCGTAAAGATGATGCAAATCTTGATTTCAAATACATATCTCTATTTCAAGATGGATGTGCTTGGACCATGCTTATACAAAAATTGTATGATTTTTCTGTCAAAACCAGTTTTTTTTTCTAAAAAAAAGACAAGACTTATGGAGTGTCACAAACAAATTGAAAGGGTAATTTGTTATTGATCAATAGAGGTCTAGAAAACGATAGAACTACTGCAATAGAACAGGCAAGTAATGCTGCCAAAGCATAAATGATATGCTGGCACATACGATGCCCAGGAATGTGCCTGCAATGACTTGTGCTCTTGTATGATGCCCCAGGCTTACACGCGACCAAATAACGGCTAGGGAAAAACAATGAAAAGCCAACATAAATAATTTCGCTTTAGTGCCTGGAATTGCCATGACAACGCACTGCAAGTACGTCGTAAAAAAACTAATAGCAGCTGAATGAGAAGAAGGCATGCCATAGCTTGTCTTTTTCTTGGTTTGTTGAGGCCGTGGTTGTTTGATGATCTTCTTGAGTACCTTTGCAATCAGGGTTGTCAAGATGGCGCAAATAATAAAGTAAACAACATGAATGGATTGTAGATAAAGTAAAGTGAAAAAAGTGCAAATAATCACTATTTCCCTAGTCTAGAAAAAAAAATCAGATGATGATAAGTATGTTAACTTTATTTACGTATGATAAAATGTTTAATATTGGTGATCTCATAAAAAAAAAAAAAGAGAGAGGAGGGAGGCTATGTGACAAAATTGAAGTCTATATATAAAATAGTATGATATGCAAAACAAAAAGGTTAATAAGTGTACGTTGACCTGTTCACTTTCCAAGGTTGTCAGTAATATGTTTTATACAAAACTTCAGTCTAGGAAACAATTCTTCGACCGATTTAGGCAGTTTAAAGGTAGAATGGATGATAAAAGACAGCTAATGTAAGGTAGCCACGTTGATAAATGGGGAGTAAAGGAATGCCTAATTCTTTTTCAAGACCTCCTTGTAAAAAGAACTCTTCAGAGAAAATGATTGCTCATTTTTTAGCACTATCAAAAGGCTATGCTTAAATGTGTTTATGCAGTTGCTTAGGTCAGTGCATTTGATAATAGCACTACAGATAATCAGACGCTCGTTTTCTGAATCATTTGATAAATGTAAAACAATTCGATGTGTTCCGCTAGTTTCTTGATGTTATCTACGTAATTGCGGTAGTATCCCATATCTGTACATAGAATGCTTTGTGCAATGATCTTTCTAAAAACTAAGAAAATGTAAGGATTCAATCATCATAAACGACACACTTACTCTTATACTCGGGTTGTAATTTGATGTGAATCATTGATTTAAGTAATGCTTGCTTGAAAACTTAAGGAATGTTATACAATGAGAGCTTTTCAAGGCAGGGACTCTTGAAGCATTGCTCCAATATAGGTGCATAGACGCCAAATAGATTTTAATTTGATGCACACTTGGTACAATGTACCAATATAGATGTAATGTTTTATACTACTTGGTGTCTGAACACCTACATTGGGTTCTATCATCTTTTTACTCAAAAATAGAAAAAAAAAGATATTTATGAGCGATTATGACAGAGCTTGTATGATAGCTGAATGTTAAATAAAAGTGAAGGACAAAAAAGAGCATTTATTTCTCAAAGAAATGTGCTTATTGAAGTATTTGATTATCAGGTTTCTTATGCACCACACTCTATCAGAGTACCGGATAGAGAGGGGATAGTCTCAAAAAAAAAATACAAAATGCATAAATGTATTTCTTTAACGGCGAACACTCTGCCCTCTCCAAAAGAAACATGGATGTATAAGTTTTGACAATATAATTGTATTAGTTTTTTAGTATCTCTCTTAGCTTCACTTAAAATAAAATTAATATTTAGATAAGATCGGATGGTATTGTCGAATAGAGTTTTATTTTTGATGCTTTGAAGCTTAGTGTAAGTGAAGGATTCTGAGTTTAAATCATATCCTCAGTTCAAAAACTAAAAGTGTCTAAAAACGAAAAGCTATCAGAAAAGTGTATTAACAAAACTGGTAGATATAAATATACTGCATTAAATGGTGTAAAGAAAGTAGCATGTTTAAAACCAAGATAATGGGGTATCCTCCAAAAGCGTGTTTACTGTTTTTGAGCTGTAGTGTACATTCTTTATAGTACTTTTGTAAATATAACACTTTGAATGTATTTTATAGACCTAGAGAAGCAATTCATACTAAGACATGCTATGTCTAAAATGTCTCTATCAAACTCAAATCTCAAAATAGTGAAAAATGAAGATCTGTAAAGGCATTATAAGGCCAAATAACGATTTTTTGACTTTTTCAAAACTTGCTTTATTTTTGCATATGTTCTTTTATGTGTGCGCAAACATAAAAAACTCAAAAGAAAGGAATTAGATGGCAGAAATGATGGTTCATCATGATAAACAGTCGCGCCTGCAGTGGGCTGCCAATCTGCCGCTGGTGCTATTATGCCAATACTACGTTTCAAGCTACTTACATTGAGTTTTTTGCAAATGGAAATCTTAAATAAAGATGGCCTCATAAAGCTTTCAAAAGAATCTAGTGAGTAAATTATGGGCTATAGCCCTTATATAAAAAGGTATAAAATGAAAGGAAAGTGAATAATAATAAATTGTAAGGGAAGCAATCGTGTCTAAATGACTTCCTTATATACAACATTATCAGTATGAGGCCCTTGTACGTTTAGAAAATCATTGGTTGTCCTTAAATTTTGTTAATCTTTATCTTAAAGGCAGGTCAAAATGAAAGTTTGAGTTCTTTGAATGATGCAAACGCTTGTTGTTTGTTTGAAACAAGGTCGATTCTTTGAATAAAAAAAAAGATTTAGGATTTGGCTCTTTGGCAATCATAGCCACAATGAGATGTCTTTGAATGAGCGGCATGTGAGCCTTTTGAACGTATTGGAGAGAAAAAGTTAGAAAGCGTGTAAATTTTGTTTTTAAGCATATAAATTATATAAATGTTTAGTCTTTGATGTGAAGAAAAGAACATGTCGTACAAGATCAGGAACAATTGAATTACTTTATGGACTGCCATCTAAAAAGAGTCACAATAGAAAAATTTTAAAGCACTGGAATATCTGTAGAAAATTAAAAAACCTCCTCTTTTTATTCTTCAAGACTTTAGGATGTAAGCTTCGTTTTTAATTTGAGAGTAATTGAAAGAGAGAGGAAAGGGAAGGAAGGGAGAGGGTTGATTATGACGAAATAAAGCATTATGTCTTGCATTACAAAAATCATTAATTGTTTTGCAAAGGGTTAGCCTTCTTGTTCAAAAGCGTCTTGCTGCTTCAGTCCTCAAGTGTGGTCAAAGAAAGATTTGGCTTGATCCCAATGAAGTCAATGAAATCTCCAATGCCAACTCTCGTAAGTAAAAAGAAAAAAATGGAAAAAAGTGGAAATCAGTGAATATGTATATCTCATCCTTACAATCCTTAGGTGCCAACATCCGTAAGCTTGTCAAGGATGGTTTGATTATCCGCAAGCCTGAAATCTCTCAATCTCGCTTCCGTGTCCTTGAACGTGCTGCTGCCAAGCGTAATGGTCGCCATATGGGTTACGGTAAGAGAAAGGGTACTGCAGATGCCCGTATGCGCACCCAAGTTATCTGGATGCGCCGTATGCGTGTCCTCCGTCGTTTGCTTGCCAAGTACAGAGAAGCTGGTAAGATTGACAAGCACTTGTACCACTCTCTTTACCTTAAGTCTAAGGGTAACGGTTTCAAGAACAAGCGTGTCTTGATGGAACACATCCACAAGGCTAAGGCTGAAAAGGTCCGTGCTAAGACTCTCGCTGAACAAGCTGATGTTCTCCGTGCCAAGAACAAGGCTCTTCGTGAACGCCGTGCCAACAAGAAAACTGCTAAGGCTGAATAAGTCATTAAAACATTTAAATTCAGGGGCATTTAGAGTGTGACAACCAGATATTAAATAAAATAAAATAAAAAAGAGAAGTCCGAGAATAGAAGATTGTTTTTTCTTTTTCTTTTTCCTTCTTATAAATGGCTAGAAGAAAAGAAAGTATCATACAACAGCCATGGGATTTAATAAGTTCAGCAAGAAAAAGAAATAAAACGCATGTTTCTACCATTATAAAAAGTGCATACCTTTCAGTGTTTATCCTTCTTTGTTTCAATCAATACTCACATGCCTTATAGACTCTCCTACTCCTCCTGTAGTAACAACACAAGATGTTATCGCACAACGTTCACAAAGTTTTGCTTATGGCTCGAATTATAAGCAAAAGCATTATGTTCGAAAACATATATATTCTGCTTTATTGTCTCGAATTGCAATTGAATTAAGACAGCGCATCACCTTATCAGATCATATCAAAGACGACATTGAATACAAGAATAGCTTCGATGGAAAAGAAATTGTTGTGCGTAACCTATAATAACAAACTCAAGTGGGCTCATTTATTTTTAGGACAAAATTGCCTTAATTACTCAAACATCAGATAGAAAACTAGCATTGCGAATTGGAAAAGCCTTGAGCGAGCAACGTTTCTTCCACGATGTCAGCTACGAAACTCAATTGATAGATTCATCTATTTACATTTATGAGTTTACTAGTCGTAATTTCTACAGCTCTCAACCAAATGGAAGTGATAGTTGGAGTGAAAATGAATCACAAGAAGGTTTTGAGCATGATACTTCCAATTTTCCTAATGGAATTATCACCGAATTGACACATTGCTACGTGCCTACTTGTTGGGATATACGACCTTGTTACAGCCTTACTTGTCCGAAAAGATTACAGGTATTGTCATTATATAATCAGCAAGTCATCTCATGGGTTCTATTTTGTGAACATTTCCTTTTTCAGATAAAATACATTGAAAACGAAGAAGAAGGCATGCTTGTACAAAAACCCTCTTCACCAACCTCGTTTTTACACAATGATCTCTGGGCAGATAATGTAGATCAAGAAACGTATTTCTCTCTCCCCAAAACTGAAAGGAAGAGACAAGAAAACTTGTACGAATTAATATATACCGAAAAAGACTATGTACAGAGCCTAGACTATTTACTTAATGTACGTCTGCAACTATAATATTTAAGCTAAAAAAAGGAAACTTGCATAGATGTGGATCAGACCATTGACCGAAAGGCCTATTATTCCAGCGTCTCGAAAAGAATCATTTGTTCGCAAAGTGTTTGGCAATGTTGAAGACATTTATCGAATTAATAGTAGGCTTCTACATGCTCTTCAATTACGCCAAAGTCAACAGGCCGTTGTTCATCGAATTGGTGATATTTTATTAGAGTACGTGATTGAATTTGAGCCTTATATTAGCTATGGCTCAAAACAATATGAAGCTAAATTTGCCCTGGAAAACGAAAGATATATCAACCCTAATTTTGATGCATTTGTTACAGTAAGAAGGCAGAAAAAGAATAATGCAATTATTGATTGTTTTCTAGACAACAGAACGACACCCTAGCTCATTGAAACTGGAACTGAATGGCTATCTTACAAAACCAACTACTCGACTTGGACGATACACCTTATTATTAAATGAAATCCTAAAACATACCCCACCTGATCACCCAGATTTGGAAGATTTACCAAAAGCAGTAACCATCATTAAGCGCTTTTTATCCCGAGTCAATGCAGAGACCGGTAAAGCCAAAAATCGATTCGATCTAGAGCGAATCCATTACAATTTATCTTTCAAATACAAGGCAGATGAAATGGTAGAAAAAGAAAATAGTTCTAATCGCCTTCTAATACATTTCAGAACCTTGATTTACTAGACAAAAGTAGGTCTATTATCAAGCAAGGTACACTAAAGAAATCACCTCAAATTGATTCTGTTGAGTATCAAGTAATTTTGTTTGATCATTATTTGATTATTGCCAAACTAAAGATTTCAAATGGTACTGAACGTTACATAATTCAAAGAAGAGTAAGTTAGTCACATACTTTTGTTTACTCATTCAACTTTAGCCTATTCCTATAGAGCTTTTACATGTATATTTACCTGACACAGCTATTTCACAGAACAAGAGATCAAGTACATTAGCATTGCTGTCACCAACAGCCCCTGGAACACATATTCGAGCTTCAATTGATATTGGGTCTCAATTGAATTCGGCAAATTCAACAAGTATCAATGGGAATAAAACAATCCATTATCCAATTGCGTTTCAACATTTAGGACGCAATACGCTCAAACAGTACATTCTCTATACAACTTCTCATGCTACAAGAAAGCCATGGGTTGAGAAAATTAGAGAGCGACAAGAGGAGAAAAACAAAAAGAGTCCTATCTTTGAACTATTTCCTGTTATTCCTGAACATACTTTCAAAGAATCAAATCGGATTAATCATTTTATTACATTCAGTAAGCCCTTTTTTCTTTATTAAAATCATGTATTTATTTTGTTTAGATGGTGGTCAGCAATATCTTTTGGCTACGGACGATGGCGTTTACGTAGGGCATCATAATGATCGTCATACAGACACAACGCCTCATAAAGTACTTTTACTTGAAAAAGTGACGCAGATTCAAGCTATTGAAGGCACAGGAACATTACTTGTTTTAGCAGACAAGACATTATGGGAGTACCCATTAGACGTTGTCAACGGTAAACCAGAAACGCAGCCTTCAGGTCGGTTTGTTCAATCTAATGCACCTTTTTTCTATACTGGTATCTGCTTGAAAAAGATGATGGTGTGTGTGCCCAAGATTTCTACATTAAGGTCCGTTATTACTGTCTTTGAGGCCGTCAAACGCTCGGAAGGAGGAAATAATACAACTTCAATTACAAAAACGACTACTAGCAGACGGTCAAGTCATATGCTGGATCGTTTATTATCAATTCGTACTTTGGCTCAACCTTCAGATGATTTACATTTAAAAAAGCTCAAGGATACCTATGTGCCTTGTGAAGCATATGCTGTTGAATTATCTGCCTCCATGATGCTCATTACATCTTCAAGAGGCATGATCATGATTGACATGAGAACAGATCAACCTCAGCGTAAGTATAACATGTCTTGCTTACTTGCATTCACCCGTTATTTTAGAACTGCTTAATCCAGGCGATAGAAATCTTGCTTTTATTCTTGAACGAGAAAGAGAAGTATCTTCTTCATTGCATTTGCGACAACCTATTAGACATATTGCTATCTTTAGAACACCTCGCAATCATTATTTTATGTGTTATGATGGTAAAGGGAGAAATTATCAGTTTTGAACTAACAAACACTTGTTAGAATATGCTTTTTATATAGATAGCAAAGGAAATCGACTATTTACAAAATTTCTTATTGAATGGGAAGGCGCACCTGAGTCTTTTGCATTTTGTTACCCATTTGTTTTAGCATTTGACTCTTCTTTTATCGAAGTTCGTAATGTGGTTACAGTAAGTGCTTCGATATTGTTATTACTCTTAACATGATGACAGGGAGCGATTGAACAAATTATACGCGGAAAGCACATGCGATGTTTGAACAATGGTCACAAGACAGAACTCTCTCTCATTTTTGGTTCTAAAATTGACTCAATGAACGAAAATTATCAATCTATATTTGAAATTCGGCTCGTAGCAGAGCCTTTTATTACAGTTGGCGTCGAGCCATCTACTTTGAACTAATTGTCTTAATTTAATAATAATAATAATAATAATAAATTTAATAATCGTCTTTCAATCGCTCAGAAGCTTCGCGAATGGCAGCAGCAACATGCTCTTCTGCTTGGCGGACACGAACATAATCATGATTAGCAATACTCTCTGCAATAGCAGGGAAGACTTGAGAAGAATAACCAGTCCATAATCCAGGAGCATATACGACATGTTTGAACCATTCGCGTCCCTTGAGACCTTCTTGATCAATAAATCCACGTTCAAAAAATGTAAGGCGATTGTTGGCTTGGTTGATGCGTTTCAACAAGTTGGAATCTGTATGTACAGAAGAATCTTGAAGACGCTTTTCGAGTCGTTGTCTACGACGTTCAAAACGACGTGTTGTCTTTTCTAATGTGTCAAGAGCACTATCCAAACGAGGGAAGCTATGTGGAGAAGCAGATGAAGTCAAACTTTCAGAGTATTTTCGAAGTTCTTTATAATAGTCTGAAGGATAAAGAGGAATGATGGTAGAGTCAGCAAGACGCAAAGTAAGTAAGCCCCAAATCTTGACAAGGGTTTGGTGGTAAAGGAATTGAGGATCACCAAACTTTTCCATCCAGTGGAAACTGTCATAATTGCTGTGGTAAACACCATAGTCGCCATTGAAATGCAAGTTGACACTGGCAATACCGACGTGATCTAAGAAACCAACAAAATCACTACCAGAACCTAACTGACCTACTGGAGGAGGAGATGTCTTGGCAGTAGCAGACCATGCTTCATATACTGACTTGCCGGTGTTAGGATCAGTGATTTCGGAAGTTACTTGATACAAGAGTCTACTGAGAGAAGGAGAGGCTTCTGACAAGAAATTAGGACCAGATACAGCAGTATCCACATTGATATAGACAGCTCCCTCCTTATTAAGCCATTCTCTGTGATCTTCAACCCATTCTGTAGATCCTACAAGGCCATATTCTTCGCCATCCCAGGAAGCTAAGATGATAGTACGTCTAGGGCGCCATCCAGTTTTCAAAAGCTCACCCAGGACACGTGCCAATTCTAAAAGAGCAGCAGAACCAGAAGAAGGATCAACAGCACCATAAACCCAAGCATCACGGTGGTTACCTAAGATGATAGTCTTATCAGGCTCGTCTGTACCTTCAATACGAGCTGTAACATCCCAGATAGGCGTAATTTTGTTTTCAACATGATTTGTCAAGATAACTTCTCCTTCAGTAGGACCACTGAAATAGTCGACTTCTTCAAGGCCACCTTTCCAGTCACTATCTCCGTAAACACCTAGTCCTTGTGTAGCTTTTAAAAGAGGTAGAGCGTCTTCCCATGATAAGGGTAAAGATGGGATCTTGGCAAGTCCGATAGATTCCTCGGGTTTGATACGAACAGCGTCTTTAGTAGCAGCATACCCTGGAGTTAATGGATCGCCAGCTAGCAATGACAAGTATTGTACAGATCCCCTCTGTGCAGAGCTCTTTGATCGCCATGGACCCTTTGGATAAGACTCAGCAGGATTATTGGTTTCATCCTTATTCAATGGTCCGTCATCAATAGGGTCTGAATAAATTAAGGCACCAACACAACCATAGACTTCAGCAGCTCTTACTTTAAGACCACGGAAAGATCCTCCATAACGAACAAGAGCAATAGTACCATTCAGATTAATACCCTTCTGTTTCAAAAATTCAAAGTCTTCAAGACGACCATAATTTGCATAAACAACACGACCAGTCACAGTACCATTCTTGGAATAGCCATGGAAAGTAGGAATTACGTTAGGGTCTCTGCTTGTTTCGTCTTCATCCACGGGATCCTCGGTCAATTTGGCCTCAAAACGCAAATGCTTAGGTCCAGAAACAAGTGCTAAGCGATGAGAAATAGGGTAATTTAAAAGAGGATAATATGTTTCAGTCTTGGCATCAAGTCCAAAGCCCATGAATTGATCGCGTGTCCATTCAGCCTGCTTCTTGTCATTTTCTGTTCCTGCTAGATGGGCTTCTGAGGTGTAAATTTTTAAATATTCACGAATGCTATCATTAGAAGGTAATTCAAGCATAATTCTCTCAGAATTGACTAGGCTAGGAGGATTTGGCTCTAATGTACTTATTAGATCAAACTTTTTTCTTTCTTTTTCTTTATTATTAGTACTTACTTGATACTCGCTTATCATCATGATCAAACCAAAGAGCGATTGTGACACCCAAAGCAATAAGAGCTAAAACAAAGGCAGTAATTGTGACAATAATACGGAAGGTTGTGCGCCGAGGAGGATTGACTGTTCCTCTTTGCCCATCTAATAATGGAGTGTTTTCGTCTTGATCCCCATTCCATTTCTTATTAAACCAGTTTCGAGCCTGTTCAAAAGGACCTCTGTTGTCATCATCTGAAGGTAAAGGGATACCACCAGCCATTTTATATTAACAACAGAAAAAAAAACAGAAAAAGTGGAAACAGCAGAAGTTCAAAAAGCAAATTTAAACGATAACGGAGTTTCGTTCTGCAATAAGGAAAAATTGCCGTTCTGTGAATTACGATTGCATTAACCTATCATTTCCGATAGCTCGGCAAGATATGACAAAGGATATCTTTGTCATAATAAGTACAAATGACGAATCTATTTCCCACTGATATTGTGGGCTATAATTTTAGTACGAGTTTGCATTAAAAACTCACTTCTACAGATATAAAGCGGTATTAAGTTTTCCCTTGTTGAAACTCACAGGCACAAAAGGGTAGATAGGGAACTTCTTGTTTATTAGCACGATCTCAGTTAACAGTGGAACTAGGGCGTCTCACTACGGTAATAACAAAATTCTCTGTTGATGTGATAGTACTTCCGTACAATGTATTCGTTACCTCACTAACACTTGTAATACCTATAGTTATTAGTTCAGTTGCAGTCGCGTATACGGTCCTTCTAATGGTTTGCCCAGTGCCCAGTAGATATCGTGTGACTTGTACAGTGGAACCACTGGCTGTAATGGTACTACCAGGTCGAGTCGAAGTTGTGGGGACTAGACTAGTAACTGTTGCTGTTGTTGCCTGTGTTGTTGTGGTTGTTACAGTTACTAAAGCTGTAGTGGTTGCTAGAGTTGTGGTAGTTTCTGTAGCTAAAGAAGGCGCAGTGATTGTAGCCAATGCTGTAAACATTATTGTAGAGATTGATGTGGTGGCCGCAGAGACCTCTGTAGTAGTAGCGATGGAAATTGCTGTTGTAGTGGATAATGCCGTAGAGATTGCTGTAGTAGTAATCAATTCTGTTGTAGTAGCAAATGCTGTAGAAACTAATGTAGAGAAATTTGTGGTAGCTACAGATGTTTGTGTGGTTGTACTTATAGAAAGTTCTGTAGTAGTACTTAGAGACAATGCTGTAGTAGTAGCAAATGCTGTGGAAACTAATGTGGAAAATTCTGTAGTAGTTGCAGAAGCTTGTGTGGCAGTAGTTATAGAGAGTATGGTTCTGGTATTTGATGCTGTAGAAACTAGTGTAGAAGTTTCTGTAGCAGTAGCAGTTGTAGTAGTAGTTGTAGTGGCTAGCGCTATGGAAACAATAGTGGAAAAGATATTTTTGGCTTCAAGGATCTCTGTAGTAGTAGCAGTTGTTGTAGATAATGCTGTAGAAACTATTGTCGAAGTGGCTCTGGTAGCTGCAGAAGCTTCTGTAGTAGTAGCAGTCGTTGTAGCAGTTATAGTAGCCAATGCAGAGAGTTCTGTAGTAGTAGTAGTTGTCGTAACGATACTGGTAGTTAAGGCTCTGGAAATAAATGTAGAGACTTCTCTATTGACAGTTGTAGTGATTAAAGCTGTAGTAGTTGAAAGCGCGGTTGTTTTTTCGGTTAGTGTCTCTCCTGGTTCAATTTCTGTTGTAGTTTCTGTCAATATCTTTGCTTCTGCAGCTGTTGGATATACTGATTCAGTTGTAGTCGTTTTTTCTGTTGTGGTATCTGCTATCTTTTCTTTTAACGTCACGGCCGTTTCTGCTTGTAATGTATTCTTTTCCGCAGTTGTTATCAAAGTGATTGTATCAGTTTTGATAGCTGGTTCTGTTACTGTGGTTGTTTTCTCAATTGTTTCAGCTTCTCCTTCCGTTAATGTTGTAATTCTATCTGTGGTTATTCTTTGTGTGGCCGTTGTGGTAGTTGTTGCGGTTACTCTTTCTGTTGAAGTTTCCGATTTTATTCTTTTTGTCTTTGTTGAGACTGAGGTAGTTGTCAATGTTATTTTTTCTATTGAAGCTGGTGCTGTAGTTTCTTGTGTTATAGTCGCATTTTCTGTTGTGGTTGTGGTCTGTGTTGAAATTGCTTTCTCTGTTACTGTGGCAGTTTGAGTCTTTGTGAACGTCTCTGGATCCCGAGTCGTTTCAATGACCGAGGAAATAGTAACAAATCTTAAAACTTCTTTTATAGAAGGTATTGGTGGTAGCAAGGTTGTTTGTATTGTCACTGTTGATGCCTCTGCTGTTTGAGTGATCGTTGTTGATTGCTGAACTGTGACAGTGGGTGCAGTTTTTGTACTTTCGGAGACAATTGTCTTTTCTGTAGTTACAGTCAATACAACAGGATTTAATGTAGCTATCGGACTAAACTCGGATGGCTGCAAATGAGGAGCTCTGGAAGCGCCGACTTGAACATTTTGAGATACTTGTACTTTTACAGGTCCCATTTTTTGCATATCGTTTTCTTCCCATGATTCTTCTTTTTGTATCTTTTCTTGGTATTGATCGCTATCTTTCTCATTGTGTCCTTCATCGTCGCTATCACTATCACTACCACTATCATCATCGTCGTCATCATCGTCGTCTTCATCGTCTTCTTCTTCACCTCTTTTAAGTAAACGAGACTTTTCCTGGAACGGTATGTATGAAGGTGCGGACATTTGGTAATAATCATTATTTATTTGATACTCAAACTGTAAGTCTGTTTTTCTTGCCTGGTTGTGTAGAAGGCATACAGTAAAGCTGCCTGCATATGATTAATGAGAATACATTCTTTTGCTCATCTTACCATGTCTTGGATCAAGCGATATTGGACAGTTGTTCAGTGAGGATGTTGTGATTGTAGTTGTGATTGGAGAGGCCAATATGGTTTGGAAACCAATAACAAATAGCCATAATGATCGCATCAAACTATAACTTAGAGAAAAGAAAGAACTGTATTTCTTTAACAAGTCCCTGAAAAATTCCATTCAAAGAATGGACTCTAGTACAAATTTAAATCAATATTCAATAATTTACTGCTTCTTTTTGATTTATTGTTGTAATTATAAATAATTAATGTAAGGTATCTAAAGCAATTGCTATGTATGCGTATATGAGTCTAATGTGAATTGGTGTATAAATATAATCTCAAACTTCATCAGCAGTAGATTTTTTACTCTTCTTTCTAACACAGCATTTTACGCAGCTGCTTGTAACACGCATTCTACGTTTAAGCTGTTTAAGTGTAAAGTAATGATGGAGTGCCTTATTGTCCATTATTCTGTCTTGTCGCATTGTTTGATCTTTATCAATAAGTACAGACATACACGCCTATCAAAAAAAAAAAAAAAAAGTCAGAAAAAAAAACTAGTTTGTTGTTACTTACAGCTACAGACATAACGACACCCAATGTACTACTGGCAGCAACCATGAACATGATGCATTGCTGATAAATAACAGCTTCCATCATGGGCGTACCAGCCATAATCTGACCTGTCATCATACCAGGAATGTTAATCATTCCCATGACACTTAATTGAGTAATAACAGGAAGCAAAGCGACACGAATAGCATCTACCGCCAGCGGTAAAGAAGCTTCATATCTTGAAGCACCAAAAGAAAGACGTGTTTCAAGCATGGGTGCATGTGTACTAGACTTTGCGTTAGAATAAGATAGGATAGGCACATTTATCGTTTACCTAAACTGGTCCAAACAGCGCTCAATGGCCATAGCGACACTGCCCATCGAGTTACCTAAGAGCATACCAATAATGGGTATAAAAGTAGGAGGATCCCAGAAAGGATCTGACTTCAACACAAATGCTGTTCCGACGTATGTTATCAGCAGATTACTGATGAACAAAATCGCGAGCATAATGGGAAACTAAGCTAACATTAGAACTTTTTGTGTTATCGAGGAACTTTGTATTTGTCCTACCATGCCCTTGAATGTTTTCTTTGTTCTGTTAAAAACTGTTTCGTATGAACCTAGAATAACAAGTACGACTAATATAACCTTGGTCAGAGAGATTTCTATGTATGTTTTCTATATATACTTTACTTGACATTGCAATGACAATACCCATATGTTCTGTTTTTAGCACATCATCTAGTATCAAACCCTAATTCAAAATGATTTCAGTTCCCGGTATGTTTCATTTTCTTTATTCTTACCATCAATGATAATTGAAGAACACATCGAAAACCGGATACTAGTAATGATAATTCTAATTTGGTACCTAATAATGCACTGACAAGAGCTATTGTTGTTTTCTGTTAAAGAAAATTTTCTAAGCAGACAAAAAATATGTACCTGCAATGATTAAGGCAGTTGATGCTTCAGTGACGTTCCACCATGACAATTCTGGTTGTTCAATAGCACCCATTTTATATGAAGCAAAATTAAAGATGAAATGTAAAGAAAAAGCAGAAGAAAAAAATTGACGGATCCTCTAATATTTTTTTCGAAAGAAAAAAAAATGTGTCACAAGTCCAGTGATTAAAACTAATCTGATCTTTTTTTTAGAGCTTAATGTGTACGCCATACCTTATTCGTTTATTTTCCTGACACAAGAAAAAAAATCAGATAAATGTTAGTGCAAAAAAAAAATTTCATTTAAGAAAGACAGCTATTACGTTTTGCTTAACATTTGACATATATGCTTTGTACATATAAGAAGAAAGAAGAAAAAAATAAGACATTGTTAAATAACGTTTCGACTGTACGAAGCGATTGTTGCTACAAACATAGACACGGGTGTAAAAGTGTTTGGTACTCAGTTGCATAACAGTGTGACGAAAACAACCTGATGATTCTTGCATATTTTAAATACGCGACAAATTCTAATGTTTTTAATGTCACTTCAATCAAAAACATAAAAGAAACCTTGCCTGCGTTATTTACAAATAAAAGAAATGTCGGCTAATCTATTATTCAGAAAGTTAAAAAAAAAGAAACTGATTTTCATTCTTTTTAAAACAACGACAAACACAAGAAAACAAAGAATGAGTACAATGATCTCGGTTCCATCTGAGTAAAAACAATGACTGTTCCTGGAAAAAAGAAAATCGTTTTTTCATAAAATAATTCCCCGGTGTCTTTGTTTTATAAGAAACAAATGCTTCATTTTTTATTTGACCAAAATATACTTTTTTTATAGTTAGAAAAAATAGGAGAAAAACAAGGATAGAAAAAAAGAAAGTGCATTAAATAAAAGAGATATGAGTATTTTATAAATTACAGTTGCTCTCCAGAGGCAACTATTTCTGCAGCAACTGTTTTTATTCTTGTTACAAGATGTCTTACGTCTTGATGACACTGCAAGGCAGCATCCACTGTAGTCGTTGTCGTCGTCGTTGTACAATCTTTAGAGGGTAATAATGCAGATCTTTCAATCTCCGTTTTTAATGCCTGCAGTTGCACCCTGACTTGATGAACAAACCCTTCTGTATTCAATTTGAATTGTTCCTTGGTGTTGGCTAAATGTTCCATCGTCTGTCGACGCTTCAAGAGCTTGATTTCTATAAGTTCCATGGTGCATTCGCTCTTTTCTTTGATATAATTAATTTGTTCAATCAAAAGTCCATAATCCTTTTTCAAAAGTGCAGCTTCGCGGTCGCAACGAGCTCTCAATTGTTTTACTGAATCTCTCAACAAAAACTGCTGATACTCAAGGTGCCTTTTTTCTTTTAAAGCGCTATCTCGATCATGTTGTATTACTTGTTCCCTTTTTCTTAGATCCTCCAGCTGAGCTCGCGATGTCATGGCTTGATTCTTGAGTTGCTTTACTTTATTTTCAAGTGCCAAAGAAGAACCCTTGGTGCGTTCTAGTATTTTTTGCTTTGATTCAAGTATCTGCATGGTTTCTTGAATGTGATTACGAATGGCCTTATTATTATTTGTATAGTTTGATGCCTCTTTTTCATATTGGAGTTTTACTTGACGAGCGCTTTCGATCTAAAGATCTATTTAGATCAATGGCAGCATTTTATATTTTTACCTGTATTTGAGTAGCAGCCAATTCTCTTTGAACAGATTCATATTTACTTGTCAATTGATCCACCATTTTCAAGGAAGGACTCAATGGTTGAGGTTGAGATATAGTCATTGGAGGACTCATTAACAAACTAGAGCTATGAGCAAAAGACTCTTGTACATAAAGCATATTGAATGAAAATAAAATAAAAAATAAAAAGCAAGCAAAAAAGATAGGAGGAAAAAAAAGAGAGCTACAATTATGCAGTTTTTTAAAGTATGGAGTCAATAAAGGGACAACACGTGTGTTCTAGGGCTTTGTTTACAATAGGAGAGAACAAGCTATTGTCGGAAACATTTCCATGTATCAAGCAAGTCTATGCCAGCGTCATGCTGTGACTTTATTATTATTTATGATTTTTTCTGTGTGTCTTTTTTTCAGTTTCAATGTCAAGTCCTTTTCATATCAGACAGTCAAATACTAGACAGCACCCACCAGATATGGATCGTACGAACCACCATAATACTAATAATAATATTGGTGTTGAATATGCTTCTTTTGACAGTACCCGTACTGATCTTAGTATGAACAGTAGAGATGTCATTATTGGCGATCAGTGGGTAGTGCTGGGAAGAATTGGAGAAGGTTCTTTTGGTGAAGTGTTTGAAGGTACACTTATGGATATTATGCCATAAATACCAACTTTTTTATTATTATTAGCTGAGGACATTGACACGACAAGGAAATATGCTATTAAGAGAGAGCCACTTAAAATGCGCCACCCTCAACTCAAACATGAAAGTATCATATACGATGTATTAGCTGGAGGACGTGAGTTTATAGACTATTTGGCTATACATTAATTTGTGGTAATAGCTGGTATTCCTCAATGTCATTGGCATGGTCAACATGAAGGCTTTGATTGTATTGTGATTGATTTACTAGGTCCCAATTTAAATCAGCTTCGAGAAGTTGTACACAAGTTTCCAATCGATGTAGTAATTGATTTTGGCTGTCAAATGGTAATTTGAGAGAGAGAGAGAATAACGAGGTGCACTAAGAAAAACAAAAAAAAATAGGTCTCTATATTAGAACATATTCATAAAAGAGGTCTTGTCTATCGAGACATTAAACCTGACAATTTTTTATTTTCATACCATTGTCACTTACCTGAAGCAGATATGATTGAAATACCTGATGATCATGGCATGCCTCATATTAAATATGTCAACCTCAGCTGTGAAGAAGTATTTAAACGATGGAATGAACCACATCCCAAGCTATATATTGTTGATTTTGGTCTGACTACTTGGTGGAAAGATCCTCATACAGATAAACCATATCCCGAAGTCAAGAAAAACATCAAAAACAAGACAGGCACTGCAAGATATGCTTCACTGAATGTCCATCGCGGCAAATCGCATGCACGCCGAGACGACATCGAAGGCATGGGTTACCTACTCTTAGATTTAATATTTGGTACGTTGCCCTGGACTGGTATTCAGGCTCGCAATTCGCGTGCTGGTTGGGACCGAATGCGTCAGATCAAACAAGATACGTTTATGAGCGACTTGTGTGCTGGTCTGCCTCAAGGTTTTTTGGAATTCATTGAATATGCACGTCGAATCAAGTTTGCAGAAACACCAGATTATGATTTACTACGCCAATTTTTGCAAGGCTCTCTTCCTGGAGGCAAATATGCCTCTATTGTCAAGTCACCTTTTGGTGGTCACACAGAAAGAAAGTGGGTTCAAGATATTGAAAAGGAAGACCCAACAGAACAGACACGCAATGATGCTGCTAGACCCAATACCATTAAACCTAGTACACACCGTCATTATTATGAACCACCACGTCAAAAAGAAGAAGCAAATGTGTTTTCTATGGAGGATGTTGCCCATCATTTACCAGATATAAAAAAGACTCCACGACGAACAAGTCGAGATATTGGACGAACAAACAATGATAGTTTTTCATCATTCCAAAAGCTGGTAGCAAAGACAAGAAGAAGACAAAAACGAGTAGGCTGGAACTCACATAAACATGATGAAGCGCCTTGGGCTCCTGTGATAGACTGGACAAATACTGCTCCTGAAAAGCCAAGTGCACAAGCTGCAGAAGCTTCTTGGGGCGCAGATAATCCGAATGCAGCATGGGGACAACATGCTGAAAACCGGGAAGCCAAAAAAGAAGAGGAGGGATCTTGGGCTGCTAATGTGAGCAAGCCGTGGGAGTAATTGCTCTTGAGTTTGTCTTACCTAATTTGATTATCAAAAAGTACCCTTGAGCACCCTACAAAGTTCCTCACTCATTCGCTCTCTCTCTCATTTACTTTTTAACATGTACCTCTTTATTTCCTTTCCTCATTTCTTTTTCTGTTTAAACGACTTTCTTGTCACATTAAAGATGAGCATATTGTACTAAACAGGGACTGTCAAAAAAAAAAGTGAGAGTATATTTGTTATAAACTCTCTTTTTAAGTATAGCTAAACGCGGTAAAGTGCGGGGTAAGCATTAGTGAGAAAGGATTTTCTCTCATTGGATATTTATCATGTTTGTATTACTGTTACATCCAGACTTCGGGTTTGACAAACGGAAAAAACAACTCACAGTCTTTACCGCTAACAAAGCAAGATAAAAATATAACGTATTTTATAAAATAGGGACAAAAGGGTTAAATCAATAATGAGTTAAATAATCAGCATTCAAAGTAGAACTAAAGCATTTTTTTTTTACTTTGATAAACCCAAATTGATTTGAACGAAGAATTGTTGGGAGAAATAACTTCTTATCACTTCATCTTTTGTTGTTGTTGTTGTTGTTGTTGTTGTTGTTGTATTGTTTCCCATTCAAAAATATGCTTCAAATGACTTTGAAAAAAATTAGATGGTTCCCACATAGATTGAATTACATAATGATTGCAGGGGATAGCAGAAGATCCTGACAGATGTTTACCGGGTGAACTTTGAATAGACCCGCTTTATGGGAAAATGTTGATTGGCAGGAATGATGCGGGGAACTGTAGGGAAACGGGTTTGATCAGGCTGTATAAATTAAGCTTACTTTTTCATTTTTCGTTTTATTATTATTATTCAAACGATGCAAAAAGAAAAGACAGACTTGGATGCTCCTCAATATGAAGATGGCGAGGTCAATAGCATTCATGAATTACAAATAAAACCCGAAGTCGAAAAGAAGCTTGTTCGTACGCTTGATTATCGCCTTATGATATGGGCTTTCTTTGGCTATTTTGCCAATGGTTTAGATCGAAACAATATGCCAAATGCTCAAACAACAGGTCTTAGTGAAGACTTGAATTTGGTGAGCAATCAATACAATTGGGCTTTGACCATGTTCTTCATTGGTTATATCGTGTAGGTGTACAATTGATTTATCTCAAATCATGCTGACATTAGTCTATAGCTTACAAATTCCTGCCAATTACATCATTACTAAGGTACGCCCTAGTATCATGTTGCCTTTGATTGTGTTCACCTGGGGTGCTGTTGTTTGCTTTATGTCTCTTGTCAAAAACTACCAAGGTCTTTATGGTTTGCGTCTTTGTCTTGGTCTCTGTGAAGCTGGTTTCTATCCTGGTATTGTCTTCTTAATCGGTTCTTGGTATACCAAAGAAGAACTCGGTACTCGTACCTGTGTCTTTGTTGCTGGTTCTCAAATCTCAGGTGCCTTCAGTGGTCTTATTTCAGGTGCTATTGCTCAAGGACTTGATGGTATAAATGGCATGCGTGGCTGGAAATGGTTATTTATCATTGAAGGTCTGATTGCTGTCGTGATTGGCATTGTTGGTTTCTTTGTGATTCCTGATTTCCCTCACAACACTCGTTTTATTCAAGGTGAAATGCGTGAAGTGGCTATGATCCGTCTTGAACGTCAAGGTCGTAGTAGCAGTGTCTCCGGTTTGAATATGACCACGTTCCGCAACTTGTTTACCACTCCTTTCATTTACTTGTTCCTCTGTATGTTTATCTGTATGCAGATGGGTATGGGTATCTTGCAAAACTTTGTTATCATTCTCAAAGACATTGGTTACTCTTCCTCTATGGCCAATTATTTGATGGTTCCTATCTGGGTCTGGGTTGGCGTTGTTGTGATTGCTCAAGGTTATCTTTCTGACAAGTACAGTCACCGTGCTTATCACATCTTGGGTGGTTCCTTGTTTACTTTGGTCTGGTACATTGTTCTTGTTGCTGTCAATGGCGGTAACTTGCCCACACCTCTCTTGTTTGTCTGTGCTTACATGGTTGTCCCTATCTATGGTGTCTCTCCTATCATGATGACCTGGGTCAATGAAACTTATGCTGTTGACAGAGAATCCCGTGCTCTAGCTATTGCTATTATCAACTCACTTGGTAACTTGGTTCCTAACTTTGTGAATGTCAAAGTCTGGAGTATTGTAGATGCTCCCGCTTTCCGCTTGGGTAAAATCGTGACCATGTGTCTTACTGCTCTTATTGTTGTTCTTTGCTTGACTGCCTTCTTTTTGCAACGCAACAAAATTTTGGTTCCCAAAGCTCCTCAACGTGTCATTGATGAAGAGATGGATAACAAAAAGACTCATATTGTTCAAGAAGATGAGTTTTAATCCGTGTACTATATAGCTTTTTTTTCTATGAATCTTTTGAAAGGATTCTTATTGTGTATTTTTAGTTTTTTGTATATCTATTTTAATAAATCTCCCCTCTTCTTATTTACATTGCTCAAAGTCTTTTGAATATACCATATTCTGAGCGAATCATTGAAGTCACTGAATGAAACCCCGTCTCGAATACACATAATGACGCTACAATGCATATTTCTATTTTCTTTTTTTTTTTTCTTTTTACCTATAAAATGAAACGAGATGCATCACACGCTGGCAGTTGGTACACTGCAGATAGTAAGCCATGCAAAAAAAAAAAAAAAAAAATCAATATGTCGAAATTCATATCCATATGTAGAAGATAACCTCAACCATGAACTGGATTTATATTTTGAGAAAGCCAATACAAGTCCTCTACAAGGCGTAAGGGCCATTATCGGACCGTGAGTAGCAAATACGTGTCATTCTTGCTTATTGAGCTCTATAAAGACACGCAGGATTTCGATACAGTGGTCCAACTGCTGCTTATGCTTACAAATTAGTCGATACAACACATATGCAAGTATAACCCATAGATGCATTCATAGATAAACAATGATCTATATAGAAAACGCGTATTTTTATTAGGCCCTTCACACCATGCTTATATCGATGGTTGTTGTCTGTCTAAATGCGATATTTACAAAACACCTTTAGGGAATCTTAAACTGGATAAGCAAGGTAAACATCCTAAAGACACCTATAGTCTTCTAATATTACATCTAGTGATTCAAGATCTTTATGAAACTGATCATTTTGATTATATGAGAAAGAATGTGGATGAAGATGAACATAGCATTGAAATGCATTTACCATTTACGTTCAAGATATTTCAGGAGTAAGCACCATATATCATCCTAACGTGTTATTTACTTTGCATGATAGTAAGATTGAGGATATCAAGATTGTTCCTATTCTTGTTGGAGCCACTTCAGAGAAACAAGAAAAGCTCTATGGTGATTTACTTGCCAAGTATCTTGAATCACCCGAGAATTTGTTTATTATCTCGTCTGACTTCTGTCATTGGTAAAGAATCATTTATACACACACTGCTTGACTGATACTTTTTTAAACAAAAAAGGGGTTCTCGTTTTGATTATACTTACTATACAAAAAAGAAAGAAGACAAGCCTGTCTTTCTTCATTCTCGTAACCAAGATGCAGTTTCTCGACCTATTCATGAGTCCATCAGAGAATTGGACTATCAAGGCATTCAAACATTGGAAGACCTGAGTTTTTCTAAATTTCAAGCCTATTTGAAACAAACACAAAATACAATCTGTGGTCGACATCCTATTGGTGTCTTAATGGCTGCTCTTGAGATACTCAAGGACTCTTCAAAACAAACTATTCAATGTGTTCATTATGATCAAAGTAGTCAGTGTAAAGATGTACGTGACAGTAGTGTGAGCTATGCTAGTATTTATGTTCAAATTCAATAAATAAAATAATTTTTCTTTAACTTGTGGTCATGATGTCAGACGAGCAATTAAGTGCACAGTTGCAACAACAGCAACAACAGCAACAACAGCAGCAACAACAGCAGCAACAACAGCAACAAGCAAAGCACAAGTCAAAACAAGATCAACAACAGCAAGAGCAATATTATGCACAAATGCAGCAATACCAACAATCACTTCAGAATGATAGTCATTCTGTTCTTTTAGTTACAGCAGGTTATGATAACACAGTACGCTTCTGGGAAGCACTTAGTGGAATTTGTTCCAAGACTATTAAACATCCTGATTCAGTAAGACGTCTAAACACATGATGGAGGAATCATAACTTTTTGTTCATAGCAAGTCAATCGTCTCTGCATTTCACCCGACAAAACAATTTTAGCAGCAGCAGGGAATCATTCTGTTCGCCTGTATGATATTGCAAGCAATAGTGATAGTCCAGTAAGTTGTCTATCTTGCTATCAAAAACAAGTACTTAAAAGAACAAGTTTATTGTGTTTGGAGAACACACAGGCAATGTGATTGCTACAGGATTTCATGGTGAAGGTCGTTGGATGTTTACTGCCAGTGAAGATGGTCATTTAAAGATATGGGATACACGCTCAGGACGTAATCCTGTCTTGACACGTAATTTTGATAATGGAGCACCTATTACAGATGCTGTGATGCATGCTAATCAAGGAGAGCTTATTACGTGTGATCAAAATGGAGCTGTCAAGATTTGGGATTTGACAGCACATTCCTGTACTCATGAATTAGTAAGTCTTTAGCTTACAAGTTTTATGATTGACAAGAATTAACAATAGGTGCCTGAAGAAGGTGTGCCTATGCGGTCCGTCACAGTCGCATCTGATGGCTCCATGCTAATTGCTGTCAACAACAAGGTAAGAATAAAACTAAACATACAATAAGCTAACAGACATCAATAAAAGGGCAATTGTTATGTTTGGAAACTATCCAATGGATCAGATTCAAATGAAGTTGAGCCTATCCATCAATTTCAAGCACACAATAACTATATTTTACGAGTCATGTTGAGTCCTGATACAAAGTAAGTTACTTGAGAAGCAACCATTGATTAAACAAGGCTAGGTTGTTGGCTACTTGTTCTGCAGATAATACAGCCAAAATATGGAGTACTGAAAAAAATTTTGAACTATTATTGACCTTACAGGGACATCAGAGATGGGTATGGGATTGTGCATTCTCTGCTGATTCTGCCTATCTTGTCACTGCTTCTTCAGACCATGTAGCCAGACTATGGGAATTACAGAATGGTGAAACAATTCGTCAATACAATGGACATCATAAGGCAGCAGTGTGTGTTGCATTAAATGATTTGTCTGTTGGGTATGCTTGAGAAAAGATAATGGCTCTTGTTCCTTGATACACTTGTAATAAAATAGGATCCAACTTGGGTAATAAATGCTATACTGTCATCAATATATATATACACATACACACACACACACACACACACACACACACACACACACACACATATATATATATATATATATATATATATGTAGATACTTTACTTCAAATACAACAATCATCTTGTCTTGATCTTTCACAAGGATGGCAATGTAGGATTTGACTTGCCAAAAGCTAATCCCTTCATTGATGATAATATCTTCTATCTTGAGTCTATTGATAAAGCGAGAAACTGTAGATCCACCCCAATAGACTGTCTTGATTTGAATGCCTACATCACGAATAGATAGAATGCTTTCTTTACAATGCATAAGTTCAAATAAAAAAGACGATTTTGCATTACCTTGCCTAACAGATTTCTTTTTGATAAATAGCCATAAAACTATAATGACTATACTGCAAATATACCGTGTTGACTATATCTATCAGTAAAGAAGACTCATGTGTATTGCTATTTACTTTAAGTAAACCAATTGCTATTAACCATACGCTAAAGTCAACTAGTGTCAATGACCTAGTATTGGAATGCACTATAAACTCAAGTGCTTGTTCGTCTGGTAATATGTGGCTTGTCAATGAGATTGTCATTTCAAGAACAAAAGGGAAAGAGAGAGAGAGAGAGGGAAAAGCAATGAAAGTCCTCATACAGTTCACGTGATTGGCTTGATGTGTTCAAGAGCAGTGCTTTTTTTCTCTCTTTTTTTTTTTCTTTTTTCGAGACGCACAATATGGCAAGAGGATTAAAAGACTTGGATAGATCGCTTGACGAAACAATAAAACTTAAAAAGACGCGTAGCCTTAAGCGAGAACCTACTACAAAACATGTTCGAAACAGCCCTATTCGTCAGACAAAAACTGGATCATCAGCTATTAATAAACGAATTGGTAATACGAAAATCAACACACGTCTTGGTCAGACTATACCCCGCGTATAGCCAAGCCAGAAGTAAGTAGCAGTACGCTTGAATAGTATTAAAGATGACAACAGAGAAACGGCGATTTGATCATCAAAAGCAAAGCGCCTCTCAAGACACATGACAGACCCGATGCTTCGAAGATTATTATTACGAAATCAACAAGTGTTCGTACATCGAGTTCTTCAGGGGGCTCTTTTATGATTAAAAGAAACATGCCTATACAGAAGCAGCCTTCTCGACAACAACAACAACAACAACAACAACAACAACAACAACAACAACAACAACAACCACAACCACAACAACAACAGCAACAGCAACAGCAAAGACAACCCCAACCACAACAAAGACAACAATTACAAGTAAATAAATTTTACAGGCAACTTGTTTATTCATGTATTTTATAGGAAGTAGCAGAACCAATGCAAACAAATCGATTATCAGCACCTGTTCAACATCAAAAAAACATTGTTCTTATTTGTAATCTAGATCCTAGAGCAACAGCAGAAGATGTTGGTGTAAGTGCCTGCATTGCAGAAATAGCTTGTATTGAACAAAAGAATAGGAAGCATGTAGTGTGTTTGGCCCTATATTAAGTTGTGACATGTTACTAGATCCTATGGGGAGACCCTTATGTGAAGCGGAAATAGAGTTTCTATATCCTGATTCTGCAGAACGATGCGTCTCTAAATTAGATAATAATTATGCTGATGGTCGTATTTTGCGTGCTAAATTACAAAGTACGCCTACATTACCTGTGGTTCCTCGTTACTCTTCTAGAACTGTAGTTGCTTCTACTCGAGTCAGTTCAAATGGGTTCGGCAATTCCATGCCAGCTCCATTACCTCCACCACACGTCTTTCACCAACATAATCGGATTGAATATCCTAGACGATACTAAAATAAAAAAAAAAGAAAGAAAAGAATCCTTTATTGTTTTCTATCCTTTGAGAAAAGCTGTCAATCTTTTAAAAGAACAAATAGATCTGACTCTTAAACAAATACTCTGTATTACACAAGCAAGACGATTCTAACAGAATACATGGGCTAAAATACATAATCAAAGAATTTTATGCTTGTTTCAATAGGCTTCATATTATTTGCCCTAATAGAATCGTTGCTTAAAGCAAGAGTCTAGTTTTTTTTTTTTTTTTTTTTTTTTTTTTTTTTTTTGCATGATTCTTTTTGCGTTATTTTCTACCAATTGAAAACCCCCAACTCCCACAACATTAGTCTTAAACTAGTGTAGAAAACGTCTATTGATTTTATTTACAAATGAAAAATGGCTGTGTGAAAAAATAAAATTAAAAAGAAAGCATGTTATGTGTGTGTGTGAGTAAAATATATATATATATATAAAAACGTAAATCTCTGCATGATGTCATATAAAGTGGGGGGGGGTAAAATGCGTAAAGAAAAGAAAATGTATACATAGAGCAAAAGATCAAAAAAAAGAAAGAAAGAAGCCGTAGATACCAAGGTTATCTACAGAACTTATGGAGTTGTTTTAACAGTCAATGGTCCAGATGTCATTAAATCTTGGTAAGAAGGATATTGTAAACGAGGAGGAGAAGGAGAATGGCTATGTCTTTCCATCATAGGAGATGAAGTCATTTGCTGTGATGACTGAATATAAGTGGATGAAAATGCGGGAGAACTAGTCGTGGTAGGTGGATACATGGAAATACTATGATTCTCTTGAGAATAAGGAGGTGAGTATATGTTGGTTTGTGGATAGAATTCGCTCATGACTGGACTCGTTTTGTATTGCGTATTGACACTCTTCACTTGACTACGGCGATGCTGATGGTTAGCATAAGAAGAAGCAGTGTATTTGGTGATGATCTTCTTGAGGGCATAAGGAAGTGTTTTCCAAGGGAACACCTTGACATCTTTTTCAATGTTTCTTGGCTTGGGATTAGGGAAACCCATGATAAGCTTGAAGAATTCAGCAGAATCAGCTTTACATTTGCTGACAGTCAAAGGACGGAATCCTTCCAAGTTACGACGAACACGGTTCTTTTCTTCTACACTGAAACGAATGTCCATCAAGCTTTCCAATAAATGAATACAGTCTACAGAAGTAATAAAGCAATCATTGCGTTCGGCCCAGTAGATACAGGAAACAACGATTTGACAACTGTTGTTGGTGGTACGTTCACTTTGAGGAAGAGAGTCAAAAGTACAGCGGATTTCATTGCCGTTTTGCTCACGCCAAAATTGGACCAGGCGACGACGATTTTCCCATTCCACAGGTGACCAGCTCTTGGCCATGGCTTCCAAGTCACCAATAATCTTCAAATTAACTCTACTGATAAGACCGGGATAGGGCTGGTAGTTAGCCACAGAAGTAGCAGGAATATGAACAGTAGACTTGGCGTAACCATAATGGGAGCTATGGTGTTGGTTTTGCATTAATCCAAGAGAACCTTGACTTTCAGGTTGATTAAAGTTGTTCAACATGTTATAATCAGCACCATTGAAGAATTGAACAGAATTCGTGTTATAATTGATAGATGAATCGCTATTTGTACGATCTTGACTATTGGGCCGATATGTACTGAATTCTAAAAAAGAAAAAAAAAAAAGATAAATATTAAGTTCTGTTTTTTCACAAAAAAAAAAGAACATACTGTTGATGCCATAGCTTTCTCTGCTGTATGGATAACTATTACATTGACCACCATAATTGTTGTTGATAGGTTGCTGATAAAATTGACCGTAGTTTGAGTTAGAGGAAGAAGTACTAAGGAAGTCGTCTGGATAAAGAAATGATATATATTACTTTTTTCTCAAGTAAATGTTTTTACCTGTCTTGTTTTGATAGTTAGGATCGGTGTATCCGTTGCGCTTTTCTGGATAATCTAATGAAGTGTGAAGAGAGGCAGAAGAAGAGTTGGGTGTGCGAGTCATATCAACATCTTCATAAAAAAAATCAGCTATAGGCCAAGTAGCCGAGGCAGCGTCGCCCTCAAATATGCAGATAGAAACAGGCACATGAGCACTTGTCGAGCGAGTGTGTTGAAAGGGTGGAACTGTGGCGATAAGAGAAGTGATGCCTTGAGCTTGCATCTGTTTGGTGCTAACAACCAGGCTATTAAAAGCTAGTTTGACAGGAGCGACTTGGTGAGGTAAAGACTCTACAACAATTGTGACGACAGTGCCCTCTGAGCCCCTGGCAGGAGATATCTCTAAAAGGTGTGGAACTTCATTGTTCTTTTGTTGCTGCTGTTGTTGTTGAGTATATGCTGGCCATCTTTGTTGCATTTCAATGCCTGAAGCAAGGCGAACAGACGGCACTAATGAATATGATTAATGTCAAGGCTGAAGTACAATTTAATCTTACAGTTAGACAGATGAGAAGAATTCATTTAGATCAAACAAAGAAGAAGTAGAAGAAAAAAGAAAGTAGGGTCCACAAGAAATAATAAAATTGGTCTTTATATACATACGAAAATGTATATATTTAGACAGTCGGGATCTTCCTGTAGGAAATCTTATAATTATGCCGCTTCTCTAGTTGATTATTGTGCAAGTTTCAAAATATTAGCCACATGATTCTGAGTTCATACATATCGGTTCTTTAACTTGTTTCCATGAAGCATGGTTATACATAATTGGCGAGTTTTTTTGTGCGCTTTCTTACTCAGCAAAACATTGACGATTAGCCAGAGTACGACAAAGAAGCTTTTTTAGACATGAAACTAATTAATCTAATCCAGACATCAAAGCGCATTGTGATGATATGTGTTGCAGACTCATTTCAAGAGTCTTGTTTAAGCCAATTATATTGACATTTTCTAAAGTTGAGCCCCGGATACATTGATTTATAGAGTCAATAGAAAGGAATCATAGAAAATGTTAATTGAATGGCCGCATTTCGATTAGGTTTTAACATACGTATTTACTCTTGCCATTTATTCATCATGGCAAGCATAATGCACGCTTGTTCTTCCTTTTTCTCTCTCTCTCCCTCTTTGAGCAATCTGCATTTTCTTTGTTTTATTGGTTCCAAATATGTAAACAATACAGGCCTTTTTTGTTTTACTTTATCTAATTGACTTTTAAATAAGACATGCTTTAGACTAAAATAAGCAAATGGAAATCAGAGCATTTACTTTATTATGGTCAGACTAGAATGTCATGCAGAAAACAAGTAATCCTTGAATGTCATTGTAAGATAAAAATAGTATCTTTTTTTTCTTGTACCCTCTTTTTTTTTTTTTTTTTTTTTTTTGAAAACAAGCCAGTAGGACAATCAAACAAGACAGCAATGAAGTCTATCAACTTTATTATATTAAACTCACTAAAGCACAGACGTCTTTATGTAATCATAAAATCGCCTTTTATGAATAAATAAAAAAAAATATAATCATTGTAGAAATTTGTTTTGTTAATTAATCATGTCTCTTTTCTCTTTTTTAAATAAAGAGAAAAAAAATGCAACACTTCTTTGTTCTTTTTTTTTTTGTTGTTGCATAAAAATATAAGCTCCACGAGTTTTTTTGTGTGTATGTGTGTCTTTATGGTAGGACAAAACTTATCTTTTTGCATTCTGATACCGTCTTCTGTCACTTATTCCAGTGAAAATTTTTTGAAAAGAAAAAATCAATATAAAAATCTATCATACACATTTATCAAAGAGATTATTATTTTCTTTAAGGTTTGTTTTTACCCTGGGCTTGTGGTGTGTTACATAAGAAATTAAAACATAGCTCAATGTTTAAGGTTTTATAGAATATGAAAGGTTTAAAATAACTGAAATGAAACATTCAGAAATAAAATAAAATAACAAAAAAAAAAAAAAACAAATGCTATATGTGTATGCTTATTCATCAAAAACTATGTCAATGCACCCAACCCTATTTTTCCTGTTTTTTGTTGTTGTTGTTGTCTCTTTCTTTCCGTTTTCTTAACATACTATTGTTACTTTTTTAAAAATAGGGTTCAATTACTTAAAAAGTACAAAGACTATTTTTTTTGTATCAAGCATTAATTTTTAATTCTATATTATTCTTGACAGATTTTACCATATAGAGTGAGTGTTACACACCAACTATCATCAATTATGTATTTAATATAATTTGTATACAGTGAACTCATTCCACGGTAAACTCGAACATGCAATATGTCATGCATGGGGACATATCTTTTTTTTTCTTTTTGTCTATCTACATTATTAAATCTTTATCATTTTCAATATATCTTATTTATCATTTGGCCTTTATAGAAACGTCAATTAAACAATGCAATGTATATAAAATTTATCATTTTCTTTAAAAACAATATCAAAAATTCCCCTTTTCTCCTTACATTGAGCATCTTATCAATAATTATATGAACGGGCTTAATGATTAATTTAGAAAAATTTCCTAATAATAATAGACACTTTTTTTTTGCATTCTAAACATGAATTCTATTCGTTCGTCTGATTAAATACCAGCATTCAGATTTGCAAAAAATTATTTCAAAACATGTTTTTGTTAAATTATTAGTTTGAAACGAGTCGAAAAAAATTAAGTTTAACGTTTCAATGCCATTCCTTCTTTTCTTTCTTCGCTCTATTTTTTTTTTTTTTTTTGTTATCAGTTAGTTCTCCGAATAAAGCATAAGCAGCGTATCTTTGGTAAGTTTGTGACACACCTACCATCCAATCATGTACCTGCCATTCTAAAGTGCGTTAGACTTGATCAGCCTATTTTATAATACTCTTTTGTATTGTAGGACAACACGGGAAACCCATACTGATTGTCTTGGAGTGTTTGTATCACTTTCGTTTATGGAAAGATGACGACGACTACTGTATTATAAACATTCTTTTATTCTTAATCTGGGTATTAAATTATTTATGCCTTTATTAATTGATGATCCTGTTACTACTACTCTATAAACCTTAACCCCACATAGATCAAAATGGATTATACAAAAAAGAAAAATAAAGCTTTGCTTACACAGGCATATTCTGTTTTATGTGTCACTTTTTAGTCAATATATCGACAGATCAAGCACTTATTTGTCCTACCCTATTTACGCAGTGCAACTTTTGAATTTTCATTCTAACTAATCAATTTGCGAGAAGTCTTTTCTTTTTTTGCATTAAGGTGAGACAGAGAAACAGGGATCTGGAAATATACCCAATCCTCCCTTTATCCTAAAATTTGGTTTCAACGAACTTGTAACTTGTTTCGGCAATCAGTAAACTATGATAAAACTGAAAAGTTAATCAAAAATGAAACAAGCTACTATAAAAGGATATTCAGAAACTTTCATCGCATGATCTACATTTTGATTTCATTATAAAAACAAATACGCATTGACTTTATCCACAAATAATATTATTTCTTGGCGCCCTTTTTTTATATATATATTGCTTCCACACACAAGCCAGGGAACACTGTTACGTGTAACAGGTTGTATTAAGATACACATTCAGCCACCAAAAAGTATACAGTTTCATCCTTGGCAAAAGTTCATACTAACTTGATTATGTGTGTGTGTGTGTGTGTGTGTGTGTGCATATTGCACATAGACCCGCGGCAATTGGCTCAATACCAATCAAACTGCTCCATAGCCATCACTACATGCTCTCTTTCTTGTTACCTGTTTATCTAGAGACTGGTTTCTATCGCCTCTTCTATTAAGGTACGTATACTCTTTTTACCCAAATTAAACAACTCCATTCGCTCGGGTTGCATTTAAAAAAATAAAACAAAAGCTTAGCATCACACACATACACATGTACACGAGAATTAGAAAAAGAAGAATATAGCAAGGTTTTACAAAAAAAAAACTGATGGGGACACATTACATCATGATACCCAGAAACCAAGTCCAAAGCTATAAAATGAATCTGCCATCGTTCATTTAGAAATCAAAGTTTTTTTTTATAGTTTTTAAAGTTCCACAATACGTTGACTGGTTGTTCTATTGATATCTATCACTATTGTCTATTTCATTAAATTCAAAGTTCATTTTATACAATTTCAACATTAGTAAAAATCAATTTGTGCCAAAGAGGGATTTTTTTTTGTGCAATAGTATTATCTATCAAAAATAAGATTATGCTTCATTGTCAACAACTAGAGTAACATGAGAAAATAAAAAATTAAAAATACAAGGCCAATGGCCTTTTAAAGCATTGTAAATAAAAACAGTTTTTTTTTATTGTACACCATCTTTCAAAACTTCCTATCCATCTTGAATTAAAGAAAAAAAAAAGAGTTGTAAATGATATCAATACTTTAAGAACAAGGAAAAAGGAATAAAGTTTGTATCATCAGCACATTTTTTAATGAACAAAACAAACTAAGTTGGACGTAGTGTTACTCAAAAGAAAACAAGGTAAACCCCATCATGTTTTTTTTTGCTTAACTATGTAATAATCTTTTGTTAGTCATGAAGGTTCATAGCTTGATGCACAATAACTGCAAATTCATGTCTTTACTTTTTTCTTCTATAGAGAAGTTCTCTCCCTTTTAGAAGAAATATATGTCATGATGAGAAAAGCAAGTGTAAGCGCTATTATGATCGTGTGAATCAAAACATAAGCTATGTACTAAAATAAGGTGCTTTTTTTTTCAAGGGCTTTTTACAACTCTCATATCCTGTATAGCTTGAGCAATGAACAAGACTTCATTATTATTAAATTATCAAGTCTTTGATAAGAATCATATTAATCGAGTTTGTATTAGACTTGATCGACGCAGCCATCGTTTAGTGTCATTTTTACTTTTATAGGTCAATTGACAAGTATCTTTACTAATAAAGTCATGAAAGCTATCTCAAAGATTAATACTAGCAGAGCTCGTCCATAGATGAGTAACACAAGCAATAATTCATTTGACTCAACTTGACTTGTTCTATTATAGTCATTGATGCTGATGGTACCCGCTATTAGGAATCAGTAGCACAATAGGACTGTTTCTTACTCTTCATCTCTATTCTGAAAGACTATAAACTTATTTTTCTGAACTTGCAAATATCTACTTTCTTGGTCATCTTAACAAGGATATTGTTAAGCCGAATGTTAACTGGTTATAGAATCTCTTTCAAACATCTATCTTGCAAGATATGCTTAGAATAAAAGAAATGCTTGTAATTTCATTAAAGCATTCAATTATTGTTTTATGCACTTTATGTTTGGCTAAAAGTAATACAAAGACCACGTCGACATGAACTAAAAGTAAAAATCTTATATTACCTAAGCATCTGATAACAACTATGCATAGTAATTATGAAAGAGATACGTCAAAGCTACTGCCATACAAGTAAATCCATGTCAATCGTTTATTCTTTTCATACAGATTCAATAGCCCAACAAAAAATAATGTTTGATTAAACTCGATCCACTCGCTACGCTTACTAGTCGGTCCAACGATGTCCACAACCCTTATTGCCACACACATAAAAAAGTGTCATTTTTGCATCAGCACGTCTTGAAGAAGATTGGAAAAAGACTGCTTCTGGATGTCCACAGCGAGCACATTGAATATTAGTGCGAGGCTAACAAACAAGTTCAATAACCGAGCAAGACACATTCTAACGACTTACAAGTGTAGGATCTGTACTCAAATCAGCCAACATCATGGTTTGTTCACTACAAAGACGCAATCAGTTAAACAATCCAGTAGAATCTTGTAACATACGAAGGTGCATGTACGATTTCATGACGATAGACACAGGATGTTTCTGCATCTTCATGGTATGGACAATTACGACACGCAAACAATAGTTTACGCTGTGCTTTATCTTCTCGAGGGTATAGTAAGTTGTTGCTGTTATTTCAGAGTTAATACTGTCGTCAATATGATATGCGCATACCATTCTAAGCAGTATTTGACAGTGGCCATAGTGAATATGTAAAAAAGAAAAAGAACACCCATTTATTTCAGAGGGCGGATAAATATACTTAAGCACAGTCACTGATGATTCCTTTATTGACTTTTCTCGGCTGTAACAATAATGGGTACTATCCAAGGCTTTTCACTCAATAGACCAAAGAAGAAGCTCGATACCTTTAAGAACATTCTATTCGTAAAGCTAATACCAACGCCATATTCTAGCGTTAATTCATATTGTTGTTGAAAACTTTTAGAGACGCCACCAAATACTTGTCGTTTATCCAATGCTTGAATATGAATATTATCGTATCCTATTGTTTTCATTTGTTCTTGATATCTGTCTACAGTAACAAGATTCTGAATAGGAATATGCACGCTTAGGCAAATCCATTCAACTAGTTTCTTTTGTAAAGGTGTTGCTTTTTCCAACAATTCGGCTTCGATAGCCAGATCATATAGACCAATCTTGCCTTCTTTACTTTTCAATAGAGAAAACGCGTTCTTTAAGAAATCCCAACGCGTATCAAAGTGATAAGCCGAATCAATGCTAACAATAGCATCAAAGGAATCAGTCGAAGGTATATGATCTTGCAGATCGTCAGCCGATCCACATGAAAGCGTAATGTGTTCTTGCAAAGAAGTCGGAATCCTTTTTTGTGCGATATCTAATTGCGATTTCTCATTTGTGATGCCCTATGTACAATGAGTCATTGTCAAACATGATGAGACCTACTTTAACGCGTGATTTATATTGCTCTAAAGTATATCAGGAATCTACTCATCTATCTATTTTACTCACCTGCTAGGAAAAAACACGAATCTCCGCATCCAAAGCCGACATCTATCATGTATGCCATTAGCTCATGTTCTTCTAATGGCATGCTTTACCTAGAATAGTAGAGTATGATTTGATCTTCATTTTCTCAGCAACACTACGAATGAGATTTTCACAAGCTTGGGAATAAGACAAGTTCTCTTTATCCCATAGGCCCATATTAAACCAAAATGTCTTGGGTGGTAACTCGAGGTTCACAAGCAAGTTCTTTAATCCATACAGTTCGTTTTCTCGACTAGAAGAGCTGGTTTGGCTGGTCAAGGCAAAGAGAATAGTGGTGATACCAACAGCATGTAAGTACAACAGAATGTGCTGTATAACGCCTTGTGTATAAAGAAAGATACAGGGCAAAATACAGCCATATCCTACAATAATACTCGCTGTATTTGGCATTAGAAGAAGAAGAAAAAAAAAGAAGGAACAAAACGCACTTGTTACACACAGTGACTACTGGAGAATTTATTATTTATGCAACCTAGTATCTGACCTCTCAGAGGATGATCTCAACATCAAGATAGTAAAAGCAGCTGCTTCATCTTGCTTGGATTGTTGGTCTTTTTCCTTTTCTAATCGTCTCTTTCTCAAAACATTCTGCGCATTTGTAGTCGCAGACAATAACATCCGTCTTGATTTTCGAGACTGAGGTGTAGAGGATGTAGGATAAGGTGGATATTCTGAAGGCAAAGGACGACGAGGTTGTTTAGGAGAACTTATAAACGCAGGTTCAGTTTTCTGCAATCCTTCTGTAGATAAACCTGTTTCCATCTTGATTTGCGCATATTGTAATCTGGCTTTCAATAAAGTAGCCATCTGATTTTAATGTAATATATATGAGTTTACTTGAGAGAATAAGACTTGCTTACATTTGTAATATTCTGAGGGTCCATAGGCCTTGAATTTCGGTCTCTATTTTTAACTATTTTTTCGTTTTCATCTTGCATATTTTCCTTATTGAATCTTTTCGATTTTGAAGCGGAATTTCTTGATGCATTCATAGCTGGTGTCGTTATTTAAATTGAACTATAGAAAAGAAAAAAAGAAAAGAAAGACTTAATATTTAGACATACTCTCCCTTATTTTTTTTCTGTTTCGTTTAATTCGATTGATTGGATAAGTTTTTGATAACATTGTTTAAAAAGATCATTTTGCTTATTTTATCATTTGTGAATAAGTAAGCTATTGACTTATGCAATAAGGGCGCTAGGTAAATAGATGTTGCAACAGTGAAAAAGACAACAATTGATACAGATCGTTGTCTTTTTCTTAGGCATATGAAGGCACTGTAAGGCCTGTTTATACATGCGCAAATACTCCAAATGCCTTTAACCCGTGTTAGATAACATCCAAGGTGTCTTTGGAGTTGATTTGGACCAAAAAAAAAAAAAAAAAAGGGCGACTTGTGAAAAATGACCAAAATGACCATTCGACCAAAGAGTACTCATGGAAAATCCTCGTTTTGACAACCTTGATTTTCTTTTGGACGCTTCGGAACGAAAGATAAAATGATTGATAAACTCAAATACTCAAAATGTACGTCAAGAGCTCTAGTTTTTGGTAAATGTGTTTACTTGCCAATAGTACTATGAAAATAACGAGATATGAGCGAAAGATCTCACAACCATTTTTGCATATTTGCTCAATATTTTAGCAGCAAATTTGCTGTGTTCTTTGTATTAGCAGACTCAGAAGGCAAAGATCTACAACTTTTGTCACTGCGCCAACGCCCAATAGCTGGGTCTTTATGGAGTTCTCAGCTAAAAGCTCTATTTTTTTAATGATTTTATTTGCCGCACGTATTGGTGCTCTTGGGAGGGACCCACTAAAAGAGGTGTTTGACAATCATTTATTGTAAGAAAATATAAAGAAAAAAAAATTGGTACGATAGTACGAAAGTAGAAAAATATAAAATGAAAGAAGAGCAGCTATTGCGAGAAAAGACCTCTCAAGATGAAAGGTCATTCTCAGCAGCTATACGCTTAATTTGATAGCGAGTGCTGTGAAAAACAGAGAGATAATAGAATGGTTGGTTCTGCATGGTATGAGCCTAAAGCCCTATTTAGATGCAGCGACAAAAAGAATTGAAGTTGCTTTCTATTCCAATCTCCGTGCCATAGCCATCCTGTATGTTCTATGCTCATTTGCCCTCCCCTTCCTCTCTACGTTTGCATTATAAAGTGCTTATATTTTTATTCTTCCATGTTTCTTAGCACTCTATATAGCATGTCGTATGTTTTGAAAGTTCTTTTGCAACGAGTTCTGTATGGTATTTAGGGCAAAAATGCACCAATCTTTGATGGACCATTACTCGACAACTAGACTATCAAATCAGCTCGTTTTTTCATTTAAAACATGTTCTTTCGAGCCCAGGAATCGAATGATACCATTGGTTTGACTGTTTTGTGAAATTCATTTTTTTTTATCTGGAGGATCACGGAGGTCCGTAAAACTCTAATCAAGCAAGCAGAAGCTAAAAATCCTATTTGTAAAGCAACTGTCAGCCGTCAAAAGGTCTATACTTTTCAAATGACAACTTTAGTGATTCGAGCTCTTCCTTGATCGTCAATTTTTTGGCCAGATTCTCTGTTGTAACAGAGTGAGTACAAAAGCCATAGAGGGCCATAGCAACTATAGCAACTATACATCACAGCAAAGGCGAATGCATTTTTTTTCATGTTTGAGTAAAGGTCTAGCCATAATTTGTCATTTCTGCATTTTGCGGAAGATTTCTTCCATTTCTTCTGCTGTAGTACCTTTCTTAAAGAATCAGACTAAAAAAAAATAAAAAATTGTAATAAAAATGATACAAATCTTGGTTTTTAGGCATATAAGGGTAGCAAAACTCCTTTTCTAGACACGAATAAATGTTGTAAATACCTACAAACAATGCTTACTATCATATATGGTGCTTTTGGAGTTGATTTGGACAAAAAAAAGCGACTTGTAAAAAATGGCCAAAAATCGCTCTGATCCAAGGGTACTATTCATGAAAATCTTTGTTTTGACAACTTTTTGAGCTTCTTTTTGACGCTACAAAACGAAAAATGAAGCTAACGACAATCATAATTACTCAAATGACCACCGAAGGCTCTAATTTGCAATGAATGTATTTGTTTCCTAGTTGTACTATGAAAATAGCATGATATGAGCGAAAAACCTTGTAAACATTTCTGTCTGCTTGCTCATTATTTTAACAGAAAAGTTACTGTATTCCTTATACCGAAAGACTCGAAAAGCAAAGATTTATAACTTTTGTCAGTATATCAAAGCCGTAAGACTGCGCCTTTATGCAGTTCTCAGCAAAAACTCGATCTGAGAAGCGGCGGGATGAAGAATTGGAGTTTCCCTATTTCAATTTTCGCACGCTGCTACCCTGTATGTCCTATGTCTATTTACTCCCACATTCATGGCTCTTCCTAACTCTCAATACTTTCAGTCGGTTGTGGGGACTGAAACATCTCCAAACCTAAAAGCCACCCAACAACTAAGATCATATGCTAGTGTAGCAGCTAGAACTCGAGTATCACTTATGCACCAAGGCATCGTTGAAGCTGAAAAGATGCAGACTCACCTTTGCGAAAAGTTCAGTCGAGAATTTATCGAGCAGCTAGCCATGAGGATGCTTTTTTGCTCGACATTACTTCAGTTAAGAAAGAATATACTGATCTTCAGTATATGCAGGAAATCAGCGCTCAACACCCAAAGATCTACGCTTGTTCCATCTTGAGAGATGGTCCAACTCAGTACTTGGAATTATATATCGAAAAAGAAGATGATAATAATTTTATGGAGCATGGTGTTGTCTCCAAAAAGTCGAAGTTGCAAATTCTCCTTTGCAGGGCAGCAGATGCCACACTCCGATTTGTCACTGTGAAATTGTCCCAATTATCTTTACGTCCCAAAAGGGTAGTTCTTGAGGGCGTGCAACAGAGTTTAGCTCCATTTGGAAAGGTAATTGATGTAGGAATCAATACAGAAACCACCACCGGATGGTTTATGGGCGCAGGATATGCCGTCATTGGTATTCCTTCTGGTCCCTCAGAATCAACAGACAACCTCAAGTATCAGCCTTTGGAGCATAACATTCGTTGGTGCGAAAGCAAAAGCCAAATATTCCACGCAACCTGGAACAACATGCCCACTTGGTGCAGGCATTGCCACACAAAATTTGAATGTGAGAAGTCGAAAGCTAGAATGATATGTTATGCGTGCCATTAATTAGGACACCACTCGTTTGAATGTCCTAGGAAACAGTCTATGACACCCAGCAAGCGTTCAAAGAGAGAAAGATCAGTTCTTGGAAAGGCCACCCAACCAAGAAAAGAAGCATCCAAGCCTGAAGGGCAAAGCAGTATTGAAGTCAAAAGTAGCAACTTTGGCCAGACAGAGATCAATGTCGACAAAGATAATGATAACGATACTAGCGATAGTGATTACGACCCTTTAGATAAAGAGAGCATGGAAGAAGAGGAATCTGAAATAGAAAGTGGAGACGAGGATATAGACAGGATGGAGATTGAAGACCTCTATAAGGATACCAAGATGTACAGCGTCAGCCAACAATTAAAAGATCAGCTCGTTATGAAGAAAGGAGAAAGACGTAATGGATCAAATTTGAACCAACAATTGGACACGAAAAAATCTACGACACCCTCTTCTGCCTCTGATAATCAGAGGGTAGAGAGTCACCCTTTATAGATCCGCACCAATGAATAAGAAAAATATCCTGTGCCACTATGCCTCACTAAACGCCAATAGTTTAGTGAAAACAAACTCCAAAAAAATACAAAAAGAATATATACGATACCTTCGAATGCAGAATTTCTCTATATTATGCTTTCAAGAAACTCATGCTTCCACTCCTTCAACTATAGATAACCTCAACATCCTCTTTCAACCTACACAGTCCCATTGGACCAGTCATGTGGGCATACTCTCCTTCTCTACCGATTACAACATCTCTATCATCGACACTTCCTCATCCTTTACATCCGATCGATTTCAACTATGCATGGTTGAACATCCACATCATTTCTATGAACCTTTCTTTGTTCTGAACGTCTATGCACCGGCAGGCCTTGCTGCAAAACGTCGAACATTCTTTAGCAATCTAACACAAATGCTCCATGATTTTCGATCAGTTATCTCTTTTGACAGACTGATTATTTCAGGAGATTTTAATTACTCAGTCCTCAGCCGCCACTATAATTTGTCTTCAACATCAACGCAATGGTTAGCCCTCTTGCAAGCAAATTTTCAAAATGCTTTGGCCATCAATGGCCTTCACGAAGTTCCCACCTTTCAACGCACCGTCTCAAGTGAATTAGTGATGAATGTCATAGACTATATATACTTGGGTAAAATTTTGTACCAATGTGCATCAGAATCATCTATTACCAAATTAGGAGCGAAATGGTCAGACCATTCCATATTACATGCGTCCCTACTCTTGGGCCAATCCCAGTTTGGTCATGGACTATGGCGTGCCAACCCAGTGTATGCTTCCCACCCTAAGCTACAAAATACATTAGAGAGGACTATACAACATTTGGTTCAAGGATTTGATGAGAATATATCGCCCCAAGAACAATGAGATGAAGTAAAACGCAAAGCCAAGTCAATCATTAGAAGATATTCAGTGGATTACGTTGATTGGCGTACTAAGAGAATTCGTGCTTTAGAAAAGAAACGCAATCGTTTACTACGCACAAAGCCTCCTCCAGACGTTCAGCGCTTGGTAATTCCACCTATTGACAATGAGATACAGATACTACAACAAGAGCTGGCTGAAATAGCTATTCTAAAGGCTGGTCTTCGCTGGCAAGAGAATGGTGAGTGCAATGCTGGGTACTTGAAAAAAATACATCAGAGTCGAACAGTCCAACAATATATGTCTGGCTTCAAGGATAGCAATTCCGAAACACCAATAATTGTACATACCACCAAATCGACAATGCATAATATTGTACAACGGTTTTATAAAGACCTATATGCGATTGATGCAGTACCTATGAATCAAATACAAGAGTATTTAGGTAATATTCACTTTCCAAGTAAAGTTAATCAGGATGAAGCAAATCTGCTCCAAATGGAATTTGATTGGGAGGATATTGTCAGAATGACAAAGCGTAGCCCAAAACAAAGTAGCCCAGGTAGTGATGGACTAGGGTATACATACCTTCAACTCTTGTTTGGTTTTCCTTGTTTGAAGCCCCTGATACTTCAGGTATACAATGATGCCATGGTAAAAGGAATTTTCCCTCAGTCATGGAAGGAAATCCGAGTGCGCTTGCTACCCAAGAAAGGTGATTTGTCCGAATTAAAAAATTGGAGACCAATTTCATTGATCAACTGTGATGGTAAAATTTTTACAAGGCTCATTACCCAACGTCTAGCTCCTATAATGAATCGAATTATCAACCCGCTTCAAAAGGGCTTCATCCAAGGACGTTTTATTAGCGAAAATGGGATGTAAGTCCACTTGGTTCTACAACAAGCAAGATATGAACATCATCAAGGTGTAGGTTTGCTTCTTGATCATGAGAAAACCTATGATCGAGTATTACCAACATACCTTCAACAAGCTCTTGTGTCCCTAGACTTTCCTACCTTATTTATACAGAGTATTTATAATTTGTTCTTTGATAACTCAGTAGCAATCAATGTCAACGGATCCTTTACGAATCAAGTACATCAGCAACGTGGGCTAAGGCAGGGTGATCCTTTGTCCCCTTTATTGTTCAACATCGCTTTGGAGCCGCTGATTCTTTCAATCCAGCAAGACCCCACATACCAAGGATATGTCCCGACAATGAGCACTACGTTTCAGCAGATCAAGTGCATCGCATATGCTGATGATATCTGTGTGTTTGTCAAGGATACCGCTGATTTTATGCGTCTCCAACATCAGACCAATTATAGTACTGTATCAAATGCAAGATTTAACAAGCAAAAGACGGAAGCTTTCTCACTGAGTGGTGTCAAGTCAGAATCTTGGGAATCATTGCTTTTGAGTCATGATATCGAAACATACTACCACCATCATTCCCCTTCTGCTTTTCGATACCTTGGCTTTTATATGCCATACACAGATTCTCAACAGAATCGTGTCCAGGATATCCTATTGGAAAAAGTGCGTACACGGGTTCATGGTTATTTTCAGCGTCACCTCTCGCTTCAAGAAAGAGCTATCATTCCCAACACTTTGATTTTATCCAAAATCTGGTACTGCTTGCGGTTGTTTGCACCTACTAAGCGATTTCTGAATGAAATTCGTTCGATTATCTATACTTACGCGTGGCAAAAGAAGTTTCCTTATTTTTCTTTTGACCAGTTATGTCTCCCTAAGGATCAAGGTGGTGTAGGAGCCCTCAGCCTTATCATACAATACTTGGTGCTGCAGATGAGATGGGTCTTTACTCTGTTTAGTTCGTCTAATCTACCTACTTAGCTCCGAGTGCTTATGACAGAACACTTTGGTATCATGTCTCCAGATGCTGACAATACATTGCTACCCTTTTTCTCTAGAACTCTTCGCCGTCATGGTATTTGTCATCCCACTTTAGTTGTCAATGGTATTTATGCTGCCTTTGATCACTTTGGTATCGATTTGAAACTTGATAATGTGCCTCTAGCCAACTTGTTTTACTTTCCGCTGATTAACATGTTTCAAGAGGTACCTCAGAACCACTGGCTTCATCGACATTCAAAAGTATCGGCATCTCTTTTCTTCCTCTTTGACGAACAAAGTAACCGGTTACACCTGAAGGTTCGCTATGAATATGGGACATTGCCAGGATTGTGCCATCAGCTCTTTATAGACGTTCTTCGCAGACGAACAGTAAAACTTCAACCTTTCCTGTGGTAATATATTACACAAGGTGTGACACCATCTACTGTCTCTGTCTATGATGCTTTGGCCAAGCAATTAACTGATACACGATTGTGGCGCTCTTTCTCTTTTAGTGATTTCTGCCTGCATCCTTATGACGGCAAAGCTAGATCCCAAATAAAGGCTTCTCGAGCCTCGCTCTCTCTGTTTTGGAGGACTCCAATGCTCCTCAGGCTAGAACACTGTGGTATCGTGTGCTTCACAAGAAACTGCCTACTGCGTCCGAACTTTCCAAGTTTGGTACTGCTTCTACTCCTGTCTGTCGTCTGTGCAAATCACAACCGGAATCATATGATCATTTCATAGCCCATTGCTCTACCAAGTGGAGTGTTTGGTTGGAAATACTCAACTGCTCCTACCCTCTGGTATACTTTACTCCTCCCTCCCTCCACAAGGTCCTCATTCTTCAAGCCTTTCCCCCTGCCATTAAAAACCGCTCCAAGCTTGTATCCATCGTTGCGATAGCTCAATGGAGTATCTAGAAATCCTATCGGAACCCGATTCTCAACCAGGTTGCTTTTGAACATTCTTGTATCATTTCAGATACAACTTATCAGGTAGCCTTAGCTACAAAAAATGACTCCTTGGTAAAATAACCCCGATCATTGTATGATCTTTACACCACCATTCCTTACTCCTGTTTTTCTACATCCCACCTCTCTGCGATGTGTGGCTAATCAATAATTTTGTAAATAAAATCCAACTACAAAAAAAAGTTATCCCCACATGTACATTGTAAAGTGCTTATACTTCTACTATTATATGTTTTTTAGCATCCCAAATAGCATATAGTTGTCTCGAAAAGTTAATTTTCAACACATTTTATATGACGTCCAGAGCAAAAACGCTCAAAACACAGCTTAAACAGGCCAATCTTTGATACGCCATTGCTCGACAGCTAGATGGTCAAAACAGCTCGTTCTTTTTTATTGAAAACATGTTTTTCGAGTCCATATGTCGAATAATGCCATTGATTTAGCGGTTGAATGAAATTCATTTCTTGAACCACAGAGCTCTTGAAAATGAAAAAAAAAAGTTCATCAGATTGACCCAAAGTAGGTCTGATCCAACTGAAATGAGATGAGACCATACCTAGGTACTTCTGAGGAGAAGAAAGCGAGTTTAATAGGACAAAACAGTCGAGTTAAGTAATCAGGCATGATTTCTGTTTGTGTACTGCTTTAGCATGCAGTGAAAACGGCGCTCTATATTGCCCTCTCAACATCTTTTATTTATATCTCAAGAGCGGTTCTAGTTCTAAGGGTATCGTCTCAGAGTAATTGAACGCATCAGGCGTTAGTTAACCAAGTGTAGACAACAATAATTACATTGCATCTAATTCAACAAAATCTGCCTTTGGATGAGCAGAGTGATGACGTCTTAAATCTGTTCGCGGAATCCCATTGGTCTGTCAGCTTGTCTACACCCAGGTGAAAAATTATTAACCTTTCACCTTTCACCTACTTATAATCAGCATGTTGGTTACTGTCTCTCGTCAAGCTGTTCGTACTTGCAAGGCTCCTATGGGGTAAGAAAAAGCGTGCTTACTACTTGATTGCTTATTCTTTACGATAGCACCCAAGTCCGTAACATGGCCACACTTAAAGAAAGTAAGATTTTTAGTCTTGAAAATGAACATGTATTAACATATGATCTATATAGTTCAACAGCGTTTGAAGTCTGTTCAAAACATTGAAAAGATCACCAAGTCCATGAAGATGATTGCTTCTACCAAGGTCAACAAGGCTCAACGTAGTATGGAAGCTGCCCGTACCTTTGGTCAAGCTTCTCATTGTACGTATTATCATGAAGCAATAATAACAACAAAACTAACTGAAACATGTAGCTCTCTTTGAAAGCGCTGAAACCAAGGCTGCTGAAGAGGGTAAGGTCCTTTTCATTGCCTCCTCTTCTGACCGTGGTCTCTGTGGTGGTATTCACTCCAGTGTTTCCAAGGCTACCCGTAAAGCTATTGCTGAACAACCTACCTCTGAACTTGTCATCCTTGGTGACAAGCCCAAGGCTCAATTGGGTCGTGTTGTTCGTAAGAACGTCCGTATCACTTTCAACCAAATTGGTAAGGATATCCCCACTTTTGAAGAAGCTTCTTCCATTGTCGATGTCATCAAGTCTTCTGAAATCGAGTTTGACTCTGCCAACATCATTTACAACAAGTTCAACTCTGTTGTTTCTTACGAAGCTCAAGCCATTCCTGCTTACTCTCAAGACACCTTCAAGAACTCCCCTAACTTTGCTGTTTATGAAATCGAAGATGATGTTCTTGCCAACCTCCAAGAATTCACCTTTGCCAACAGTATTTATTGGGCTATGGTTGAAGGTCATGCCTCTGAAATGAGTGCTAAGCGTGCTGCTATGGAGAACGCCACCAAGAACGCTGGTGAAATGATTGGTAAATTGACCATGACTTACAACCGTGGTCGTCAAGCCGTTATTACTAACGAATTGATTGATATTATCACTGGTGCTTCTGCTCTTTAAGCGTAGAATTGTATAGTAATAAAGTAAAATAAAAAAGCAGTAAAAGTTATGCATGCAATGACCTCATATCATATGTTTTAATGACATATCGGCTCTTCTCCCTTTTAAGTGAAAACTCATTTTTAATTATCTCGAATTCTTATTGTTGTGCATGTAAATCCATACAAAAAATTACAGTGTCTTCTCGGCTTGACTCTATAAAGTAAGAGAAAAAGTCTAGAATGTCGCGTCCTATTTTTTTTAAAAAAAAAAAAAAGGTTATGGTTTATATGACGGGGAAATAAAAAGAGGCACGCACGAGCCTCATCATTCTGATCATAAAGAAGCTTATTTAAAGATATACTTCTTTATGTGATCGACGCGTATGATCATGAAAAACAAAAGCATGTGAATCTTACTTGACTTTCCATACGCTTCTTTCCAAGACATATTTAGTTTCTTTTTTTTTTTGTGTGGTTTCTTGTGTGTTATTGTTGTACCAAACAAATTCTCAGTTGTACTTTTTAGTTTGAGATACGTGTTGATGACAAAAGCCATATAAAAATAAACGGTCTCTTCCCCCTTCTTTAAGTTATATTCTTCTTCTTTTCTTCTTCCTCTTCTTTCAAGCTGGCATTGGATACTTTTTTTTTTCATTTAATTAAGTAACAATAAATACTGAAGTATGTATAAAACAATTCATGATTATTTTCATACTAATTCTTTAAAAAAAAGAATGCAAAAACAACCATATTCAAATTCATTTCAGATTCATTCACCCAACCCAATTGCTTATAACATGTTCCAAACAACAACCAATTTCTCTACGGGTAAATTTACATCATAAGGATAAAAATATTCATCTGCATGATATAGAACAAATAAACGACTTTGATTATAGTAACATGATGACCACTCAGCACACCTTGTATGGGGATGGCATATCTTTGGCCGAAGCAGCATCCATCTGTTCTTCAAATGATACACCCGATGTTGCTCCGGTTGCCGATAAATTATCTATTTCATCTGAGACAGTGGTAGCACAACAACAACCTATCGCTCATGAAAATCAGTACAATTCTGTACCTTTCGCAATGACCCAATGGGCTTCTCATTTGGCACATTATCAGCCAGACGGAGTCTATAGTGATGAGGATTATTCTATGACTGATGATATTCAGACCCCAACAGTACAATGGTGTAATCATGTTACAAGTGGAGGTGCAATTAGTGCAACAGACACTGAACAATACCAGAATCTTTATCCCATCATGACCGAGCAGGTAAATATATATATATATATATATATTTGTGTGCTTTACTTAATTTCATGTAGGAACCTCATTCAACATGCATACCCAAAGATTCCTCTCATTATCACCGAAAAACCGTTTTGTATATGTCCTCAGATAATCTGTGCGACACGACTGAAAATGAATTGCGAAGAAAATCCATGAATGATCTCGTAAACCAAAAGTCATTTTGTCATTTATCAAGAGAGGAGCTTATTCAGCGCGTATTGGAGCTAGAAAAGGAAAAACAGTTATCTAAAAAGTCACTAGGTACACACACGCATTTACAAATATAGACAGCGTATTCTAATAGAAGGGGGAATATAGAACAATCTGATGGCTCAGATGAAGATGAGATTCATCCTTGCCGCTGGTCTGGCTGTGGTACCTTGACTGTTTCTCTCGATCAGCTGATCGCGCACATTAAAGATACACATATAGGAAGTGGGAAGGTATAAACTGAGCCAATAAGATAACAAACTCATTTTCTTATAGGCTGCTTATTGCTGCGAATGGATCGGATGTCCTAGAGAGCGCAAGCCTTTTCTAAAACGCCATAAGATGCAAAATCATATGAGAACGCACACAGGTGAAAGGCCATTTGTATGTCACGTTGAGGGCTGCGATAAAAAGTTCTCTCGTCCCGATTCCTTGAACACACATATCAAGACGCATTCAAATGTTCGACCATTTATATGCCCTTTCGACAAGTGTACCAAAGCTTATTTTCATTCAAGATCACTTCGTAAGCATGCTAAATCACACGAGTCTCTCTCTACAAAGGCCTTGGTTGATCAAAAGCCATATTGTAGACCAACCAAGACAACAACCCAACAACAACAACAACAACAACAACAACAAGCGTGTGGTACAGAAGCCCGACATCTTTTGGCGCCCACCATAACAACAAAATTTACGCCGTCAGTTAGTACGGAAATGCACTATTTAGCTGCTGGCAGTATCAATCCAAACATGTACATGGCTCCACATTTTCCTTCTTTTCCAGTAGAACAGCAACATCTTGTTCCATATCAACAAATGCAACGTCAACAGCAACAACAACAACAACAATTGCAATCACAACCCCAACTGTATTTTGCCACGCATTATTACAACTCTAAATATATTTACTAACCTTGCTTTATACTTTTTATCATGCAGAGTCCTTGAAGGACATGCAAACATTATATATATACATACTTATAAATATTCTCGTTTATAACTACTCAATTTTTATTTTATTAAAAAACAGCATTTCCTAGAGAAAAACTCTGAATCATCTTGAAATTTGCTCTCATACTTCTTTAGTATTTTTGTTGTCTCTGTTCGGTTTGGAATGTCTTTTTTTTTTGTATTAAATGATTGCTTTATCTACCAAACCAAGGATACGCTATATGCTAATGCGTCAAGTTTTATAATTCTATGCTGTGACAAGTAATATTTTTGAAAATCGTCGTTTTGAGCACTGAGGCAAATACCAATTAGCACCATCACTGCCAAATAAAAAAAAAAAAGCTCTGATAGGTTTTGTCAAATGAAAAATCAGAAAAAGCATAGACTTTTAAGAATGGCCGTTTGTCCGCGCCTTAACTGGATAAAATTTTTCCGGATGAATACAGAAAAGAAAAAGAAAAAAGACAACTGAAAGCATTCAGGAAAGCATTCAGGTATATACACTATCCTTCCCTTCCTTTTCCTTCATTCACTTCATACCGGATCTGTCATAAACAAAAAAGGAGAGCTAATCGAGATGACTGTTCGCAGTGATTGGTTGACCACTGTGACTTTCTCCGGTTTAAAGTTTCCATCATGAATTCGCACAGCAAAAAAATTGTCTTTTCTTTTTTTTTCATATTATAAATCATGTTGAGAAAAGTCTTACAGCGTTCTTTGACAAGACCTCTTGCCAAGTCTGCTTTACCTGTCTCTAGTAGACTCTTTTCTATTCATGCTAGACAACAACAACAAGAAGCTTCAGTGGCTACAGAAACGATTTCACCTTCTTCTGGTACATAAAAACTAGCTCTTTTTTTTAAAAAAAAGCAAAATTTAAACTCTTTCATAAAGATTCTTTAGGATTTGAATCAAAGGCTATCAAGGAATTTGGTAGACCTATCTATCTTGATATGCAAGCTACAAGTCCTACAGATCCTCGAGTGTTGGATGCCATGCTTCCTTACATGACTGAGTTGTATGGTAATCCTCATTCTAGAACACATCAATACGGTTGGGAAACTGAAAAAGCTGTTGAACAAGCTCGTGAGGTAAGTTGAGTAAAAGATCAAGCATGTTTATTTATCCCTCCCCTTCTTACAGTACGTTGCCAAATTAATCAATGCCGACCCCAAAGAAATTATCTTCACTTCGGGTGCTACAGAATCAAACAACATCAGTATCAAGGGTGTTGCCAAGTTCTACAAGAACAAGAAGAAGCACATTATTACTACACAAATTGTAAGTATATAAACACAAATACAAAGAAAATTGAGTTTTGTATGACAGGAACATAAATGTGTATTGGAATCATGTCGATCTTTACAAGAAGAAGGATTCGAAGTCACTTATCTCCCTGTTCAAAGTAATGGTCGTATTGATCTTAAGCAATTGGAAGAAGCCATTCGTCCTGATACCTCAGTTGTTTCTATCATGGCTATCAATAACGAAATTGGTGTGATGCAACCCATTGATGAAATCGGTAAACTCTGTCGATCTAAAAAAGTATTTTTCCATACAGATGCTGCACAAGCAGTGGGTAAAGTGCCTTTGGACGTCAATGCTATGAATATTGACTTGATGAGTATTTCTGGTCATAAATTGTATGGTCCCAAGGGTGTGGGTGCTGTCTATGTCCGTAGAAGACCTCGTGTTCGTTTGGAAGCTGTTCAAAGTGGTGGTGGTCAAGAAAGAGGTATTCGAAGTGGTACAGTGCCTCATCCTTTAGTGGTTGGTCTAGGTGAAGCTTGTAAAATCGCAATGGAAGAAATGGAGGTAAGTTCACCGTTATTTATTTGATCCTATGACGAATCGTGCTTAACCAGCAACGTAAAATATAACAAGAGTGAAAGGTTACGTCTTTTTTCTAAAAAAAAAAAAAAAAAAGAGGTCTGTTTATTTACAACAGATAGTAAGGTTTTCACAATGATTCTTGTGCAGGGGTTCTGAGGATCTTTTTTTTTTTTATGTAAATGTTTATATGAAATACTAATCTAAACTTAGTACGATCATGCTCGTATTGCTAAACTTTCAAAGCGTTTAATTGATGGCATTCAATCCAAGATTGAACAGGTCCATCGTAACGGTGACCCTGTCCACAACTATCCTGGCTGTGTCAATCTTTCGTTTGCCTATGTCGAAGGTGAATCTCTGTTGATGGCCTTGAAGGATATTGCTTTATCTTCTGGTTCTGCTTGTACTTCTGCTTCTCTTGAACCTTCTTATGTTTTGCGTGCTTTAGGTGCTGATGATGAAATGGCACATAGTTCAATTCGTTTTGGTATTGGTCGATTCACTACGGATGAAGAAGTTGAATTTGTGATCCAAAAGGTCTGTCAACATGTTGACAAGTTAAGAGACATGTCTCCTTTATGGGAAATGGTTCAAGAAGGTATTGATTTGAAGTCTATTCAATGGGCTCAACATTAATATATATGTATGTATGTATGTATGTATTTGCTTGTGTATAATTAGAATAAAAAAGAAAGAAAAAAAAAAGATATCATTATCATAGTTTATTTAGAGTATATATATTTTTATATTTTTTTTTATGTGAGAAATGCTTAATACTTCTGATTGTCTAAGAGCCAAAAATGAAAGAAGGAGAAATGAAGATGTTGCAAGAAAAAAAAACAAAAAAGAAAAAGAATTCATATAGAAAAGAGAGAGAGAGAGAGAGAGAGAGAAAAAAGATTAATCCAAAGCACACATTTGTTTTTTTTTAAGAAGGTTATCGCTTACGAGTAACTTGTTGACTGACTTTGCGAAGTAAAGCGATCCAAGCTTCTTGTTCAGCTTCTGTTTGTGTACGCATAATCAATTGGCGTTTACTTCCATTGCCAGAATTATGTCCAGGTACAGGATAAGTACCATTATTCCAAGCAACTGAAGTAGGCTGTTCATGTCTGTCATTTACCTTGATTTCAAAGCCATAGATGGCTGTATTTGGAAGACTGGGCGTGTCTGACTTACGCATAAAAGATAATCCTAGGGATCGTTTGGTTTCCGAGAGTCTTGCTATAATACTCGGTGATAAAGGTACAATTTCTGCATGTTTCAGGTTAATCATCCCCTTGTACACCAATGTAGGATTATTGTCAGACTTCTTTTTACTCATCTTGACTTTTTGACAATACATGAAAATGTCATTATAGAGTAAATGGGTGCGTGTGTCAGACATTGATTGTGGATCTGACATATCCACCTTGGTTAAGGGGCCCGTGATAAACAAACGGCGATTCGTAGTGGCAATAGCAGGGTTGTTTTGGATTGATCTAGCAGCTTCCAGGACTCGGACAAGTGCTAAGCGATCTTTCAGGCTTATTTTAAGGTCTTAGTTTTAAGAATAATCTTTTTCAAAACTTACAGTACTCGCCATTCTTTTTCACGTCGTTCGTACTTGTCCTTGAGTTTCACAAGAGCTCTGTAGTCTGGATGAGAAAGTTCAGTAGCTGTCGATATTTGAGATACAAAGGAAGAATAAAAAGGGAGTCGAACAATAGGGTTTTTCAAATAGAACACAACATCCTTGATGTTGGGCGCATCGGTTCGTGGAACACAACTCTAAAAAAAAAAGGAGAAGGAAAAGATAAGGTATTAGAATATACACAAAAGAACCCTACCTCTAGAAATTTACAGAACTGTGGCGATTTTCTGCAAAGTGTGTCTATGGTCACAATAAAACTTGCGTAATATTTCAAGTATTTTTCATAGATAGGCATCTTTTCATGCTATCGTTTGTCGTATAAACATGAGTTAATCAAATTATATGGGTGATGCTTACAAAACTAGCGAGAATATCGGATACGAATTGTGTTGGACCCCACATCTTCAATCTATATATATATATACATATACATGTGTTAAATTAAGCGTAACCTGAAACAAACTTGCCTGTCTCTTAAACCAGTATAAAGTTCTTGATGTACTTTTGTGATTTCTTTGATCGTCTCGAACAGCGTCGCTATTGCTGTTCTAGAACAAATAGCGGGAAACTTTTGAAAGACATCAGCATTTGCTGAATCATACGTCCAACGATGGATAGGTTCAAGAAAATAAAACAAAAACTGTTCCATGTCTGTAATATGGTCTTCCTCAGATTGGCACATTCTTTCAATAGACATCTTTTTCTGTGCTACATTTCTAGCTGCGTCTGCTACTTGTTGTTCTGTAAGGTATGCGTCAACAAGATGTATAGACTATGTATCTTTTTTTTTTTTACCATAAGGTTCGCATTCAGATTCATCGCCAAAAGTATGATAGATCTCGTCAATAATAGCTAAATCGTCCATGAGTTGATACAAATTGTCTGATTTGTCTGTAAAGAAGCTTAAATGATCTGAAGAGGCCTGGAAACTGTCTCTCTCAGAAAACTCCATAGATAATATGCTGTCTTCACCACTGCTGGAAGTGATATTACTACTGGTAGCTGAAACAATTGAGTTCTGTCTCCATAATGCGTTTGATTGATTTGTGCCGTCAATAGTAGTGGCAATCGAACTCATGTTGCTCGAGAATTAAAAATAGTCAAAAAAAAAAAGTAAATTACTTGGGTTCAATCGTAAAGTTTGAATGAAAGGAGAAACAAAGAGAAAGAAGAAGAGAAGAAACAATGATTTTTGTATTAATCAAATAAGAAAGTTATACGATAAAACATACGCATTTATCTAGTTTCGAACCTGCATTTGTGTATGTGTGTGAACTTGATAGTATAAAAATGCTGTGTTACTCTTTTTTTTTTTTTTTTTTTTTTTTTTGTGAAGCATACCAGTTTAATGCAATAAGTCATACAATTCGATAAAATATGGAAATAAATAGCATAAAAAGTCTATTTGAATTGACTACTTTATGATAACAATACTGTCTTGTATTACTTTCAAAATAAAAGATAGAACAAAATAACAACATACTATATAGTTGTTTGTCATGCTATTCTCATACTCATTATGTTGTGCAAGTCTGTCTTAGTGTACAACGTATATATGAATACATTCGGAGTTGTTGCAATTAAGAACAAAAAAAAAAATGAGTTCATATATACAAAATGCAGGCACAATATTAACTGGCTTTTTATGGAAGATTGACATTCTATCAGTGGAGCACTAGATAGCTTTATTTAGAATATTTAAGGCAATACGTCTTCGAATAGTAACCATGTCACTCTGCGAAAAACCAAAGGGTTGTTGTCTTGATAGTCTCTCTGCAAATGTACATGTAAATGCACCACAGTCTGACATATTTTCTTGACGCGGTATATCTTTAGGTGTTTCTTTTTTCCAGTCTGATGTGTCGATTGGAGTCTTTTTCTTGTCTAAATGTTCTTTTTCCAAATAGTCCAGAAACAATTCCAATGTGTTATCATGATTACCGTGCAAAGAATCATACACAGTTACTTTTTTATGCTTCATGTCCATAACGCCCAAGACCCAATGATAGGATTGGTTAATCGGCACTAATACTAAATCTTTTGAGAATATATCTACCTATTCATTATCAGCTATAAACTCATCACATAGACGCTTACTCTTTTTGTCCATCTTCTAACTTTGTTATAGCCTTGATCTCGTAAAGTAGAACAAAAAAAGGTATTAAAACAATGAATTTGAGGCAAATTGTCTGCTTTGGATGCACGGTCTGAAATCAATTCAAAATAAAAATTGACAATCTCGTCATTCAGCCATGTCTCTGGATAGAGTCGATAGATATCTCTGTAACTAACAATGGCATTCTTGAATTCAGACACTTGGCCTGATTGACCCTTTTTAAACAGTCTGTCTACCATCTTATTCTCTTCATCTGTCAATGGTGGTACTGTTTCAATAAGATCTGGTATAGCAGTTGCCTTATATCTTGATTCAAATCGAGCTGCCCTTAATTCTGACTCAACTAGAATCTAAAGAGTATCAGTTTAGATAGGTCTATGGGTTATTCTTACATTCAAGACATTCTTTTGTAAGTCAAGAATCTAATTCAATCATTAGCTAATACAGATATCTAGATGACTTGCCTCTGTTTTATGGTTATTGATAGTGGTTTTTGATGTGTCTACTGTAAGTTCCTCTAATTTCCCCAAGATCAAGTCAAGATCGTTAGGTTGATCTTCTTTTGACATGACGGAATACAAGTACTGAAAGCGTTGATTAAAAGATGCAATATCTATATATGCTCATGATTAACTATAGACATATAGACAATATTACCACTTTTAGGTTTCTTTACTAGTTGTGGAAAGTTGAAGTCAACAGGTGTAGTTCTCGCTAAGTTTTTATTTCGCATAGTAAGAAAAAAAAAGAAAGAAAAACAAAAAAAGAAAAGTCCTATTTTGTTTATTTAGATGGCTCCTGCTTTCTCTTCCATTGGTGGTTTGATTCTTGATGATATTGTTTATCAAGATGGTAGACGCGTCAATAACATATTAGGGGGTGGTGGTGTGTTTGCAATCTATGGTAAGAACTTCTGTCTTGTCCATCTTATATATATGTATATGTAGGCATGAGAATATGGCAATCGAATTCAGATTCTAAAAATGTGGGTTATGTGATCCATAAAGGGTTTGATTATCCTGCTCAGGTTGATGACCAACTGAATCAGTTGGACATTGCTATTCAGTCTATCGTTCATTCTGATAAACACACCACAAGAGGACTCAACACGTTTGGAGAGAATGATCATAGGGATTTTGAATACATTCACCCTATCATTCGTGTCACAGCCAGTGATTTCCCTGATAGTTGGATCAAATCAATCAAAATACTACACTTGATTTGTTCTGCTGAAAGAGCTATTGAAATAATTGATGAATGGAGAGAAAGAGAACAAGTGTTGGCTGCAGTAGACAAGACACAGTTTATATGGGAACCTTTACCATGGGCATGTCTTCCCGAGGTAAAAGATATATAATATGTTTAGTATGGCTATTGAAGCAGAATTAGAATCTAGAGCGTATTTATGAAGCATCTCAAAAGGTGGATATCATTTCACCCAATCATGAAGAATTAGCAGATATGCTAGGCACCTCATTTCATGATTTACTCATCCAACACAACCATGATTTCAAAGCGACTGTGGCATACTGCGGTCAACAATTTGTACAACATGTAGATAAAGTATTGGTCGTACGTGCCAGCAAATATGGTGCTATGGTCATTTCAGATGGAATACATTGGATTCCTGCTTATTCTAAACAAGAGGATGTTGTTGATGTGACTGGTGCTGGCAATACATTTTGTGGTGGGTACGCTTATGGTTGGATTCACACAAAAGGAGACCCAGTAGAATCTGCTTATTATGGTGCTGTCTCTGCTAGCTATACTGTAGAACAAGTAGGTGTGCCTGTATTCAATCATGGAGAATGGAATCATGGACCTAGTCCAGAAGAAAGACTAGCTAGATTAAAGGGTTTATTTGTTTGATTGTTGAATGTGTTCCATAGCCTGAAGGAATCCATATGTCTTTTCACAATTAGCATATGTATATTTGGCTGTAATATAACCAGCTATTCCAGAAGCACCTTATCATTTGTATGAATAAACTGTTGATAGAATGTATAACTTACTTAATGCAGAGAATAAGGATTGGTTCTTATCAAACCCAAATCGACGAGCTAACGGTACTATTTTATTATTGTGAGTCTGTATCTTCTTGTTTTCTTTACTTACATGTAATAATACCTACTGCAACTAGAATGAGAAAAACAAAGTAAGTAAATTGAGACATGCTATAGCACATATTTACTTGCTGCATAGATACCAGTTTTATTCGCATTTTGTTGACATAATCTTGGTAAAATCCATTCCTAACATATATATATATATAAGCAAATAAGATATAGGTTCAAATAGCCTTACAGGATGTTCTCTGGCAATTCCTTGTTGTATTCTTGACATATCTAAAGATAAAAGAATAAAAAAAAATATTTAAGCAAATGACGTATATGTGCATTGCATGATAATTATAAACAATAGCAAGATATGATTGGATAAACTCATCCTTGTCTTTACTTGGTTGAATACGACTGATAGGTAACCTAGATCAAGTCACGTGACTCCTCCAAGCACTTTGAACAAAAAAAGTGTGACGTAGTAAAATCCATCGAGTGCTGCAAAAAATACCAGTACAGGGTAGATTTTCGTTTGATTCCTTTCTAAAAGAGATACTGTAAGTCTATTTGCACCCAATACACGTTTTATTCAATCTTTTTAGTTCTTCTTTTTAATTCAAAAATGGCTCTCCGTTTGATCACTAAGAACGCTTCAGCTGGTACACTTCATATGAACATTAGATTGTATACTCATCGTTTTATCTGTAGCTGCCCTTGCTCGCCCTGCTTTATATGCTTCTCGTCAATCTTTGAGTGCCACTGCGTAAGTATGATTGCATATTATGATAGTGTTGTTCATCTCTTTTCTTTAGTGTTCGCCACTACACTACTCAAAAAGAAGGTACACAGAGAACATAAAAAAGTCGATCCACCTTATTAAACACAATTAATAGTTGAACCCAAGGAAAAGGCCAACAGTATCATCAACGCTCTTCCCGGTAACTCTCTTGTTTCCAAGACTGGTTACCTTACTTTGGGTACTGGCTTAGCTACCTTCATGATCTCCAAGGAAATCTATGTTCTCAATGAAGAAACTTTGGTCTTGATTGCCTCTACTGGTCTTCTTGGTGTCTTACTCAAGTACCTTAGAGAACCCTTCACCAACATGGCCAATGAACACATTGCTCGTATTAAGAACATCTTGGTCCAAGCTCGTGAAGACCACAAGAGTGCTGTTCAAGAACGTATTGACCAAGTAGGACAAATGAAGGATTTGGTTGATGTCACAAAGGCTCTTTTCGCTCTTTCTCGCGAAACTGCTCAATTGGAAGCTGAAGCTTTTGAATTAAAGCAAAAAGTTGCTGTTGCTTCTGAAGTTAAGACTACTTTGGATTCTTGGGTTCGTCATGAAGCCAACCTTCGTGAACGTGAACAAAAGCAATTGGCTGCTTATTTGATTGAAAAGATCAACAAGGACTTGCAAGACCCTAAGATTCAACAACAAATTCTCGAACAAGCTATTGTCGATGTTCAAAGTAAGTGTCATCAAAAAGAAGGAGTAAAACTCATTGCTTATCTGATTCTATAGAAATTGCAAAGACTCATTAGATCCCCATTTTATTATTAAATTTTGTAAAAAAAAAAAAGAGAACTAAAGTTGTTGAAAAATTATTTTTTTATTTTTTTTGTTTTTAAACATGTCTTCATTAAACAGTCAATTACAAAGCTTCAAGAAATCGTTTAAAGCAAGTACTGAGGTTGCTGTCAAACGTGCAGGCCAAGCAGTGCCTGTGAAGGAAACTAAAACAGGTTCTGGATTCATATCCAACAATACCAAAATTTCTTTTGATTCTGGTCATGAATCAAAAAAGAGAAAGAGACAAACAGGTAAAGAAAAGAATTCTTTGTTCATGTACTAAGTATAGTCTAGTCTACTCCCAACCTGCTAATACGGGCACGGGTAATCATGCCATGAGTCAATTATATACCGTCATTCAATTCTTGAAGGTTGAATCACCCTTTTTCTTAATCTTTCTTATTGACATTAGACATAGGATAGTGATGCACCTCAATCAGTCACCAGTATTGTTTCTCGAACCAAAGTAGATATCACAAAGAACCCACTATTATGGGATAAACTAGTCGAGAATGAAAAGATTGAATATGATACTGTCAATAGTACTTTTGCCTACAAGGTAATATAAACCCATTCATTGCCAATGTTATTAAGCGAAGCTTAGCCTACATTTCAAATCAAAAGTAAAGAAGAATTGTTGTCTTTGTTGGCACAACACAAGAATGAAGGCGGCATGGATTATAAAGACCTTAAGGATTCATACTCCAAATTAAGTAGTGCAGTAGAAGAATTGGCTGCTTCAGGACAAATCCTGGTGGTTAGAAATAAGGATGGTAATCCGCGTGTCTTGTTCTATAATGATGCTGAATACAACACTCCTATTGATTCAGGTAAAGTACATATAGAAAAAGACAGTGACTAAGCCTTTTATGCAGAATTCAAACAAATGTGGTCTGAAATTCCTATTCCTGATGAAACAGATTTACCTAAAGCATTGGAAACTGCAGGTCTTAAGACAATGGAAGTATTTGAAAAGAAGATTACATCTGAGGTAAACAAGTTACATATCAGTTCATACATTGTACTTATTCTTGTTACTTAGTCCAAGCCAAAGAGATCGAAAACAAGAAACAAGCGAATCAAGATTACAAATACTCACTTGTCACATATTGATTTATCTAAAGATTATGTGCCACCCAACAAGAAATAAAACTCTTTTTTTTTGGTCTATTTGAATGCAACCTCATCATCGAAGGCGATCATCTAAATCTATTCGAACAAACACACCTGTGAATTATGCAAGACGAATGACAGTTCATTTACCAGAGACTATACCCGATACTACTTATCTCTATGGTTACGCGTTACTAGGCGCGTCTTTTTTCTTTTTTACTTTTTCAGTCTATTCTATTGTGGCGAGCGAATACATGCCTGATGTCCATATCAAGGTAAATAAGATCCATTACAGTCTACCTCTAAATCTGTTCTAGTTCCTGGATTGGGTTAAATATGATGACTATTATTGTCTTTTGATCCCTATTACAGCTATTGTGTGGATTTATTGGGTTTTATGGAATTGGATGGGCATGAAGTTTTTTAGACATAATTAAAAGAGGAGGGAATAAATGAATAAGGAGCATTGTTTAATTAAAAAAAAAAGAGGGAGGAAAGTTTGTTGTAAAGGGGTTGCTTATAAAATGACAACACGACTTTTTCTTTTTCTTTTTCCTTGTAGTATAAAAATGAAATCAGACATTGCTATTCTTCAAGTGAAAAATGAAGAAAATGAATATAATTTAGCTGCTTCTGATATTTCAAGCAGTAATAATAGTAGCAGTAATCGATCTAGTATGAGTAGTCTGGATACTACTCCACTTGAGTTAGGCATCGTCATCAATGCCCTTCAACATGCTATTGACGACGATGCAACAATCATTCAACAAGAACAAGATCATGAACAGAAGAAGATAGAACAAGATACTAGTAGCGGTTCAGCCAATGTCATTAAGATATCACCTATTGATCCAAAGCATATAAAGCCAAACACATTGAACCCTCGGGAACAAGAAAAAGCAGGTAAAAATATTCTAGACTAACAATAAACATGTATATTCACTTATAATAGATGAACACTATTTAAAAGCAATACATTTACTCTTCAGTAATAAATTCATGAAAGCAAAACAAATGTTCGAGCAATATGCACACACGTATGTCATTAAACATGTATACTTTAGTTACTCATACATAGAAAAGTGATCCATTTTATACTTCAGGATTAGGCTCTATGACATTTTTCAAAGGTAAATAAAAATAAAAAATAGAATACAGTTTGAAATATGAAGACTTATATTTGCATAGCCATCATGGTAAATTTCAAAAAAAAACAAAAGATACTCTGATTATTATTTATGATTTTTAAAAAAGAAAGTGATTGATAGACAATGGATCAAGGCTCTATAGAGAATGCAATGCAAGTATTAATGTCAACATACACCATTGCTTCAGCACAAATCCATAACACAACTGGACCTTTTATCGGCAGTAAATTAATAAGCTATGTGACATCTTACTGTCATGCTATCAAAATATCTCGAGGATCTGCTCTCCCAACAAATGTGATGCCTGTAAAACCCAAAAAGCTAGAATTGCACAAGACGCATAGAACTCCAAATGGTGTCTTGCGTGCTCATGTTGTTAAGGCAGAAGCGTGTTTGCAAATGGCCATTCTTTATTTGTTTCAAGAGACGATTGCAGGCTATATTAAATGTGGTCTCAATCTAAGACGAGGTAAGTCCATAGGATATATATATATGTGTGTGTGTGTGATCTAGCAAGCAACTGATCATTGTAAAGCTTATACTAGTTATACCATTGTGTGGCAAGAATATAAGCGCATGGGGCAATTACATGACGAGTATATTGACAGAGATACGATTTCTGGTATACAGTTTGGTATTGGATCCATTCATTTGGTATTATCGTCTTTACCCAGCAAGATACTACGTACAGTAGCTGCTTTTGGATGGAAAGCAGATCAACATTTAGGTTTTGCTCTTCTCAAATTATGCCTAGAAAACAAGAGAGCGAAATCACCCATGGCATCAGCCATGTTGTTGGCTTACTATACCACACTCACCAACCTGTGCCCTCAATTACTTGTCGATGAATACACACAGCCAGCGATTCATACACTGTTGGACGCACAAAAGACGTATCCTAACTCAACCATCTTCCTTTATTTTGCAGGTCGAACATCTCGTATTGCACGCAACTTGACACTCTCAACACAGTCATTTTTGTATGCCATTGAGACAAGTAAGAACGAATGGGTTGAAGTACAAATGAATCAAATGGCGAGTTATGAGATCGGCTTAAATTACATGATGCAGAGCGACTGGGAAGAAGCTGCCGGTATCTTTGATGCGCTTTACAAAGAGGGCTATTGGTCGCCCGCTATTCTTCGCTACCTGACAGGTGCTTGTTTGGATATGATGGGACGTCGAACAGAAGCCATTTTAGCGTTTGCTCAAATCCCTGGTTTGATTACACGCACATCAAAATTCAGTAACAACACAACGACATCAGGTATGGAACATTATATTTTACACAAAGTCGAGTTCTTTCAAACCACTGGGTATCAAGACATGGACATGACCATGTGTGCACTTGAATATCTTTATTTGTGCAACGCGTTTGAATTCATGGACACAATGCAATTAGAACACAACCTGCATTTGACAGAGGATGCCCTGGGCCGCATTTTGGATACTGAGAAACTTGAATACAGTATTCGTGCCAGAGAGTTACTACCAGAGACACCACCACCACAATACGATCCTCAACGTGCCATCTTATTGTTGATCAAGGCAGCTATTTTGAATGCTATGGGCCGAGTTCATGAATCTATTATTCATTTGAATTGGGTTATAGATCACAAAGACACGATGACAGCGGATTCTTGGGTTTTACCCTTTGCTTATTGGTAAATACAAACGTAAGAAAGATCTTGGTTTCTAATTTACGTTAGGGAGGTGGGCACAACATGTTGGAACTTGAATCATAAAACGCGAGCAAAAGAATTTTGGAAGACCGCATCAAGATTTACAGGCTACAATTTTGAGTACAAATTAGCCACGGTAAAGTTTAAAAAAAAACGCGATCGCCTAGTGAATACTGACAATTATTTAAAGCGAGTTTATCTTGCTGTCACACAAGCGGAAAAATTGGGTATTGTTCAAAGATTAGATAAGGTCAAATCAAACGACAAGACGAACGATACTAGCATGCCGATAAAATATCGATTATCTACCTCCGAATCAAAAGATATGGAACACATTGTTCAACAATTAAGACTATAGAGTTAATAAAAAGAGTATATTTTATTTATTACACAAATATTTACACATTTGCAGATCAATGCAAACAAGAAAGAGAATTAAGCACTACAGTTAGTGATACTAAGGACAACACCTGTAGATTCAGCAGGGTGAACCCAAGAGTTGACATTCACATAAACGGTGTAGACCATGGCAAGAACACCAAACAAAATGAGGCCAACATCAAGGATCTTGGCAGTTTTCCTAGAAGTGATCTTGTAATGGAAAAGACCGGGGAAGATAAAACAGAGAGGCATACAGGCAATAGAACCTACAAGAGAGACAAACTTACTCAAGTTTTCAGAACCAACACCAAAACTGACAGCAGCACAAACGACAGGAACTAAAGAACGAACAAAGTTTTTGCCCCATTTGATCTTGAGACTCTTGGTACCAGAACGGTTACCAAAGATGTACTTTTCAATAATAGTCAAGGGAGGGTAGAGCATGAAAGGACTACTGAAGATCATGGCAATAGCATAGAGAACTTGAACAGTGGTTGATAGAGGAGCACGGGGAATATTAGCAACAACACTGGCTTGAGTAATATCACCATAAGCAATATAACCAATAGAACCAATCAAAGTGAAGACAACAGCACAAATAAGCATACCAAGGTTCAAGACCATAGGAAACTTTTTGGGGTCCTTCATACCATTCACGATAGGTAAAACTAATAAAAAAGGGACAGTTTAGTCAATCATTATATGGAGCACAAGAACTTACCCATGCCAATGCCTTCATAAGAAAAGATGGCGGTACCAATCATTAAACCAAAGGTGTTTTGATTGACCAAAATAATATTTTGACCAACACCATGGTCATGAATTTGTGCAGAACTGAAATAGAGAATACAGATAAGACCAAAAGCAATAAAGATATCAGCAATTACAGCAATAGGAGATAACTTGGCAATCTTTCTGACCCAGCAAATAGGAATAATAACAGCAAGAATGATCCAGATATAATATTTAGCAGCAAATGGAGCGTTGCAGTTATTGACAGTGTCAACAACAATACCGATATTTTCGGAAATGAAGATCATGTAAGAGCAAACAAAACCCATTTGAGAAATACATAAGAAGAATTGAATCAAATGTCTCAAGTAAGCACCATAAAGGTGTTGAGCAACATCACCATAAGAACCCCCGATAGACTGTTGAGCTTTCACAAGGATCTGGAAAGCTACACAACAGATGGAAGCAAGTAAGACCATTAACACGATTGACAAGACAAGACCACCACTAACAAAACTAAATGAATTGTTAGAGATAAAAAATTTTTCTGTGTAAATCTTATTGCACTTACGATCCAGGCAAGAAAATGACACCTGTACCAATAAAAGCCTTCAATAACATGAACAATGCCTTTCCTGGAGAAGCAGTTCCTTCAGGTACATGTTCGATCTGTTCTTCAGCTAATGAGTTTTCATAGCGATCTTCTTGATGGTACTTTTCATGGAGTTCAGGGCTAGCTAAGACTTTATCGTTTTGATTCATAAGGAAAAAAAAAACTAATCTAGAAAAAATTAACTTTTTTTGTTGCCTTTATATTGACAGACATTTCAAACGGACATTGAAAACAAAAAAAATCACAAAACCAATAAAACGATTGTCCCTTGTTTTTTTCCAGATACTACAACTTCGTGAGAAATCAAAACCGTAAAAGCCAATAGAAAATTAAATCGGTAAACCTTATCTCCTAACAATTGCTTGATAGAGTAACGCAAATCTATATATCTCCATATTCTTTTTCTTCTTTTGTACATATTTGTTAAATAAATATTGTTTCCCGCTTATGTGTGTGTGTTTTTTTTGTCTTGGGACATATTTATTTGAACCCAAAAAAAAGATCAATTCGATGAGCGCAGTTTAATTTTTTTGTTTCTTTTTTTTCGTTTTTCTCTCATCATGCCTAATGAAAAAATTCGTTTACTTGATGCTAGTGTGATACATCAACTACGCTCGTGAGTTCGTGGTCCTTATTCTTGTTCTTTCTAAGACTCTTTCTGAATAGGTCACTTGTCATTAACACGCTAGTACAGTGCGTAAAAGAACTTGTTCAAAATGGTATAAATAATCTGTTGAGCATGTCCAACTCATTCTTTCTTTAAAGCACTTGATGCGAATGCAACAGTGGTAGACATTTTGCTTGACGTTGAGAAATTCAGTGTTCAAGTCAATGATAACGGACACGGTATACAAAACCTGAGAAAAATTGGACAGAGGCATGGTAAGTCTTTATTTTTTTAAAACCCAATGGAGAATATCTTGAGTAACCATTGTCAAGTGACATCAAAATGTCATACATTGTCTGATGTCAATCAATTAAAAACATTTGGATTCCGAGGCGAAGGTTATTGTTCATCATGCCATGCAGTATACTCATACCATTATTTAGCTTTGGCTTCAATTATAAATGAATCAATGACTCAAATTATTTCCAGACATTCTTCTTCAAAAGAAACATTTGAAGGCTTTTGGCGAGTAAAGAAACATGTCCAGTTTTGTATTATACTGAATATATTAGGATGGCAAGATTATTGGTGACATTTCAGAGTCGAAATACACACGAAAAAATCATCCAGGCACAAGTGTTATTGTTCGAGATTTGTTTTATAAGGTATTGAATAACTAGCCTTCAACTTCTTATACATCTATAGTATCCAGTGAGAAGACGACAGCAGTTGCTGAATGCTTATCAACATGTGGCTATTATGGAATCAATAAGGCAACTTGTGATTGATTTTGCACTTTGTTTTCATCATGTCAGTTTTACGCTTACAGATAGTACTCGAGATTCAACCATTTTGGCTACAAAAAGGGTAAATAGAAAGAAAAAAAAGAGAAGGATTGATACCAAGCTCTTTAGTCAAACACAAGCTTGGATATCTTTCGACAATTGTTTGGTCTAGATATGGCAAAAGTAAAACAAGATTGAGTTTTACTGATTATCTAATGTTGTGACTAACCTGTCTACGTTTCTCCCCCGCATTTTTTTTTTTGTTAAACGTATTAGCATCTCAGACAATTGGACACACAAGACAATGATATTCAAGTACAAGGCTATTTCTCCACTCGGGGGTTTCCAAGCAAGGTAAGCTTGTGTTATCATGGAAGTGTTATTTATGCATCTAAATAGACTTATCAATTCATATGTATGTTTAATGATATTAAATTACATTATTCACTTGTAATTAGATCTCAATCATTACTTTATTCCAACTCATAATGAACTATACAAGGTAGTCTCTGAAATGTTTTCCAATAGCAAGTTCTCTTCTATGGTATGGTAAATGGACAAAGCAACAATCTGCTCATTCATATTGATGTTTTTCTTTAAAAAAAGGAAAAAGAACAAGTATCCACTACATCAAAAGGAAAGGATCGGTTTGTGCAAAAGAATCCTATCTTTATGATCAAGTTTGCTTGTCCTAAATGGAGTAGTTATGACATATTTATGTATCTGGAAATGTTGAATGAATTCGCTTGTTTCCCTCAAATCAAGTTACTACTTAAACAACTGACTGTGCAGTTTTTAAGGCTTGTTGGGTTTCTTGGCGAGAACGAAACTGGAGAAAGACCAAAAAGCCAAAAGCCAAAACGATCTATAGATAAGCAAATCAATAGCCCATATTTGTCGCACACACCTTCTGCTACTTCTTTAACCTTTAGTGATGTAAGTGATGTTAACAAGAAACGGCCACGCGAAACAGATTCAGATTTCTTTAATTGGTGGGATCCTAGTCAAGAAAAGCTAGTTTACATTGATTCAAAAACAGGCAATACGTACGTTCTTTGAATTCTATTTTTTCTTCCCGTCTTGTCATACACTAATATACTTTTATATAGCTATAATTCCATCTCACACGATTCCCACACTGAAAAAGGACATCAAAACAAAATTGATAGGTCCCGCTTAAAAAGAGCAAAAATAACTCAAGGCAATAATGTCTTAAATGAAACAAAAGCAATCAGTAATTGGCTTGTCCCTCCTTCTTTAGGTATACCCAATAAATTATCGAAGCATGATTTACAGCATGTCCGAGTTCTCGGGCAAGTGGATAAAAAATACATTGCTGTCAAACTCTTAAACAATAACCTAGTCATGATAGATCAGCATGCAGCAGATGAACGTGTCAAGCTAGAGGAACTGCTAAAGACAGATGTGCCATGGCAAGTCTCTGTTCTTGAGCCAACGATTCCAGTTCAATTGGATTCCCTTGCTGAGTATCAAATCGTAACATCCGATCGTACTTTGAAATGCTTGAAAATGTGGGGTATTCATATTACCGCTACAACAAACAGTACAACATCTCGATCTCGGTTCTTTAGTACAACAGTAAACGAACCAGAACATGCGTATCGAGTTTATGTAACACAATTGCCGAGTGTTATTGTTGACAGATGTATTATGAACCATACGCTTTTAAAGCAAGTGATATGCGATTATGCTTATTGGATGATGGAGCAAAGAGATGAAGCAACGCTAGTCAAGACATGTCCAAAAGGAGTCGTGGAAATTTTGAAATCAAAAGCTTGTAGAAGTAATTAGATACGCATTGATCATCAATATACTCATTCTTGACTAGGTGCTATCATGTTCAATGATGAATTGGATTTAGCGAAATGTGAACAACTTGTCAAGAGGTTGTCCAAATGCAACTTCCCTTTTCAATGTGCTCATGGAAGGCAAGTGTGTTTCCAAAGAACTATTTTGTAATTTCACAAACTTTGCCTAGACCTTCGGCTGTTCCAATTGATTTGAATCATCTTCATTCCTCTATGTACTATAGACCTAAGAGACAAACTCAATGGCATAGATTAATATAGTTTTGTTTATTATTATTCTTTTGGGATATAAAATCTAGTTGTTAAAGGTTGAAAAGAATAAATAAAGTCTATAATACAATGATAAGAGTACAAAGAGAAAGAAATTACAAGTATTCTTCAGGAGAAGGACAAGTACACATCAAGTTACGATCACCATAGGCATCATCAACACGAGAAACAGAAGGCCAGAACTTCTTTTCCTTAAGGTAAGGCATAGGGAAAGCAGCAATCTCACGAGAATAAGGACGGCTCCAGTTATCAGACATCAATGTCTTGATAGAGTGAGGGGCATTGTTAAGCATGTTGTTGCCCTTGGGTAATTTACCATCCATGACTTGTTGGATTTCTTTACGAATTGAAATCATGGCATCACAGAAACGATCCAGCTCAGTCTTACTTTCAGATTCAGTGGGTTCGATCATAAGTGTGTTGGTAACAGGCCAAGACATGGTAGGACTGTGGAACCCGTAATCTTGAAGACGTTTGGCAACATCAATAGCTTCAATACCGTGTTGGACAAAAGGTCTGATATCCACAATAAATTCGTGACCACACATGCCATTTTCATTTGTGTACAAAACTTCATAGTGTTCAGAAAGACGACTGGCCATATAGTTGGCATTCAAGATAGCAACCTTGGTAGCTTCAGTAAGACCCTTACCACCCATCATCTTAATATAACCCCAGGAAATAGGAAGGATGGAAGCAGAACCATAAGGAGCAGCAGAGACAGGACCAATAGGGTTTTTACCACCGCAAGCAACAACAGGGTGACCAGGAAGATAAGGTTCAAGTTCCTTGGTACAAGCAATAGGGCCCATACCAGGGCCACCACCACCATGAGGAATACAGAAAGTCTTATGCAAGTTCATATGGCAAACATCAGCACCAATTTCAGCAGGCTTGGTCAAACCAATCTGAGCATTCAAGTTGGCACCATCAAGGTAGACAAGACCACCGTTTTCATGAACAACTTTACAAGCTTCAGAAACACCAGCTTCAAACATACCAAAAGTAGAAGGATAAGTGATCATGACAGCAGCCAATTTATTCTTGTGCTTCTCAGCCTTGGCCTTCAAGTCTTCCATATCCAAATTACCATCATTATCACATTGAACAATTACGACATCCATACCGCACATGGCAGCAGAAGCAGGGTTTGTACCGTGAGCAGAGATAGGAATCAAACAAACATTACGTTCAGTTTCACCACGGGCATGGTGGTAAGCGCGAATAACACGAAGACCAGCATATTCACCTTGGGCACCAGAGTTGGGCTGAAGAGAGACACCTTCAAAGCCAGTGATTTCTTTCAAGTCATCAGCAAGTTCATCGAGCATGGTAAGATAACCTTCGGTTTGTTCAACAGGAGCAAATGGATGGATGTTGGCAAACTCGGGCCATGTAACAGGAATCATTTCAGTAGTGGCATTCAATTTCATGGTACAACTACCCAAGGCAATCATAGAGTGAACGAGTGAGAGATCTTTGCTTTCAAGGTGGTGAATGTAACGAAGCATTTTGGTTTCAGAATGATAAGAATTGAATACAGGGTGTTGCAAGTAAGAAGAAGTACGTTGAAGTTGACTAGCAAAGGTAATCTTGTTGGCATCGAGTGAGTTAGTAAGTTCTTCAAGAGAGATAGTAGGGTGGTCCTCCTTATGGAAGATTTGGATCAATTTAGCAAGATCGTCTTGAGTCACAGCTTCATCAAGGGTGACACCAACAGTACCACTGTCAATGGCACGAAGATTGATACCAGCAGCGGCAGCCTTGGTGATGATAGAGGAAGAGTTACCAACTCTAATGGCAAGTGTATCAAAGAAATTACCGTCGTTTTCGATCACAAAGCCAGATTTGCGAATGGATTCAGCCAAAACAGAAGTCAAATTGTTGATACGTTGAGCAATAGCCTTTAATCCTTCAGGACCGTGATAAACAGCGTACATGGCAGACATGTTAGCCAAGAGAGCTTGGGCGGTACAGATGTTACTGGTGGCTTTCTCGCGACGAATGTGTTGTTCTCTTGTTTGAAGAGCAAGACGGTAAGCGTTGTTGCCATCAGCATCTTTGGAGACACCAATCAAGCGACCAGGCATACGACGCTTATGTTCATCCTTACAAGCAAAGAAGGCAGCATGAGGGCCACCAAAGCCCATAGGAACACCGAAGCGTTGAGAGTTACCAAGGGCAATATCAGCACCAAATTCACCAGGAGATTTGAGTAAAGTTAAGGCCATCAAGTCAGTAGCAACAGCAACTTGACCACCGGCAGCATGAACACTAGCCGTTAAAGCTTCATAGTCTCTAACTGAACCACGAGTATCAGGATACTAGGAAAAGAATTAGTATCGGCTTGTACTCTTTCTCCCTCTTTTCTTTGTTTTCATGCACATACCTGTAATAAAACACCGCAAAGGTCCTTGTGTTCGGAAAAGTTATAGTGAAGTGTGTCTGCAACAACAACTTGAATATTGAATGATTCAGCACGAGTCTTGAGACAGGCAATAGTTTGAGGGTGACAGTTTTCATCTACAATAAAAAGATTCTTCTTACGACGGCCAGCTTGCCAGCACATCAACATGGCTTCAGCAGCAGCAGTACCTTCATCCAAAAGGGAAGCATTAGCAATAGGCAATCCAGTCAGGTCAGTGACAAGAGTTTGATAATTTAAGAGAGATTCTAAACGACCTTGAGAAATTTCGGGTTGATAAGGAGTGTACTGTAATCATTTTATCAACAAATCTGTCTATTACGAGTGCATATATACATACCTGAGTGTACCAAGCGGGATTTTCCAAGATGTTACGCAAAATGACATTGGGTACAACCGTATCAGTATAGCCTTGGCCAATATAAGAACGGGCAATCTTGTTCTTGGAGGCAATTTCCTTGAGACGAGTAAGCAATTGACGTTCAGGAATACCTTCGCCAATAGCTAATGGCTTAGGAGAACGAATAGTGGGAGGAATGGTCTTTGCAAGCATGTCATCAATAGATTTAACTCTAAGCTGCTTCAACATATCTTGAACTTCATTACCCTCAGAACCAATGTGACGACGAGGGAAAGTATCGAGAGGAGCAAGCTTAGCAAGAGCAGGCTTAGAAGTGTGTTGGAAACGAACAGATGGTCTAATGGACTGTCTCAATGGCTGAGAAGCCAAGTGCTGTACAGGTAAGCGTGCAATAGCACATTTGGATCTAATGGCAATACGTGACAACATTCTGATGAATAGCTCTTCAGAAGCTAATCAATTGCACGATAAATAGTTAAATAAAAAAAAGAGGAAAAGGAGATTAGGAGACCTATTTATTGTGTTTTTTCCTTGCGCGTGAATGCTCAAGTAAAAAGATGGTCCGTATCTATTGGCAAAGTAAGGTTTGATCTACCTACCATTACAGGCAACAAATCGGTCCCGAGCACGTCCACTCTGTCAAAGTAGTCACGATTTTTTTTTTCATAAAAAAAAAGACTTGCCTTTTAAAGCATTCAGCATTTCAATGAACCCTTTTTTGTCTTCTTTTTTTTTTCTAATTTTGATTGCTGCCAAACAATATTGTGTTGATAATGCATAATGCTCGGCTATAAACAAAAAGACGTCTTGTTATCAACCTGAGTTGACTTCATATATCTGTATGATATTCAGAAGCATCAAATACAACAGAAAAAAAAATTAAGACCAAGTTACTCAAATTCGCTTTAGCCATCTACACATATATCTTTCTTGAACAGTCAGATCTCCATCTTTTTTTTTTCGGACTTTAGGTAATAAATGCCGTTTTTGGAAAACGATACGAAAAGGCCCATTATCTAGAAAGAATTCTATTGTGCGAATCTTTTTATCGGACAAACGCACAAAGACATCTATATTAAGAACAGACTTATTTCTTGCTGTCTCGGTCAAGACTAAATCTTAAATAAAGAAATGAGTGAAGTTTAAAGAGTTTTACACATTTCTTCGTATACAAGGAATAGTACAAAAGCACACTTTGATTTCTTTCTTTTTTATTTTACTCATTACTAGTGCAAAATCATTTTATTTTCGACTAGCAAAAAGGTTTTACCGGAAGAATCAAGAGTGATAACTCAAAGGTATTCTATACCTATTTCTTATATGCGATGTGTCGATGAATTAGATTTATGACAAGAGAACTAAGGTTTTTTAATGATAGAATTAGACTTAGTGCCGCAAAAGAAAAGAAAAGCAACTATTTATGATACAAGGTACAATAAATCCCAGTTCAGAGAAGGAGAGTGTAGAAAAAAAAAACTGGGTTATTGCATAATTAAAATAAAATTTCCGGCTCGAACAATGTTCATTCAAACAAAAAGAGAAAAAATCGCGTGTCATGGAAGCGTCATTTTTCTCTTTTTCTTCTCTCTGTATTCTCTTTAAAGATGAAAGTGATTAGATTGAGTATATTACTCTTTGCCTGCGTGTTTTGTGTTATGGTAATTCTATTTTTCTTCATTCATTTTTAGCTGATATTTGTCTTGAACAGATTAAAGCACAAGAAAATGTCGTTTATGATACAAGGTATTTTAAACACGATGTGAATGAAGCAATTACACCTACAGTTCAACACGTTACCCGTACTGCCAACCATGCTGGCGGGTTAAAGGATACTATTGCCAACTACATTTATCACTTGCATTTTATGGTGGCTAAGGCTCGTATCGAATTAAAAGCACACAACAACAAGAGACCTTCTACTCAATACTCGATCCATGATATAATTTTCCCTGTGACACAATATCTTCCTTCTTGGGTCTATCCTTCTTCTCTATGGAAAGAAGACCATGTTTCCCGTAGACGTCATATTGCTCGTGTATTGCGCTCTACGCCTCTCATTGCTCGTCCTCACGTCGTCGGTGTCCGAGATAGTGTGATTGCATGGACAAAATCAGCCTCTCAGCAATTAGAAAACAATTATACAACAGCCACGATTGAAAAGCTTGATTCTTTACTTCAATCCGCCGAGGATTTTGTCATGGCTGCCACTGATCCTGAATTAATGGACTCGATATTTTTATCTTCTGGTTATGTTGCATTAGACGATGCAGTCACTAGTTTCTTAAAGACCAACAAACAGGACTTTGACTTGGTTATTCGCTCAATTAATCACGAATTCAACGATATTGTCAGTCTTGCTGGTAACTTGCGTCGTTCTTTAGAAAGTGTACGTGACGATGCAATTGCACAAACAAAACTTATTCGCGACGAGTTATTTGCATCTCATATCGATCATCGTTTGCGTCACTTGAACTGGCACATTCGTACCGAAATTCAAAACTTGGCACAAGAGTTACGCAATGTAGAAGGAGAGGATACAGAAGCATCAAGAGTTGTAAGGAAGCATACTGCAGATTCATTAAGAACGGAGATCGAAACATTGTATGACATCAAGATGACATTGGAGCGATCCAAGACGTTCATCCATAGTGTCTGGTCAAATGCTGCTCATGAATTATTGCAGAGTCCCGCTTCTATTGATTATTGGGTGGATGTGGTAGCTGAAGTGAAAGAAGCTGCCATGGAATTGGCAAGAAGTTTGACAAAGAAACATCAAGCGAGACGTAGAAAACATTGTACCAAGTGTTCTTGTTAAACAACACCCTTTCTTCTCTCTCTTGTAGTTGTCATGTATATATAAATACAATGCTTTAATAAAATAAGTGTTTAAAAAAACAATAAGGTTCTTTTTGATTAAAAACGATGCTTTGTATGTATAGGCTTTTTTTTTGAAGACATAAACACTTAATGACTTGACACATTCTCATATATATGATTTGGTACATGGCACTAACAAAAGGGGCATCTTTGAAGTTATTGTAGACTACAATTTGCTCAATCTGATTTTCTTTCATGCTTAAATCATTCAGGAACTCCGGTTTCTCATGTCTCTTGTTCCTGAGCAAATACAAAGTCCTTTTAATTGATAGGTCTATTGATTCTAATTTTTGTTTCTTTATTGTATAAATACATTCAAATACTATCTGCTTTTCATTGTTTAAAATAATTTTTGTGTTGCACTGTTTTTTTATATTCAGAATAAGCTTTTCTCAGCGTTGTTTTCATCATAGGAATTGATTATATAAGAATATTAACAGTAAAAGAGCATTGAACATGTTTGGTCTGGTACATTATTTTTTTTTCTCGGAAGGCACCAACAAAGCAACAACAATATGTCACATGAAGAAAGCTAATATACGTCACTTCTAAAGCTTAATTTCTCTTGTCCTGCCAAAATATATTTTTCTTTTCTTTCTGTTTACAAACATTTTTGTTTCTATATTCATTTTGGCTTACCGCCTTTCGTTCAAAACGTTTAGGGAGGATAGAAGAAAACTTGTATATGAATTCTCGTCTTAAACACATATAAACGAGAGGTACAAACTATCTATCAAGTGTGTCTTTTTTTTCTTACTTTCTGCTAGACGCGAGATTAACAAGATGAGTGGCAATATAAAAGTAGTTGTACGGTGTCGACCCTTAAACGCCAGAGGTAATTTAAAATAAAAGGGAGAGAGATACCGAGTTCAAATTTATTTACCTGTTGTACAGAAAAAGCAAGAGGCGCAACATGCCTTATCCGGATGGAAGGAAATCAAACTATCATTACACATCCTAAGAAAGCAAATGGAAGCCATAATACATCGTCAAATAAGCATAAAGACGAAGAAGAAGTTAAAGCATTTACATTTGATAGATCATATTGGTCTGCAGATAAAAACGATCCTCAATTTGCAGATCAAGAGCTTGTCTACAATGATCTTGGTAGAGAACTTTTAGACCATGCATTTGATGGATATAACTGTTGTATATTTGCATGTATGTTTGAATCTGTTTAAATGATTTGCATGACTTAATTTCAAAATTCATAGATGGTCAGACAGGTTCAGGAAAATCATATTCAATGGTAAGAATAGACACTATATCTATTTTTTCTATACTGATATCTTCTGTGATAGATGGGTTATGGCGAAGATAAAGGTATCATACCTCGTACATGCTCAGAGCTTTTTGAGAGAATAACAGACCTCTCAAACGACAAGCTCAAGTTTCAAGTGGAAGTATCCTATATCGAAATTTATAATGAAAAGGTGCGCGATCTCTTGAATCCTGCCAACAAAGGCAACCTTAAAGTAAGAGAACACCCTACTTTTGGTCCTTATGTAGAAGACTTGTCTCGCCTTGTGGTTAAATCCTTTGATGACATTGAGCATTTAATGAGTGAAGGCAATAAAGTAAGCACATGTGAAGCACATTGTATTATGAACCAGATTAACAAAAACTTAATCTTTTAGGCAAGAACAGTGGCCGCCACAAACATGAATGAAACATCATCTCGTTCTCATGCAGTATTTACTTTGTTTCTCACATCAAATCGATTCGACGAGACAGCCAATCTCAATACTGAAAAATGCTCCCGTATCAGTTTGGTTGATTTAGCAGGCAGTGAAAGAGCCAACAGTACGGGTGCAACAGGAGCTCGGTTAAAAGAAGGTGCCAATATTAATAAATCTCTTACAACACTTGGTAAAGTCATTGCTGCATTAGCAGAGGCATCAGCACACCCACACAATTCCAAAAAAGCACACAATCAGCACAACTTTGTACCTTATCGTGACTCTGTCCTCACTTGGTTGCTTAAAGACTCTTTGGGTGGTAACTCCAAAACTGCCATGATTGCTGCTATCTCACCTGCTGACTATGATGAAACACTTAGTACACTGCGATATGCAGACCAAGCGAAACGCATCAAGAACAAAGCTGTAGTTAATGAAGATCCAAATGCCAAACTTATTCGTGAACTCAAAGAAGAGCTTCAGGCACTAAGAGACACTTTGATGATATATGCGCCAGAGGAAGTCGAGAAGATTACACAACAAAAGAAATCCAAAGACGGTAATGCGAGCAGTCGAGCCTCGTCACGTGCAAATGCAAGATCCACAACAGCATCTCCTATGCTACTCATTTCACCTGAATCACCTATTATTGCTACACAGAGAGGAAACAGCTTACTGACAAAAGAACAAGTGGTTGAACAACTCCAATCTTCTGAAAAGCTTTTGTCTCAAGTCAATCAAACTTGGGAAGAAAAGATGCATAAGACTGAAGAAATTCATCGACAACGTGAAGAAGCATTAAGAGAGCTTGGTGTGATAGTAGAAAAAGACAATATTGGTGTATATGCACCTAAATCTATCCATCTGATCAACCTGAATGAGGACCCATTAATGACTGAATGCTTAATGTACCAGATCAAGTCAGGCATTACGCGTGTGGGCAAACTAGGCAGCAGCGTGCCAGCAGATATTCGACTCAGTGGGCCTGAAATTATGGATGAACACTGTTACTTTGAAAACTTGCCTATGGAGAAAGAAGAGAAAAAAGAAGAACAGCGTATTGTCAAGATCTATCCTGGCAAAGAATCAGTAACACTCGTTAACGGTATGCATATCTCTGAACCGAAGGTATTACATAGCGGATATCGGATCATCTTTGGATCAGGACTACATCATCTGTTTCGTTTCAATAATCCTGATGAAGCAAGAAGAGAGCGAGAGATACAAATACAACAAGGCAATGTATCTCATATTAATACATCAGTTGTTGTATCTCCATCCGAGTCAGGAATGGCTCCTCCTCTTAGTGCAAATGCGTCTACTGTGGACACAAGCCTATACCCTCCAGATCTAGTCGATTGGAAGTTTGCTCATAGCGAAGCACTTAGGAAATTTGGTGGTGCAACCAACACAGATTTAACCGAAATGACAGATGAAGACCTCAAACAGCTATCTGAAGGTATCACCAAAGTAAGAGAGTTTCGAAACAGACAAAGAATATCATCCGATAGTCACAATATCTTGTTTGACGATCCTGATACGATTTCTCCTATGACCGTTTCACCCAGAACATCGATTAGCTCATCTAGTAACAAAAGATTTAGCGCCATTTCTTCTGCACAAACAGTTCTCACTGAAGAAGAAGAAGGAAATGAGGAAGAGGACAATAAGCTCAAAGTAATTGAAGAAGCCATTTCAAAAGAAGAAAAGGACAAACTCATTCGCATTGCAACAGAGGAAATGCAACAGCAATTGGAGCTTCAGAAACAAGAATACGAGGAAAAGATCAAAGCACTTGAATCTTCTAATCTCAAGGCAGACGAAATGGATCGAGAAAGGGACGATCTTGCTTCCAAGTTTGCCCAAATGAAAGAAGAAATGAAAAAATCACTGGAACAGCAAAAGCTTGCTTATGAATCAAAAATTAAACGCATTTCAGCTCATCTGCCTCCTGGCACAGCTCTCAGCTCAGATAACTTGCTTGTTGGATTTACGGCTAAAAATGCTGCTGAACATCTCTTGCGTATGTCAATTGAGAAATGGCGCCAATTAAGATATGTCAAAATGGCCGAAGGATGCCTTGTTCATGCTGTAGTCTTGAAAGAAGCTAATATTATGGCTAGAGAACTTGGCAAGAATGTTGTTTATCAATTTATTGTTGTTCATGATGATATTTCTTCAAACCCTTTGTCTTTTTGGGAATCCACATCTGCTTTACAGCCTTTCACAAGAGAACCTGATACACATCTGAAAGAAGCTAAACCATGCCTTGCTGTCCAAGTAATTGATCATGTTCATCGAGCTGCCTATATTTGGTCTATTGCGAAACTCAAGCAACGCTTGAGACGTATGCGCCGATTGTATGACTATACTGACAGACCACTCTTCACTGGACAACACTTCAACAGAGAAGATCCTTTCTATGAAACACCTTGTCCAAGATTCTCTTTGATTGGTTTGGCTCGTGTGCCATTACGAAACTTGACTTTACAGTTACATGCTGATAACTATGTGGATGTGTATTGTAGAAACACTGGTAAGATAATGGGCCAAATACGTGTTCTTATTACACCAATTGCACGATCTGTATCAAGAAAACAACATATGCAACAATCCGATACAAATAATACCAAGCGTCCCAATTTGTTTAGTAGAAAACAGTCTTCTTCCAACAACATTACACAGGAGCGGCAAGTATTGAGCGAAAAGTATTTGCTTCATATTGGGCAGCAACAGGTGTTCGAGATTCGTATTCAAGAACTTAGAGGCCTTAGTGAAACTAGTTTCACACAAGTTCATGCACAATTTAGACTCTCTTCGTTTGGTAATGTAGAACGATATTCTGCTGGAGACAAAATATATCAAACGGATCCAATTAGCAACTTTGGCAATGACGGTATTGTATTTGGACAGTGCCAAACACTATCAGTCAATATCACTGAAAATATGATGGATGTTATTCTAAATCAAGGCCTCATTATTGAAGTGTATGGGCAAGCACAAGAATCATACTTGCTTGGATTAGTTGAACATGTAAGTAGTAGCAATGGTGGTAGTACTCCAAGTACAACGCCGACATCTGAAAAATCTATGTTATTTGAAAAGGCGGTTGCTTCTGAATCTTTGGGAAACAATATACCTGCAAGCAGACGTTTCTCTATTGAGAGAAGGTTTTCTTTGGAGCGATGTACTTATGATGGCATTCTTATGGAAGAACGCCATGATGTGACAGCCTGGATTCAGATATGCGAACTGGATTCAGATGGAGAGTATGCCCCTGTGCAAGTCATGCATAAAGAAATCCGCGATCATCATCACCATCATATCAAACATCACCAAGACGTATTTTGTCTAAGACAAGGCTTACAACGCCGTATTGCCTTAACACTCGCCCATGATTCAGGTAAACAGTTTGAGTGGTTAAACATCAAACGAGTCACCTTGAGTAAAGCGCGCCTCATAGACAGCAAAGGAAAAGTAGTTGAATCTTCGACCTATGTTCCAGTAGAGATCCAGCTTTTCCCTGAAAGCACTCAGGTTACATTTGAACGCAACGGCATATCCCAACTGACGGCACAAGGACCTTGGGACAGTTCACTTCACAATGCGTCTTTCTTAAACCGAACCACATCTTCTGGTCAGCGTATTCGCTTGACACTTTCTTGGCAAGTTGGTTGTGACAAGTGTGTTTCTCCTCTCAATTTTGAAATGGACATCGCAGTTCAAATCCGTAATCGTGATGCCAGTATCCATACATCTACCTCTTCTTCATCCATGTTTAGACAACTCTTGCTCGGTGGTAATGATTCAAGCACAGACGTCAGTCGAGTAGTATACAAGACAAGCGGGATGTTTATGGTTCAATTGAAGCCGCCTATGACGCGCCAGGTGCGAGAATTATGGCGATTAAATACGGCCAACAAATATGTCCGAGGCGAAGAGTTTATCGGCTCTTGGAAGCCACGAGGTGTTTCGCTTATTACTGACTATAGAGCAGCACGCCAACGTATGTTGCTCAGGGAAAGTGTAGCTGCTTTTAGACATTCTCTAGTATTGGCAGGTCATCCTCAGACAAAGACAATTCAGCGCAGTCTTTCCACTCATACAATTGATCATGAAGAAGAACCAAAGACCAAACGTGACCCTGAAGCACTGGTCAGAAAAGTGATTGATCTATGGAAGAAACAGTTTGGAACTCGTGAAGAGGTAAAAATAACACATTGTGTAGTACAAACTTATTGCTAATTGTATGTGCGCAGATTGTTTTTACGCAGGATCCACCTAGTATTACGTCCCTTCATACTTCCACAAGTACAAACAGTACCAGCAGTACAAAGAGCAGTTCCACAGTCATGAAAAAGTATCACAACATGAAATTAACTGCTGATATTCAACAAATACATCCAAGGTAACAATAATCGATTTATGCTTGTTTTAATTAAACTTTATGCTATTTTTTACAACAGTGATACAGTTACTAAAAAGGGCTATCTGTTACACCCTAAAAACGTGGATGATACATGGTTAAAGCACTGGTTTGTACTTCGAAGGTAAAGAACAATAAGGATCATGAACAAAAAGAAAAAACCTTATTATTAATATCATATAGACCATTTATTATTATCTATCAAGACCAAACAGAAGCAGAGGAACTGGGCGTATTGAATCTTACTTCTGCTCGAGTTGATTATAAGACTGATCTTGAAGAAATGCTTCAGAGAAAATACACTTTTGCTATATACACAAACAACAATGCCTATTTATTGCAAGCAAACGATTTTGAGGATATGAAGGACTGGATATCTAAAGTAGATCAATTTTACCCTGTAAAAAAGTTGGAAAGTTTAGGCTCATCTTAGGGGAAAGAACCCTCCTTCTTCAATTGCAAAATAAAGCAAAGATACCTCAGGAACAATTACCATTATCGATTCATATTACACGTGATATTTTTTTCCGAACTTCTTTTGGTCCTTTTTTTTTGTGTGTGTGCACAACATTTAATTACAATTGAGTATGATTTTCTTTTTCCTCTCTTTTCTCTACTTTAAAAAATAAAAATAAAAAAAACCGAAAAAAAAATGACACAACATCAAGCTGATTTTCTAAATCATCATGATAATGTCCATGGCTGGTTACTGGACGTACCTGGTTATCGGGAAAACTGTCGACATGAGAAAGAAAAGAAGATGGCCAGGTAAAATATTGAAAAATAAAATGGCCTTTGGGCTTTTGTTGGTCAGGGTTGTTAGGGTTTAAATTGAAATGGGAATTTTTGAGGAGCGAGATAGGAAAAGGAGAAAGATAGAAAAAAATAAAAGGAGAAATGATCAATGTCGGATAATAACATTATTCTAGTAGACCTTGTTCAATCACATCTATTAGCTCAGAAGACAGTATCAGTTTGGACGAGCTCATCAATGCCAACTTTACTACCAACATGGCAGATGAAACAGACTTGCCAGCATTGGCTTCACTCGAGTTGGATGACTCAAAGGAGGAGTTCTGGAGAGTAGACAATGTAAGCAATAACTTTAAGCAAATATTTTTTAAATTGACATTTTGTTTTAGACTTTGAATCATTATATTCCTGCTCAATTTTCGGGAAAAAAAGAGCCAAGTTATTATGGTAGTAACAGATCAAGATATGGAAATGAAATGCCTCTTTATAAGGTATAGAAGGAGAAGAAACTTTTTAATCGAAAATAAGCTCACACCTTTTAATAGGCTAACGAAGAATTTGGTTTGAGCAATTCAGCATTATACGGTATGTGATTAAACCATAATCATATTTTGCTTTTATATTCACAAAAATTTATAGAGAAATCATTCGGAATCAATGTCAAGCCCTCTAGAATGCAATCACCTCCTAAATCACCATTATCTATAGCTAATCACTCCAAGAGACTGAATCGATCGGGAAGTGTAAGCAGCGAAAACAGTTCAAATTCCCAATCTATTTCTAGCCATCGTCATCAAGTACACCCTACTGCTTCCACCTCAACATCATCTGCATCTACCACTAGTTCTTCTGCATTATCTCGTTCATTGACTACTTCAGCATCTGAACATAAATCAAGTTCTCTTCATCGTAAGCCATCCATGACTAGCATCCTATCTGAAAGTACACAAGAGTCACGATTGCCTTCCCGCTCTGTTTCCCATTTGGCTCGAAGAGCTACACATATACCTGCACCTAATAGCATTGCATCACCACCCTCTCTTATCAAAATGGCATCTAGCAACGCCCCTGTACCACAAAGAACAAAATCTACAATGATTGTTGATAAGTCAAACAACAACTCTCTTAATCGTGTCAGTCAACTCAATAGAAGAGCAAGCCATATCCCTGCTCCTACAACAAGAAGCATAACATCACTTGGCATGTCATCCATATTCTCTGCTCACCAGACAAAGCATCTTGACAGACCACAAACTTCGCTCGGGTCTTTAAAGCCTTCTGCTTCAACAGTGAGATTATCTCGTACTACCAGTCTGATTGGTGCGCCTACGCCTTCCAAATCAACGATACCAACAACAGGACTGAAACGATTCGGAAGAAAGTAGTCTTGTTATTGTAAATATGTGCACATTGCTTTTTTTTTATAATTTTTAATTTTCATACTGTTTATTCATAAGAAAGAAATGGTAGACATAAAAGAAATTATTTAGTAGATAATTACAAATAAATGAATTACAGCATCATTTTAATTGCTTCTGGATGGTTGTATTGAGCAGCTTTCTTGTACCATCTATTGGCCATCTCTACAGATCTAGATGTACCAATACCATGTTCATAATAAACACCTATTGTAAAGTAAGCTTTGGCAGTCAATGATTTTGAGTGTTGATATCTTGATAGCTTGGCTGCTTTGCGGGCCCATAGATAAGCTTCTTGATCTGATTGCATCAATGTATTTGTCTTGAGAGATCCAGTCAAGTACCAGCCTGACAGAGCTAAGCAAGCCTCGGGATAATCTTGTTGTGCAGCTAGTGTATACCAATAAATAGACTGTGCTTCGTCCTCAGGACAAAAATAACCACATTCATAGCATTCCCCTAGTTTTGATTGACTTGGAGCATAATCCAACCTAGCAGCATTGTGCAACAACTTGATGGCATAACTTGGGTCTGGAATCATACTTGTATCTTGACATTCTTTGGTAAGATGAACAATAGCAAGTGCATGTAGAGCATGAGGCAGGGCAATCCCGCCATTTCCTGCAACTGTGGTCGCTTTTAATTCTTCTCCAGGCGCTAAGGGAGCATTAGCAATACAAGCAGCACGCTGGAGCCAAATAACACCTTCACGCTTTGATACCTGTTGTCCGTAATATCCTCGCAACAGTATGACACCCAACTTGTACATACTAGGTACATGCATCAAATGTGCAGCTTTGCGATAAAAAGTTGATGCACGAGTACCGTCCCTTGCTGTGCCTAGACCCAATTCGTAACAGACTGCAGTTCGGTAAGTAGCTTCAGGATGTCCATACTTGGATGCCTGAAAATACCACCGGAAAGCTTGCTTATGATCAATAGGCCACCCAAGAGCGCCCATACCATAGCAGTTACCAAGCAAGAACTGAGCTTCTGCTTCTGCACGTTGACCCATATTTTGACTTGAACAAGCCAGCTTTTTTAGCATCTTTTTTGACTCCATAACCATGGCTTCCCCTAATGTACTTGGTGTTTTTGATCCGCTATTCAATTTAAGTGCTGAAATTACTTCCTCAAACACACCTGAATGGCGTTTGATTTCTTCTGGAGGCAACATCATATCATTATTGGGATCCACCTGCCATGCACTTTCCATTAAATGTAAACAAAGAGCAAGTCGAGATTGAGAAGTGCCGTTGGTTTGTTCTTCTTCACATAAGCGGTGCACTTGCTCTATCGAGTCAAAAATAGGCCATTTATTATGAAATTCGCTTCCACAGGTCAGAATGCTGCTCGAGAGATTATTGTCGACATACTTGGGCAACAAATCAGTAGGTGATGGGTCCACTGATTTGGAGTGTAATTTTTGATTATCTATGACATCTTGTTGTATTTGATTTAGAGAATCTGTTGATTCAATAAAGTTGAGAGATATGTCAAGCAAGGAACTACTCCTTCCGTTGAGATTTTCATTAGGTTTTGTGGTACTACTACTACTTGAGTTGACTGAATTTACACTGCTGGCATGATGTGTCACAACGTCTATCTTTGGTGAGGACTTGGCCCTATTTCTAATAACTGACTTAAGCGCTGATGCCTCAATATCATTTGCATTTTTAGCTGTGGGCGAAATGGCTGTATTATTATCTGGTTCGGCTTTAGTTGAGATTGTTGCATTAAACTGCCTCCATATTTGCGAAATCGATTTCATGATATAGTAAAGAAAAAAGTGGACACAAAAGAGAGAACGGGTCATTAATTTTAATATTAAAGATAGGGAAAAAATAATCTAAAAGAAAAAGAATCCTCGCTTCTTTTCTTGAGTTTTTTCTTTGCCGTTATGGTTGTCTTCTTGATCTTCTTCAGCCCAAGCTTTAGAGATAATTTCTTTTGAGGTTTTAATCTTAGTATCGTATTCTTCAATCGTCTTTTGACAAGATTCTACTTTTGTCAGTAAGAAGCGAATACGAGCCTCAATTTCTTTGGGTAGTCTATCAGCTGAATTAATGTGCGTTAGTTTGTTGATGTTATCTTCTAGCTTGGCCATGTTCTCCTCGGATTGTTTCTTAAGTGCCATATTAGATTCAATTTCCATAGAAGCATTGAATATAGTGTCCTCTATAAGGCGATTGAATACAGTATAATATACAGGTTTACCAGGTCGAATAGAATGAGATCGGCCTACCGAAAGTTAATAAGACATTATTTCCAAAGTTTACTTACCATCTTTTTGTATAATGACAATAAGTTCTGCTCGTTCCATTGCTTTCAAGGGAGCGTCGGATCCATTGAAACTAGAGCTCCATTTAATTTCATCGTAATTGATCTACAAATAAACAAGTGAGCAACGATGAAACAATATGAATGATATATTTACACTCTTTTTTTGTGTCAAAAGTTTTACAATAGTCCAAAATTGATGTGCGGTCCAATCAAGTTTAGTACTATCGTCTGAAGAATCACCAAAGCCATATTTGCGAATTTCAATTAGATTGCGAGCAACAATATCCTCAAAAGCAGCTATTGCAAGTGAGTAAGGGTTAGTCATATATATATATATATATATATATTCTTACTGCAAGCATCCATTTTCATTTTCATCTTTTGTACTAAAAGTTCTAATTCAGTTAAACGTCCGCCCAATGCAGAGACAATACGAGGAAGCTCAGGATCTTCTACCTCGGAGCCTAATTGCTTATTTATAAACGACATGGCCATTTCAAGAGGTGCATCAGACAATGCTATACTAGAGAAACTTTTACCAGGTAATGCTGATAGATTCAAATCAGTCATGTCACTTTTGTTTTATCCCGTTTACCTTTTCCGAGTGTTTTCATGACACCAGCATTTGAACTGACAAAAACAACATGAGCAATTTCATTTTCAATCAATAAAGAAGCCCATTCAGCTAATTCTTCCCATAATTTAGCATTTTTGGCAGTTTCACGGTACATGTAATTGTCAATGACTACAATCGGAATAGCCTTTTCATCCAACTTGTCTTCTTCTGAATCATCTTGGTCTTTCTCTTTTTGTTCTTTCTTGTCTGTATGATTGGGTTTATGACCTGTGATGAGGGTCTTCAATCGATCCAAAAGGCTTTTATGTTGTGCCTGTTCTTCAGCGCGGCGACGGGCTTCTTTTTCATTAGGCAAGACTTCTCTTAATGCAATAGCAACTGTCTCTAAAATGTCTCTCATTTGTGAATCAGGATTAGAGGAGAAACTTGTCTTTTGACCTGTTGTTGCTGCAATCATAGTATCAAACATGCCGCTCATCGAAGCAGCCCATGTGAATACAGGAAAATAACCAACTTCTTTGGCCAAGGCTTTGGTCATTTCAGATTGATTTCTTGAAGTAGCAATATCTTCGCAATCAATGAAGATTTTGTTCCTAAAAAGAAGTAAGATATTATTGTCAAGTATGGCTAACGTTTTACTTTCTATCCTGAATTGCTGATTTGACTAGAGCGGATTTACCGCTGCCTTTATGTCCTGTAATAAGGACAAATGTTTCTATGATGCAATCATTTAAGTTATTTTTACTTATTTGATTATTGCTTTACCCGGTGATTCAGCAAGCCATGATTTTAGCTTCTCGATTTTTTCTGTATCATCAGCCCACAATGATTGAGAATACTCTGTTGATAAATCACGAGGGTTTGCACCAGCAGGCATAAGGCGTGCCCATGTCTCCTTACGTAACCAGCGATAGAGAGCATATTCCTCAGGATTAAAGCGTTGTGTTACCTTGGAAGTAATAAAGAAGACACGAATAGGATCAAAAACAACGTAGGTGATACCTGCAAATATGGCAGCAATGGCTGGAACCGTAATTCTCGGATGGCTCATCAACCAATCTTTGACGACATTTGTACGTAATTGCCTCTCGTAGAGTACGTTGAGCCGTGTACCATCAATATAATATCCATGCAAACAATTGCGTGCACTAGTTGCATATCTTACTCGAGTAAAAGAAGCAATCGCATAACGTGCTGGGTCTTTAGCAACCATTGGATTAGGATAGAGTGCAATATCAAAAATCTTCCCGTAAGGCCTCAAGTGTGTGTACAATTTCTCAACACTAACAGCTTCACCTTGAAATTCAATTCTCAATCGTTGTGTAGGATATCTTGCTAAAATATCTTCCATAAACGGCTGTCCTTTGATTAAAAATGCCCTTACTGATTGGAGGTTGAAAGGGGCCACAATGTTGTTTTTTGAAATATAGTCATTTACTCTTTCTACAATATCTTTTGCTACTTCCATTTTCTTTCCATCTGTGCTTTTGAATGAAAATGTTACGATTGCGCCACCGTCTTTTGTACTACAACAATGGAAGGATCAGCAAGCCAATAATAAAAAATTTTCTTTGCATAGTTTACCGAGCAAGAATTTCCTTAATGACAAAGTTATGCGGCAAATCATTAGAAGGGATAGCTTGGTTTGCTTTGCTTTCCAAAAAGTTTTTGCTGTCTCGAAAGAACATTTGTCGAATATCAAAAGAACCCATTTTCAAGGGGAATACATTGTCAAGGTAGAGTTGAGCAGTTTGCTCCCGAGTAACTGCTGTTTCAAATGTGGCAGCTGGCTATATATTTGTTCAGCTTTTTTTTTTTTTTTTTACTTAAGAGACATACTTTACTAACTGTGCTTGGTACTTTTTCTGAGACTTCTTGTGTAAACCGTGCAGGAAAAGTCTTGAAAGTTCGGATCCGGTGCACATTATAGAAAGAAGTGTTTAAAGCTGTTGTTTGTCTCGGCAGAATAGTGCAAGTAGCTTTTCTCGACACTTGGTTTGGCGCCCAAGTCCTCGTCTGAATACGTGAAAACATAACGGCAAAGAAAGCGGAAAAAAATATCTGTTAGAATTTCACAGGAATATCAATTTCGCGATGAGCCAGGTAAATTTACATGTAATTGTGACGACATTTACAGTATGCAGGACACACTTTGACAATCTCTATTGAATGAGTTTCAATTCAATAAACTCTTTAGCCAATAAAAACAATAATTTGCATAAAAACCTCTATGCGAAAGGAGAATTTCATGAGTTTTATGATATTCAAATACAATATCATTCAAATATAGCCAATTAGTCAAATAGTTCCTGTTTTCTGTTTAGAAACCAAACATTGTCTTGATTCACTGGGGTAGATAGCAGATATAAGCTTGCTTTTAGGTATCGAGACATTGCAATTGGCTACTGATAGCATCGGCCTACCTTTTAAAAAGTGTAATAAATAGCTTCATATTGCTATTGCCTGGCTATGGAAGATTTATTAAAGTTAAACGAATACAAGATAAAGTCAGTAAGACAGACTGTTTAAGGGTGTGCATGTGTATGCTCAATGCTGTTTATTTTATAGGAAAAAGAATAGTACAAGTCATAGAGCGTATAGATATACGTATACGCATGTATTCATGCACACACAGTAGATGAACTATGCTTCAGTCGCTTATTGATTACAGTAAGAGATGCTGCTAGAGCCAGAGAGGTTGATGCATTCATTCTTCTTGGTCTTGGAGTGCTTAGAAATGTTGACGTTAGACATCTTGAAGTTAGAACAGGGTGTGTTCTTGGAACAGTTGATGCTGATGGCAGGGTTGCTTTTCTTGCTGCTGGTGGAGCCGCTGATGTCCTTGATAGTGATATCCTTGATGGTCAAGGAGTGGCTGTCGTTACCATTACAGTATGACTTTTGGTTCTTGTCACAGTAGTGAGTGGTGATGAGAACAGGGTTCTCAACATTATCGAGCTGGACGCTTTCAAACTTGACGCCGCTAACAGAGCCTTTTCCACCAGGCCAGGTCTTGATACGAATACCGTTTTGACAGTTGGTACAGCTGCTATTTTGGATAGTAATGTCATTGACTGTAGCACTGGATCCACCCTTGCCAAGGGAACCAATGCTGAAACCGTGGCCACCGTTACACTTGACGTTCTTGATGATGATGCTAGAGACATCTGTACAGAAAATGAGTATCAGCGACTTGAATGTATATATATGCATATGTGCATGCACTTACCGTTGTTCATGGCTGTACAATCATCACCGACAGTAAGATCAGAGTTAGTGAAGGTAATGTTGTCAGAGTTGGAGATATCAACAGCGTCAGTGTTCTTGGCAGGCTTGGAGCTCTTGGAGACAGTCTTCAAAGTGACCTTGTCGAGAATAACCTTGCTGGAGCTAGTGATACCAACATGGGCACGAGGAGATTGGATGATCTTGAAATTTCCAAAGTAAGAGTTGGTAGCTTGAATTCTGAAGACAGTAGGGGCCTTTCTGTTTTCAGCATCCCACCATTTTTGGCCGTTACCATTGAAGGTACCAACGTTACCACCATCCCAATGGATGTTGTCACCCTTGATACGGAAGTAGCTGTTCTTGCCAGCATGGCTTTTGTTAAAACCAGGTAAGTTGATGGTACCATAGAATTGAACTTTGACGTTTTTGAGGTTTTCGACTTCGACTAGAGACTTGAGGTTGTAGGTAGCGCCTTTAGAGAAGACGACAGTACCACCGTTCTTACAGTTCTTGAAAGCACTAACAATGCTCTTGGCGGCATCACCACCAGTAGCGACAGTACAAGTAGCAGCTTGAGCAGCAGAAGCAAGGACAGTAATGAGAGCAAGGGAAGAAGAAAGAGAAGGAATGTAAACCATCTTAGACTTGAAGAGCTGGTATTGGGCGAGTTGTAGAAAAAAAGGAATACAGGTACAAATATACTTTATTTATACTAAATTCCTACTGTCTAATCATTGCTCGTTCTTTTTTCTTTCTGTCTCTCTCTTTCTCTTTTTTATTGACATTTATTCGGAGAATGATAGCTTTAGCTAGATAATCTATGACAGTGAACTAAGGAAGATCTGTCTAGAATGGCTATACATCGTTCTAAAAAAGGACAAAATGCAGAATATACCTTTCCGCGGATTACTGGTATTAATGCAATAATTAATGTGGCAAATTATGTTTACAGAAACCTTGTACTATGCAAACATGTTGATATTTTTATTATATGCGATTGCTTCTGATTCTTCAGCTCAAATCTACCGAAGTCTCGCCAGATGCGATTGGATACGTGCATCAGTTTTTTTTATGTTTCTTTTTCTAGAAAACGATCAATCATTAAATTTAAATTTGAAGGAACGAGTTTACAGTTGCTGAACTTGAAGTTGAGATGAATATGCACATCATTTTCACTGTGTATCCAGAAAAGTCTCTGTTTTCCAAAAAGCTGAATATTATATATGTCTAGCGTCGTCATAAATTTATGTTGAATCAAGCGTAGCCACTTTTACAATTCTCTATGTTACACTTGACTTATTTTAGTCATGTAGGTACCAGACCTTAGCCCCTTACACAATCTCCCGAACCCTGGGTAATTCAAGTTTAATGTTGAACCAGCCACTGCAATTTGCAGACACACGTTTAGGTTTAGATTTGGTATAAATATTGGTTTCTCTCAACTTTCTGGTGTGAACTGTATTACTTCTTGTCTTTGTGATAAAGTCATACAAGACCTAAAGTTTTATTGAACAGAATATTCATTTAATCAGAAACCAAGATGCACCACCTCATCCAATTCAGAGGGAACATAACAATGTCCTTCGTTTTCGTTTTCTGAAAAATATAACATCATTATAAGGTAGGCGACAATGTCTGTCTTTTTAGTAGTTAGCTACACAAATATGCGCATATTCCGTCTGTAAAACCGGACACAAAACAGAAAAGAACATGTACTTCATGTTCCCAAAAGTTCAACATATTAATAAACAAATTTGTTGCAGAGAACTGAGAGAGTACTTAATGCACTTATACACTAAGTAAAGCCCCATTCCAATCAGCGTCGTAATAAAGTGAAACATGAAATACAAATCTCGTATTCATCGAATTTTGTTTTATCATTGCAAGTATAAACTAAATCTTTATCTAGAAAAATTACACTATCAAGCATTAATTGATGATGTTTTGTCATTGGATATCATTTGAGCCCAGGCTATTAAACAAAATAAGTCCTAGCATATACGCAATTTTGACTCATAGCCTAGATATTTGTACTTAAACTAATCATCACGTTAAAATTTGTAAAGACAAAACCCTCTTTAATTTTCTTCAATCAGCGCAAAAAAACCTCCTGCGATCAATTGAGGCTAGTAACAATTATTGATTACATTAAATATATAATAGTCGCTGTTTATAGTTGCTTGTGAACCTTTTTTTTTTAGTTCAGCATTTATTTTCAAATTTAAGTACTTGTATTGAGGAGAATAGCGGTAAAAGTCATCAATGCTACGCACGTACGTCATTGCTTTTCAAAGCATGCTTGCAGTGTAACAACTTTCTAAAAAAATAGTTGCAAATGTAGTAATTTTAGTACATTGGATTAACTAGCAAAACATTAGATTACGTCTTGCATTGGACAGCACTTTCTAACATTTTAATGGTGATAAACTACAATTGTTTGACTCTAAAAGACTTGCGAGATTACTTCTTTTTGAATTGTAATGTTACACCTATTAATTGTTTGAACTCACTTCTATCATAGAACATATGTAAGATCATCTAGCTAAAGCTATCATTCTCCGAATAAATGTCAATAAAAAAAGAGAAAGAGAGAGACAGAAAGAAAAAAGAACGAGCAATGATTAGACAGTAGGAATTTAGTATAAATAAAGTATATTTGTACCTGTATTCCTTTTTTTTCTACAACTCGCCCAATACCAGCTCTTCAAGTCTAAGATGGTTTACATTCCTTCTCTTTCTTCTTCCCTTGCTCTCATTACTGTCCTTGCTTCTGCTGCTCAAGCTGCTACTTGTACTGTCGCTACTGGTGGTGATGCCGCCAAGAGCATTGTTAGTGCTTTCAAGAACTGTAAGAACGGTGGTACTGTCGTCTTCTCTAAAGGCGCTACCTACAACCTCAAGTCTCTAGTCGAAGTCGAAAACCTCAAAAACGTCAAAGTTCAATTCTATGGTACCATCAACTTACCTGGTTTTAACAAAAGCCATGCTGGCAAGAACAGCTACTTCCGTATCAAGGGTGACAACATCCATTGGGATGGTGGTAACGTTGGTACCTTCAATGGTAACGGCCAAAAATGGTGGGATGCTGAAAACAGAAAGGCCCCTACTGTCTTCAGAATTCAAGCTACCAACTCTTACTTTGGAAATTTCAAGATCATCCAATCTCCTCGTGCCCATGTTGGTATCACTAGCTCCAGCAAGGTTATTCTCGACAAGGTCACTTTGAAGACTGTCTCCAAGAGCTCCAAGCCTGCCAAGAACACTGACGCTGTTGATATCTCCAACTCTGACAACATTACCTTCACTAACTCTGATCTTACTGTCGGTGATGATTGTACAGCCATGAACAACGGTAAGTGCATGCACATATGCATATATATACATTCAAGTCGCTGATACTCATTTTCTGTACAGATGTCTCTAGCATCATCATCAAGAACGTCAAGTGTAACGGTGGCCACGGTTTCAGCATTGGTTCCCTTGGCAAGGGTGGATCCAGTGCTACAGTCAATGACATTACTATCCAAAATAGCAGCTGTACCAACTGTCAAAACGGTATTCGTATCAAGACCTGGCCTGGTGGAAAAGGCTCTGTTAGCGGCGTCAAGTTTGAAAGCGTCCAGCTCGATAATGTTGAGAACCCTGTTCTCATCACCACTCACTACTGTGACAAGAACCAAAAGTCATACTGTAATGGTAACGACAGCCACTCCTTGACCATCAAGGATATCACTATCAAGGACATCAGCGGCTCCACCAGCAGCAAGAAAAGCAACCCTGCCATCAGCATCAACTGTTCCAAGAACACACCCTGTTCTAACTTCAAGATGTCTAACGTCAACATTTCTAAGCACTCCAAGACCAAGAAGAATGAATGCATCAACCTCTCTGGCTCTAGCAGCATCTCTTACTGTAATCAATAAGCGACTGAAGCATAGTTCATCTACTGTGTGTGCATGAATACATGCGTATACGTATATCTATACGCTCTATGACTTGTACTATTCTTTTTCCTATAAAATAAACAGCATTGAGCATACACATGCACACCCTTAAACAGTCTGTCTTACTGACTTTATCTTGTATTCGTTTGCTTATAACACGGTGGACACATAACATTATATCTCTTTTTGATCAGTCTAAGGTACATCATCGTCTATCGTTATTTGTGTTACGAAGCATCAATCCCTTTGTGTCATTGTTTGTTCAAACAAAAGTCCGATAGCTTAATCTGATGTTTGAACGACAATCACATTGTACAACTTCTATTTTGTTTAAATGTATAGTAAAGTTACAAACAGTAGAAATTGCCAATGCCACATGTAGCCCTAAAGTAAATTTACTTCTCTAGTTGTGAATAAGATTGAGTAGAGCGAGACAACCGCGAAGTCGAATTAAAAGAAAATTGAACAAAATTGAAAAACGACCACAATAATTGAGAAGCAAAGACATAAACTACTGTTACGCAAATTTGAATTGCGTTAGATATAAGTGATATGAATCAAAGTATAAGAAAGGCTACTGTGTCTAAAAGCAACGTATGGTAGGAACTAGTTCTCAATTCATTTCAAATTTATAATTTTTGGTTGTGCTTACAAGCTTCTTATTTCATGAGAGGCGTTAGTAGCTGATTACTCAATATTCTTTACAATGTGTCTTCAGTAATAAAGAACAATTTTTGAAGGAAGAACATAAGAGTAGCTCGGTATCATTTCAAATCTATTGTTTGTAAATCATTTTACGTAATTATTAACCAAACACAGAATGTATTTATTTGTTAAACATTAGGATTATAAGTTACACATAAATTACACATTGGACTATTGAGATAGCGCCATGAATACAAACGCGAAAAAGATACTTACTGAAACTTCTTTGATGGGGTATACATTATTTGACACAAATCATCACCTTTCTCATCTACTTTATGAGAAGTAAAGTACGACATGCTGTCTAAATATAGTTACAGAAAAAAGATGTTATATGGTATTTGCAAAATATTGCTATACTTGATATTTAGCAATAGTTTGAGCCATACTCAGCGCATTGGTTAAAGCTTATAAATCAAGGCAAGCCCTCTTCTACTTGATGTAATAAAGAAGGGCTTGGATATACAAGTATATGCTTTTATCACAGCAGTTTCTCTTTGAAAGGCCATTAGTTTCGACGAATGAAAATTGATTTCTATTTGTAATTTAATGCAAGTGTAACATCCACAAAAGATGGCCTTATTTACGTATGTTCAAATTGATCTAAACTGAACCGCACTGTCGCCTTCATCTCGAGTCGGACACAGATGCTTTCTATCTCTTGTACACAAATAAGGATCGTTGTCTAAAAAAAGACAGTTCTTTTGTTGCGCAACAATTTAAGGTTAAACTTAATGACTGAGAACATCTTGTGTACTGACTATTTACCATATCGGAAAAACAAAAACAACTGTTTGATACTGAAGTAACAAAATAAGCTAGTATCTATTGACAGATCGAGGAAAAGAGAAACAGAATAAAGAGAAATGAATGTTGGGCTAATACTCTCTCTCTCTTTTGAGGAGAAAAAAACACATTTAACAGTTGAAATATGCTTCCCTATTCTTTGCAGATGTTTAACATTTTTTGATAAGTTCGTACTACTTTTTATAGCAATAATTCTGAGATGTGTTCTTTTCTTTTTCTTCTTTTTTCATTGTCAAAAAAAGAGAAATGACTCAAGGTCAAGGAATAGAAGGATATGTTTGTATAGTTACTGGCTGTAACTCAATACAAGGAATTGGGTAAAGCGACTAGTATTATTTATATGCAACATTACTCATGCAAATTAAATAAGCCGCTCTGCTGTTTATGCCTTAGCTAAAAAGGGTGTTCGTGCCATCTATGTTACTGATATTTGTAGCAATAACTTGCAGTCCTTGGCTGATGATGTTCAGAAATCAACTGGTGTTGAATGTATCCCCAAGCGCGTGGATGCTAGCTCTGACCAAGACCTTCAAGAACTTATCTCGGATGCTCTTGCTAAATTTGAGCGTCTTGATGTCTTTTTTGCTAATGCTGCTAAGATTATGGGCGGCCGTCCTTTAGAGTTAGAGACTAAGGAAGGTTTCTTAGAAATGATGGGTATCAATGCTTGGAGGTAAGGTATGGTTCGTATTTTCGGTGTACACTAAAGGCGTTCTTACAGCGTCTTTGCTGGTATCAAATACGCTTCGGAAGCTATGAAAAAGACATCTAGCACCAAGCCTGAAAGCGGAGGATCAATCATTGCTACTGCTTCAAGTGAGTGAGCTTTCAAGAGAAAGACATTCTAATGTAGATTTTAGTTTCTGGCATCAAGAACGGAAATGGTCCTACAACTTATGGGGCTTCAAAGGCTGCGTATGTATTATGGTAGTCTTTATAGATTAATGAAATTCTAGCATTATTAATATTTGTCAAGCTGCTTCTTGGAAACTAGGTGGGGATAACATCCGCGTCAATGCTGTTTGCCCAGTAAATAGAAAGTTTATTTTGACACACAACTTATTACGAAATTTAGGGACCTATCAACACAGGCCTTCAACTCAAGAAGCCTGATCCTGAAACATTAGAAATGTATAAACAAGTCTTCAAAACCTATGTTCCATTAAAGAGAATTGGTCATCCTACAGAAGTAAAACAATGTTCTGTTGTATACACTGTTATTAACATATAAACTTAGATTGGTAACACAGTTGCTTTCTTGGCTAGCCCAGACGCTTCTTTTATTACTGGTCAAGCAATTGCTGTTGATGGTGGTATCACTGCGTCCGTTGGTTTCCCATCAACTTCAGCTGAATACTAAATAGCAACAAGTCAACTATAAACATTATGACTTCATTAATGTAATAAACGTGAATTTTATACAGATCAAAGAAAAGATATACCGTTTTTTTTTTTTTTTTTTTTTTTTTTTTTTGCATCATAACTAGAAATATTTATGCTAAACACAAATCATTGTAATACATGATAATTACAGAGATAGATTAATTAATCCTCGTCACAGATAGATTGTTCAGGTAGTGGTGCTTCTCCGACAGCGCCAGTCGCTGGATTGACATGAACAACTTTACAGACTCTTGCAGAATAAGTTTTGGTATGAAAAAATGGAAAAAGCTGGTATCTCAGAACACCTCTCAAGGTCAATTCATAGGGGTATCGAATCAACAATGACCTAAGAGAAAACGTTAGATAATAGCATTTAAACAATATAGACATATACCATCGTTCGTTTCCAGATACGTCGTCTTTTGCTTCGCCTGGATTTTTAATCTGAATATGGCTTGCCGGGGTACTCAACTTGGAATTGAAATAGAACAATGGTGATGCTTCAAAAATCAAAGGGTCGTCTAATTTGTTAAGTGTGCCCAAATATTCTATTTGTGTAAACTGTTTGAAGACTGTTGTAAATAAAAAACTGCTTACCTTGTTTGTTATTAGTCTTTTCATGCGCAGTTGTGTTTCCAGTGCCTTGCGCTATCGTTGGAACGTAATGACTAGCAGCAAATAGACTAATAGCCGCATGGGAGACTTGAATATTCCAACTGTTGGAGTTTCTATCATGATATTAGCGTATTGATTCTACTGATGCATTATTTACCTAGCTCTTACATAAAGATCAATCATCAACTGTTTTTGAGTCCCTAGCACATTTCCAACTGAGAATATCTCTACAGAATGTAATGGACTAGCAAGGAGTATCATTATAAAGCATAAAACAAAGCATGATAAAGATACTGTTGTTAACCACCAAAAGCAGGTTCTGCTCTTTAGTTTTGAGCGTCTTGATCTGCTCTCTTTTTTCCAAAGCAAGCTGATTTGCATAAATAAAACGACATGAGCTTGAAAATAATAATACAAACCTTCTAGTGTTACGGTGTACGTCTTTCTTTCCCGAATAATATAGCAAAGGAGTGCTCTCTTCATCATTGTCCTCATCTTCACTTGATGAACATCGATAGCGAAATCCGCGATGAAGTCCATGCTTTTCAAGTTTAATAGCCAGCAAATCAAAATAGTATGGCTTTATTGTTCCTCCTGCAGGTAATTCAGAGACAGCAGACCTTAGTCCAGGACGACGAGGTTTTTGACGATGGCAATCCGAAAAATAGCTTCCACTGTCATCATTACAACTAGTAGATAATCGATTACTATTGGCTAAATTACGACATGAATAAAAGTATTTATGCATATAGACCAGTTGTTTATACCTGTCAAGTCAAAAGGAGATATAGGAGGAGAAAGTGGAGGATATAGTTTGTAGGGTGTATGATATACATAGCCATCACAAGAATCTATTAGAAATAAGGTTTAGAGAACAAATAAATATTTTGTAGTATAACAGACCGTCAACATCCAGCACTGCTTCACTAAGGTTTTTTGCAAATACCTCGGTAGGAGTTGAATGGTGACTCTTCTTTTTATGTTTGATATGCTTCTTCTTACTGTTATTGATTGATCCATTGAAAGACCGTACACTTTTAACATCACTCTATATTAATCAAATATAATAAGTGATTCCCTGTATAAAAAAAGAAAAAAAAAAGGTGGAATAGCAAACCTGTGACCCTGTCCCTTTGGTCATATTACTAGCACTGTTTTCTGCAAATGATACAGGTTCAACTGTGATTTTGGCATTTCTAGATAGCCCTGCTGCATTCTCTAATCTTTCAAGTGTTGGAAGTCGATATGTGTCAGAACTGTGCTTCGTATGCAACTTGGGCCGGGATGCAGACAATAATTCCGTGGATCGGACAGTATTAAGGGATAATTTATTCTTGGGTAAATTGCTCGGTATATTCAATAAGTGCATGTCATTCTGTTCATTTCGAAGCAAAAGAGAAGAGCGATAATTGGATTCATCATCGCTAGGGGAGAAAATGGCAGTGGTAACTGTGGTAGTCATGTATTAAAAATAAAAGAAAAGAAAGAAAAAAAAGCTTATTCAAAATTTTTATTATGCGCATGATGAAGTTTGATTCATGTGACTACAACATTGATTTCATGTTACCTGTTTCAGCAGAATAATAGCCTACAGATTGAACAGTTACGGCTAGTAAGGTAAACTTCTCAAACGATTGTTCTAGTAAATCCTGGATGTCATCGTTTTGAAACCAACCAGTTTTTAAGTCAATACTTTTAATTTCAAGCTCTTTTGTGTCGCCACGAATCATATCGGCTCTTAAAGAACTACTGCACTGTATAAACTGTCGCAATCTTTCTGCTTCCCAATCAAACTTGTCTTTATCGCCTTGTCTTTTCAAAAAAGACTGTAAACCTAGGCTTTTTTTGTCATTCTCAGCGCCTTGGTTGGTTTTTGTTACGCTTGCACTCAAATGGTTTAGCTTGCTTTGATCGAAATTCTTTTCAATGATATCAATTGTACCACCAATACGGAACTGCTCCTTTGTACCGTCCATATACCTAAAAACAAGTTTGTTTCGCGTCAAATTCGTGTCGTTTCTTTTTACCAGTTTATTTCAGTTTTAGGGTTCTTTGTGAGTTCTTTAACTTTAGCTGAACTGTTCTTTGTCATAATAAGGAGAATATTGCTTTGCCAGCCCACTTGCTCTTTATGGTGTTCACCTGCAAAACCTCTAATAACAATAGTTCGAACAGCAGGTGTGTTGTTTTCTCGGACAGTTGCTAAAGAAGCATAAGTGGCAGAAGAGCCTATTTTAGAGATGTTTTCCTTTAAAGAGGATTGAATTGCTTTCTTCCATTCAGGTATTTTTGCCATATTAATAGAGAAACAAAAAAGAAAAGTAAAAAGATGCAGTGTTTCCATCCTCTTGAACATAAAAGTCGGATTGAGATTAGTTTAACCCAAAAAAGGATATTTGTGAAATCAAAAAACTGAAAGTGGAACCATTTTACGCGTAGTAATCGACGATGAAAGCCTTAGTTTCATGCATGAAAACTTATATGCAGTCTTTTTTTTTTATTAAAAATATAATAAAACTATCGTTTAGCGGTGCTACCATTTCTTCCTCCTGTTTGGTAGAGTTGGTCTAATTGAGCTTCCAGTGATTTAATATGAGCATGTTGAGTCTCTAAATCCTTATTTAAACGATCTCTTTCACTAATAAGCTGATACACCAAAACCGATTTAGATAACTATTTGATCGAGATTTATTCGATATTTACCTGTTGCTCCCATTGGCGAAATCGTATTTCCTCATTTCGAACTTTTTCAGTAAACGATTTTCTAAGAGCTTCTTCCTTTTCACGGAATTTGGGATTTTCAACTTTTTTTAATCTAACAATAAGCATGAGTATTATGAGTCAATTAGAAACATATTTACTTTGGTTCACTGAATTTACGAGTAGCCATTTGTTGTTGGCGATAATGTTCGTAATGGGTTTCTTCTGTCGAGGATATAAGATCGAGCATATGGGTACGGATCAATAAATTCCTAAGTTTGATGAAATCACAATGGCTATTATTCTCAACTTCAGCAACACCCCAACTGTATTCGCGACCTCGAACTTGTCTACCATCTGTTGTATTCACAATCTGTGTTGATCCAATGATGGAGTATGGAGAAGCATGAGCAATGCCTTGGTTACGAGCAGTCGTTTCCTCGTCATCGCTTTCTACTGCACATACATACACATTGATATTGTTTTGTTGTATAGATTTACGAATCTATAACAATGAGTAAGTGGCATATCCTCTTTATACTTACGTTTTCTTTAAATTGCTGTAGATCATTAGGTGTCAGGGTATCAGCTTTAGCAATCACAGGAATCAGATTGACTCGAGAACCAAGACGCTTCATTATTTCAACATCTAGTGATTTTAGACTATAAAAAAATGATGATAAACAAACAAGTTTTTTTTTTGGTATTGCATTGCTCAGGTCTTGTACCTGTGTCCATTAGGCCTAATAAAGTAAAGACAGGCATGAACACGCATATCAACCTTTCCTTGACGAGAAGGCTGTTGCTCTTGTCGCATATAGTTCTCATGCTGATCATCAATAAAATCAACCACAGTTACCCAACTATCTCTATTGTTCACATAATCACCAAATCCTGGTGTGTCAATCACTGACAACTTGACACGAAACATCTTTTCCTCCAATTCTTTTTATGTATCGAGTCAGCACATTGTTTAACTCATGTTGGTTTTACCTGCTTTTGTGATTTCGATTTCCACAGTCTTGTCTAATTGTTTTTCATATCTTTTTTCCGGCAATTTATATTGCTTGATGGTTGTGGCAAAAAGTGTATTCACAAAAGTAGTCTTTCCTAATCCAGACTCGCCTATTTCATTGTTTAGTCTATACAAGACACAACAAACACTTACCACAAACCATAAGAGTAAAGCGAGCCCCTTTTTTCGATATAATCCTGTGTTTTTGATTTGGCAAGTGAGCAATACCAATAGGGCGAGGGATAATATTGCTTGACATGATAACAGGTAAAGAGAAAAAGAGAGGGAGAGAGAGAAAAGAGAAAAATCTCAGCTTATACACCTTTTTATTTATTCTAGGATCAATCGAATTTTATCTTTTAGACGATCAATGGCAGCCGACTTTTCCACTAAAAGCTCGTTTAAATCACTCAGATAGTCAATAAATTCGCCCGAGATTTCAGGTCCTTGGTCTTTTGTTATTTCAAGAGATATGTTTGTCAAGTGTCGTAATTCTTTCTTTGAGCATTCATTTGTTGCACGAATTTCTGCCCTGTGTTGCACAAGGAATTCCTCAATAGCTGCTTTATTGAAATGGTTGCCTGTACTGCATTGGGCTGGACTAACGGATAAAGGCTTATACACGCTTTTTGGAGTAGATAGAAGTTCATGTGGAAATTCTGTATCTAATAAAGAGTCTCCCTCAATTTCTAAACAAGGGAAATCTTCATTATCAAAGGACATTTCATTTTTGTCCTCTTTCTCCTTCTCTTCTTCTTTTGGTTGAACATGTATGACGTTGCTTATCGCCTTTTGCTCATCTGTGTAATCACATCCAAGCTCTTTGACACGATCAGCATAGCGTAATGTATTTAAAGTATGTTCGCTATTAGATTGGTTAGGTGATACAGTGGCAATCATGCAAGTACGAGAGTTGCCCACAAATGAGTCTTTTAGGACCTGAGTTAATTTACTCTGCCGAAATGGTGTATGTTTTTTGTCTTGATCTAAAGCTCTAATACATTCTTTTAATGCAAGTAGGCTCTTATTGATTTCTGCTCCCTCCATTCTTGTCTTTAGATCTGTTTCACCACGGTCTGCACCACGTTCACTTCCAGCCAAGTCTATAAAACTTAATTTTCCAATGGGTTCCACTAATTTCTTTTTTCCAGCTGAGGCTGGTTTCAACAAGACTTGCAAGATAGCATGGGATCGGGAAGAATCCGAGTTTGCACCTGTTGTTCCTATTTTTTTTTCATTTATTTTTAAGAAGTTACACGATAAAGCATACCCGTTGTTCGTACTTGATTTCCGTATTCAAAGACTTGCATTAAATCAGACACATTCTTAATCATGTATTCTTTTAAGCCTACAATAACGACATTTTGTTTTCCATCTTCTCTTGCAAATAATTTTTTACGATCTGCCAATAAGTCGTACAGTTGGCCTTGATAAATTTCATAAAACCCTATCCATGCACACAAATGCTGATATTCGGGTTCTTGAAGTAGCTGGAATATGTCATGTGCTGCTAAAGCGTAAAGTCCATGTTTTAAATCCATCATCGTATATGTCTTTCCTGACCCTGTTTGTCCACTGCGTAGATATATCAGTTTCTTGGTTTTGACTATTCAATCACTTACTAAGCAAAGCAGGTTGCTTTGCCGCCACGAAACATGTATTTCACTAGAGGCTGCGCCGTTCTTTGATAAATCTACATGCAACTTAGTATTTGAGCGTTATCAAAAATACTTACATAGTCATTTGTATCATTTATATCAAATACGTCGTCAAAAGTAAATGTATGTTGTTCAATGTATTTTGTCAAATCTACCTTGACTCTATTGTCGTTTTTTTTTTAAATATTTCAAGTACACATGGATACACATGGATACACATACTTTGGTTCATTCACATGGACAGTACGTACGCCATTTACAGGTGTAATGTCTTTTTCAAGTCTTCGAATTTCTTGCTTAGAGAGGGGTCGTTTTCTTACACAAACGCGAATTCTTTGATTTAAATCACTCTTTTTTTGATGTTGACGTTGATGGTTGATTGGCAAGCCATAAGGGTTTAATAGCCCATTGTTATTACTCTTTACGATTTCCCTGTCGTCTTCATCATCGCCTTCGTCGCTTTCTTCTTCAGTTTGTTGTTTGCGAACATAGACTGGTAGCTGCATTCTTTTTGTCACAATAGGAGAGCGACAAGAAGATCGCATGAATCGAGGCGATGATATATTACCAGGTATGACTTGTTGCATGGAAGGCTCTTTAGGTGATATAAGGTTGGGTTTTGCGAACGATGCACTTGATAAGCCAACCATGTTATTATTGGATGATAGTTTGATCTTAGTGGCTTTAGCAGGAACCAAGAACGGTGTTTGAGTTGAATTATCTGCGAAGAACTCACGACTTGTAGGAGAAGAAAGTGTCTCTTGTTGTTCAAGTCGTAGTGTCTGAATAAGCTAACCAAAACAATCAGCTAAAGAAGTTCATATCAAGACGTTACTTGAAACAAACGCTTTCTATCTGAAATAGAACTTATTCCTAAACCGCCATAGTCTTGCATTGATATCTATAAAATTTTAATGATTTTGACTGGTATGTAATTAAAAAAAAATACAGACCTTTGCCAAAGCATTTGGCTGTGAGATACCAAAAGACAAAAAGCTATATGCATCGACACTTGCATCAGCAAAGCTCTAGTAAAATACAACAATGGTTACCTATTGTAATACTAGACATGAGTTTAGTATTGGGTTTTTCTTTGTTTGATGCTTTTTTTTTTTTTTTTTTTTTTTTTTTTTTTTTTACTTGATCAAGGTTTGCATTTCTTAATGCGTCAAATAAAGTTGTTGTGCTCATAATTTTTTTTAAAAAACAAGAACAAAAAGAAAAGAGAAAAATGTAGATAAATATGAAAATATGTTAATATTTAATTTTCATGCATTCAACAACTATGCATTTCAGTAATGCATCGAGTCAAATTTGCCTCAAGACGACTTTATGATCCTCGGTAGAACAAACAATAGAATGATGCAATTGAAAACCGGTACATTTACATGTTTGTACTTGACCCAAAGAAAAGAAGGGCCGACGCTACACAAACAAATTTTGACATGTGTAAGAACTAAGCAAAATGAATCGCCGAAATTTGTATGAGTTTATGTGAGTCATTAGACTGAACAAGTTTAATATGTAATTATAACGAACTTAAAGGACTGCTTTATTTTTCCTCGTTTTATTTTCTTTTTTTCTTTCTTTCTTCTTCTTTACTTATACACGTTCATATATCGGAAAATGATGGAAGACCTTCGTATCACTGGCTACAATGCTTTATTAACACCCGCTTATTTGCAAGAAGAACTCCCTGCCGTAAGCCATGTAGAAAAAAATTTAATAATACTAAAAAAAAAATTTTTTTTTATCATAGTCTGAAAATTCCAAGAAGACTTCTCAAGCAGCCCGTGATGAATGCTCCAAGATCCTTCGTGGCGAAGACGATCGTCTTGTTGTCATTGTAGGTCCTTGTTCCATTCACGACACCGAAGCTGCCAAAGTTTACTGTAAGTTCAAAAGTAAACCTTGTGTCACATACTTATTTCATATGACAGGTCAAAAATTATTGCAAGTCAAGGAAAAGCTTAAGGGTGAACTTTTGATTATCATGCGTTCTTACTTTGAAAAGCCCAGAACCACTGTCGGTTGGAAGGGTTTGATCAATGATCCCGATATCAACAACAGGTAAACTATTTAAAACAAAAAAGAAAAGGAACAGGTAAATTAAAGTCCTTTATTCTTTTCATTAGTTATGATATCAACAAGGGTCTTCGTGTGGGCCGTAAGCTCCTTTGCGATCTTACCGATATGGGTATGCCTGTTGCTGTCGAGTTACTCGATACTATCTCTCCTCAATACCTTGCTGATCTTATGTCTTGGGGTGCTATTGGTGCTCGTACTACCGAATCCCAACTTCACCGTGAACTTGCTTCTGGTGTTTCTTTCCCTGTTGGTTTCAAAAACGGTACTGACGGTAACGTTCGTGTCGCTATTGATGGTATTGGCTCTGCTTCTGCTCCTCACCATTTCTTGGGTGTTACCAAGAATGGTACAGTCAGTATTACCCATACTACTGGTAACCCCGATTGCCATGTCATTTTGCGTGGTTCCAACGAAGGTCCCAACTACAGCAAAGAACATGTTGAAAAAGCCAGTGCTGCTCTCCAAAAGGCTGGCTTAAGACCTAACATCATGATCGACTGTTCTCATGGTAACTCTTCTAAAGATCACCGTAATCAACCCAAGGTTTCCAGTAATTTGGCTCAACAAATTGCTAGCGGTAATGATGCTCTTATTGGTGTCATGATCGAATCAAATATTAATGAAGGTAAGCAAAGTGTTCCTGAAGCTGGTCCTGCTGCTTTGAAATACGGTGTTTCCATCACAGATGCCTGTGTGGACTTTGGGACTACTGAAAAGATGTTGGATGAATTGGCTGAAGCTATCAAATCAAGACGTGCTTCCAGAAAGTAAAAAAGAAAAAAAAAGAAAGATATAGAAAAAAAACCAGCACTACTTCATTTAGCATTTCATCATTTCCTTTTCAGTAAACATTTATACACTATTTTACTCATTGTTGGGATGTTTTTGAAAAAAAAAAACGGGTCGAAAAGAGATTGATGCCTAGACCCGGGGAAGGTAATGGCAACTGTAACCTTTCCAATTTGTTTTCTTATGAAACTTGTTCGACCATGAAATAATAATTAGTGCATAAAATCAATAATTTCTGAGATATCTTTTTTTTTTTTCATTATCAAAAGAGAAGATGGGCATCAAAGCAAAAGCTCCTTTGGAAGAAACTTTGATTTTCAGGATCTGAGATTAGTGATTTGGGACTTTTAAATTAAGATTTTGGAAAATGATAAGGTTTTTAGTGTAACTAAATTTTTAGTCAACCAATGAAGAATTGTTGAGTGCGGTTGGTCGTATTGTCAATAATGCATATTCGCGCAAAAGCTGTTGTTTTTTGTAGTGGAAGGAGTGTTTGCCAAAGAAAACACTACAAAAATGAACCTTAATCCTGCATTTTTGTTTGACATTCGTACATTAGTTCCAAAAAAAATATGCATTTGTTTCAACAGGATGTGGATGTTTCGATCGAAAGATACTTTGGCAATAATGTTCATGAAAGATTCACGGCCGCTATCAACGCGAAGTATTTCGCACTGATTTTCAGCACAAAGCTTTGGAATGATGCACAGATGCCATAAATAACCTTCTTGCTGACTTCATTCAGTCATTATCAACTTGTGCTAAACTCATTTCTGAAGTCACTACCTCTGATACATTGGCCGCTCGATTAAAGGTGTTCTATTTAAGGGTATTTTCGATTCAAAGGCAGAGTTTTCGATATTCTTGTATATCTTTAAGTTGAGCAGCTACTGTATTTTATGTACTTGAAAAGCAGCAAGCAAATATTGTGTATTACAACTATGTTACTTTTTTTTTTTTTACTACCCATTGAAGAAAAAATCATTGCAAATAAACTGATAAAGATACATTGATACAAAGCTTATAGTTCTGTCTTTATCATATGCGTCTTTTAAACTAATGAATTATCTTCTATTAACCAAGTTGCCTAGAACTACATCAGCAAACCACTACCAGTCAACGCTTTTACTTACTTGACGCGTCGCTTGTAATTCAAACGCCGTAGATACGTCACGCCAAGTCACGAATCGCGGTTTACGTATGAAAGGTTTCTTTTTATTTCTTCTCTTCTTCATATCTTTTTCTATATCATGTCTGCTCAACCACAACAACAACAGCAACAACAAAAGTTAGCCGAAGATAGCTCAAAGAAAAATCTAGCTCAACTTGGTGCTCTTGAAGAAGATGACGAATTTGAAGAATTTGCTGCTGAAGGTAAAAAAAAAAAATCTTACAAAACTGTCCACATTATTAATGTGTATCAGATTGGGGAGAAGAAGAAGAAGATCAAAACGATGCCCATTTTTGGGAAGATAACTGGGATGACGATGATGTTGAAGATGATTTCTCAAAGCAGTTACGGTAGTGTGTGCATGATAGACATTACTTTTACTCATCTATTTCTAGTGCCGAGCTTCAAAAGGAATCCACTCAACCTCAACCAATGAAAATGTAAATCATACAACTCATTATTACCCTTTCAAAAGATTCAACTATAAAACGTCAACCAGCATTACAATTCAATAAAGAAAAAAAAATTGATCCTGTATAATTTTATTTAACAAACGAGGAAAAAAAGAGATAAGAGATAGAGTAAACATAGAAAGCTTCTTTGATATAAAATAATAATAATAATAATAATAAAGAAGATGCATGCTAGAACAAAGATAAGGGGGCGGTAGAATATGTCAAAAGACATGTATGTTCCTACATGCAAAGTCGTAGCTTATGGTTTGCCTACAAAGAGCTGATATATATATACATAGCCATGAGCCATCATTTGGTTTAACTCCATGAACTTGAGATAAGGTCTTTTTGAACATAATCGTCATAAGCAACATTAGAGATACCAAACAATGAGGAACGACGTCTTGTAGTAGCAGCACCAGTATTAGCAGTAGAGCCGATCACAATAGGTTCAGAAATAGAATTATTTGGTTGAGAGAATTTTGACAAAACATCATCATTGCAGTTTTCTGTCACAGAGGGTCTACGAGAATCTGCTGAATATTCACTTGAAGGATGCTCTGATGAATGCTTGCTTGCTTGGTTACGGTTGTTGGGTGATTTGCTCACAGCTTCACGAATTGTATTGATAAGTCTTGTAAACATGTTTTAAAAAAGAAAGAAAAAGAATAAAAAAAAAAAGAATTGGCTGATTTATTTTATAATAATTCCCATGTAAATGCTTAATTTGCATAAATATATGAACCTGAACGAATGAAATTTATAACTCTTCATCCTCATCAATCATTGGAGCGGATATTAAGTTGGGATTGAATCCAGTAGAAGAAGGAGCTGTCAATTCAGTTTGGAACATCATATCATCATCTTCATTAAACAAGTTATTATGACCTTGACCATCTGCTTGTCTTCTAACTTTCTTTTGTTGAGCTTTCAATTGCTTTTTAAGTTGTTGGTTCAATTGTGGGTTGATTTCTTCTTCTGTTTGTGATAAAATATGTTGAGGTCTATTGATAGCATTCTTTTTCTTCATTTGCAACATTCTGTCCACTTGAATAATAGGTTGTGAAGTTGTTGTATCTTCAGTATCCATTGAAGTTTCCATTTGGCTATGTATTTTGTCAGCTAAAATTTAGTGTATATCAACTTACCTTCCCATATCAATATCTTGAACCATGTCAATATCATCATTGGCTTGCTATTTGGGGGATGAGTAAAAAAAAAAAAAAGCCAAGTTTTATGACTTCTTACCATAACGACACTAGAGCCAAATTCATTGCTTGTCTTTAGTCCAGTGAGAACAATGTCAGCAGACTCAAGATCCAGATCGAGTTCTCTTCCCCATGAATTAACAACAGAAGCTTCGATATGACTCTTCTTGGAAGATGGAGGAATGGTATAGTATGGAATCTTTCCACCATTCCAGTCTTGTAATACATGACGAGCAACTTGATATGTATCAGCAACACCACCCTATCTTATCATTTAGTCTATTGATAAACTATAATAATACGGTTACCTTTTTGAGTTTACCGCGCTGTTGAGCCAATAAGACCAAAAATTCATGCGCATTGTTGAAATAAGGTACTTCATACATAGCCATTAATTGTTCTGTTGTACATCTAGAAACAATCACTTCAACTATTCAAAACATTAGCGTTATTTCTTTCCATTAAAGTAGTTGTTTCTCACCTGGTGTGACTGGGTCATCTAATAATTCGACCTTGACACAATTTCTTAAAGTAATTTCAGCTGTGTTTTGACCATCTTGACCTTGTTGAGCAAATACAATACCAGGGCAATCAAGCAATTTGATGTTTTTATCCAATGTGATCTGTTGTGCAACCTTTGTAAAACCAGGAGTGGAGCCAACACCGCACACTTTGGATCGCTTAAGGGAATTGATGACTGAAGATTTGCCTACATTAGGATAACCAATAATACCCACTGTGATGGATGTCTTAAGGTTGGCGTTTCTTGAATAGTTTTTCAATAGCTTGACAAGAGTATCTGCACCCAAACATTCAGCAGAATTCAACATGTTGATACTAGCAGCATCAGTAGACACATTGGATTGACTCAGATTATTACGCTGATTTTGAGTAGAAGCTTTAAATGCAATAGCTGGATATTCGTTTCTTAAATACTTGAGCCATTGTTCAACATTTTCTTTAGGCACCAAATCTAACGGCATGGATCAACAAATCATCTTTTAACATTTCCTTACCAATTTTGTTTAATACAAGAATAATCTTTTTATCAAGGCCACTATCAATCACCATACGCTCTACACTTCGAGTACGAGTACCTAAAGGATCACGAGCATCCAACACTTCCAAAATAACATCTGCATTTTCCAAAACTTTTCTGAATTCTCGATAATAAGCCTTCTTAGAATTGTCTTTTTGACCAGTAGCTGCTGCGTCTACAATCACTCTGCCATCCTCGTCTACATCATGACTTTCTTCAAATGCTTGATTTCGTTTCTCAGCATTCTTGACCATATCAAAAATATTCAAGTTTCTATTTCTGTTTTGTAAGTTCTGACGGGCTAAATCTTGACGTTCTTTGTTACTAGCAATCTAATACAATCATTTTTTAGAGAAAAAAATCAGCAACAACACGTACCTTTTTCTTATTGTCTTCTTCTTTATTTTGTTTTCTTTGTTTGAAGTTGGCTAAGTTAGGAATCCCGGGATCTTTCTTGCCCTCTATTTGTAAAGAGTTTAAATACGTTTGCTTTGTTTTATTCATACATACTTGCTCCACTAAAACGATCGGCGTTGCGGTTCTTTTTGCTCTCTTTGAATATGGGTTTAGCATTGTTTTTATTTAACTAAAATTTACATACTAATTCCTGCCATAATGTTATATCTTCTTTTGTATAAAAAAAAAAAAAAGAATATTTTTTTAAGCATTTATAGTACACACATCAATTAAGGCTAAAAACTGTCACATAGGCGTCACATTGAATCTCAGTTTGGTTACATTGTGGAGTACCTTTAGACTTGCTTAATGTACAAGTGCTTAACAATAACAATATACAAGAAAACTTTCAATGCTCTTTAATATAGCAAGCGGATTGTCCTATTTTAGGCTCTCATCTTATGCCCATCCACTTCTGCAGTGATTAATTCAAGTGATCATCCAATTACATGATCGACTTGCCTTCTCTTGTTTGACAGTGCTCTCACTATGCTATATTTTAGTGCATACAATCGTATATACTTGATTCACCGCTCATTGCTGTGCTACTATTACACTTTATTGTTTGACCTAGCTATAGCATCCTTCAAAAATATCAACGCCGCTTCTTGCCACAGGCTGTTAATTTTTTCTCTTAAATGTTAGCTTTCATACTGGAGTCTTTTGAATACTTCTGTCAAGCTTTCAACTGCATGATGCCATGTAGTCTGAGGAAAACGATTAATGAGATGCTTCCTCGCGTGTTATAATGTTCATGAGTGTTTAGAAAAACAAAAAGGACAGCGTAGAGGACGACGTAAATGGAGCTTGAACAAAAAAGACAACACGAAAAAGGAACAATAGACACACATAAAGGGGCTATGCGCGAAGATTGAAAATGGAAAGCAGTTTCAATTTATCTAATCGCATGAAAAATCAAGCTTTTGCTAAGAACTGCATAAAGACGCAGTTATTGGGCTTTGGTGTAATGACAAGAATTGTAGAACTTTGCTTTCTGTGTCTATTAATATAAAGAAAACAACAATGTTGCTGCTAAAATATTGAGCAATTAGGCAAAAATGTTTAAGAGGTTTTTCGCTAATATCTCATAATTTTTTATAGTACAATTGACAAGCAAGCATATTCTCCCAAAACTAAAGCGTTTAGGGCACATTTTGAGTATTTGAGCTGGTCAATAGCCCTATTTTTCGTCTTGTAGCAAAGTTGTCAATTTTTTTTTTTTTTTTTTTTTTGTATTGGATGAAAGTTTTATTTTGAAAAAAATAAATAAAATCATCGTATAAATGGAAACTAGTGTATGTGAAGCAAAGTGACTAGCCATATGAAATATCTTTAAAACAATGCTTTTGTGGAAACATTCAGTACCATTATATGAGTCTTATATAATCCCAATAAAATAGCCATCATCTGGGCTACCCTTTAAAATGTCCTAAAAAGGATATACTAAGGGTTTTGTTCGTTGCTCCTGAGAGTCAGTATTCTTTATATCTTGTCTTGTTTAATGCTGCAGATGGCAATACCAATACCACAAGTAAAGGACACCATTCCAAAATGTCTTCAATTACTTGGCACTTGACACAATTGTTGATACCTAAGAGATACAACCTTCCACAAGGGATTATAGCAAAATCCGGAGCACCACCAAGAGTGGCCAGACCATCGTACTAAAAAGTTCTTTAGACGAAAGAAAGGTGCCCATTTTCTTTAAAAAAGGTGTCAATTTCTTTTTTTTTTATTAGTGTTTTATTTATTGCTCCATGTAGTCCATTATGGTTGAAATCCCACGACTTTGCCATGTGCTCTGTTTCTGTCGTTCAAAATAATCATGATAACTAGAAGAAAGTAAAGCTGTCCATTCTTCTGGAGGGCTCTTCACTCGTCCATCATTACAGCGATGTTCGTAGCTGTAATTGAAGTCGCCTAATACTACTGTATCATATAAATCGCTTTTGAGATAAAGTTGAACAATAGCTTCAGTCATGAATGACCGAAAAAATTGTTCTTTGACTCTTGTGTTGTTTGAGGATGGTCCATAAACGTTGAGGATACTGATGAGTGGAAAAGGGCGAGAGGTGTCATTAGAATATTCCTCTGCTACATGTATTTCCGCTAAAATGTATCTATCTGAATCATCTATCTGGACTGAATGGACTACGTATTTTGGATTTAGTGAAATGATTCCACAATATTTAGTCCAAAGACTGGATTTTGTTTGAAATTGCATATTAAGTTCTGAAATAATAGTATTGTTGTCTGCGCGAGTTTCTTGTAGCGCTAAAATGTCGATGTCCAAGGAACGAAGGCATCTGATGTATAATTTTTGTTGTAAAGGAGTGTTTGTTTTTCGAATGCTACGACAGTTGAGTGTCGCAGCTTTTACTCTATATGTGTTATTTTTCACAAGTTAAAATGCTGCTCCTCAGCATTAGGAGATCCTGTCTGGACCTTCTGTACATTGAGTAGTGGGCTGCTATAAACGCTCTTTTGAGTAGCGTATTTTGAAAGAGATACTTGACCTTGACAACTGCTAGTTACATCTTCATAATCGTCTTGTCTACTAATTTGCTTTGCCTGTGTCATATTGTCTTTATCGACGTAACTGGTCTTTGGTTGACTAGATGAAACTGGGTTGACTGGAACAGCTGTTTCTTCCTCAGTTGGGATTGTCTCCACTTCGTTTATGTTGACATCGCCTTTGTCATTTTGAGTACTTTTTTGGATCACATCCATGTCATTATTGTCTTTTGGTTCCAATTGTTCTTTTGCCTCAGTAGCAGTGTGTTTTTCAGGAGTCTCCTTTGCCAGAACAGTTGCAGGAGTCTTACGTTCCTTCTTTACGACTCTTTTCTTACTGGGAGCTGCAGTTGGATCAATAGCATTTTTATGAGGGCATTGACGCATTAAATGGCTTGCTTCATCACAGCTATGACATTTGAGATATTTTTTATATTGCAGCAGTCTGCTCAGCAGTGATCCGATGCTTGGCAAAGTCTGCAGAAATTTTACATGTCGTCCCACTGAAAAAGTACGTATCTTACACCCCCCATCATCATCTGTCCAAAGCATGACTCTAGAGAGTGGTTCAAATGTCTGAGTCTGGTCTTTAGTTGGAGAAAGATTAAAAGTTGCGTATCCTTGACCAGCGAAGCTACGACGACTCTTATAGATACCAAGATCAAGAATTTTCCCATAGCGGGAGAGCTGATTCTCCATATCTTCTTTAAGAAGTCGGAGAGGCATAATAGGGAGACGATCCAATTTAAGTCGTAACTGGGAAAGCCTTTAATAAAGGTACCGTCAGCCAAATACACTCCTTCATTCAAGATTGTTTGACGACCCAAACTGTCTTTTCTCCAAACAGTTTCCATAAACGAACGTTTGAGATATTTGCGGATCACAGGTACGCGACCACAATAATCTTCATAGCCACAGTTCTCGTCCATATTCTTGTTAAAGTCAAGAAGGACATCAAACAGGAGTTCCTCATCTTTTATATCCGTGATATCGATAAGAGAACTGTCTTTTTCAATGCCCTTTATAAAAGGTTGAACCAAATTAACAGGCGTTGGTTGAGCAGAGTCGGACAAGAGTGACTCACTGATGGTATATGAGTCTGTAAACGATGCAGATGGAATGAAGACAGTTGGTCAAAAGGACAAGTTGATACGTGCCTGACCTGACACTAATTTTTCCCAAGAGAGGGAAGCATTGTTATTATTGTTCTTCTTGCCTGAGCTGGAAGCTTTGGCCTGAAGGTTGCGATTCGGAGAATTAAGCGGAAGAGCCATAGGAAGTTGTCAAATTGAAGATTTTCATGGGTAATGCCCTTTGGTCGAAAGGCATATTTTGGCCAATTTTCACAAGTCGCTTTTTTTGGTCGAAATCGACTTCAAAAGCACTGTGTATGTTAGCTAGCACTATTTTTAGTTCTCTAGAGTCTTTGTGCATGTGTAAATAGGCTTTTATAATACCTTTGTATTGTCCAAGAAAAAGAAAAAGAAAAAGACTCGTATAAATCGCCGTCTTTTCTTTTCTTCACTATCGAAGCATGTATTCGCCTGCTGTTCCTGTACATAAATGAATAAATAATTTAAAGCCGAATCGCTGATGAGGATAGAATGTCTCATGAAAGCACACTTGATCCGCCTAAAGCAAAGAAAGGGAATGTTCAATTCACTTCAACTTTAGATGCCTGTTATATAAAAGATAGCCTTTACCAAGCACGCCAAATATACAATTCCAGTTTAGATACTTACTTTTTCTACTGTAAAGATTTATTTGGTTCAATCCAGAGCATTTGTTTCAAATGACCGTTATTTTTGAGATGTGTTTTTAACTATCAAATTAATTAAAATGAATTATTTCTTGCACGAAACTGGCAGCTGAAGAATGAGATACACTGTAAAATAGCAAAATCAAGTTATTATCATATTTGAGCTATTGAATGCTCTAAATCAGAACAAACCAACACTAAATGTACAAATTTAAGGCGAGGAACACACCTTGATTTCCTGAACTGTATTTAAGCCAATCCTTGCGAGAAATACATTATATCATACAAAATACTTGATATGTATCATAGCTCATGGTAATGAATTATGTACTTGCAAAATAAATGTAATTTACTATAAATAAACTAGTTTATCATTATGATACATCTTGAATCAGATATAAATCAAGTGTATTTCCTGTGTTTTATGGGTCGCTGGGGGGGGTTCTTTTTAAAAGAGCAAAAGATTTAAGGCGACAATACTCAGAAGCGGCTCATGCAGAACTCGATTAACAAATTTATTTTATTATAACTTTTTCTTGATAAATTACGGACGTACAATTGGTAGATAATCATTTAAGAAGCATTGTTTTCTTTGGCAGCACGAATCAGAGGCGATAGAGAACGTAGAGGATCAGCTAATTGAATAAATGGGTGTTCTAACAATTCTTTTGCTGAAGGACGAAGTTCAGGATCCACTTCCAAGCATTTGAATAAAAAGTCTCGAAAGACATCTGAAAGTGACTCTGGGCTTTGAAGTGTAGGTGTACCATTGGTTGCAATCAAATAGAGCGCTCTTAAAGGATTTTCATTTAAGTAAGGTGGCTCTCCTTCAATCATCTCAATGGCCATAATACCGAGTGACCAAATGTCTACTTTAAATTCATATTCTTTACGTGTGACTACTTCAGGTGCCATCTAGAGACACTGGTAAGCGCCTTATTGGAGGCATGTACTTTTCTACTTACCCAATAAGGAGTGCCTACCATAGTAGTACGTTTCGTTTGGTCTTCATTAAGTTGAGCACAAAAACCGAAATCAGCTAATGTGATAATTAGCAAACAAACACATACACACATGTATCTACTTGCTTAATTTTATATCGCCTTGCATGCTTAATAGAATATTGTCACTTTTGATATCTCTATGGATGACTCCATTTGAATGCAAGTGGTTTAGTCCTTGCAAGACTTCTTTACAAACAGCAGCTATTTGTCCTTCCATCATCATGTTACAAGTCACCACGTCTGTCAAACTTCCTCCTTCCATGTATTCCATCACCACCCACAAATCATCTTTCCAAAGATATGAGTCTAGATAGTTGACTATATTAGCATTTTGTGATTGCTTCATGACGATGATTTCATTGATAATCAGTTCCTTCTTGGGCTGTTGTTCCAAATTCATTTGTTTGATGGCTACTGGTATAGTGGTATCTTGTCCATGGTCATTTTTGATTGTCCTATGAGCTATAAACACGCCTCCCGAAGCACTTGTGCATGCATCAGTCATCTGTAGTCATACGTAGCACATCTTACCCTTGGCCAATTTTAGTCATGTCCTTATAAATGTCATTTGGGTTGAGTGTATAGCATATCTTTTTAAGTTGTTGAATGAAATCCTTTTCTGGTTTTTTAAGTTCTTTTGCTTTACGCTTAGAAACTGTAGGTGGTGGTGATGCTATCGTCAGCTTCTCTTCTTCCTCTTCTTCTCCTTTTACAGGTTCCACAACGATAGTTGATATTGAAATGTCTGACTTTTGGTTAACGGTAATAGTCGATAATGGTGGCGTAACAGGTGTTTCATCTAACTTGTCTTCCTTGGTTTTTTGAGAGTCTATTCTTGTTACAAAAACATTTCTTTTTGGGTCTATCTTACCTACTGTAGAAGACCTACTTGAAGCCTAAATAGAGACAATAAACAGCTATACACAGATGGTTCTCTTCTTACCGAAGATAATCGCTTAGCACAATCACTCAACTTTAACTTTGATAATCTTCTGATGGATTTGCTTAATGGGTTTTCTTTTTTAGTTTCAACCGAGTCCAACGACTGAATGCTTTGTCTTGCTCTTGGTATTTTATGCCAGACTGCTTCATCCATATTCTTTTGTTGATAGAATTCAATCGCATCGATCACAGCCTATTCAAAAAACAAGGAGAGACAAGCTATGTGAGTTGGCCAGAGCTCCTTAAAATCTTACCTGAGGATTTTTCTCCTGTTCAGTACGTGTAATACCACTTGTCTTTAAGAGTGTCTGCCATTCTTTAGGTAAACCTGTAAACTCACCAGTATTTGCATCATAACCAACATGTGTAACATGTCTTGTGTTATAAGGGAAAGAAATATCCATATGATAAGGTTGATCTGTAATAGTAGCTGTATAGCTCATTAAATCTAAAATAAACATCAGTACCGAACTCTGTTCATGTCTAATTCTTTACCAACAAACTTGTCAAGTACGCCTTTGAGTTTTTCACGGGGAAGTGGTTCATGGTGCTTTTGACTCAAGGTAGGCAAGTGGTGAAGTGAAGCTGTGGTATTATAGAGCTTAGTCACATGTGTCTTGTTTGAAAGACCCTTTAATGAGTGGTGGGATTTAATGCTTTTAATAGAACGGTTTGAAAAATCTGCTTATTTTAGTAGGGTAGCTTTTGTGAGCAATGTGTTACCTTTCTTTTGATATTCTTGCATTATAATAGAGAAAAGAAAAGGAAAGAAACCATAATTCAGCTGCTTTGTTTAATAAGAAGCAAAAAAAAAGGGGATTCATTGTAAATAAAGGAGTGCAAAGGAGATAAAATATTATACTTCCCCTTTACAAACAGATTGTTACAAATCATGCAGAAAGTGTGAACAAGGAAAAAGAAATGAATTTGGAAAATCAATGCTTATTTGATTGGTCATTATCAATCTTGAAGAATTTGTCAGATGCCCTTTTGTAATATAAGCAACGTTTTTTCTTCTTCTTTTTTCTCCTCTCTCTCTCTCTCTGTTTTTTCGTCGTCATTTAACATGTCTAGTATTACACCCAGTCATAGCAGTAGACTGATTATTCTGGATATTATACCTTCACCTAATAAAAGTAAATCTTCACTTCTCTATTCCGACAAACAACACTCTCATCAATCTGTTCAGTTTTCCAAGGTGATTGCTGTAAATAATCAAAAGACAATCTATCTGATGCGGAATAATCAAACTCCAGGCACAACAAGGAATATTGTTAACCGATTTCACTCAAGCATTGTAAAATAAGACTTTAATACGATTAATACTTAATAAAATGAATAACCAAATGAACAAGTCCTTTTATGACATAATGCAAGATACGTTTCAGCATGTCTTCTTTATCCTTTGCTAGCTTCTGTCCATATGTCGAATAAGCATATATCAGCTGTATCGAAAAGTTTATTTTGATTAATATCTTTCTGTAACATTCAAAAAAGAGAGTATGGAGATCAGCTTCTGTTCTTGATAGCATTGACAACCAACTAAAGAATTCTACAGTCGTTCAACTTGTAGATGTGGTCTTTTTATTGTATTTGTCCAAAGAGTCTATGGTTTGATTGTATTTAAGAAACGATTCACCAAAAATACCATATATTAAAACTTGCGGTAAACTAACTTCGGTGGTTATTGTAAGAGCGGTTTTGTTTTCAAGATAGTCGAGGCAATAAACAGAACCTAAGAAAGGTTGAACTTTAATCAAACGAAACATACAGATGCTCTTCTAGAACTAAGGCTCGTTGCACCAAATGTGGCCGAGTACAATCGAAATCTTGTCGAAACATTTGCACTATATCCAAGCAATATTCAGTGGCTAATCTCCTACTAAATTCAGAGCACTTCCTCTACTGGATGGACTAAACATCTTGCGATAGAATAGTATTCAACCATCAGTGGTCAACTACCTCAGCAGCTGACCGGACACAAGACCCAAAAGACGCGTTTAGAAAGACAGAGGTCCAGCCATCCTCCTCGCACTACCCACATCCTGTTCAACATTCAGAGATGTTGGTCCGATTCGATACATCCTATGGTCGGTTGTACTGGCTTACAATTTTTCCAGGCCATTGTCTATACACCTCAATGTACAGACGTACGGCAGCTGCCGTATTTTTTTTTGAACCAAGGTTGAATATCAACTAACCAAGTCACATAAATAATGTACCTGGAGTTTCAAATATGGCCATAGAAAAAACGGCCACTAGTGGAAGTAGTTTAACAGTTTACACTATATGAAACAAAGTCAATGAGATACTCATTAAATGAGAGATAAGCGATATAATGCTTTCTCAGTAGTGATAAACATTTTTGAAGGAGAGAAACAAAATGATAATAAGAGAAAAACTAAGTTTTTTCTGGATGATATATAGCAAAATAGAGTCTGTTGAGCGCTTTTTTAAGCTCTGTAAGATAATCTTTATCATTATAAGCATTGACCAGTTTTTGAACAAGTTGCATATATGAAAGCATGAATCTTGCCTTGTTGATTCAGACATTTGCCTACAAATAGGAAATGGCTACCCATTCTGGTCCAAAAACAAAGTCTTGTATGCAAAATGCATTGGTGTGATAGTTCCTTTTCGGTCACACATTTGACTTTGGAAAAGTAAGGTTGACAAAGGCTTTCTTTCAGGTTGCCATCCTTCTCCACTTTGTTATTGTCAAAATTTGTTGGATCAGCAATGAGAGTGAAAGAAAAAGGCGCTTTTTATGAGATAACATTACCTTTGAAAGCACGCTTTTGACTATGCATATTGCAATGAGAAAGGAGATGCTAGTGTTGAGTTTCATTGGAGTTGTGAATGGATCTTTGTCTTCACCTGAATACGTTTATAGGCGGTGTGCGCATGAAAATCTTCATAATCAGGATATCATGTATTCTTGCTATGATTACTCAGATCAAAATAACTTTCACTTTGATTTGACATTTTTTATATTTTAGATTACTGCTTTTTGATCATTTTTAAGGTGTTTTGAGATCTCAATTCTTTTTCAAAGGAAAAATAAGCCTCATTTTTACAGAAAGCAGCACCAATGCATAACTCAAACAGGATAAAACAACCCTCTACTATTTTTTGAGCCTTTGTTCAAAGTCTAGCCAATATTAGAATTACATTTTATGAAATCGTCAAGCTATTCATTGTATAACTCAAAAGCATAATCGTCTAAATTATACTCACCCGCTTATTGCGCTTCAAAGTATTTTTTTAATAATATTATCGGTATTGGATGACATTTCGTATGATGAAAGCTTAGCAATTTTGAAAGGGGAAATTATGGTTTCCAACTAGGTGACTTAAAGTTACAATTAAAGCTCCGGGTATACACTGTTCTTTCTTTTTCTTGCCATCCATCAACTATTGATTAGTAGAATCTAAAGCATGAAAGTGTAGAGAGATAAACTCTAAACACTTTTATGTTTTCAAATTCGCCAAGTCGCGCCTTTAATCTTGGTTGAAAAGCTTTTAATTTTGAAGAAGGGTCCCTGGTTAAAAGCAAGTGTTGAGTAGGGTGGCGACGAAACAGAAGAGATGAAACTTCTTGAGAAAAAAAGAAAAGAAGACGTCTATGTACTGGTCATGGAGTGGATTGCAGTGTTCTTGCAATTCATCGCACCAAAGTAAGGGACATGGACTTCATGATATCAGTCAAAGAAGTGAAAAATGCTCATGTTGTTCATCATGTTGGGGACTTGAGTCTTCCACGCTCCTTGGCAGCGTTGGAAGACTTCAAATCAACCCTTGAGCTGCTTTACTCATACAAGCACCACTATATGAAGATTAAAAATGTAATTAAAGTTGCCCAGCATCGAAAAGCAGTAAGCATAAATCTTTCTCGCTATCGGTTTTCGGAACAAGAAAAAGCAGACGAGGAGCCAAAGACTTTTTTTACTCCTGTAAAAAAAGCAAAAAATCAGCCACTCACTCACCTTCTTCGAAGAAGATGAAGATGACTTGCTTGACTGACAATAAAGCACTGTGTCATGCTGTATGCGTATGTGCGTCTATGTTTGTTTGTATTTTACGATGCCATTAATATCAATAAAAAGCAGCTTTGTTTATTCATGACTGCCTTAAAATGACGTCGAATCGCGGTAGTTTAATCTTCTGCCAAAATGGTAATCAGATAAACCCCTAGCCCTTATAAAAAAATTCTCGCTCTTCTTCGTATCTTGACATGTTGCCCAGATTAGTAAGAACGATTACAAGATCGTCTTCAACTGCTTCTCCTAGACCTTTACTACAAGCCACTGTCAACTATGTAAAGACCAAGGCTCCTTTAGTACCAGGTAAAAAATTAATAATAAATCACAAGGAATTTATTATTTTATAGCACTTTCTACACGCGCCTTCTCGGTCCAATGTGCCAAATATCAATCTGTCGAGACAAAAAAGAATGTCACCATAAAATCACTGGACGAATATAAAAACACAGGCAACCTCAAGGGCGCTATTCGAGCTGTTCAACATGCACAAGAAGCAGGATTAGCTACACCTGCTTTATATATCCAACTCGTAGACATATTGAGAGATGTGCCATTTGATGTCCATGCATGTGCTACAGTAGCTCATTGGTTTTACTCGCCTGAGTCTAATTTACCTGCTGAAGTATTACATGATATCAATGTTTGGAAGAGTGTCTTGAAACTCGGATTTGGATTTGGATCTACTTATCGTGCTGAAGATTTGCGTGCCCTTGTAGATCGATTTACTGAGACATTTGATCTCACAGAACTAGATGACCCTACTGCTTGGGAGTTATTGATGAGAGTAAGTAGCATATAAAACATATATTACTCATATATTCTATTAGGCTTATGGTATCTTGAACAAGAAAGAGGATATTGTAGCTTGTATGGCCAACAAAAAAGAGAATACAAGCCCTACATTTTATGCCAGTGCTTTATTGTCTTTTGCAGCTACACATGCTCATGAACAAGTCGAAGCCTTGGTAAACAAACTCAAGGAACAGAATCAATTGAGTCGCCATACACTTTTAAAATTAATTCGTTGCTATGGTTTCAATGGTGATGTCGATCATGTTGTCAAGTATATGAATGTGTGTAACCAACTCTATTCTGATGCACCTTGCGACAAAACCATGTTGTTGATTGCTCATAAAGTGGCTCTTGATAAGATCTGCAAGCGACTTGAGCAGACATTGGGTGTGCGTGGGCTCCCCTTAAAGCCTGCTTATTTACCTGAATTGGATCAATTGCATGATTCTTGGAACACACTGACAAAGGACATGTTGAATCAAGCCATGGATGTGACAGATTGTAATGTTGTACTTGAATACTTGACTATTGCCAATCGCATTGATCCTGTTGGATATCCTATTGAAAGTGCAGAAGCTATCTTTGAATCTTATATGCCCTCACATTGTATTCAACCCAATGATGCTACGCACCGTATTATGTTGGTTGGCTATGCGACAACACAGCAATACAATGATCCTCATCTTAATATACGCTTAAACAAGGCATTAGCAATGGTCTCCAAGATGCAGGTAGCTGGTATTGATACACTGAATCACCCTACATTCCATGCTCTTTTCCGTGCCTGTCTTCCTCATCATTATGGACGCTATTACTTTGATAACTTTAGACTCAATTCACTTTTACCTTCTCGTCCATACACACACAACCGATTTAGGCTAGATCCTCGTCTGTTTGAAATCGAGAAAATCATGCTGGAAGCCAAGTTACCTCATGACAGATTCACTTTCTCAACATTGATGACATGTTTGGCCACAGGTGGTAAATACAAAGCAATGCGTAGTCGATGGAGAGCACTTAAATTACACGGTATTCGTCGTGATGTGGGGCTCTATCGCCTGGTCTTTGCTCTCTCTTCATTACATCCTACACAGGCCAAACGAGCTATTGTTGTGACCAGGAATGAAATGATGCGTGAAATCCCAGAGAACCATGTGGATTGGGATACTTATGTAGCCATGTTGGATTGCTGTATCACGGCTCAATTACCTACAGAAGCAAAAGAGATTATTCATGACATGCGTCGTGCTACTGACCTCGTTCACCGTACAAAGAAACATGCTGATGATCTTGCTAAATGGCCATTTGTGGATGCACCTAACTATTATCTCCCCATGCTTCGTGCTGCTGTCTTGTTGCCTGGATTGGATGCAGATGCCATTCAACGGGAAATAGATAGCAAACAAGTACTTTATAGCAAAGGTATCTGGGAAGCTTTGTTGTCTAAGGCAGCACTAGCATCAGATAAACAAGCCATTCAAGCCTTGTTCCATAAATACACCATGTCTCGTTTTGAAAAAGAAGGCAAGATTCCCATTCCTGTTCGAGAAGCTGCCAAACCAGTCATTCCATTCCCTACAGCACCTTATACAGCACTGGATATGAAATTTGTGGACGTCTATCTCAGTACATTGCTTGATTCACAAGATATTTCACTTGTGTTTGATGTGTTGCGTACACTTACAGACCAAACAGACCAAATTGGTATTTCCCTGTCTACATTGCAAGGCATTGTTCATTTAGCCAAACAAGAGAAATCTACACAAGATATAGCATGGTTCAAAGACCATGTTTTACCAAAAGTGTCACGTCAAAACAAGTCTTTCAGAGCATTTGTCAAGTCTATAGAAACTGTATCATAAAAAAAAATAAACTTTAAGCCCAATTTTGGTGGAGAATAAATCTTGTCTATCTATCTTTCTTTTTCTTTTATATAAATACTTGAGGTAGCGTCGTTTTAGTATAACGTTGTTGCTGTTAGAGAAAAAAAGAAGAAGGAAATATGGTTTCTCCTGCAACATCATCTCCTAGACTTTCCCAACAATCATCAGTCGCTTCAAGTAATGTCTTTGTCATCAATGCTCTCGAGAAAATATCTTCTGCAAGAGAAGCAAGGCGTAACAAGTCTTTAAAAGAAGCAGTGGATGCTGCTAAAAGTAATATACATAGAGGTGGTCTTCTCTTTTTACTTATTTTAAACTAGATATGCTCAAGAACAATGAACCTGCACCTGAAGGACAAACTCGGTAAGCCATAAAGACAAAGTCTGAAAGAGCCTAACTTGGATATGAGTTCCACTGTGATTTTAGCAGCACTTCAACAAGCCATCGATACACGCTCAGCAAATCTAATGGCCATCTCACTTGATTGTCTTGGCAAATTTATTACTTACAATTACGTTGCTGATATGGAAGATGAAGTAGCACAGGCACAAGTCATGGAAAAAGTAGTCGATGGTATTTGTGATTGTTTTATAGGTGAAGAAACAGACAAGAAAGTGCAATTACAAATTATCAAGGTAAAAAAAAAAATATTTGTCTATCCTATGTATTGAAAGCAAGAGAGTATAGGCTTTGTTGGATGCTGTTTATTCTACCAGTAATCCACTTCATTTATCTGCTCTTTTGAAAGCAGTGCGAACAACTTACAATATTTTTTTGCTTTCCCGTAATAATGACAATCAGAACGTGGCTCAAATTACAATGACACAAATGGTCGACCATATCTTTAGACGAGTCAAATTGAATCCTAATGTAGCACCTCAACAACAGTCAACTGAGGAAATTCAACAGGAAGAGGAACCCGTAGAGGAAACAACAGTAGAGGAAGAAGAAAAAGAACAAGAGGAAGAGGACGTATTAAGCAATACAGCCAATAATGCACCACATGAAACACAAGAAGAATCAAATGCTTACCAGCAACAAATTATTGTAGAAGCCAACATGGCTCGTACTGAAATGGATCATAAATTACCTAGTGGAAGAAACAAAGACAACTACCAAGATTTCTTAAACGATACAGCTAATGTATTTCAAGAGAATAAGCAGGTGGTACCTGAAAGATCAGAAGGAAAAGGATCATTTGAAAATGAACGTATGCAGCGTGAAGACACCGAAACAGAAGCAGATCTTTATATCAAAGACGCCATTTTGGTCTTTAGAGCACTCTGTAAACTCTCCAAAAAGTCTATTCAGTCTGAATGGGGAAACGATATGCGATCTTATTCGATGCGTTCAAAGCTGCTTTCGTTGCATTTAATCTTGACAATCATGATGTCACATATGGATGTCTTTACTTCAGAAGAAGTTTTCTTCTCAAACACAACAGAGCACAAAGTCAATCCTTTTATTTTAGAAGTAAAGCAATACTTGTGTCCTAGTATTGGTCGAAATGCATTCTCTGTGGTCCCTCAAGTGTTTGATATTACGCATGAAATCCTATGGCGTGTTGTTCAAGGATTGCGTGTCTATCTCAAGAGCGAAATAGAGATCTTCCTCAAGGAAATTGTGTTGCGTATCTTGGAAATGCGCAATGCTTCTAACCAGCAAAAGTTTTCACTACTGAAAGGTGTGTTGCGTATTTGTGAAGATCCTCAGACATTAGTGGATGTGTATCTCAATTATGACTGTGACCGTGCTGCATTGGACAATATCTATGAACGTCTTGTGAATGTGCTGTCCAAGGTCACTACTTCACATAACCATCCTACAAATGGCAAAGACTTTGATAATCACCCTGATCCTATCTCAAGCACACATGTGAACCATGCTCATGCCTCTGTTGTGATCCCTCCCCCTTTAACGACAGCTACTATTTTGCACAGTGATAAACAGAACGCACAGACAGCTATGCCTGAATCAGCTATTCGATTCAAGTCTTTAGAATGTTTAGTGGGTGTGTTGAAATCCTTAGTGAGCTGGTATCAAAACAACTCGGTCAGTATCACAGCAGGACAGAACAACCAAGAGGAAGATACGCCTCGTGCCAGTGAAGATCATGCATCACTGACTACACATTCGAATTCGTCTGTCTCTCGCTTCAACAGTTCCTCTGCATCGACACCACTCACCACAGGCAGCAGCACACGACTGGACGATCCTGAAGCATTTGAGAACTTGAAGCATCGTAAGCAATTGCTTCAAGAAGGCGTGCGTCAATTCAATTGGAAACCTGAAAAGGGTATCAATGCCTTGGCCAATAATGGATTTTTAAACAAAGAAGATCCTCATAGTGTAGCACGATTCTTGTTAAACACAGAAGGACTCAACAAGACTCAAATTGGTGAATATCTTGGTGAAGGGTAAGCAACAGCATCCTACTTTATTTTTTGTCTTAATGAAAGTGTAGAGATGCCAACAATATCACTATTATGCATGCCTTTGTGGATGAAATGGATTTCTCAAACATGAATTTCACAGAGGCTTTAAGATTCTTTCTTCAAGCTTTTCGTTTACCTGGTGAAGGTCAAAAGATTGATCGTTTTATGCTCAAGTTTGCGGAACGCTATGTTCATGGCAATGCAGGTGTATTTGCGAATGCAGGTAAGGCGACGCAAGCAATCAACACCATGCTCATCTGTTCTGTTTAGAAACTGCTTATGTCCTTGCTTACTCTGTCATTATGCTCAACACAGATCTTCACAGTCCACATGTGAAGCGTAGAATGAACTTGGACGATTTCATCAAGAACAACCGAGGTATTGATGACGGTGCAGATATTCCTCGCCAAGTACTTGAGACCATCTTTGACGAAATTGCCAATAATGAAATCAAAATGAAAGACGAAGTAGAGGCTGCGAATGAAGCTGCCTTGGTGGCTACACCGGGTGCTGCTGGTGTGTTGGGCATCACGACCGGTTTACAAAATGCGCTTGTGAGTGCTGGTATCACCCGTGATGTGCGTCGTGAAGCTTACCAACAAGCCATTGAAGACATGGGCTCAAAGACAGAAGCCATGTTCCGTAACATGTTGGCCAGTCGTCGTCGTGCTGGTGAAAATGATACCATCACATTTTACAGTGCTTCTCATGTAGAGCATGTTCGTCCCATGTTTGAAATTGTATGGATGGCGTTTTTGGCTGGTATTTCGGGTCCTTTGCAAGAATCAGATGATTTGGCTACTGTCAATCTATGTTTGGATGGATTCAAGCATGCCATTCGCATCATTTGTTTGTTTCATACTGTTCAGTCTGAAGACATGGACCTCCAAAGAGATGCATTTGTCACTACGTTAACTAAGTTTACTTTCTTGACCAACTTGAATGAAATGAAGCCCAAGAATGTAGAAGCCATCCGTACACTTCTTGAAGTAGCAGCTGTGGATGGTAATTACCTCAAGGGATCATGGAAAGAAATTTTGTCTACTGTGAGTCAATTAGAACGGTTCCAGTTGATTACACATGGATTAGATGTAGGTAGCAGTTCTATGGTCGATATGGGTAAGCGAACAAGCAATGCCAAAGCTTCTTCTGATTTTGGTCGACGTACTTCTGCGCTGGGTGGTCGTGGTCGTCTTACAAGCCCAGCTCGTTCTACGACACAATTGTCCTTGACAGAAGAAGTGACCACCGCCAGTTCATCTCAGTCTCTTGTGCTTGCTGTCGATCGTCTGTTTACTTCAACAGTCAACTTGAATGGGGCAAGTAATATATAAGCACACATACACACACACACACATATATATATATATATAGGCATTAGACTGAACAAAGATATTATAGGAAGCCATTGTGGATTTTGTCCGTGCATTGTGTGAGACTTCATGGGAAGAGATCGTTTCTTCTGCTCATATGGAACATCCTCGTATGTACAGTCTTCAAAAACTAGTTGAAATATCATACTACAACATGAATCGTATTCGTATGGAATGGTCTAATATCTGGGCTCTCCTTGGTGAATACTACAATAAGGTAGGCTGTCAATCCAATTTCAATGTTGCCTTTTTTGCCTTGGACTCTTTGCGTCAATTGGCTATGAAATTCTTGGAAAAAGAAGAACTGCCTCATTTCAAGTTCCAAAAGGACTTTTTGATGCCTTTTCGACAAGTTCTTGCCAATAATACAGATGTGGCTATCAAAGACATGGTATTGCGCTGTTTATCACAAATGATTCAAGCAAGATCACATCATTTAAGATCCGGCTGGAAGACCATGCTGTCCGTGTTTGCTACAGGTGCTTGTGAGGTCTCTGAATCCATTGTCCATATGACATTTGATATCGTACGCAGTGTGACAAACGAACGCTTTGGTGATATTGTAGCCAACGGTACCTTCCCTGACTATATCTCTTGCCTTGTCGAATTCTCCAAGAACCAAAAGTTCCAAAAGATCAGTCTTCCCGCACTCGATATGATCAAAGGCACCATTCCCAAAATGCTGGGGATTGCCAACACACCTCTGGAAATCAATGATGTCCATGCATCCACAACGTCTACTGTACAGGCTTCAGGGGATGATTTCCTAATCAAATTTTGGTTTGCTGTTCTTTATGGACTTAAGGAAATCGTGATGCAGAGTGATGATGTGGAAGTGCGTAAACGTGCCCTTGTCTATCTGTTTGAGACGTTAAAGAAGCATGGTAGTTCGTTTACACCCGAGTTTTGGACAACTATCTCTCGTCAGATTGTGTTTCCCTTGTTTGATGATCTCAAGAGTGGTGGCGCTAGACGCAAAATGACACCAGAAGACTTGAGTGTGTGGTTATCCACCACGATGATTGAAGCTCTGCGCAATGTGGTGGATCTATATACCTTTTATTTTGATAACATGAAGGATATGATGGAACATGTATTAGGTTTATTTGCTGTCTGTATCACACAAGGTAAATAACAAAAAAAAGCGATCGTTTGTTCATTTTCAATAGACAATGATACACTTGCACATATTGGCTGTGAATGCCTTGACCAATACATTGAAGCCAATGTTGAAAAGTTTGATCCTAGTTGTTGGAATTTAGTGACCGAAACATTCACAAGTCTGTTTGAAAAGACAACAGCCAATGGCTTATTTGACGATACAGCAGACTTGGTTGAAAGAGTGAAGGATTTATCTGATCAACAGTCACCCGCTGATATTGAGATCAGTGAAGAACGTCAACGCAATTTCCAACAAGTGATCATCAAATGTGTCTTACAACTCATGTTGATTCAGACTGTCAATGATTTGTTAGCAAAAGACCCTGTCTATTTTGCTTATCCAGCTTCTCATCTAATGGTCTTGATGGGCTGTCTTGGTCGATCTTTCCATTTTGCCAAGAAGTTCAATGTGGACAATGACCTTAGAATGGCCTTGTTTCGATTTGGATTTATGAAGCAATTGCCTAACCTGCTAAAACAAGAAACCTCCAGTGGTGGTTGCTATGTCTCTGTCTTGATGCGTATGTATGCCAACCTGGAAAACATCAATGACCGAGACGATAAACGAGAAGAAATCGAAAAGATATTGATACCTCTCTGTAATGAGATCTTCACGCTCTATGCTGAACTAGATCAAGAAACAAAGCCCAAGAATATTGCTGCATGGACACCTGTTGTAGTGAATATCTTGAATGGTCTATCTCAACTACAGGATGAAGATTTCTTAAGACATGTACCTCGATTCTATCTTCCTTCTGTTGAACTATTGGGGCAAGAAAGTTTGTTGCCTGAAATTCGTATTGCCTTGAGAACCTTATTAATTCGAGTGGGTTCTACCTATCATATTACAGCCTAATTAAAAAATAAATAAAAAAGGGAGAAAAAGGGTTTTCTCTTAGTTGGTGTGTGTAAAAGATCGGACAATTTGTCCATTTTAGTGTGTGAAATAATTTTCCTATTAGGAATAAATTCTCCTTTATAGCATTACATGTATACCGAATTTTCCCAGCTTATAGTGTGTGTATTTATGTATCATTTTAGATTTTATTTAGATTTTTTATTTCTCTTTTTCTCTCTTCGTTCTTATTAAACATGTCAGAACAATCACTTTCTACTATTAATCACCACTCTCAAACAATCACTAAAAAGAAGACGAGTAAAACAACACACGTACCTACTGCTTGTGTAAGGACCAAACTAAAAAAAAAAAAAAAAAAAAAAAAAAGAGAAATTACTGACATTTATGATGATGATAGATCAACTGTAAAAAGGCACATTTAGCTTGTGATTGTAAGTATAACAAAGAAAGGAGGAACACAGGAAATTGACAAGATTATTGTCTAGTATCGCGACCTTGCAAAAGATGTTCTACATTAGGAAAATCAGATACATGCATTGACATCAAACATAAAAAGCGAGGTAGACCGAAATTGAACGCCATCAAAAAGCACACCCCTACGCCTTCACAACCACCAAAACAGACTTCATTTGTATCTGTACAAGCACCTGCCTTATTGCCCTTAAATACCTCTATCCATAGTTCATTTAAAATGACATCTTTTCGAGAACAAAAACGAGAGGAAAATAGATTACCCCCCGAAATGATGACGGTAAGACTTTCTTTCTTATAAGGCAGAAAATACTAAACGATCTACCAGATGTTTCTTTCCATGGATCTATGCTGTGCTCGAGCATCAGACGAGTCTGTCAAGTTCTTTCATATGGACCCTACTACACTAGGACATCGTTCATTGTATGACCTGATCCATCCAGACTCCTCCGAGACTCTATCTCGATTACATCGTATTCTTCTAGACAATTGCCATCATCATGTCACACAGCCCATCTCATTCACGCCTGCCAGCTCCGACGCGTTCCTTACCACATCACCTGCCCAACTCTTATCAATAGCAAATGGATCTCAAACACTAGTTGAGTCACTACGTTTCAAATCATCCACATTTGAATGTAAATTCTATATGGGAGGGGGCCTTGGAGGAGACTTGTTTAAGCCTTGTTCACTGAACCAACTCTATATTGTCTGCCTTATTTCTTACAGTCCCCATTCATATCCCGATATTATTGACACTATTCTCAACAAAGACCCCATATTGGATTCAAATTTCATGTTAAACAACAATATGGATCTAGTGAACCAGTTATATGAGGTGATCATGTCACCTTCTTCCTCTTCTTCTTCTGTGACCGAACATAGCCCTAAATACCATAGTGATGATGAAGAAAAGATGGTACCACAAGAACAGGGATTTTCTTGTTTGTTAGACGATTTTCTCCATTCTCCAGAACATCAAAAATTGAATGCGGCACCAATAGGAGACCTTGTACATGATTTTCTGAATGATAACGTAAGCAGCACACTCTATTCATTTCATGGGAAAAACTAATATGGTTTATTTCTAGCCTACTTATTGGTTGGGATAAAATCTTTTTTTGTAGTCATCTTGATTCTCACCACATTGTACCATATATGACAAGAAAACCTTGGCTAATATTTATTCCAAATATTCTTTTAATAAATACACTCTACACTCTATTAAAAAAAATTGTTACCAAAAATCAAATGCTAGAAATTAAGCAGAGCATGAGATACATAAGTATTATTTACATTGTTACTCACATTAAATTATAAGGAAAAGCAGAGAATAGAAGGGAGATAGATTAGTAACAGATATGAACCAGTATATGATTGATCGACCAATACTAAGCTGTGATTGATGCAAATAATGGCTACATCAAATATCATTTTTGTTAAGTAAATAGCCTAAGCCTTTATTCTACAAGGTCTACAGTATTGATCTATTATACTTTAGGTAATTTGTTCAAGGATGGAAATCATGCAATTTTTGTTTGATTTCGAAATATCCGTATGATTCTATAAGTTTCTTAAAGTAGAAAAACATGTATTTTTTTTTTTTAGCTTTAAATGAACGAAACACTCTTTCAACAAGTACGCGACTTTCTTGACCCTATTTATGCAAATAAACCCTCTTTTTCTAATCGTCCTTTTGTCACACTCACTTTTGCTCAAAGTCTCGATGGCAAAATAGCCAAACAGAATCAACAAGTCTTGATCAGTGGCAAGGAAAGTATGGCTATGACTCACTATCTACGCACTCTACATGATGGTATTCTGATAGGCATTGGTACTGCTCTTGTAGACAATCCACAGCTAAATGGTAATATTGATATAAATATTCTATTTATTGACATAAGTAAGCGCGTTATGTATCTTGTACAAAACGTCAACCACAACCTATTGTACTTGACCCCTTTCTCAAGTTAGAATTAGATTGTAAACTAGTTACAAACTATCAACAAGGCATTGGTAAACAGCCTTGGTTAATTGTGTCTGAAAAGGGCTGTCAAGCATCTCCAGAAAAGAAAGTAAAACTTGAGAATGCAGGTGTCAAATTAGTTTGTGTTCCTACAAGGACTGGTAAGCCATATATATGAGAGTGCTTGGTTGCTCATAATTGTTATAGACCGCATTCCTTTGGAGCATGTATTAGAAGTGTTAAAACAAGAAGGTATTCATACATTAATGATTGAAGGAGGATCAAGAATTATTCAGTCTTGTTTAAAAAACGAATGGGATCAGTTGATAGTGACAATAGGGCCTATGTTTATAGGATCAAATGGAGTGTCTGCTATTACTGATAATGACATGGTTCAGTTAGATCATGTTCAATATCAAACGATGGGCAAAGATATTGTTATGACAGCGACGAAATAAAGGGTTTATTCATAATTAAACAGCAGCTACTGCTCTTTTAGGATTAGTTCTTCTCGTGGTTCTTTGAACAGGGACTTTCTTTTCAATGGATTTCTTTGTTGTGGCTACTTTCTTTGTTGAAGGTTTATTTTCAGTGGTCTTTTTGTTAGCAGGTTTCTTTTCAGTAGATTTCTTTTCAACTGGCTTTTTTTCTGTGGTCTTCTTTTCAATAGCCTTCTTTTCAATAGCCTTCTTGTCAGTAGCCTTCTTTTCAACTGGCTTTTTTTCTGTGGTCTTCTTTTCAACAGGCTTCTTTTCAATAGCCTTCTTTTCAATAGCCTTCTTGTCAGTCGTTTTTTTGTCAATAGTCTTCTCTTTAATAGGCTTCTTGTCGGTAGTTTTCTTGTCAGCAGACTTTTTCTTGTCAGTAGAAACATGAGATGCCTTCTTTTCAATTTTGCCAAGCTTAATCGTTCCAGAAATTCCTTTTGGAAGCGTAAAGACATTCTTGGTAACTCCTCGACGAATAGCATGATTGATTTGTTGATCAAAATGGGCTCCAGGAGTCACATTATAATTAGCAAGAATGTACTTTTTTACAGCAGGACGAGAACTCCCTTTACGTTCCTTTAAATGAGAAATGGCAGCAATAATCATTGTCTCATACTGTTCATAGTCATGAGTATCTGTTAAATAACAGACTATAACTTACCGAAGGGTGCATAGTGTCTTTTTTAGTCATGATATGGGATAAAAAATAAGAAAGAAGAGAAAAAGAAAAAAAATATAGCGTGAGTGTGAGTATTTCATTTCTTTATTCTTGTCTTGAATAAACCAATCAAATACATTTCTCATGCAAAAGCAATAGCAATCATGCATCCTATTTGATTTAGTCACTATTACAATGACACTTGTTTACCTGTCATGATTTTCTCTATCCAAAGAGAGACAGCAGCATTGGTTTGTACTTGAAACAAGACTTGTGGTCCTGAAGCTGTCTGGATACGAAAGACATTGGATCGTTTTGTATAGTCATCTGCATGATCTACTTTGGCATAAGCAAGCGATAAATCAAGCAAGCGAGTATAGGTGATGGATTGTTGGTAATAAGCTGTTAAGGTAGGAAGGTAATGATATCGACCATTGTTATCTTTTTGTTCATAGAGTCGTAACATGGTACCTTTCAGTTCCATATAGACATCTCTAAATAAATATACATATATAAGATCAATCAGGCATATCCATCATGCAAGCGTACCTCCAGGGACGTCGCCTTGTTCTTTTACCAGGTGACTGGTATTCAATTTTGGCCTTAGCTTTCCCTAATTTATGCAGTGTACAGGAATACGTGGGCAACACTTCTTCTTCCAAAGCATGGTAAGAATACCTTCGTTTCTTGTCTATTTCTTCTGCAGGCGATGAATAGGCAGGTAAAGAAAGTCGTCTGGGTTGAGCTTCTAGAGGACGAGCAATAGAATTAGGCCATTCTACTTCTTCTTCGCTAGGATAATCAATTTCCTCGTCCGTAGTAAATATACTACTGTCAATGGAAGATCGTCGTATGGACTGTGCAGTAGAACATAATTTTTGGCAGTCTTTTTGTTTTCGAATACCAAACTTCTGGAAGTCTTTTTCGTCCGTCATCTGCATAAACTGGCTCAAATCAATTCCTTTTAGATGGGAACTGTATTTAACGAGTTCAAGTTGATTCAATACATCCTCTATCAAGTCATTAGAGTGTATATTCATAGTGTGTCTATATCTTACGTGTTGTAGAAATAGGATCATTGTTGGCATCTTGAACAATAATAATAGGTAGGTTATCTCTGTACATATTCATTATATGAATAAATAAAGAGAAAGAAAAAAAAAAACTGGAGATCGACTATGCCACTTTGAAATTCATGCATCGATAAGCAAAGCAAGTTTCGATCTGCCTTGTCTGATTGGCTGATTTCAATCATCATAGAAGGCATAGAAAACACATTGCCGCAAAGAGTAAACAACGCATGATTTCATTATCAGCTCTATTTCATTCTGCGATATGGTGCTATAGACTGTTGATTGCAAGTATTCTTTAAACTGTCATTTGATAATAAAAAAAAAGAATAATCTGAAACACATGAATCTTAGCTTAAATCACCGTCTGTGCCTAACATCCGTTTCAGCTTTTTTATATGTGTTTATAAAAACATCGTCCTTTCTGTTCTTTATGGTGTAACACCAATTACTGTGTGTGATCGTATCGTCATCTTCACAGAACAACTCTATATAACAGCAGTAATTCTAAGGCTGTGTTTCAAAATAAAATAAAAACAGGTACAACAATCTTTTTTTTCAGTTTTTTTCTTCTTATTTCTTTTTATTCTTGTTTAGGAACATGTCTCAACAAGAAAATTCAAAGCCTGAAGAACAAATGATCAAAGATGATAATGCATTAAAAAAGAAAAGCACTACAGGTGCACCCAAAAGACAAAAGATTGTCAAGGCTTGTAAAGACTGTCGAAGAAGAAAGGTAAGAAGATAAAGACAAGTCATGAACTTATTCATAACTAGGTCAAATGTGATGGTGGATCACCTTGCAGTACTTGCAGAAGATCATCTATTCAATGTGTATTTGAGACAACTTCACCTAAACGAGGCGCAACAAAGCATTATATTGAGTCACTAGAGAACCGCATCCATGTGATCGAAAGGGCCTTAAACTCACTCGGGGCCCAACAATGCAACTAGTGGAAGAAGCTATGCGCAAACAACAGCTTTTAGATGACCAACAAGAACAAAAAAAGATGTTTTGCAAACAATAGAAGACCGATTTTTGATAAACGAACTAGGCAGCCCCAACTACATGCAGTTTGCCATGGATTCCACTCGATACACTGCTGAATCTACTGCCAGTAGTTCATCACCCAAGAGCACAATCAGTAATTACTCAACATCCACAATGGAGATTGAAAGCTATCTTCAGTTCTATCTTGTTCAAATCCAGCCTTTTTTTCCACTGTTTGTACCTTCTTACTTTAATAGACAATATGCCATGCATGAATTACCCAGGATTCTTGTCTATGCTGTCTGTATGCTAGCTGCTCATTTTCAATATCCAAGTGGTGAAGATGAAAATTACTATTATCAGAAAGTCATGATGATGTTGGATGAAGCTGTAGGCAGACCTTCGATTGGACTTGTCCAGACCTTGTTGTTATTGATCAAATATATGGAATGCAAGAACAACTTTATGTTTTTCGAGAAATCTAAAAGTTTAATGGCAAGGACAATTGAAGTGTGTAAAATACTTCAATTGCATACTTTTCAACCCGATACACCTGATGCTGCTGAAACCAAGAAACGTACCTTTTGTATGGTATTTGCCTGTAATACCCTTTTATGGTAAATCATAAACAATGAGACAGAAGGAATTTTTTTTTTTTTTTTTTTTTTACTTACTCACACCACACATACAGTGTTGAACAAGGCATTGAATCTGATTTCATGAGTCACATGTATATCAAGGAACCCGCTTTGTTGCTTCCTTCGCCTTCTAGTACAGATGATATGATTGAAGGTCAACGTTTTATTATCTCCTTCTCATTCACATTATCTCAAATTCACCAACACATCTTGCGTGTCACAAAACGGCAAGAAACACAACAACATACACGCAATGATTCACAAATCATTCAAGAGAATATGGCACTGTTACACTTACAAGCCATGCTTGACAATGATTTTATGCATTTACCTTCTCACCTTGCTTACTCACGCCATAACTCTTCCTGGCCTTTCCCTGCAGCTGAAGAAGACACAACTGTAAATATACCGCCCATGACGAGACTTGTCCACATGTTGTACCACTTGAATATCATTGTATTACATTATCATTATATGATGCATCCTTTACCACAAGGATCAAATGGCGACATCAAGTCATACCCTCATCGACACATGTGTATCTCCGCTGCTTCTATGATGACTCGCTTAGTAGAAGGGCTCTTGCTGGATCCTGTCCAGTCGTTTCGATATGCACCAAGGGGTGTCCAGTTTGTTGCTCACTGTATGACTTCTGCATTGACTGTATTGCGAGTCGAGAGTATGAATCAAGACACAATGACGGTCAACAAAGTTTGCTTTGATGAATATCAACGATGCGCTCAGTTGGCGCAACGTGTGGCGTCTGTTTCTCCATCATTTGAAATGCGATCTTATGTCAATGATAATGCAAGCACTAATTCTTCAGTGGGCACTTCACCTTCGCCTATTCTTCAACAACATACGAAGCGAAGAAACACGATTTCTGAGCAAACACCTTCTTTTCCAAGAACAGTGAATTATCCTATGGTTGTGCCACAATCTTTATTGCAGTCTTCAAGTACAGATATCTTTCATCTTCAGCCACCGCCTTATCCCCAATATCATCAGCCGTTATCCAATGGTCATGCTGCACCACTTCATATTCAGAACAATAACAACAACAATAGTCTTCGTAAACTCAGAGGATCAACACAGTCTTGTCAAGATTTAAGGTCCATGAATCGACTCCATATGAGCCATACAGGCTTCCATCGAGGTTCAAGTAACAAGTCAGTGGTATCCACTGGTAGTACCAGTTCAAACACAACTACACCTTATCGACACTATCCACCCTATCCAGTCAATGACGCTGTGATTCCAGTCACTTCCCAATCTTCAGGGAAAATACGCCGTATTAAAAAGAGCATGTCTACGCATGGCCTATCTACAAATTACCGACAACAACAACAACAACAACAACAACAACAATCAGTTCCAATGCTTTATACCCAACAACCTTTATTGAACAATACTTCTTCATTCCTTCATCGACCTTATCAACCTACATTTGATGATGATATCAAACTCACTCCTTCCACATCTGCAATGAACCCCATACACACAGTCATGATGGATGACTTGAGTATGAATATGGATTTTGACTTTTTATATGGCTCGAATGATCATTATGGACAAAGATCCGAGGGTCATCAATTATTGTAATCAATTTTTATAGGCTCATTTTTATTACGTAATCATTAATAAACTTGTTATTTCTTCACTTTTTTTGGACTATAAAACACGATATCAATTGGGTTGAATAGGCGGCCTGTGGCGAGTTCGTAAAATGGATACAAGGTCATCTAAAACTCTACCTTTTTCACCCACAACAAATTTTCCAGTACCTTGAGGTTGTGATGATGACGTAGTAGAAGTTGTTTGTTGTTGTTGTTGTTGTGGATGTGGTGCAATAGGTGTATAAGTTGAATTAGGTGTATGTGCAGGTGATAATTGTGTTGGTGGTGGTGGTGACGATGATGATGATGTATAAGCAGGCTCACGGTTATTGATATAGTCCAATTTGAGACTTTTTCTATGATTGTTGTACATGCTATTTTCTTCTTCTAGAACTTGTATCTTTCGTTTTAAATGTTCATTTTCGACTTCCAGTGCCTCCATACGAGCAGGCCAGTCCGCCATAGCGTTGACTCTAGCTTCCAGTTCTTTGACGTACCTTTCCTTTCTTTGTCGAAAGGCTCGTTGTGCTGCTCTGTTTTGTTCTGCTCTTCTGGATTCAATCACCGTTTTCTTTGTAGAGGGTGAAGGAGAACGCGAACGAATAGCCTTAAGTTTAGGTACATCGTTCTTTTCTGTTTGTGTGAGTGGTTGTTCTTGTTGTTGTTGTTCTGTTTGTGATGGAGGAGGACTTGACATAACGAAAAAAGATGGAAGAGGAGGAAAAAAAAGAGATGGAGAAAGATTTTTTTTATACGCCGGTTCACACGAGAGTAATTGCACTTACTTACGTAATACATATTTTTGGTGAGCCAGATTAGATATAGCCTCTTTTGTGTATACTTTTCTACTACATAATACTCATACATTAGGCATGAAAAATGGGTTGCATTGCATAAACAACCTTATCATGGATACCAAACAGTACTGTCTCTAGGCAACGATAAAGCGTTGCTATGGTTATTTAAACTCAATTTGGGCAATTTTCAATTACAGCAACTTCATTTTTAATTCACCTTAAAATGATCATATCAGTGTGTTAGCCGACATTATTAAACTAGAGAGAGTCATAAACAAGAAGCACACAGTGATAAAGGACCATACACATCTAGATCTTGAAACCGTTAGGATACTTCAAAGTACATGAATAAACACGGACTGCCTCTTGACTAGTATTATAAATAGAGCCTTTGCACTTTGTGAAAAACTAAATGCTAGAAATTAAGCAGAGCATGAGATACATAAGTATTATTTACATTGTTACTCACATTAAATTATAAGGAAAAGCAGAGAATAGAAGGGAGATAGATTAGTAACAGATATGAACCAGTATATGATTGATCGACCAATACTAAGCTGTGATTGATGCAAATAATGGCTACATCAAATATCATTTTTGTTAAGTAAATAGCCTAAGCCTTTATTCTACAAGGTCTACAGTATTGATCTATTATACTTTAGGTAATTTGTTCAAGGATGGAAATCATGCAATTTTTGTTTGATTCTGTGTGGCTGTATAAAAAAAAAAGGGGTAGGGGGAGGGTAATGTAAAAATAGCTGGGATTAAATGCTTATTTACTTTTTGTCTTTTAGACATGTATTTTTTGCGCCTTTTCTTACTTGACAAAAACAAAGTCGATATCTCACAATGCTAGTAGCCAGATTCGGCCTTCCATTCAAATTAAAGCAACCATTCAAAACAATTTAGAAAAAGTATCACTTGTATTCAACTGCACAAGAAATTAAAAAAAAAAAGCTACTCCTGTCAAGGAAGAAGAAATCATATTTGGTAATTGGTTACAAACTGTATAAACTTTAAGCTCTTTATTAGCAAATCTACCTTAGGCGAAGCGGAAAAAACGATTTTAACTTCATTAGAGAATTATCAGTCTTACATCAAAACATTGAAAAATGAAGGCTACAATAGTATCAGATATTTCAGAAAAGCGATATACATTAAGAACCTTCTGATCTCTTGAATTTAATTCAGAAACAGAAATATATGCAATGTAAAGCATAGACGCTATTACTTAAAATTCAAATTCATTTTGATCTATGGCGATATCAAGAACATGACTAGCTGCAATTTTAAATTTGAGGGTACCCATACTTATTGTCAAACTCCAAGGCTTCATTTGTCCGGAGACGAAAACAAAGTCTTATGTGAAAGGTTAACGGAAATAAGTTCAGACCCCAAGAATTTTTCCGTTGGTGTAATGTCTCGTCCAGGAGATTTTGTTGAAACCACCAAGGACATAAGCCCTATAATGAGAAATCAAGACAGAGCAAAGTATGAGCTTAATGCTGCCAAAGCTTTTTTGGGCAACCCAAAGAGCTGTAATTTTTTAAGGGAGTTAGGACATACCCCGCATATGTCCAGTCATCAGAACAAATAAAATGTAGGTTCTTCCTGGCACCCGGATAACAAGGTATTGATCCATCAAAATACTTCTGAGCGTGTGGTGCATGTCTGCTTTAAAGAGATTAAGCCTGTTTCTTGCACAAGTCAAGCAAGCCTTGATAAGGACTTGGTGAAGATGGCTTTGTACGCCAAAAAAAAAAAAACGCTTGAAAATAGAAAGTTTGATTTTTTGCTTTCATTTGTTGTTAAGCAAAATAGTGTGTCTGCGTATCTTGCTGAAGGTTTTAACTACCTTGGTGGAAATTGAAAGTTTCCCTATCCCCACCACTATCATCCTCACCAAACTTCTTCGTCTTTCTGACAGCATGGAAGCAGTTGTTTCCAATTTGTTACCAGAAATCTTAAGAAATGATTTGTTTTAAATACGTCTTTTATCTATAATTCAATGATACACATGTTATTATTAAATACTTTTCTATATATCCTCTAGTGCTAGTAACGGTTTTGAACTTCTAAATCGGAGATCTAATATCGAAAATGATTTCTGACATAGCACAAGAATCGTCAACATAAGTTAGTTTCCTTTTTTCTTCTTTTTTATTGTGACAAAAAAATGCACTGTACTCCTTTAGAAAGGCCTATTCAAGAGAAAGAGGTCATAAAACTCTATGTAACCAAACGTTCTTTTGTCTTGAAAAAAGACAAACATATGCTAGAGATTCCTTTTGATGAACAACCCATGACACGCATAGGTAAAGTAGTATTCTATCCAATTCACTGTATGACTGAGGTCTGGTTTTTAGATACATTGGATCCTAAAGAAGTTATTCAAAAGTATGATATTTATGGTGTTTTGGGATTTATAGAAGCATTTAAAGGTAACATGATGCTGTATAAAACACAATTTGACTTGATGTTGAATAGCAAAGTACATGATTGTCATTTCTTCTGTACAGCTGCGTGGTCATTTAATGGGTCATTCAGTCTATGTCATTGACGGTGTAAGCTGTCTGAGTTTTGATGCATCGAAAGCATGTCAACAACTGGATTTAAAAGTATTTTATTTTTATGCATCCTCAGCCAAATTTATGCTTCTATGTATAGGCTATTGAGGAAGAAGAAGAAGAGCAAAAACAACAACAACAACAAGAACAAAAGCAAGAACAAAGACCTGTTCAATTGACCCATTCAAACTCATTTATGCATCGTATCAAAAAGACATTTTCTTCGAAAAACAAAGGTTTAGAACAAGACATTTTATTTGAACATCAGCAACAACACCAACAAGAAGAATTAGTGTCTGTTATGAAGCAAGAGGATTTACTTGTACCTACTCAACTATCAGGCATCTCTGTGTCTTCTACTGCTTCTTCTGTACATGAAGAAGATGATGAAGAAGGAGAGATGGATGTAGAAGATGATGCATTAGAACAACGCTTGTTGAGACAAGTTACTGAAATGTTCAGTAAATCCATGTTTCTTTATTCAAATACATGTGGTAAATAACAAGCTAAAATAGAGCACACTTATAGAAACTTTCTATAGATATCACGAATAGTTTTCAAAGATCGTATGAGAAGTGCAAGCAAGACAATTCAGACTATGATAACCCACAAGTGCCACTCTCAAAAAAAGTAGATAGACGCTTTTGGTGGAATGAGCATCTTTCTCGAGACTTTTTAACTCAACAGGTAAGTAGAACATTTAGCATGGTAAGATATTCAACCCAATGACAGATGGATGAATGGGTTTTGCCTGTTATGCAAGGCACACTTCAAGTAGAGCCATGCCAAATTGAAGGCTATGCATTTGATTTTGTATTAATATCAAGAAGAAGTAGAGAAAGAGCAGGCATGCGATATCAAAGAAGAGGTGTGAATGAAGATGGCCAAGTAGCCAATTTTGTAGAAACAGAGCAATGTATTCTGTTCAAAGTAAGTGACATGGTATGTATCTATACAAGGGGTCTTATTCTCTTCTTTAGAAAGATGATACAAGCCATGTTGCTTCGTTTATTCAAACACGGGGATCCAGTAAGAAACTATATCAAATCAACATCCATTGGCTCATATCGTTATTTATTTAGTTCCTGTCTTTTGGAGTCAATCTCCTTATAGTTTACATCCTGTACCTGCATTAGATCGTTCTGAACAAGAAAACAACAAGGCATTTCATAAGCATTTTGAGACCCAAGAGAAATATTATGGAAAGCAAATTGTGGTTAATTTGACAGAATTAGTGGGAAGAGAAGCCATTGTTGGATCTGAATATCGTAAACATGTTGAAGAACTGGCTGATCCAAACATAAAGCAAGTACAATAGTCATAATGCAAACTAACATTTTAACATAGATATGTTGAGTTTGATTTCCATAAAGAAACAAAAGGCATGAAGTTTGAAAATATAAGTAGATTAAGCAAGAGTCTGCATGATGATTTATCCAAAATACAGTAAGCATTTTATTAAAAAGAAAAAGGAGTGTATTGACTTGGAATACAGGTATTTTTGGGAAACTGATTTGAATAAAGATCAGACCACAACAGTTTATTGCAAACAAACAGGCGTCTTTAGAACTGTAAGTAAATCTAGTGTATATCCTTAAATGTTGAATTGTACATTAGAACTGTATGGATTGTTTGGATCGTACGAATGTTGTCCAGGTAAAAAATACAGGTAGTTTCTTTAGATTAACAATAGATAGAGTGCATTTGGAAGAAGTGTACTCAATTTACAATTAATGCGATTTGGCATTTCCGAATATCCAGAACAAGGCATCAAGTACTATGATGAATTTGAGCGCATTTTTAACAATGGTACGCTTATAGCATGAGTTGTTCTGTGATTTACTTATCTGTCTTAGTCTGGGCAAATAATGGAGATATGATTTCAAGAATGTATGCAGGCACAAGTGCTTTAAAAGGAGATTTCACTAGGTAAAATGACTTGACTTCTTCAAGACTGTCTTATTCGATTGATAGAACCGGCAAGAGAAACATTACTGGCATGATGAACGATGCTTCCAATTCACTTGCAAGGATGTATTTTAATACGATCAAAGACTTCTGGAGACAGGCTACTGTAGATTATATTCTTGGTTATCATAAGGCAGAGATCTTTCGACATGTACCTCAGAGTACGAAAATGTCTGCAGAACCAGGCATTGAACGACGATGGGCAAAGATTCGATCCAATGCAAGTAAAGTATCTGTTAAATATTATTATTGATAAGTGTAACTCATGATAATAATAGTCAATATTAGTAGTGAAATTGTCATTGCTGATGATGAGACAAGAATGGCAGGTTGGACACTTTTATCACCCAGCGATACATCCAATGCAAGGTAACTAACATCAGGCAAGACAATGCACTCAATGTGACATAATAGAAAATTTGAGGAAAAAGTGGTTCTCTTGACTGAAAAAGCACTGTATGTCTGTAGTTATAACTATGGACTTGAAAAAGTGATTCAATTCAAACGATTGGCATTAGAGACTATTCTTTCTATTCAGATGGGTGAGTATATCTTATCTTCACTCACACCTGCTTCTCGATCAGAAGATCAAAACTATGGTATGATATTAAGGCATTTAACTGATGGTGAACTTGTACGTTGGAATACGGGTAGTATCCATAATCAAAGCTTAGGAGATATCAATATTGAAAAAGAACCTGGTACGATTGAAGAAGAAGAAGAAGAAGAAGCTATGGCTACACTAGAAGAAGACGATTATATTGTCTTTAAAGCTGTTCGTTATAATGTCTTGGGTGAATTAGATGGCGAGGTCGAGACATGCAAACAGCAAATTATAGAGATGGTCAAGGAGATTGCCAAAGCAACAGGCCATTCGCCTGAAGACAATGAATTTATTATCCAGAAGCCCATCATTAGTTTAGAACAAGCACAAAAGACAGACGGTATCTTTAAAAAGATGGGTTATAGACTTAAACAAGCTATTTGGATTTAAATTAAACAGAAGAAGCCTTTGAGAAATGATTGTCTATTAATTGATTGTATCTAACAGGTTGTTCGCCTGGCAAACCATGGCCACTGCCTTCGAATATTTCTAGTGGACAACCCAAGACTCGACTGAGATGATGTGAGTTCTTTGGGTTGACTAGATTATCCCATGTGCCTGTGACAACTAAGACAGGAATACCTGATTCTTTGATTTTCAATAATCGTTGATCTGAGACATAATGACGAAGACAAGCAGCTGTTTGGCCAATGTTACCAGCCAATGTTTGGGGACGAGAACGGTCTAAACGAGCCAAGAAAAGAGAAACAGACATGTCTCTGTTCGTTTCGAATTGAACCATGTCAGGCTCAGTAGGCTTATCATCTAACCATTCAGCTGGGTACACAAGTTCAAGTGCTGTACCGATTTTAAGCTTAGGATCTGAGATGGTCATGAGTCTAGTCAGTGTCGTTACTGCTTTCCACTATAAAAAGTTAAAGGTCATTCTGTTAGGGCATCATATGACTTACAGGTGGAATTTGTCTGCCAGAAGTAGTGCTTGTAAGTACAAGTGAAGCAACTCTTTCAGGCCAAGTAGTGGCAAGCTCAAGTGCAATCATGCCACCCATGGACACACCATCTACATGCACCTTATCTTTCCAATCCAAGTGGTCTAATAGATCAATCACATCATGAGCCATTTGAGAGGTACTATATTATGTTTAGAGCAATGTGGGTTTTGTACTCTCTAGTTACCTATAAAGGCCACTGGGTGTGTCTGATAGACCCATACCACGATTCTCAAATATCAATACAGTGTATTTGCCTGTCTCAGCAAGATATTTAGCTTGCTTTTCCCAGCCCAAACAAGAAGTGTTTAAACCTAACATGATTAAAGCAAGATGCATAAACACATAAGAAAAAGTTACCCATGATAAGGACAACATGTTCAGGTCCTTCTCCATGGAGTTCATAATAAAGCTTTACAGGAGGATCTTGTCTTCCTTCAGCTACTTTGGCGTAGCCATTAGACTTCATGGTAGATAATGACATTGTACCAGAATAAAATAAAATAAAATAAAAAAAAAAGAGAGAAACCCCTATTTATTATTACAAATACAGTTTACAACATTTTAGTTTCACTAGCACGCTTGTACTCCAATTTTTCAACCTTGACTTCATCATCAATCAATTTGTAAACATACGTAACAACTTGATTTCCTTGAATATCCATTAAAACAAAAGAAGGTATAGGGTCACTATGTCCTTATGAGTCTATGTTGTCTAAAAATGTACATGTCTTACTTGGCTTCAGGTATAGAAGAATAAGCACCAGTAGCACTGCCTGGGTTGATGAAAAATCGTCCATTATATTCATATGCTTCGAATTTATGTGTGTGTCCAGACAACAACACATCTACTTCCATTTGACGAGCAGTGATATCCAAAGACTCAGCATCACCCCATGGAATTACTTGGTGACCATGAATGATACCAATACGTAAATTGCCTTCTGTCATCACTTTAGCCTGTGGCAAGTTGGCTTCATCAAAATCACCCTTGACAGCTACAATATCACCTGCTATTGTTCTAAGGTACTCAAACGTTTCTTTATCGACCATGTTGCCTGTACACAAGATCTTTTGGATTTTGCCAGGTACCTATAGATTTTATTAGTTTGTGTTTAAGCTCATCTTTTTTTCCTTACCAAAAGCTTTTTAAACTTACTTGGAAGACCATGACTTCTGTGAGGAATATGTAAATCACCAATAGCAAGAACAAGCTAAAGAGATGAACCTAGATGAGTAGACGCGCTTATATAATAAACAGATACTTTACGACCATCGTGTATGTAAAGAGAAAAAAAAAAAAGGATACACATGATGTAATGAAACTCAGGCATTGTTGTGCTTACAAAAGCGTGTCCGAATTGAATTCCAAAGTTTATTTTGCACACATGAAGATCGACTTGTTGTAAATGATTTGCATAGATTAAAAAGAAGATTTTGCATAAATCAAGGATGTTTAAACTCTGAGGGGAGAATGGTATACGTGCCTGTTTATAATAGAAAAAAGAAAAGGAGAGGAAAAGAGGTATTCTTCTCTAGAAAAGATATGAATGACAAAGGTGGTTGCTTGTATAAATCAAATGAGTTCCTTGGAATAAGTTTTAAATCATAAAATCAAAATCAAAATGTTAGCGAGAGTATAACTGACAAAGTTCAAAGTGACAATTGTCCATATGAACAGACTGTGTGTGTAAGGAATATTTGTTTGGGTCGTCGATCATCATGCAACACTTTATGAAGTCATAAAAAACTTTATGTATGCATCGATGCAGAAAACAGTGTGTAAATTTAATAATCCCTTTTAGAATGTATTTTTTTTTTTGATAGCCTTTATTGACTCCTTAATCTACATACGCATAAATACATAAAAAAACTTTTTTTTTCTTTTTTTTTTTGTTCAGTATCTAATCAATCATGAAAGGTTTCTTTGCTCTTTGTATTCTCATTGCTGGCCTATCAAGTACTGCTGCTGTTCCTATGAAATCAACTCACCTTCAACTTGAAAAGCGCTATCTTCTGATTGAAGCTACTAAAAACTCTGAAGGTCAATATGTCTGCCCTGATGGCTATAACAAATTGGATAACAATGAATGTGTCATTAAGTATAGACGAGTCAAGCGCTCTCTCAAACACAACTATAGCGATGCTGAAAATAACGAAGCTGGCTGTTCTAAAGGCTCTTCTTATCGGGAAGGTGCCTGCAAACTGTTGGTAAACATGCGTTCTTCTGTAGATACAATTGAGATCTCTTGTCCTGATGGCTATGTCTATAGCAATGGCCAATGTTCACCTATTAGATAATAGCTAGTATCCATCTTCAATTTATGCTTTGATACTAGTAGACCTAGACATAAAAATCGTTTTTTGTTTAAATAAGTCATTTTCTTTATTTCAGATACTTTTCAGTCTTCGATATGTTTGATTTGTTCACTTCATTCCGAAGATGATAACTATTTGTTGTTTATGTGTCCGCCCAAGGCTTTCTTTTGAACTGATTTTTGAATTCCTGTGGCCAACATTTACAATACAATCATTGGACTTCCATCCTATCAAGTACTATCAAAACAACAATCTCACTGTACAAGATGTGGTGTTTACTGCATTAACGGAAATTTGGAAGGCTCACTGGAGATCTATCTTTGATGATATATCCTTTGATCCTCAAAGACTACTGCAACAAACCCATGTTAATCTTCAGCTACAAGTAGCAGAGAAACACATAAACTCAAGACTCTAACGGATAAGAAGCTAGATGAGTTGAATCATCTAGCTCATACTTAATCTCTTCTATTTCTACATCAATTCTTTTATTTTACTTTTTTTTATTCATATTATAACATTTTGATTTGTGCCCACCTCTTGAAAGTGGTTCACATTTGTCTACGTGGAGCAATAAATAAACCACTAACAAAAAAAAAAAAAAAAAAAAATTGACAACTTTGAGTCTTCTATTTGTTGCTACAAGACGAAAAATAGGGCTATTGACCAGCTCAAATACTCAAAATGTACCCTAAACGCTTTAGTTTTGGGAGAATATGTTTGCTTGTCAATTGTACTATAAAAAATCATGAGATATTAGCGAAAAACCTCTTAAACATTTTTGCCTACTTGCTCAATATTTTAACAGCAACATTGTTGCTTTCTTTATATTAATAGACACAGAAAGCAAAGTTCTACAATTCTTGTCATTATACCAAAGCCCAATAACTACGTCTTTATGCAGTTCTTAGCAAAAGCTTGATTTTTCATGCGATTAGATAAATTGAAACTGCTTTCCATTTTCAATCTTCGCACACTGCCATACAGTATGTCCTTGTCCATTTACCCCCCACATTTGCATTAGGAGAGACCTATTTTTCTGTTCTTTTATGTTTTAGCACTCTATATGACATATGATTCTCTTTGAGCTTATTTGTATCACATTTTGTATGACCTCTAGAGCAAAAATGCTCAAAAAAGCCCAAAACACAACTTTAACACGCCAATCTTTGATAGGCCATTACTCGATAACCACACTATTAAAATAGCTCCTCTTTTCATTTAAAACATTGGGTCCAGAAATCGAATGTTGCCATTGGCATGGCTGTTGGGTAAAATTTATTTTTTGACCGATGGGGGATCCACGGAGGTTCGTGAAGATGAAAAACAAAACTCGATCAGGAAATTTTGGAATGACCCAATGTAGGTCTTATCCAATCAATGTGAGGTGAGATCTTTTCTAGGTACTTTTGAAGAAAATAAAGCGAGTTTACTAAGATGAAAAAAGAAAGTCAATTGAGCAATGCCTTCAAATCTACATTCAAAATTCATTGCATACTGTAAATGGTAGAAAAAATGCTCCTTTCAGTAATTATCACTTAGTAGACTAGTACTTATTTCTACTTCATCTGATGCAAAAAATATAGACGAGTAAGATTTGTTATAATACATGACACTTTGCGGCTAAAGGGAGCAACTTTAAGCATAACTAACGGTAGAGGATAGAAGTAGTGTTCCAGATTTTTTCAATTCCTTCACTAAACTCTTGTAGGTCATTGGAAAATCAAACTAAACAAATTGAACTTCTTATAGCATCCTCTGAATCAGTTCAACTTTTGATCTGTATCATACAAAAGAGAGTGTTGGAATTAATAATAGTATATTATGGTAATAAAGAAGATGGTATCATATGCGCTGAATCCATCCGTCGAACAACATAGCCCTGATGCTGAAGATGTGTACATTCAAACCCACTTGTAGGTGTCTGTAATATATTAAATATATCTCGAATATCGACTGTATCAGCATAGAGTTCATGCATCATACCATGTAATTGAACAAGAGGGTGATAGTTTGGTACTAAGCATAATTTGGCTTGTGCCAATTGATTCAGCTTCATATATGCCACTTGAGCCCTTTCTAATACAATAGATTTCTTGTCCTGCATATGATCAGTAAAACTGACTAGCCTATATCTATACTTACAAGAACATCACCAAAGAGTTTGTTGTGTACAGTATCAGATAATGTAGTTAAAGGTGTCCATCCTTTGTAATAATCAGACAACTGGAAGACTGAATATCACTTACCATTTGTCCAATGTGTGTCCTCTCCAGCCAATATAAAGCCTGAGGGATCGTTTATGGGTTGACCAAACAAGAAATTAGAAAAAAACGAATAATGATGCTCTGCGTCACTTGCAATATGAGATAAATAGGGCTTTGACTTAATTGGACTACCAATTGGACCCATAAAAGATTGTTGGCGAGTAGGTAACACTTGTTGTTCTTCAGTACTCTTCATTCTTTTCTTTTCTTCCTCTTCTTCTTCTTTGCGTTTACGTTCTTTTTCAGCTGCTTTTAATCGTTTCTTTTTTCTTTCTTCTTCTTTCCTTAATCGCTCTTGTTCTTTTCTTGCTCTTTCTTGTTCTTTTTCAGTCTGTTTTGTTCCCTTTTTCTTTCTCTATCTGCTTTGGCTGCTAACTCTTCTTGCTTCTTTTTATTTTCCAACTCAAGTCGTTCTTTTTCTTGCTGTTCTTTCAATTGACTAACACAATGGTCAGTCTCATTACAATCCAATTGCTGTATTTACCGTCTTTTATCTCGCTTCTTTTCCTTGTCTTGTTGCTTTTTCAATTCTCGTTCTTGACGTTGCCGATCTTCTTCTTCCAACTCTTCAATCAGTCGTCTTTGTCTGTCTTGTGCTACTTTCTCTCGGTATGCATTTAGGACACGCTGTTCAAACATTCGAGCAGCAAAGACTTGGAACATCTTTCGACCTTCTTCCATACGTTGTTCTTCTGTTCTTGTGTCCTATCTATGGTTCATTCCTTGTCTATAAGCAAATTGAGCTTACTTGTACTGCCTCTTCTTCTCCTTCTTCTTCAAGATGTTCCTCTTCGTCCTCTTCTGATGATGATGAGGAATCGTTTTCTATTCCTTGTTTCTCTTTAAGCGATTTTCTTTCAGCCAATTCGTCCATCATGTCCAAGAACTTTTTTCCATCATTCTTTAATAAATCATCAGCTACTGTAATAACACTGCCTTGAACAGTCAATGTATTTGAGAATTCATCGGTCTCGATGCTCTTGGTACTATCTGAATGAAAACTAGCAGTATCATCATCAGAGTCTGCTTCTTTTAGTTTCTGTTGACAATACGCATACTGTTCTAAGTCTTTATAGTATGTATTATATAGCACCTCCAGTTCATCTTCAATAGCCGTTCTAACAACATGAGATTGGCAAACTACATGCGTTTTCTTTTACCTCTTTTTACCACAGACAGAACAGTTGCAACTGTGTTTTTGTTGTTCTTTCATTTTACGCAACACGGCTTCTTTTTCTACCTTGACTAATGATCTTCTTTCTCCTTCTGAAAGTTGTAACCAAAATTCTCGGATACGCTGTCGTTCTTCTGTATAGTTTGCGCTGTTCCATACGTCGTGTGTGCGTTCTGTTCTTTTGATAATCGTAATATTGCCTTTTTTCACTACTGTGGCACATGGAGCATGGCGCATCATGAGAGTTGTCAAACAAAAAATAAAATAAAATAAAAAATAAAAAAAATTCGCGATTTATAGGATTCAATTGATATATAGGATTATAAGGAATGCAGCATTTATTCTATTGACAAAGTTATTCAAGGAGGAGGAGGAGGATATGTTGGATAAGACTTTATGCAGCATGAAAAATACGTCACACACTTGAAATGCATAAAAATCAGGCACAAATGATAGTACTTGTTAAGCCACCAAGCCTAACAGATCTATCTATCTCAGAAACAGTTGTTTATGCGCATTATTATTGTGACTCTTTTTCTTTTGTAAGCATACTTTATTAGAATCAACAGTCAGATAATACATGCTCACTGATAGTTCCTGCTAAACAGACAATCATCTTGATCTCTGTAGACCTCAAGACAAATTCAATAGTGACATCCATACGTGTTCCAGGTTTAACATCTGGTAAAAGGGGCATTTTGATAGGAATCTCTGCTAATTTGGTCACAGCATGATCTGTAATGTGTCGAGGAATATCATCTTGATCAGTCACATATAAATCAGCTAAAAGACACAGAATGAGATATGAAATAACCATGCAATGTATACCTTCTGTATGCTTGGGATACTCTATCCAGTAAGACCGTTTGATTTTTTCATCTGGTGTCATACGCTGTCCTTTGTGGGCAATCACATCAAACCGAGTTGAACATCGTTTAATACCATCTTTTGTCACAATGGCACTTGATTCTGGATCAAGTCCTTCTTCAAAAGGAAGTCTTGATTTTACACCATAAGTGCGTCGAAGCAATTTACTCCTGACCATATCTGGCTTCAGTAAATGGTAGACAGCCCCATGAGCCACGGCTAATTCACCCCGAGGAGGCATAGCAATCTCGCCTACTTGGTCTGGATCTAACTTGGCCTTCAGAATATCATAAAGATACTCAGAACAACCAAACCCTCCAACCAAGAAAATGGCACTCACATAACTATCTGCTTCTCTCAATTGTTCATTGACCAGGCTGACAACTCTTTCTAGGACAGGGTTAAATACCTTTAGATTGAGTTCATCAAGACCAAAAATCATATGGTTATCCTATACAAGTTAAAGCCAAAAAAAAAAAGAACCTAACATCCTATATGGATTATCATACATTATCCAAATAATGCGAATGAACATATTGCAAAGCGCCTGCTGGTACTGGTATTCTATATTCTAATTCATCTCCTCGAAAGTCAGGCTAATCAAAGTAAGTTTCAGCATATCATCATCATCACCTGCCTTGATTCTCTCAACAAATGTGTCCATGATCATTTCAAACATGCAACTGGGCATAGCTGGGTTACTCATTTTTGATTCAATTAGTCCTCGCATGTTTTGGTCAATAAATGCACTTCCACACATGCCGCCATGGCCTCTTGTCACTTCTCGAAGTTTTCTTGGTGGTGTTGCATCCTCAATTAAACTGATACACCATCAGTTCAAGTAGACAATGCCAACTCTCTTTCTTAACTTACTAAGTAATCAAATCCACTGTGCCTCCACCTGCATCCACAATCATAAACACATCTCCATCTGTTAAATTCCAAGAATGATACTTGTTTTCACAATAAGCAGCAGCAGCTTCTGGCTCACTAATTAATTCAAGTCGATGCAATGGATCCTCATGGTGAATGATTCCAGCCTGTATAGCTGATTCGCGCATCAACGATTTGGATTCATCTGACCAAATGGCTGGTACTGTAATACACTGATTTAGGAGAGGGGGGACATATGTTACTCTATGTATTGTGCGAGGTATTTGTACTCACATAACGGTATTGTGCTTGTGTATAGTCTTGCAATAGTTGTACTTGTGCTAATTGTTCACACACATATTCATGAAATAATCTCAAGTAATCTGAAATAACATCCACAGCTGTCTTGTTGGGAGGCAATGGAATATCAGAAACCAATGCTAGTTTAAAGTATTGATATAATGTACCATTTTGATCAGGCTATATTGGATTTAATACCTAGAGTTTTTTTTTTTTTAAAAAAAACTTACTCGTAAAGACAATAACCTTGCTCCTCTTCCCCAATCCAACAGCTTGTTGTTTTTATCTCGATAATAAAGTAGTGTAGGTACCTTGGCATAAAACGCATTGCTTTTAGGCCATTTAATAATATCTTGTATTTGTTCATTTCCAATCAATGCAAACGAACAACCCTACAGTGTTTCTACTTTAGTCGTTTGTTGTTTATACAGCATCTTACAGAATATGTTGTGCCTTTATAATGAAAAAAGATATCAATGGTCACTTAAATAAAACGATATGTGTACTATACCAAAATCTATTGACACAATGACTGGGTATACAGTATCATTGTCCATTTTCTAAAGAAAATAAAGAAAAAGGAAAAAAGAAGAAGAAAAGCACCCCCCCCTTTGAAAGAAAGAGAGGAGGTAGAAAGGTTTGTCACACAGACAGATCACACCAACGTGTTTTGATCAAGTGTAACTTGAGTTACTGTATGTGGATCCACAGCATTTTATTGTAAAGAGGCTCTAGTTCTATTTATTTTGATTCTTGGCGTAAATGTCCTTGGGTGATATTTGTGCATATTACTTGATAAGCAAATCAATTGATTGAGTGTAGTCTCTTGTAACAATAAGGTTTGTTTCGTTATTTCTGTCTTGATTATGGCATGATTTAGGACTACTAAGATGGTGTCTTATAGAGTGCATTACAACACAATCTGGATTGATATACCTCAGAGTCACTTACCGACTACCCTTTCTCTGATGATGCGTTTGTTGATGCATTAGGAAACTCAAAAAAGAATATATTTTTATGGTATTGTTCAAATTTTACAGTAAAGATAGAAAGAAAAAAAATTTGACATCCCGCAAACAGCTCATTTGAGCCTTTGTCATTGTCTATTTCAATTGGTTCAGCATAGTAATAAGACTGTCTTCTAACTTGACATTTTTCTCGCTTTTTTCTTTTCTTTTTCTTTAGTTTAAACATGGAGTTGCACGAAATAAAGGGTGAAAAAACCCTCGGCACTGGATCACCATTAGAAAGCATTAGTGATAGCAATATTGGTAATTTGTGTATTCAAGCCAACTTATATTGACAGCCAATAGTCGAAATTGAACATGACAATATTAGCTTCTCTCATGGTGTTGATAATGACAGCAAGCGGGGTTCCTCTTTTCTTGCTTATTTTAATATTGTTTGTGTTGTAGCGGGTACAGGTGCCCTTAGTTTACCGTATGCTTTACGACAAGGTAGATATTTTGAAAAGTCTATATGAGACAGTGCTAATTCTTTTTTATAGGTGGTTGGATCGGTAATTACATCATTCGTTTACTGTTATGCAATATATGCTAAAATGATATTTATGCTAGGTCTTTTCATTTTGATCCTTAGTTGGGCCTTCTCTACATGTAAACTACGTCTGACGATAATTCGGCTCTAATACAGTTACATAGACTCCGGAATTATTTTAATTAGATGCTTGTATTATAACGGAAAGACACGTCTCTCCTCTTACCAAGAAGTTGCTGAAGAAGCTTTTGGTAAAGTTGGTGGTTGGGTTTCCTTCTTTTTTACAGTGATCACATTGATTGGTGTACCTGTTCTTTATATCCTTTTGGCCGGTTCCAATTTACATTCAATTTGCACGGGAACTTCTGCTGAATTGACATTTCCTATTTGGGTCATTATTTGCGCTGCTCTTGTTGCTGTGCCTTTTGTCTTTTTCAAATCCATGAAAGAAGTTGGTATATTGAGTGCATTTGGCATGTTGGCCACTGTGATTGTTGTGTTCATCTGTCTCGTCATGGCTGCTACCGACAAGCCTAATCAAGTCAATGTTAGACATGACAATGTCATTTGGAGTGAATTCCCAGTTGCTCTTAGTTCAATCGTCTTTAGTTTCGGTAAGACAAAAAAAAATCATTCGATTGTCCGCTTTTCTCAAGATGACTCACATACTTTTTTTCCTTAATAGGTGGCAATCCTGGTAAAATCACATGAAGGCTCTAGATTATACTATGTATACTAAACCTTGATTTATTTGTTAGTTTATGCTCATGTCGAAGCTGGTATGCGTCGCCCTAAAGATTGGCCTAAAGTGGTTGCAGCAGGTCTTACCACTTGTGCTGCTCTTTACTTTTTGACAGCCATTCCTGGTTATTATGTCTATGGTGATCAAGTCCTTAGTCCTATTTACAATAGTATTCCTGCAGGTGCTGCTAAAATCGCTTCTGAAGTCATCATTACTGCTCATGTCTTGATGGCCTGTCCTATTCTCTTGACTTCCTTCTCTCTTGATTTAGAAAAATTGTTTGGGATCAACAGCTTCAAATTCTCACGCTTTGCTGAACACGGCCTGCGTTTTGCTCTTCGCATGGCCCTTATTGTGATTATTGCTGTCATTGCTATCTATGTACCTTATTTTGGTGACTTCTTGTCTCTTTTAGGTGCCTTTAGTAACTGTACGCTTATTTTGATTTTCCCAGTCTTGTTCTATCTCAAGTTGACTGGGTATCGTAACAAGCATGTTGCAGAGCTGATTCTTTGTTTCTTTGTTGTCTTGCTTGGTATTGTTGGTTTGATCTTTGGTACCAAGAGTGCCATCGAAGCTCTTAAGGCTGATTTCCAAGGTTCTAGTTAGATAATTGTAATATTTTTTTTGTACTATATATAAATTAGACGTAATACCTCTATTTGAAGCTTATGATTAAATGCATTCCCATGCTACATGATATGGAATGTCATTGTTTACATACGAATACGTATTTTTGCCTCGCTACTATATATGGAGTCTTGAAAATAAAGTTCTAGAAGCAGAGATAGTTAAAAATATACAGAGGTGTATAAATAGACAAGCCACAACATACATTGTTTTGAGAGGGCAGATCACAACAAACACTGTCTTGAAAATCTTCGGCTCAACTTAGCAGAATTTAATGCAAGAAGGCTGAGTTCACGGATCACAAGATGTAGCACAGGTGCTCTGAATAAAAGGCAAAGCCTCTCCCCCTTTTTTAAAGTGTAAATGTGTCAATTTAATAAAGAGAATAGTGGAACAATGAAGAAAGAGGAGAAGAGGATTTTATGCATGTATGTGTTTGTGTGTATACTATTTACAAATATAATAAAGAAGTGTAATAAATATATAGAGTTTGCTTCTAGTTGTCAACAGGAGGAGTCAAGAGTCTAGCAAGATTAGCAGGTACTTTGTCTGCAGGATATCTCCATTCAGGATGATGATACAATTGTAGAGTGTTGCTAGCATACCATTTAGGATAATCTAAATACATGATGAGTCTTTCTGAGTTATTAGAATGGATAATATTATACCTAAAGAACTAGGATGGTTTAATTGACCTTGAATATCCAAAGCCATCAATTCAGCTCGACATGACTTGTCTCGGTGAATTTGCAATTTGTAGTAGTTGGGAGACATGAAACACTTCTTGCCACTACGATAAGCCAAAAAGGTCAAAGCGGCTTGATCTTGACGATGGTTGATACGGGAAGACCCAGGAGGAGCAATACAGTTCTTATCCAAACCACATTCAAACCAAGGATTAATAATATCGTCAACAATAGTTTGGTTATGAACATCAAACCCTAAAGCAGCACCATTACAGTTGGGATTGGAAGCGTATTGCTTAGGGTCAGCGTTATAATAAGCATACATGCCGGGATGAGTCCATTTTGCCATGTTTTGAGATGAGCGAGGAGACCAAAATCCGCCATTTTTACGAATGACGTTGGGAATAGTACGAATAAATTCGGGTGTGACCATGTTACCTGCATCGAGCCAGACCAAGATACCGTCTGAAGTGTCTGTATATTTAGCAGAAGCCTCATGAACAATACCCGTTTTCCAGGCATATTCACCAGCACTGATGGCTACATCCCAGAAACGAGGATACTTGAAATAGTCAAATGTTTCCAAGTCATCGATAAGACCATTCTCAACAAGCTGGTCAAGGACAGGAAGTTGAGTACGGTTCATGCCGATATTGTAAACGACAATACGAGGAAATTCTTCCACTTTCAATTCAGAACGGAGATTGTAGAGTGAGTATAAAAAGTTTTCCAATGAACAAAGGTGGTTAGCACTAGAAGCAGTGACAATGGTGAAAGGATAAGAAGTGGGCTTGGGTGTGATGGGACGTGTAACGTGTTTAATCACTGGGGTTTGGGGCTCTTCATATTCAGATAAAGGTGGAAGATTAAGGCATTCTGATGTACTACAGCTGTTGACTACACAATCTTCATTAAATTGTGTATAAAAACATTATCAACTTACTTGAATCTGTTGGTGTTGTTGCCATAGAAGACGTACTATAGACAACTCTGATTTTCAAGGTAGATACACAAAAGAAACCAATGACGAAAATAGCGAGAATGGGAATGCTCAGCATGTTCTTGAAAAGTGATTGCTTTGCTGGTGATGTGGATACTTTTTGTGAAAGCGCGCCTGTCATTGTTTCTTTTTTTTTTCTCTTTGCTCTACTATCTATTGTATAAAAGAGAAAGAAAGAGACAAAAAATAATAAAAGCCCAGTGTTATATTTATATTATTTTCTAATTTTGGTTGGGAACCATTTTTAGGTCTTTCCTATCATATTTTTAGAGTCGTTCTGAAGTCCCGCGATTTTTTTTTTTTTTTTTTTGTAGAGCGCTCTGCGCCACTTGTTACAAGATGTTTATTCTGATCAGTCATGAAACTGTAACACTTGCTAAGAAGAGGCTTATAAAAAAGTAAAAGGCACTTGCAAACTCTCTTTTTAATTATTCACAAACAATAATAATAATAATAAAAATAAAAAAAAGGAGATGCGTATTTTAATAATTACATATCTGTTATGCGTTTATATTAATATAAAGCAAGACTTGCCCCACGCTTGGAAATGGGATGGAAGGACAAGAAATGGATACAAAAAAAACGGGTTTTGATTGGCCAAATGTATAAGCCCAAGTTGAGTTATTCTAGATCAGTAGACATGATCAAGTTTGCTCGTTTATGCAAGTCCTTTTATTCTATTTTAGATATCTTCCTGGTCTATATGGTTTTAATTACAAACTCTAATCGATTCGTCTCTAAAGAACACTTTTTTACTTTATGATAAAGTATAACTTTATGCCCGGGGAAGTCATGTTGTCGGCTACAGGTTGTTCTGCCTCGCTGTATTCCAACCTTTGAAAAAACCCTTAATGGTTTGACTGGCACATGGAGGAATTTCCACTTTTATTACCTAATATGCGCTTTCTAATTTCAATTCCTCTTTTTTCTTTTTTTCGTTTTCTTTTTCATTTAGACATGCTTATCTATTTAGCCTTATTTTTCTTCTTTTTACTATGTAAGATATAGACTCTATTCTAATTGACTTTGCTTACCATTCTTTTTCTTTATTGACTTTTAGTATGTTGGTATTTTCGCCAATATATCCTCGATGCTGCCTCCTTCTTGGCAAACAAAACCAATCGTTTGATAGGCTACCATTTATTACCAACAAATGCTGGCTCTTTTGAGGAAGATATTGAGGATGGATTAACAAGTTCACAATTTGACTTACATGCTAATATGGACGAACAAGATACTCGAGCAGGTTTAAAAGACAAGGAAGAAATTATGAGAATTATGAAGAAACAAAAAGTGTCTTTTGATGAAGCTCGTTTAATTCGTCAGCAGAGATTATTAAAAAAGAATGTAAGTCGCATGTGCCTGGATTGAGCATAGCTAACTTTTTTTTTTTTTGGTTATTAGAATATTGATCCAGAAACGGGCTTACCTTTGGATCCCAAGTTTGTTTCTTTTTAATACCATCGTCTTTGTACAATTAAAGCATATATTTTTTGAAACTCACTTACAAAAGCCACCTTTTGTTTTTTTTTTCTTTGTGAGGAATACCATGTCAGCCAAGCCTTGGTTAAAGCACTTTAAACCTATTCAGGACTGGCAATACCTTAAAGTGAAAATGTAATTATGTTTCTTTGAGGCCAACGATTAATGTTTGTATAGTTGGTCTGATGAAGATCTCGATGTTCAAGTAACCGAATTGTCTTTTCGAATGAGTATACAACAAGCTCTTCAGACTATATTCGGCCAAGTAGGCGCTTCTTGTTATATAAACGTATTGGACTGGAACAAATTTACCAACCAAGGCATTATCAAAATCAAGCAAAGGTAAACATATATTTGTCTTTATAGCACTAACGCGTCTTTAGTGAGCTTACGACAGTATGGTCTGCATTATTAAACCATCAGTTTTTGATAGCGAACAAACTTTGTACTCTTGATATTATTGATTCATCAGCGCATTTGATTAGCTTAGTTCAATCACAATAACATATCCATAAGCATGAAATAGAAATAACTGTATATAATGCATATAATGAATAAAAAAAAACATATTTATCACTCGACAACTGCATCATCTACTGGTTCAGCAACTTCTTCTGTGGATGTGGCTTCCTCAACAGCAGGTGGCTCTTCAGAAGCAATTGGTTCAGGTTCGGTGGTTTCTGCATCTTCAGCAGGAGCTTCTTTTTCTTCTTCAGCGACAACAGGATCAGTAACAACAGGCTCCGATGCTGCTACTTCTTCTGTTTCTGTTTCAACAGGAGCTGAGTCCTCTTCTACAGCTGGAACTTCATCACTTGTTTCAATTACTTGCTCTTTTTCTTCTTCCTTCTTTTCTTGCTCTTCTTTTACTTCACTTTCTTCTGTAGAGTCAACAACTATTTCTGGCAAAACTACATTTGAATAGGCTAATACGTTGACCGTCGTAGGTCGATAACGCTCAGAACTCTCAGTCAAATGATGTAGCCAGGTCTCCATATCTGCAGCAGACTTGGCTCTTAATGTCCAAGTCATGCGATCATGCAGTCCCCAACGTTGTTTTGATGTACGCCACTGTTTTGGCAAGACTTCATGATGATGTTGAAGCAAATTGCGTGAGGCAGCATGTGGCTGTAGTTGAAATATCAAATTATGATGTAGATTGGTTGCTAGCGAAGATACCTTGTAATGAGGTACAAAAATAGTAGCATCTGGGTGCGCAGGATAATGCTGTGTAGTGCGATACTCATGCAGAAATCCAGCGGGTGTCAAGACATAAATGTATTCATGCCAATGATGTAAAATACGTGATCTGCGCTCCATACGAGCAGCAAAAATAGGTTGTAAGAGAATATGAGAATGATTAGGGTATTGCAGGTGATCTGGATGACGAAAAGCAGCGCTCTCGGAAACAAGATGTGTTTGATGATGCTGACTAAAGTTAAGCCAGTCGCTGTCCATCTGTATTTTGTCAAAAATAGACATGATTCTCTCAAGGCCTCTGTCTACACCTAAACTAGACTGGTCACGCATTTTGTAAATATGCTGGCAGAGACGACGGAATTCTTCAACTAGATGTTCTTCTGAAATGAGCGTTTCTCGTTGAAGTCTTAATACAGTTTCGTGAATTTTGTTTTCTTGGCAATACACTTTAATCATTTGCTTTACGACGGCTATAAGGTTTTCGGGTTTGTTTTTCTTAGTAGAAATCCGAATAAGTCATCTTTTTGAGGGTCTTACCTGCATTAACTAGCCAAGGATCTCGTTTGCTATGTCCATGGTAAGGATACTGATCGAAAAATACTAATTGTCTATCCAATCGCTTTAATCGCTTGGCAGCCTCTCTTTTTAAGTTTGTTAAAGTCACCAGGGATAATCTATCATCAGCACGAATTGACTTGATCATCCATTTTAATTCGCGTTTGATATTCGACAGCGTAGGAATGGCTTCATTTCTTAAAAATGTTGCGAACTCAGCATGATCTTTAGTTGTGTTGGTATGATAGTTTTGCCATGCATCACAGACACTACGAATGCCTCCCTGGAAAGCAAAATGGATCTGTAAAAGACGTTGATCTTTATAAAGTGCACGTTGTTGTCTCTTGTAAAAGTTGATGGGTCTCAAGTCTTTTCGATACTGATCGTGTTTATCTGCGGTAGGAAAAATCGTCATGTATTCCAGCTTGCGATAGTTTTTCGCTACTTTTGTCTCCACGCTGGCCAATAGTTCAAAATGATGAAGTAGCCTTTTGGCTAGTAGATACCATGCCTCTAGTCTCTCAATCAGTAGACTGACGGGTCGAATGCCTTTGTTGGGTATACCAGGAAGTGTGTCGTCAAATAAAAATGTTTCGAATGCTGATGGATATCCCTTTTGAATGCGTCGTTTTCTGAGTTTTGGTTTTTTGAAGAATCTTGGGCGTTTATAATCGACTGCGAATTGAGGTGGAGGCGAGGAAAATTCAGGATTTGCTGTGGTCGGAGGAAGGGAAAGAGCAGGTGGGGGAGGAGGTAGTGGTGACATAGGAGATGTGCCATGTAACATAGTTGGTAAATTGAACATGGAAAGTGAAGGAAATAAGATTTTGACTGAAGAAGGAGATCCAACGGCTGTGGTTGTGCCTGAGGATTGATTTAGTGTCTTTTCTTGCTCCCCAGAATGAGGCATAGAGACCTTGAGCGGTGTAATCAAATTTGTTCTTGGTCCTCGAACCCATCTTCTTTTTGAAAATAATGTTTGCATGTCATGTTGTGCAATAGCAGGCGATGATAGCACCGACATTGCTTAAAGAAAAAGAAGAAACGAAACAAAGAATGCTTACTATGGTCAAAAACCTATTATTGTACTTTTTTGAATCGTTAAATTTATTAGCGCAATTTAAAATTTCTTGTACTTAAAGGAAATGGCTTTTTTAAAGGCACGTTTAAAGGTTCAATAAAGTGTATAAGCTTTCCTATTCATGAATATCATCAAAGCTTTTATTTTTCAAGTGTCATTTCTTTAAACAGCGCTTTTTGAACTGACTGGCTATAATTTGTTTGATCTAGATTTACGGATTTAACAGCCATTCTGAGTTTCGCCAAGTAAAAACGAGCGCTCAAATCAAAGACGAGTTAAAAAAACTTCAAGTGGACAGGCCCTTTCCGCTTATTCCATTCAACAAGAGTCGATCTTTCTTTTACTTCTAATTTTCTGCATACTTTCTAGAATATTATTAATTTGTAGTCGAACCAAAAAAAAAAAAAAAAAAAAAAAAAAAGCATTTTCAGCAAGAGAAATTTATCCGATCTTACGCTTTCAATGTGATGATAAGGAGTTATAGGAAGCATATAGAAGCCGCCTTCACTTTCGATTTGACAGTGTTTGTTATTTGTCTTTCCATAAGTATAAACTACAGAAGTACTTAGAACTGCATGACTGGAACATACGTTACTTATATAGACAAAACTTGCTTGTGTTACTAGTGTTTCGCTTTAAACCGCCGGACCTGAGAAATAAATAAAAAGAGCAACAAATTGCAAATCTTAAATTCTTTGCTATAAAATACAATAGACAAAACAACTCAACAAAACCATGTTGTTTAAACAATCTAAACCGCCTTTAGAGTCAGGGCCTCCTACAATATGGCATACCAAATCTATTGAACAAGTGGTACAAGAGCTCAACACTTCAATTGAAATTGGATTGACAGAACAAGAAGCAGTAGAAAGACAATCAACATATGGCTTCAATGAGCTTGATTCTGGAGATGAAGCTACTTGGATCAAAATTCTGCTTCATCAATTCCTCGATATTATGAATTGGATCTTTATTGCATTGGGTATTGTGTCTATGGTCCTTGGCGATTATATCACTGGATCACTGATTATCGTGGTGGCCATTTTCAATTTTTATTTAACATTTCAACAAGAATATGCTGCAGAACAAACAATGGCTGCTTTGAAAAGTTTAAGTTCGCCTACAGCTAATGTAATTCGTGATGGGAAAGAGCAAACAATTGCAAGTAATGCATTAGTACCTGGTGATCTTTTACTGATTAAGGAAGGTGACTCTGTTGCTGCGGATGCTCGTTTAATACACCTGTCAAATCTGGAAGCAGATGAAGCCTTGCTAACTGGTGAATCCGTTCCTGTCCAAAAGAAGCTGATTGTTCTAGAAAAAGAAGGTATGGATAGATGGTATATTCAAAGTAGAAACTAAATTTTCTTTTATTCTTGATAGATGAGCCATTGGGTGATCGTAGAAACATGGTATATAGTTCCACTATCATTGCTAAAGGTCGTGGCCAAGCTATCGTTACTTCTATTGGTATGAAAACTGAAATTGGTAAAGTGGCTACCAAGTTAAATGGTGCTGATGATAATGATCGTACCCAGATTCAAAAAAGTATGCACAAAATGTACATTTTCCTTTTATGTGTTGCTGTCCTTTCAGTTATCATTGTGTTGGCCTCTGTCAAGTTTCATGCGGACCGTGATATTGGTATGTACGCTATGACCTCTGCTCTATCTGTTCTTCCTGCTGGTTTGACTACAGTTCTGACAATCACTCTTGTAATGGGTGGTAAAGAAATGACAAAGCAACGTGCTATTGTTCGAAAACTCAAGGTCTTGGAAACATTGGGCTCTATCACGCACATTTTTTCTGACAAAACTGGTACACTTACAATGGCTAAAATGGTGGTTGTTCGATTCTGGACTCCTCAAGAAGGTTATTTTTACCTGACTCCCAATGGACTGGCTCCCCAAGGCAATATATATCGTACGCACGATGAACTGATAGACAATCCATTGTCTTCAGAAAAGACTGAACTAATCGATAAACCACAATTGCTTATGTCTTCTGAAACGAAGCACTTTATTGAATGTGCCGCCCTTTGTAATATGTCTAGTATCCACCGACGTGAAGATACTGAAAACACTATCACTCGTCACGAATCTTTATCCAAAATGACTAGTCGACATAGTAATGTAGTTATTGAAATGCCCCAAGCAGAGGAAGAGAAAGATAACAGTGAATCAGACAACTGGATTCCAAGTGGTGCTCCTACAGAAGTTGCTCTTCAAGTCTTTGCTCATAAATTTAATAAGGGAAAGCCTCAATTGATAGCTGAAGATGGCTGGGAAATGATTCAAGAATATCAATTTGATTCCACTATCAAAAGAATGTCTACTGTCTGGTACAATCGCCCTCAAGACCATACTTTCGTGTTCACAAAAGGTGCTACTGAGAGAATCCTTCCTCTCTGCATAAATATGCCAACTCAAGAATCACATATCGAGGTCATGAACCATCTAAATGTATTAGCTTCTAAAGGTCTTCGTGTTATTGCAATGGCATATCGCAAAGAAGAGTCTAATATGTTTGAGAAAGACAGGGATCGCTCTATAATCGAAAAAGACCTGATTTTCCTCGGTTTGGCTGGTATTTATGACCCTCCTCGTGCTGAATCTCTTCAAGCTGTAAAAGAAGCCCATCAAGCTGGTATTTCCGTTCACATGTTGACAGGCGACCATGCTATTACCGCAACTGCTATTGCTAAAGAACTCAATATTCTCAACGAAAAGACAATGTCTCCGGAAGTATTGAAGGAACTAGTCATGACAGGTCCTCAATTTGATGCCATGACAGAAGAAGAGGTTGATGCGCTCCCTCATTTACCATTTGTTGTTGCTCGTTGCTCACCTGAGACTAAAGTCAAGATGATTGTGGCTTCTAAGCGTCGTAATTATATTGCTGCCATGACCGGTGATGGTGTGAATGATTCACCATCGCTTCGTATTGCTAATGTGGGTATTTCTATGGGAAAAAATGGTAGTGATGTTGCCAAGCAATCATCCGACATTATCTTAACAGATGATAACTTTGCTACTATTATTCGAGCTATTGCTGAAGGCAGAAAAATTTACCAAAACGTTCAACGTTTCTTGCTCTATTTTTGGATTGCACTTTTGGGCCTTTGGCTTGTCTTGATTCTTGCTTTGGCTATTCGTGATCCTAATAACAAAAGCGCGGCACCAATTTCTACTATTCAGATGTTATTCTTGTATGTCGCATTCACGCCTCCAGCTGGTGTGTTATCTTTCCAGCCTGCTTCAAAAACTGTCATGAAAGAACCACCTCGCTCTCCTAAAGAAAGTCTGTTCAATCGGGAAATTGTCATGGATTTGTTTGTATACTCATTAGGATTTGCCGCATTTAGTTTCATTGCTTTCATTATTCCTCTTTATACTCGAGGCCACCATGGTATCGAAGGCTCTGCTTGCGAAGTAAATTTCGATTATGCAGCTTGTGAATCCTTTTTCCGAGGTCGTGGGGTATTACTGGCATTCATGACATTGGGCACTCTAGTTGTCATGGTTCATTGTCGCTCCTATAGAGAAATTGAATGGGGCCCTCGCGGACTGAAAGAAACATTCAAGTCAAAAACGGTCATATACACGCTCTCATTTGATATTGTTTGCTTGATGATCTTTTACTATGTGCCTACTGTGGCTGAAAAGGGTTTTTATATGCTCGGATTTAGCTGGGAATGGGCTATTGTTGTGGGACTACTCATAGTTTATGCTATTTTTGGTGAATTCTACAAGCTTTTGAAGAGAAAGTTTATGAAGCCTGTCAAACCTCATCAGCTAAGCAAATATATCGCTGTAGAATAATAAAATCTTAAATGTTTAGAACTCAACCATTACTATAAAAAGATAAAGCGGAAATACAAAGTCTGACGTATTGTGAGTTTTTTCTTTCTTTTCTTTTTGTTTTCTAAATTAATAGTGAAAAGCAAAATGCAACAGTCAGCTTATACCTGGATTTTCACAACAGGCATAATTGTTTTCTTTGTTGTTATCATAATTCTTTTGTTTTTTACGAGGTCCCCTATTGAGTTGCCTCTATCCTTCAATGGGAACTTAGAAGATATACCTTCTGACTCTGAAGAGGATATTGCAACTTTATCTGAGGATGCTCGCCTTAGCTATGAAAGCGCAAAAAGTAGAGTGTTCATAATATTTGACATATTGATCTGACCGAGAAAAAATTATAGCCTGGCAAGAACATCATCCACCAAACAGTATCCCCACAGATATCACACCGCCACAATTTCAATCCATTCAAGAAAAAGGCGTTTCTGCTTTTGAATTTGAGTGGGAACCAGAAGCCAATGTGTTTGTGGCAGGAAGAACTGAAATTCAGTTTATGGAAGGAGAAAATTGTGTCCAGACTAACCTGCCTTTACCTCGAAACCAAGAAGTGTATTATTGGGAGGTAATGTTGATCTGTACGTAGTTATCGCTAACATGCTTGAAGGCCAAGATGTATGAAAAACCTGAAAGTACAGTCGTATCTGTTGGTGTTGCAACAAAGCCTTATCCTAGTTGGAGATTGCCAGGTAAACACTACACATTGTTTTTTTTTATTCGTTAAAATTAAACATGTAATAGGTTGGAATCGTTATTCTATTGGCTATTTTTCAAATGATGGAAGCAAATACTTTAGTTCACCATTTACTCAAAAGCCTTATGGTTTGCCTTACAAGCATGGTGATGTCATTGGCGTTGGTTATAGACATCGAACTGGATCTATTTTTTTTACTCGCAATGGAAGAAAGATAGAGGAAGCTTATACTGGTATTCGATGGAACTTGTTTCCTACAATTGGTGCCAATGGCCCTTGTCAAATTCATGTGAATCTTGGTCAAATGGGCTTTGTCTTTGTTGAAGCAAATGTCAAGAAATGGGGTCTAGCTCCTTCTCAAGGTACATTGTCACCCCCACCTGCTTATGGTACAGAAAGAGATACTATTCTATTAGCCATGGGCACACAACCAACAGACAATGAAGCTACACTGATTGATATGAATGGGATTGCTCATAATCCACCCACCACATCAAATAGACCACCACCTTATCAATCAACTCAACAAGATACCAACAATCAACCTTCCATACTTTAATTTGTGAATACCATCTTTTCCTGACCTCACTTTGTAGATAATAAATCACCGAACAAATCTTGTTTATTTACACAACTAAGCTTTTTCAAAGAAATCGTCTTTTTCATCATCAGATCCTTGTTTGGCCTCAGTCATCTCTTCGTCTACAGGTGCCAAGGGTTGAATGACACCTCGTTTGATTAACTTTTCTTTGTATTCATCCCGATAACGCTTTTGCATTAATGACAGGTCTTTATCTCCATTCAACAATGACTCTTTGATGTCTTTTAATACTCTTTCTCTTCTAGCATCACTAGTTTCGTCATTTTGGTTATTAGTAGGATAAAGGGATACATAATGCAATGTCTTTGGGAAATGTGTTGTATATAATAATTTGATTTCTGCTTCATCTACTTTAGCTTGAAGCGCTGGTGCCTTTGTCTCATCTGTATTCTCCCGTAAATCCTTCTTAGCTTGCTTTACTTTTCTCTCAGCCTTTTTACGTTCTATAGGGATGAATGGTTGAGTATATATTACTTTATCGAGAATAGACTTACCAAAATGCTTTATTTTATGGTATTTGGATGCATTTGTACGCTCTTGTTCGTCAATAGTTTTCTCTCCCAATTCGTATTCAAGAGCACGCAAACGTCTTTTTGACTCTGTAATAACTTGAGCAGGAAGTTCTTTACCCTATCCTACGGTTAAACTTTGATGTAAAGTAGAAAAAGACTCTCACCGAGTTCAAAGTACGTTTAACATCACGAATTCTTTTTTTGATTTTGCCTGGAGTATTTAAGGCTTCATTCTTTTGGTTCTTGTTGCGGTTAGGTTTGGGATTCTTATTGTTCGTCTTCATATCTATTATAATAAAATGGAAAAGAATCGAAAAAAGTAAATGGTTGAGATGGACAAAATAAAAACCGTCACGTAAATGTAGTGTGGCTTACCCTTCATGCTTCTAGAAGTGCAATTCATGCTTGAAAAAAAACAAAAGCTTTATTTCCTAAAAGTGTGTACTGATTTTGTCTTTAAACTCGCAAGTTACTCCTCATCATATTTTTTAATACAGCGAATAAAAAAGGTAAATGGCCTCCTTTTATTCTACATAACAAAGCAACAACTTTGAATTTTCTTTTTAAACAAAAGTTCTTCCATCAAAAGAAAGTTGGCATTTTTTTTATCTAACTAGCCATAGAGCTAGCTATATTTTCAACTAAGATTGAAAGGCGATTAAAAAGTATCTAACAATAAATGTCAACAGTGCTCGCAAGAAAACTATAAAAGTATTTAACGATTCTCGCTATGCTAGTCTTTTTAGACGTTGTCATCATCAAATGAAGACTGCTTCTAGTCTAATATCAACTTCAAAGAGCAATCAACTTTGCGTATAGTTTTATTAATTTCACTAAATAATACAAAACACATTTTATCTCTTGTAGTGAGTCTTCTTAATGCATTTATTTAACCAATAGTGAATAGAAACTCATCAAAAGGACAAACTAATACGCAGGATTGCTTCACGACTTAAAAGGTACATAAAGCCCGTTTATGTACGCATAAATATCCCAAATACTCACAAACTATGTTTACTACCACATGAGATATCTTTAAGGTTGATTTGGATCAAAAAAGAACAACTTGTAGAAAGTGGCAAAGGGTACTACTCATGAAAATCCTTAATTTGACAACTTCTGTTCTTCTATTTGACACTGCAAGACGAGAAATGGAGTTATCGACAAGTTTAAGTACCGAAAATGACCGCCAAACGCTCTAGTTCTTGACGAATATAATTGTTTGTGAATTGTGCAACAGAAATAATGAGATATGAACGAGAAACCTTATAAACATTTTTGCCTCTTTTCTTCATATTTTGGCAGTAAAGTAGTTGTGTTATTTGTATTATTGGGGTCAGAAAGCAAAGATCTACAACTTTTGTCAATACACCAAAGCCCAATAATTGTGTCTTTATGCAGTTTTCCGCAAAACCTCAATTTTTCATGCTGCTGGATGAAGAATCACGAATGCTTTCTTTTTTCAATCTTCGCAACATAGTCATCTAATATGTCTTAGGTTCATTTACCCCACATTTGCATTATGAAACGCCTATTTTTACACTTTCATATGTTCTTTAGTATCCTATTTAGCGCATGGTATTTTTTTATAGCTCTATGGCTAATGAGTTCTATATGCCGTCTAGAGCAAAAATGCTCAAAACACAGCTTAAATATGCCAATCTTTGCTGGACCATTACTCAACAACCAGACTATCAAACCTGTCCGTTTTTTTTTTATTTAAAATATGTTCTTTAAAAGCAAGGAATTGAATGGTACCACTGGTTTGGCTGTTTTGTGAAATTTATTTTTTGACCTATGGGAAATCCACAAAGGTTCGTACTTAAATTGTTTTTTTGATAATATTTATAAATAGTCCTTTTAGAAAAACTCTTGAAGAAGCAAGGGCAAAAAAGGCTTGTGAAAAGAGAGTGTTGGGCTAATGTTTTTTGTGGGCATATGTTTGTAACCATAGAAGGAAGGGCGATAATTGATTGGTTAGAGTCATGATCAGCGGTTCTATGTTAGCAAGTTGTATAGTGTCAACTTGTGATAAAAGTGCGTGAATTGAGGTCCATTTGACACTCCAGTAAAGTATTGAGCGGTTGTTCTTAGGAGGTATTGTAGGCAAGCGGTTTAAAAGATGAGACAAAGGATCGGAAACAGTTGTAGGTTGGTTTAGCATTACATGTATACTGAGGCAGTTGATAGCATGAGAATGCGAAAGGCGTTGACTACAGGAACACGGCTTAGGAGAGCCCCCCAGGCAGCCACCCAAGATGCCATCGTATAAGACGACTCAGTTCAATGTTGGTCATGGGCAACCATAGGATAGGATCAAAGGAAAGGAATGGGCGACAGAGGGAGAGCATTTTTGTTTGTGGTAAGGTAAGCATATGGGTGAAATTTTCTTCCAAGTACTGATGTTGATACTCTTGGAAATCTTTTCGAGGCATTGGTGTGAGGGGTTAAGGGAGAGATTTGCAGAAAGGAGTGGACGAGGGTTTGTGCCAGTGCGAAGCGGTAAGGTCTTGCAGCCGAGGCAGTAATCGGGTAAGAAGAGTGTTTTCTGGCAGAGAGAGAGCACGCAAAACAAATTTTGCTTGAAGGATTTCACTTCGTTCACGCATTGTGGGCAAATTCAGTAGATATCTCATCACCTTTGTTGATGCAGTTTTAGATCCGCCGAAAATGGTCTTCAGACAGTAATCTTAGGCTTGCTCCAATACTTTAGTCTGGGTATTTGTCAAAAGCATAATTGCCAGTCCATATTCCATTTGTGGGCGGACCACTTGCCGATATAGCCGACAGGAGAGCTGCTTAGAGAAGCCATGGTTGTTGGCGCCAATTGAAGCTAGCATAGCCATTGTGACACGAAGTTTAGCAGCACTTGTTTTCACTAGGTCTTTAGGGCTAAAGAGGCCTTCTGCCTTGAAAGGAACTCCGAGGTAAGAAAAGATAGTCTGCCGTGGAATTACAGTACCAGAGAGAGCATAGTCAGTGATATTTTTCTCATACGCAAGAATTACACATTTTGTAGGGTTCCATCAATACCCCAGTGTCAGGCTATGTTCAGCACATTGGTCGAGAAGAGGTTGAAGAGTTTTCTTGGTGGCAATCAGTACAATATCATCTGCGTAGAACAAGCAATTAATAGATATAATGAGCTCGTTGGCGGACATATCGTCATTGAGAGGTATAGTACGTAAAAATCGAGGAAGGTTATCGATATAGTGCAAGTACAGGCATGGTGACAGAGGTCTGTGAAGATGAAAAAAAAAAGTTCATGGAGAATTTTTTGAAATGACCCATTGTAGGTTTGATCCAACCGAAACCAAGTAAGGCCATCTTTAAATACTTCTGATGAAAAGAAAACGAGTTTACTAAAACAAAATGTCGACTTAGTTTGAGCACTGCCTTCAGATCTGCATTCAAAGTTTATTGCACACTGTAATCAACAAAAGACGTTCTTTTCAGTAGATATCGACTAGCAAGTGAGTACCTATTCTTACACCATTCGATGCGTAAACTATGTGCAAGCAGATCTTACTATAGCACTTGACACTCTTAAGACCAAAAAGCAGATATTTGGATGTGGTAAACCTAAAGAAAGCACCAATTCATCAACACTGGTTTTTACGGCACCTTTTTTTTTTCGTACAGCTTGTTTTCAGTCATTCCAATGTCTTTTTTAGATGAAGACAGTACGAAAAAGCATATCAAAAATAGATCGTTATCTTGTAGAATAAGTAGGAACTCCTTTTGAACATAAAACATCAGTTTGCAGTGAGTATAGATATATGTTGTTGTTAGGATCAAAAAGGCATCACATAATATTTTGGCAGCATTATTTTTAGAATGGACATTGAAGTAGACAAAATGTTCTCCCGTAGAATGCAGCTCAGCCAAAACAAAAGGTATGCTGTGTAGCGTTTGACTCAAAGCCCATTGTAAATCTCTCTTATAATGTGAATGGCAGCTTTAGACGCATTTTATGCATGTAGTTTTATTTTTTGCGATTGTAAAGTAGCATTTTTGTCCTTCAATCGATATTTGTTGCAATTAAGTTGTCATAATTTTACTACAGTTTCTTATATATAGGCATATGTATATGTATTCCTGACAATACAAAAGCAAAGCCTTTATAAACTTTTTTTATAGATATTGATATGCTATAAATAATCGGACTTCCTTGATTACTTGATCCCCCTTTTTTTCTAAAGAAGATCGCGTTCTGATTATTACTTTTTTTAGTTGGATCTGTGATTTTTTAAAAAAGAAACAATAGTATTTGACATGTATCACTCTCTTTAAAAAAAATATTGTATTTATGATAAAATAATGGTTCCTGAATATTAATTTGTACCTGATTTCTTCTTTTCTTTGTTCTATGTCGAAAGATAATAAACAAAAGTCAAGTTGATATTTCTTCTTTTAACATCCACGCAAAATAGTCAACCCTTCTCTTACTTTTTTTTTCTCCTAAAAAGAAACTCAGTTGTGACACAGGAAAAAATCCAGAATCGACAGAGCATGAAAATCTTTTTGTCTATTTTTGTATCAAAACTCCTTTCATACATAAATTGTCTTCTCCTTGAGCAAAATCGTGTATTTTCGAGCAAAGCTAACAAGTTTTATTTTTAATCAAATCTCCACTTTAAAAAACAAGTTGACAATGGTATCTGTTTTTTGCTTTTGTTGTTCTAACGGAAGGTGCTCCGACTGTTTTTAATCGCAAGTCCAATCAAAGAATGGCTAAGTCAAGTAAAAAAGGAAAAGAAAAAATCGAATAACAAGCCCAGTCTGTTTTTTTCAAGCTTTTTTCTCTTCTTTCTTTTCTTTTCTTATATTTCTCCTTTGAATACAATGTTTGATTTCATGCTACCCAATTCGCCTGCACACGTATGAAATAAACAAATATATGTTGATTGGCATAATTAATCTATTTGAACAATAGGCGAACTTATTACCTACGAAAACAGCAGTGTCTCAGCCAACGATTGTTCAACAAAACCATGTATATAATAAGCGACAGCAAGCTACAGAGAGTGTTGTTCATGTTACAGTAACTGCGGCTGGCACCGTAGTCTATACCTATACAGCAACTTCGTATTCATATGTCCCATCCTATTCCACTATTAGTGAAACAGGTCGTCCAACAACTAATGCAGGACAAAACAATGGAAATACAAGCTCGAATGACTCGACAAACGGCAATTCTGGAACAAATGTGGGTGCAATTGTGGGTGGTGTTGTAGGCGGTTTAGCTCTTATTGCTTTAATAGGTAAAAGCCGTTTTGTTGTTATCTTTTGACTAATCAAATCAAAACAGCGTTAGGATTCTTCTTTCTACGTCGACGATCACAGAAAAGAAAAAGAGAAAAACAAAAGAATGAACTCATTGATGATGACGATGATTCCTATTATCGAGGCCATGGACGTCAGCCTTCTACTGCCACAGCTTTAGAGACTGGCGCTGTTGCTGGAATGACATCATTAGACTCACCTGCACCCAGGCATTTGGTAGCGCCCTTACAACATTTAGGCGACAATGGAAGGGAATCAAAATACTTTCAAAACGAGGGAGGCTATTATGAAGATGTTGTGGCGCCGTATCCAACAACTGCTGCCTATTACTCTGGAAATAACAGTGTTGCTTCGGACTCTTTACCCTCGACCGCCGTTGACAATAGTACTTATGGAGGAGGTGTCCGACATGTTCCTAATGAAGCAGATTATTTGGTCTCTCCTAACAACACAGCAAGACACGTTCCACATTTGAAGGACAATCATGCACAAGAACCGCCACATTCTAAAGATTAATGTGTAACAATAGATTAAGACACAGTCTGTATAACATACTGGTATTTTATTCATTAAATACGGTTTCGACTAAAGAACCAGAGCAAGAAAACTAATGTCAATAAATGCAATCCGTAATTTCTTTCCAAGGAATTTCCAAAAGAAGCTTCATTTTTCTCAAACATGCCAATAAGCCCTAGTCCAGCTGATTCATCCTCAGCATGTCCAGCTGCAACTCCATATCCATTAAAATAAGATGTAGCAATAACATGTGAGGCTATGTTCGTTGGTACTGTTGGCACTGCTGCCTGAGATAAACCATGATCAACAATGGAGATAGCTACAAATATATCATCTTCGTCATTGTCCTCATTGTCCTCATTATCTTCATTATCTTCATTATCTTCAAGATCGTCTGCTTTTTCTTCTTCTTCTTCTTCCTCGTTGTCTTCTTCCTCACTATCAGCATTATCCTCATCTTGAAAGTCTTGTAGTTTAGTTGGTAATGGAGTTGCTCCGGCATTATTTTTGACTTGTTTATTCCTATCATCTTTCGGAATATTGATTTTATCACTAACAGGGTTAGAAGTAGCTTTTAAATCTTTTGTTGCTGCTTGTTCCTGTTGATCTTTTTTTGGATCAACAATGATAGCTTCCTGTGTGAGCGACTCTTCTTGCTGAGCATTATCTTTAGTGCTTTTGTCTAGTATTGGGCTACCTTGCTCTTTAGAAGGGTATTTGAAAGGGTTTTTGAATGCTCCATCGTCTATATTATCATAGGTATCATCATTTGAAGCAGGCTGACCCCAAAAATAAGAGTCTTCTGAAGGGTATTGTATTCTTTCAACGCTACCTTGCCCTTTATTGACAGGAATAATAAGTTCTTGAAGTATTAATCACCAGTATCCTTTTACCTTGATATATTGTGTTTGTTTTTTTCTCCATTAAATTCAATAGTCTAGGCTGCTCTATAGCAGAAGAAGTAGCCATACTTGTCATACTCAGTTGAGCCAATTCCTTTTCTTTTTCTCTCGATAAGTCGATTAAGTATCCTCGCTTATCTTCCACGCTTGTTTTTATTTGAAAGAAAGAAAAAGAGAAAAGCTGTTCGTTTTTTTCCGTGTACAAAATTATATTACAACCATTCCATCAAATTCCCGTCTTTTTTATAATACATCACCAATCTAATGGTCTTTGTTCCTCAGTAGGTTCAGTCTTAAAATAAACAGACTCTGTTTTTTCTATCTTTTGCTTTTTTTTGACAATCTTTTTGATTTCAGAAGACGGGCAGTATTGGCTGATAGGGCAGATGTCGCATCGAGGTCCACGTGGCAAACAAACAATTTGTCCATATCCAACCATAATTGGATTTAATTTTTTCCATCTGTCTTTAGGTAGCCACGATTGAAGATTCTGATAAGGATTTAATATATGTGTATATATACAAAGCATGGCTGTGTCTTACTGTTCTAGTTTCTTCTGGTGTTTTTGTCTTGACCCAACCTAAACGATTGCAGATACGATGTACATGAACATCTACACCGATACCGATATTCTTATCCCATGCCACTTGCAAAGTCAAGTAGCCCATTTTAGGTCCAACACCAGGTAAGTCTACTAAACCTTCAATTGTATCCGGAATATCACCAGCATACTGATCCCTGAGGATTTCGGCGGTACGCTTAATATAAGACGCCTTCTTTGTATGAAAACCAACTGCTGCAATCATTTTATCCAAAGCTGCTTCGTCAACATTCAATATGCTTTGCAGACAAAGTCCTCCTGGCAACTCTTTCTGAAGTTTTGCCACAGCAACACTGGTGACGGTATCTTTTGTCTGTGAAGAAAGCATTAAGGCTATCAAAGTTTGAAATCGTTGAACGACAGGAGAAGCCGTAGTATCCGCAAGTCTTTCACATCCCATTGTATCCACAGGTGCTTTTTCTTTTTCTCGAAAAGCTTCCAGCATTTCATATACAATGTCCCAGTTTTGAGGCTTATCTGCGTTATTTTTAGGTGTTGGTGTGGGTCCAATAGACAGTGCTTGTTGACTATCCTCGACTTTGACCTCGGGTGCTTTTCGTTTTTTAGTTGCTGTTTCTGTTTTGATTTTCTTTACAGCTGATTCTTTTTTGGCAGACCCATTGGAATTACTAATATTACGCGCACTACGACGCAAAGACATGATACAAACTAGTTTATATATATTGTATTTGACAAGAGAGAAAGAAAAAGAAAAAAGAAAGTACTTTTCGAATGATATATGCTGGCTTTCAAATGCGCAATGCGACACACGCGCGAGACAACCTGGGGTTTATTTCACCTTTTTTCTTTTTTATTCAAATCATGACTATTAAAGGAATTGCTGTATTTGACTTTGACTGGTAGAATAATACATAAATGCAGACCCTATCTTATAGACATATAGGTCACTTATCGAACAGGACAGCGATTATTGGACCATTCATAGCCTATCACCGGAGATATGGCAAGAAGTTCGTGAAAAGCAAGCTTCTTATCAATGGACAGACTTGATGTAAGTTTTCTCAATGGAGCCTCTATTTTAATATGTAGGGATTTTGCCCTGTGTCGATTGCAAGAAGCTGGTTTTACCAAAGGCGATATAGTGAATGTATTAAAGATGATACCTTTTGTAAATGTGAAACAACAAATACCTACATGCTATTGACTCGCTTCTATATTAGTCAGAGGAAATGCGATCTTTACTGCTAGAATTGAAGAAGAAGGACGTACCTGTTATTCTTTTATCGGACGCAAATACTTTTTATATTAATACTATTTTGATGGTAAAAATCAGGCGGAATTGATATCAATGTTTTAATAATGTATTTTGTGTAGGCATATGGTGTTCGTGAATGTGTCACAGAGATTATTACAAACCCTGCCTATGAGGACAAACAAGGTCGTTTGCGTGTTGAGCGTTATATTCGATCTTCAGACCCACAACATCAATGCAAGAATCTGTGTTCTGTAAACATTTGCAAAGGACAAGAGTTGGACAAAGTCATCGAACGTCATGGAGGTATTGAAGTTGTTCAGAAGATTGCTTATACAGGTGATGGAAGAAATGACTTTTGTCCTGCTACTCGGTTAAGAGATATCGATACTTTTTTTATGCGAAAAGAAAAAGGTTTGGATAGATACTTTGAACAGGTACCTGAAGAAAAGCAACAAATCACTTCCAAAATTGTGTATTGGTTGAAACCACAGACTGTTCTAGAGCATATGCCTGCTTTTCTTACTTTGTAAAAGAGAATTTTAATTACCAAATAATAAACTTGATGACTAAACATAATGTATTGGTTTCTGGAGAAAAAAACGGGCACAAATTATTCTACATATTATTTGCAGGATTAAGGTTATCTAGCTCAAGAAGGTAGAAATCTATATCAAAGTAGATCTCATGTTACACTGTATCCTAAGTCTACAATGGTTTATCTTATGACTATTGGAAACGATGTCATATATGGATGGTAATTTTAAGATCAAGAAGCTTCTGAGTCATGCAAACTTAATCTTTTTGATTTTTGCCTATTCCAAAAAAAAAAAGAGAGAGAGATTTTCGAGGTCAATTTGGATTGATAACTATCACTGAAACACTCTCTTATATAGTGCAACCACATCCAAGTTGAATGTTTATTCTTTTCTTGATTTCATATGCTTGTTTGATTTCTGAGATTTAATTGATGCATGATGAGAAAAAAATGTCAATTACATGAAGAAACTCAGGAACACACATTTGAAAGTATACTATTTAAAGACTTTCAAGAATAAGTGTCACCTTGTATTAAATTCTCCATTGAACAAACAATTTGTCCGATACCTAAAGCGTGGGTAAAGTGTTTAGAGTGAAGTAAATTCATGAGAAAGAGTGAATTAGTGCAACTTTTTTCTCCACATTTTTTTAGTGTCAAATGACATTGGTTACATTCTATTCGCTGTTTTCTATATGTAACCATGTCAAAATTTTCCGGGGGAGCTTTATGAATTCAAACCAAAGTGTAACCATCGCGACTATATAAACAACCAAGATGACAACAACAACAACAACAACAATAACAACAACAAAAGATGTATATTCCTTCTATCTCTTCTTCTCTAACTCTGCTGACTCTAATTGCCTCTGTCGTTCAAGCTGGAAAGACATGTACTGTTCAAAAAAGTCCAACAGATGACTCTCTTACTATTACTGATGCCTTCAAGCAATGCTCTACTGGTGGCACTGTTGTCTTCCCTAAAGGCAGTAATTATACACTTGACTCTATTGTCAATGTCAGTGGCTTAAAGAACGTCAAGGTCAAGTTTTATGGTACTGTCAATTTGCCTCAATACAACACAAAGTACAGCAATGAAAGTGTTTATTTTAGCATCAAGGGCACCAACATCAAGTTCGATGGTGGAGGAGTTGGTACTTTCCAAGGTGATGGTCAACAATGGTGGGACAAGCTTGACAAAACTTCCCCAACTGTCCTTGGTATCACAGCCAATAGTTCTACTTTCAAGGGCTTCAGAATGATCAATGCTCCTCGTTATCATATGGAAGTATTTAGCTCTCACAAAGTGACTCTTGAAAAAATTTATATTCATACTGCATCCATCAATGAAAATAAGCCCAAGAATACGTAAGTCCCGCTATATTATATATATATAAGCCTAACGTCCTTTTTTCTGTATGTAGTGACGCTTTAGATATCTACAACAGTACTGATATCACTTTCAGAGACTCTACTGTCACAGTGGGTGATGATTGCCTTTCAGTCAAGGATAATGCTACAAACATTATTGCAAAGAATTTGAATTGTACTGGTGGTCACGGCTTTAGTGTTGGGTCTCTTGGCAGAAACTATGCATACAACTATGTTAAAGGTATCCATGTCTCTGACAGCTACTGCTCTAATTGTCAAAATGGTGTTCGTATCAAGACATGGCCTGGTGGAAATGGTGCTGTTAGCGATATTGTATTTGAAAATGTTGAACTCGTTAACTCAGAAAACCCTGTTATCATTACCACCCACTACTGTGACAACAATGTGATGCAATACTGCTGGCCCAATATTGAAAAGTCTTTGGATATCAGTGGCGTCACAGTAAAGAACATTAGAGGGTAAGACGCGAATATTTTTTTTTCAAAAGCTAATAATTTTTGGTAGTTCTGTCTCCAATGATGGTAACCCAATGATCAATGTCAACTGTTCTTCTGCCTCACCTTGTTCTGGTTTTACTCTTACTAACATCAATCTCACAAAGAGTAACAACACTCCACCCAATGTTTGTGAACATCTTACTGGATCAGACAAGATTACTTATTGTTCTCAATAAGTTACTAATGTGTAATACCCCTTTGTACTAATAATAAGAATAAAAAAGGCTTTCAATATTTAGTTAGTATCACCTAGGTTCTGTCATAAATGTATTCTTTTGCTTAAAACATTTAAAGTTTAAATTTCTTAGTAATCATGCACCCTTAGTTTGTGCAATATTAATAAACGATGCCTGTTCTTTTCTTTTAATTTCCTTAAAAAGAATTAGTGATTTTATAAAAATAAAATGTATCTAAAAGTAATGAAAAACAAATGTGCAAATTACTAATAAAAAATCTTTGGGGCAAGTTCTTTTTGGCTCTGAGCATGTCTTCTTTAAAATGATGTATAAACTAACGATTTTCTTTATGTAAGTGTATGAATAGAATAACCGAATTCCAAAGGAGTTTGTATTCAAAAAAAAAACAAGTAAATAGAATAGAGTGGATACAATTCCGTGATTCCGTGATACCTCACATTAATTAGACAACGGGGCTTTGTTGGTTAAACAGCAAATTATTATCCTCTGACTTATGTGTTATAAATATCCTTAAACGTCTAGTAAAATCTGTATGTCAATGTTTGCGTATACGTATATGGTGCTATAGATTATGTAATACTGTCTATAAACATTACTGTCATTTTTGAGTCTTTGTCCTGTAAAGAATACACAATCGATTCAATAAAAAAGACATTCCATGTAACTTCTTGGCTCAAAAGGTAAGAACACACACAGCACAATTGTTTAAAAGGGAATGAGCAAAGCCACCTTTCATGTTCTCTTGAAACGATTCAAAAATACTTAGGGGTGTATTCTTTTAAAATCGCTCAAGTGTAACGTGTTACAAAATTGAACAGTAGATTGACAATTGAAGAGCAGAAGGCTAAATTCCTTCTTTTAGTGGTGATTGCTAATTAAACTACCCGGCTATATTTAATTAAACTTGTAGTCTGTGTGTTAAGTAGGTGGTATATGAACAATGAGCATTTGCCCAAAACACCAAAACCGCATGAACCGTTCCTTCTGTTTTCTCTCGATAGAGCATGTGACACTAAACATACACGTATTCATGCTGCAGGGCAAGTATATAGTTCGCGTACATCCAAACAACCGGATCAGTAACCCAAGAAGGAAACTACTCTTTGCGTCTTTTGATGTAACCAACAAGTAAACTAGATGATGAACAATAAACAAAAAGAAAAAATGCAAGCACGACTAACAAGATTTGTTTACATCCCGTGTGCTTCTAGACAGTATAACTTGCATTTCTCTTATTTTTTTTATCTTTATTTTAAATTGAAGAAACAAACTTTTTTTTTTCGCATGACATTTAAAAGAAAAATTTTTTTCTTCAACCTGTTCTGTGCAACAGGCATGTTTTTTTAGTAATATTATTACTGTGATTATTATTAAGTAAGCCTCAGTACAGTATGAAGGGAGAGTTATGATGAGAACGCACGATACTTTTATGCAGATTATAAGCTTATTTTTTATCTGGAAAAAACAGACAAACAAACAATGAACTGGCATGGCATGATCTAGCATCCTACTCATTTCAAGAGAAAAGAAAACGTGAAACTATAAAATTAGACAGACTATCAGAATTTAGAATCAACTCGGTCCGCTACTAAACTAATTGCGCTCAACAATATAAAGGGAACTAAGAGCAAGCGTTGCCGTGAAACAATGAGAAGCCTCTTAAAAAAGAGCAACATGCCACTTGAGCAAATCAACTTTTAAGGGCAACGTGGGTGTCCTAAAAGAACAAGCTCAATTCACATTTATGGAATTTTTTCATTCAATGCTATGAGTTAAAGCTTATCATAAACTTGTATCACCTCAAACTTTTATTGATTGCAGATAAAATAAAGAATCATTGGTTAATGTGAGAAGGGTAACAAAGGGTAAATAAAAGGTACAAATAGTCAATGTTACTACAAATTGTACAATTTAGTAAGTATGTTTAGATATGACGAAAATATGTATGCAACGGAGCTCTATCTTGATCAGGAAATAAACAGAAAAGTGTGTCCTCTTTTTGACAATAATCATTGAATTGAGTTTTTGTAATGACGATTCATGTAACATGCTTAAATATTTAGCTAGTGGCAAAGCCTTACGATTAATGTGCTTCAATTGAAGTCTTTCTGTCATCTCCTTTTATAGGTCAAGGGAAACGCGGGCGCTAATTTAATAAATTTGTCTTTTCTCTTTCTTTCTTTCTTTTTTCTTTCTACTTCTTCTTCTTTTACTTGACCATATACGCGTTTTGTATATACATACATATTTATTCAAAATAACTCTACTGTATACTGTCAAATTAGTTTTCAATGAGTGATTATCATCACTTGACAGATGCAGAAGAATATTATGGATTTTATTTACCAAACAATAGCCAGACTATAGAATCCCCATCAACAACCGCTTCCTCCATCTCCCCTACTGCAGCCAGTATGCAATACTCACAAAATATGATTTGGCAAACACCGAACTGTTTCGATTCAACATCTAATAATTGCTATTACCCACAACCTTTGTCATTCCCTACTTACAATAGTTTTCCTAATACAACTTCACATCCATATGCCTCATCTGTATCTTTACCATATAATCATTACCAATCTAACATACATTGTCAGCATCATCAGCAACAGCAACAACAGCAGCAGCAACAACAACAGCAGCAGCAGCAGCAATATCCGAGACAAAATATATACCAAAAAGCTTCTATATCATTTCCAACAGAAAACATCAACAATACCATTCATTCACCCATCATAGACAAAGGAATGGAGCCTAAAACTTCTCCTCCATCACCCAAAACAACACCTTTACCTTCTCCCGAATTACTCAACACAAGCAAGCGCAAGAGAAAAAATTCCATCATGTCTTGCAAGCAAAAAGAAGGAGTAAGGCGGGATGATCCTGACCTGGGCAATGCCAGAGACAGGAACACAAAAACTATACATTTTGCTAAAGGTGGCGCTGATGTAGCAACAAGGAGAGAAGATCGTTTTGTGAAAAGTAATACTCAAACTGTCGATCAACTCGAGAATGAACTCGCTTTTCTTAGAGACGAATGTGCAACCATATTGATTAATCTTGGTTCTCTTCGTAATGCTTTCCTGGCTCAAAGCCCTCCATCAGCATCTACCTCTACCAATAACAGACAGCCTTTGATGACAACACTTAGTTTTACGCCGGAAGAAGGGAAGGAAGAAAACATAAAAAAAAAACAAAAATCAATCGCACAGAATCCAGAAATGGAGCGTGAAATGCGAATCGCTTATGATGATTTAATGCTCCAAGTTAGACAAGTGGAAAAAAAATTGAGACATTAGAAGCTAAAAGCAAAGAAATAGGCTCAAATCAACTATCAATACCAACATTAGAAGAAAGCAATGCAACAAAACGACAAAAACAATGCTATTAAGCCTATCTAAATTGACTCTATATACACTCAAATATGCCCACTCTTTTGGAAAAAAATGATTCCTCATGGTCTATTTTATATGAATTTACCCCTGATTTTTCCTAATTTATGTCTATACATGATCTCGGCCGAGCAAGGCCGATTATTCGTAATAAAATAAGCTTGTTAAAACTTTGAATATTTCTCTTCGTGTTCGACACATACCAATGACGTGTTTAATAGTAATTCTTGCCTTTGTTTATCTCCTTCTGCTTCTTTGAATGATAGGCAAGTGTTACTGAATATAAATAGATTTCAAATCGTTTACCTATTACCAAGTAAAGAAGAAAAAAAAGAGAAACAAATAATACAATTTACACTGACTGATTAACTCAAATATGGTACTCTTTTTCTAAAAAAAAACAAAACAAAACAAAACAAAATAAACGCGTTCTGGAAGCAGCAAGTCAAAAAACTATTTCAGCTTTTTTTTATTGTTGATTCTCAGTTGAGTTACACATAGTGTTAGATAAGCTAAGCATGTTTAGGAAATTCGATCAAGTTATTATTTAAATGTACAATGAAAATACATAAATCACAGCTTCAACAAAAAGCTGTGCATTGCAATGACACAGTATTACTTGCCGGTTAAAAATTTACTCAATCGACGATTGAGAACCGGCTTCGATTTGAAAACCAGAAGATTGCGGGGTAAATAAAGGCGTGTTTCTCATGTTGCACGTGAAGGATTCCGGTGGAGACAGAAACAAGGGACCTTGTTCAATGCCGTCTTATTTATAATACAAAATATACGTAAAGCAGATCGAGGCGACCGGAAATGTTCGTAATCTCTTTGGCTGCTGGCTTGCTTGAGTTGCATTTTTTCTCGGTCAGTCATTATTCATTTTGTCCCTTTTTTTTCGTAACATACTACACCACCCCCTCTCTTTTTTTTTGTTATAAAGTAATATGTTGAAGTTCTTGCAATCTTCTTCAACCAAAGCAGTAAGTTGCAAAAACAAATCCTTTGTCGACTTTGCTAACCTCAATTTTTTTCTGCTTCGCGTAGTTACGTACTGCTCGTAAGTGAATGAAATTTTTTATCACAACAACCAACTTATTGACTCTATAATAGACACCAACGCTGGTAGAATGGCCTCCCGTGGTCTTCACCATGCTAAGCCTGCTATGCAAGTCATGGCTACTAACCCTCTCCGTGCTAAAGAAGCTACTGTAGGTTATGAATTATATCTTTTTTTTATAGCTGTTTATTCACACTTTATGCTAGGGTCCCATTGCTAGTCAATATCCCGTCATTGACCACGAATACGATGCTGTCGTTGTCGGTGCTGGTGGTGCCGGTCTTCGTGCTGCTTTTGGTCTTGCCGAAGCTGGTTTAAACACTGCTTGTATTACAAAGTTGTTCCCTACTCGTTCTCACACTGTCGCAGCTCAGGTAAAAATAAAAAAAAAATAGTGATAGCCTATAGACACACCGATTTAAGATCAGCATGAATTGACTTTTTTTTTAGGGTGGTATCAATGCTGCTCTTGGTAACATGACAGAAGATGACTGGAGATGGCACATGTACGATACTGTCAAAGGTTCTGATTGGCTTGGTGATCAAGACGCTATTCACTACATGTGTCGTGAAGCTCCTAGCACTGTCATTGAACTTGAAAACTATGGTGTTCCTTTCTCTAGAACTCCTGAGGGTAAGATCTACCAACGTGCCTTTGGTGGTCAAAGTTTGAAGTATGGTAAGGGTGGTCAAGCCTACCGTTGTGCTGCCGTCGCTGATCGTACTGGTCATGCCATTCTTCACACTTTATACGGTCAATCTCTTCGCCACAACACCAACTACTTTATCGAATACTTTGCTCTTGATTTGATCATGGAAGATGGTGAATGTAAGGGTGTTGTTGCCTTGAACATGGAAGATGGTACCATTCACCGTTTCAGATCTCACAAGACTGTTCTTGCCACCGGTGGTTACGGTCGTGCCTACTTCTCTTGTACTTCTGCCCACACCTGTACCGGTGATGGTAATGCTATGGTTGCCCGTGCTGGTCTCCCTCTCCAAGATCTTGAATTCGTTCAATTCCACCCTACCGGTATCTATGGTTCTGGTTGTCTTATCACTGAAGGTTCTCGTGGTGAAGGTGGTTATCTTGTCAACTCTGCTGGTGAACGTTTCATGGAACGTTACGCTCCTACTGCCAAGGATTTGGCTTCCCGTGACGTTGTCTCTCGTGCCATGACCATGGAAATCAAGGCTGGTCGTGGTGTTGGTCCTGAAAAGGATCACATCTATCTTCAACTTCACCACTTGCCTCCTGCTGTCCTTCATGAACGTTTGCCTGGTATTTCCGAAACTGCTGCTATTTTCGCCGGTGTTGATGTGACCAAAGAACCTATTCCTGTCTTACCTACTGTTCACTACAACATGGGTGGTATTCCTACCCGTTACACTGGTGAAGTGATCAAGGTCAATGAAAAGGGTGAAGATGAAGTTATTCCTGGTCTTTATGCTGCTGGTGAAGCTGCCTGTGTCTCTGTCCATGGTGCTAACCGTCTTGGTGCCAACTCACTTTTGGATATCGTTGTCTTTGGTCGTGCTGTCGCTCACCACATTGCCGAGACACTTGAACCCAACACTCCCTTGAAGCCTTTTGCTGCTGATGCTGGTGCTCAAACACTCGCTAACTTGGACAAGCTCAGAAATGCTTCTGGTTCCAAGCGTACCTCTGAAATTCGTCTCGACATGCAAAAGGTGATGCAATCTGATGCTGCTGTCTTTAGAACTCAAGAAACACTTGATGAAGGTAAGCACATAAAGCCTATTTGTATAATATATACTCATGAATTTTAGGTGTTACTAAGATTGACAAGGTTTGGAGCTCATTCAAGGACGTTGGTGTTACTGATCGTGGTATGATCTGGAACACTGATTTGGTCGAAACACTTGAACTTCAAAACTTGTTGACTTGTGCTTCTCAAACCATGCATTCTGCTGCTGTTCGTAAGGAATCTCGCGGTGCTCATGCCCGTGATGACTGTACTGAGCGTGACGATGTTAACTGGATGAAACATACCCTCTCTTACCAAAACCAAGAAACTGGTGAAGTCACTCTCAGCTACCGTGCTGTCACTGACACTACTCTTGACGAAGCTGAATGCAAGCCTGTTCCTCCATTTGCCCGTGTTTACTAAACCATCTATTATATATATAAAAAAGATATATAAACTAGTGTTGAGTCAATTAGTAGTGTACTAATCCAGCGCACTACATATTTTTTTTCTTTTATAAAATATCAGATTTGAAAAAAAAAAAAAAAACTTTTTTCTCTCTCTATTTCACTATCTCTTTTTTTCTCTTAAAAATGAATCCAGAGTCATCCTCGACTAATGAAGTAACAAGGAACTATTTACCACCCATTCCAGTTATGATGCGACATCCTTACATTGTTGCATCTGTTAAACAATATAGGGCAGAAGCACAGAATGAGCAGTTGCAAACACATATTGTTTCTGAATCGTTCATCCCAATGACACCCAACTTAGTGAAACCGCCAAGAAAGAGACGACGTCCACCATTTTCGTATTCTTCTTTAATAGCACAAGCCATTTTAGAGAACAAGGATGAACGTATGACGTTAAGAGAAATTTACAAATGGATTACTGAACGATATCCTGCTCTGTATAATGCAGAAGATACAGGTTGGCAGGTAAAAAAAAAAAAATAAAAATAAAAATAAAAAAAATGCATTCATCATCGTGTTACTAAAAAAAAAGGGATGTTAGAACACAATAAGGCATAACTTGTCATTAAACAAATGCTTTAAAAAAGTGCCTAGATCAGAATTAGCAGAAGGACACAGAGGCAAAGGCGGTTATTGGACAATAGACCCATCACATATGGAAAAGTTTAAAAATGGAGCATTTGCTAAAGACTCTATGCGACGAAAACAGCCGACTTCTTTTTCGTCCTCTTCATCGCCTACATTACCAGATACCCCTGTTACAGAACCATGTCCTGCTATGCAGATCCATAATTTGTTAAATTAGTGTAGTTTTCGTTTTGTAAATCACGTTGATTATTCCTCGCATTTTCATACATTATATATATCCCCCCCCTTCATGTACATTTTGTAAAATCAAACCCACTCTTATCTATCTGATAATGAAATGATAATAGCTATTATGCAAAAAAGAAAGAAAAAAAAACCACCAATTCATAGGATAACTAACTAAGCCATCATGCTGTGTCTTCCTCCCTTATTTGCCCATTTGTGTTCAAGTAAAAACGTAAGATCGCCAAAGAAAAAAAACACATAAAATGAGTTTAAACTTTAAGGAAGGGCTTTATGGAGTACAATCAAGGTAGATAAAGCTGTCAAGTGTACAAAATACTGTCGAAAAAAAAAAAAAAACTTTATTTATCTGTATATACAAATGTATAAAAACCAGAACACAACATAAATTATCTTTTTTCATGCAAAAAAAAAAAAATCTTTTTTTTTCCTTGCTCGTCAAGTGAATTCTCGAATTGCTTCCCAGATGAACTAAATTTCGTGCTACCATGCGTATGAAATATAAAATAATGATAGATATATATATTATTACCATTAAAGTGTGCCTGTAAACTGTAGGAATAAGCTTATTTCATATTTATAAAAATAACTGCAGAAAAAAAGACGTGTTTTTTATTAAATCAAGCATCAATTAAGAGCATTTATAAAGTCAAAATAGGTGTAACGATTGTTATTTTTTTTTTTCGTATTTATGTGTCTCGACTTGTTTACTTTTCTCTCGCTCTCTTTCTTTCCTCTTTTTTTCTTTCTCTCTTTTGATATTTAGTTATGAGTTATAACAATCAACATTTTTTTCCTCCTCTTGTTCTGGAACCAAAAAACGATACCCGTTCAAATTCACCAATGCAAATGAATGAACCTTTAAAAAGTAGTAGGAATATCCATAAAGACCTATTTTAATCTTTGCATAGATTATTTACCCACACGACAATTGCCTTCTCTTGATTCACTTCAACAGCAACAGCAAGAGGATTATGTTCGAATCAAGTTTTCGGGTATGTCCGTTGGTGTTGCACCAAATTCAATACAAGAACGTGCTCTTTCCAGCGAATATCTTCAGCCAACGGAATATATGCGCCCAAACCAGCCATTGCTAAGAAGAGCCGTGCTCCAGCAACAGCAATATGGTCCTCATCGTCGTCATTCAATAGCTAATATGGACTTGGATACTAATCATCATAGACGATACGGTAATCATTCTTTTTTTTTTTTTTTTTTGAAAATTATCATTGATGACATGATAGAATTCTCTTCTTCTGTCCTTCCTCTTCCACCACCACCACCTCCTGTTCTATCTACGGGTCATTATTCAGCTCCTTCTAGTCCACCCACAGTACAAAACCGATTAGCAAAACCATATCAACGTCCGCCTTATACAAAAAAGAGTGCCATTTATCAAGAAGAAGAACATTTATTACGTAATATGCGTCGTCATTCTTCAGCTTATCAACAAGATAAAGACATTGCCGAAAAAAGACGTCTGTCACTTTATTCTGTCATGGTAACACATAAGTTGCTATCGATCATGTTGATTAAATTTTGATAAATAGCCTTCAGGGAAAAGTGATGAAGATATTGAAGAAGATGAAGATGATGAATATCATAAAAAGAAGACAGAAGAAACAGAAGGGTTTTATTCTAGAAGTCCTGAACTTCGTATTAGTCACAAATTAGCTGAAAGAAAGAGAAGAAAAGAAATGAAAGAGTTGTTTGATGAATTAAAAAATGTTCTTCCAGTAGACAAGTCAATAAAGACAAGTAAATGGGAAATTTTGACAAAAGGTAAGGCTAAGTTTATGCAGTATTTTTTTTTCTTAGAACGATGTTTAGCTGTCGAATATATTAGTGTGTTAAGAAACAGAGATTATAATATGGAGCAAGAATTAATGGCATTAAAGCAAGAACTTGAATCAGTAAAAAATTCTTAGTTGCAACATCCTAATTCGGAAAATGAACATTTAAATCTGAACAAATCCGGACCATAGCATTAAAAAAAAAGGAAAGCATAATAAAGCAAAAAGACACGGACGAATGAATAGATACATACACGCAATGATATACATTCATTTCTTCTAAATTTAACATAGTGATAGAAGCAAGAACCAAAGAAGAAGAAGAAAAACTAAAGCTAAAGAAGTGTAACTTCACTTACACGTGTCAAAATATACATATAAATATATAAAAATGTGGTGTGTGTGTGTGTGTTCCCCTATTTTCTCTTTTCTCTTCTTATTTTTTATTCATGTCTTCTACAAAATCAATACAGATAAGAAAAGACATTGACGATGCACGGTGTACAGGCAACTGGACTGCCATACCTGATCTTGCTAGACGCTATAAAAAGTACAACTCAGAAGGAACAAGTAAGTTGCTCAAGTTACTCAATCTGCAGATTACCAACATACCGAAAATAGTATTGGAACAGACAGTAGTAGCAGAAGCAGCTTTTATTCAAACACTGACTAAGGCGCGTACAAATTCAATCAACTATCAAGCAGATAGTCCAGATCATATCAGCATGGAAGATAGACTCGATCTTCAACTCGTTAAGCCAATTCAAAGTCAATTAATAGCTGCTATTCAATTGTCAGATCCCAATCATGAATATGCAACTCAAAAAGAGGTAACAAAAAAAAAGGCAACATTAGTCTGTGTGGCAGGCATACTTATTCATGTCTAGTTTGCAAAGATCATTTTGGCCCGTACTCATTTTGAATGTGGAGAGTACGACAAGGCTATTGAGATTATTGAGAAATTATCATTTGAAAAAGAACAAGTCAGTCAAGGATATGGGCTCATTTTATTCTTGACAGCAAGAGCCATTAAAGGTACAGCATCACCAAACTGCTTTTTATAGATCTAACACTCGATCAGCCATATCCTATGAATTGACAGGCAATGAAACTGCAGCTATTCAAAGTTATGAAGGTGTAGAAGCATTATTGGCTGAAAATCCAAATGTCAAACACATTACATTGATTGAATGGGCAGAAGAGTCACTTTATCGTGCGACATTGTTAGGATTAAAACAAGGGTAACATATCTTGATCTATAGTCCATTAAAATGACTTCTTGTTCTTACAGATCCCAAGCAAATACTCCGACCCTCTTAGGATTCATGCGTCAATATCAAAAAAGAACAGCATTACAGCCCAATCATTGGCGCTTACAAAAGCGTCTTGTTATTACGCGACACTCATTGCGCCACGCTTCCGTTATTTATCGCTCTGGTAACTATTGTTTACCAGCGAATCAATCACAAGCCGAAAGAGATCCTCAGTTAGAACGCCAATTTTTTATTATGGAACAATCCCAACTTCACACTATATATGAGAAAATGCTGTATTTAGATGTTCCTCTACCAAGAGCAGGCCAAGTGAACTCACATGTGCTTGACTTTGTGGACCAATTTGCCAGTGATTTTGAGTTGATTGGTACAACAGCACACGATTTACGTGGATTTGTGGAGGTTTTGGACCGTGCGTCTCAGCGTACGTTTAATTCGCCTTTGATTACTCGTCATTTGTTTCATGCGCTAGTACGTTTGGGTGAATTTGAAGAAGCAGAACATGCGTTGCATTCGTATCTGTATTTAGTGGGATTGGTGTCTCATGGATGGAAAGAAACTCGATATGATGGACCCGCTGTGGTGTCAAGCAAGACAGGATCGAGTAGACCTGTGCCAAATCCTCGTCCTGATGTAGTAGATCAAGAGGATAGCCATGAAAAGAAACCAGGTGGTGTTCGTGAATCCATCATGAGCGACGTATCTGATATCAAAATGGCTGAAAAAGAAAGTAGTAAACATACCCTTCAAGTACTTTTAGCAGCTATCAAAATGTATTGTCAAGATTTAGGCCGTAGTGTAGAAGCAGTAGAGATGGCAGAAATCGCTAAAGAGTTTTATCAAAAGCAACATAAACAAGAGCGCATGACAGTTTTATTAGACATAGGCCCATGTGTGTATCGTGCAATTGGCATTGCTTATGGCTTACTGGGATCTCAAAGTAAGTTTAGATGAAGTCTATAGAATACATGCTGATCTGTATAGCTCTTGATCCTGAACTTCGTCCAACCTACCATGAGACATCCTTAAACTATTTAAAACAAGCATTGGAACTCAACTCACATGCCTGGCAATCATTTTATCAACTTGCTTTACAACAAGCAGAAATGCGTGATATTGGTCAAGCAATTCAGTCAGTTACTCAAGCTATTCAGCGTAACCCTAACCATGTTCCTTCGTGGCATCTATTGACTTTACTCATTTCTTGTCCTGTTCAAGACGACTACAAACAAGCACTCAAAACATGCGATATGGGCCTTCAACAAGCTCATATGGAAGACCAAGAGGGAGAAGGTGACATAAACCAGTTTGATGAAGCCGAGCAACATATGATGTACCATATCACTCGTATCCTTTTAATGCACACTATGCATGGGCCAGAATCAGCACTTGAATCTTCTGAGACCTTGTTTAGTCTGTTTCGTAAAGTAGCTATGCCAGAGCCCTCAATGAGTACAGCTAGCTCAGAGAATTTGGCTTATGCAGGCGCACATCATGGCATGATTGTTTCTGGATCGTTTGGTAATCTAAGCGAATTGAATTTAGCAGCAGAACAAAGAAAACGAGGACGTAGTACTAGTAACAGTACGACCATGTCTCAACTTCCTCATTCAGCTGTTGAACTAGGATCTCGATCACATGATATTATGCTAAACCCTACTACAGAAACAAAAAAGACAGGGAGAGCACGCTCTGCTTCTAATCTATCAATGCAACCATCACCTTTAGGGCCAAGTCATAGTCAATTATTATCTGTGCCTGATACAAGTGCAACAACTCAACAACAGCAACACCATCATCATTTACCTCATGGGCTTCATTTGTTTAGATCTAGAAGCTCTAGTATTCGTAAATCGCAGCAGCCTGAAAATCTAGTTCCTTCTTCTTCAGCTACGACCAATGCTCCTAAATCTAATGTTAGTATGCAGTCTCTACCTACATCTCCTTATGGTATGTACCATGTCATGTCAAAGTGATACTCATTCTTGAATATAGATATGAAAAATGCTGCTGGCAACTCAGTTGCATCTCTTCAAAGTATTGCACCTTCAATCATGAGCACAAATTCCATTTTGCAACCTTCAACGATACCCACAAAGCCTAGTACACGTATGGTGTTACGAAAGGAACGCTCAGATCGTATCTTATCTGACCTTTGGTTATTGACAGCACGCATGTTTATCCAACTAGGTAAATTAGACGAAGCACATAAAGCGTTAGAAGAAGCAGAGAATGTGGACTGGACCTCTAATCCTCAAGTATGGTGTGTCTTGGGTCAGTTATTGCAAGCAGAGGGTGATCCCGAGCAAGCACAGGCTGCTTTCTATAAGTCTTTAGCTATTGATCCTCATGATGTTACATGTCGTTTGGAACTTGCCAAATCACATTTATCGCAAGATAATCAAGAAATTGCTGAAGGCATTTTAGATGTCATGACAAAATCAAATGGTTGGAATTGTGCAGAAGCATGGTAAATGGAATGCGTTTGTTTAAATCATACTTATACAAAAAATTAGGTTTCATTTAGGTGAAATATACAAAAATACAGACAGAATTGATCGTACAAAAGCATGCTTATTTTATGCACTTGAATTAGAATCTACAACACCTATTCAGCCATTTTCTGTCTTGTCACGTTTTGCATAAAAATGATAAACATTGTTGTTTCTAATGCTTGTGTTGGGTATTTTTTTTCTTTAAAAAAAATAATAATATCTACAGTGTGTATACAAAAAAAAAAAAAAAAAAAAAAAAGCGATCATCATGTTGTATAGCTACGACTAAATGTATTGTCAGCAGTTGATCCTTGTCCATATTCTTCTTCTTTTTTGTCAGTAACGTTAAGTTTTCTGATCTCATTAAAGGCGCGAGAAAAGAAAGGTCTAATTTCATTAATTTCCATTAAAGATAGGTTGTTCATCTAAATAACACATTAAAAAACACTGTTGTATATATGTACATTCTCATTACCCCAAGCCATTTATCATCAAGTACGCTAAGACCAGCTCTTGATTTTGCCTGTCTTGTTTCTCGAAGATCTTTAAGAATCTTGCGGATTTGTTCAGAATCAGGAATATCATCCTCAGCACTGTACATTGCGATTAGATACAGATAGAAAAATACAAATATTCACCTACGCTTCTAGTAGCATTTGTGATAATTCCATATAATGAAAGGGTAATTTGCTGAATTCTTCTTCTTTTTCTTCTTCCTCATGTCTCTTCTTCAAGTATTCTATATAATATATCAGAAAAAAAAGTTCAATTCTTCTGATAGTTTACCAATATTAAGCCATTCAGGACAAAGAATGCTACATTTGCTGTTCTTTTTCATAATCAATGCTAGCCAAACAGGTACTTTCACAGCCAAGGGAGGTTGAAAGGGACCAAAGGAACCCTATAATAAAGAATGAATACACCACAAAAGCGCGTTGAGCTCTATTTACTTGAATAAAATGTAAACGTGGTATTTTTATCTTGGGAATAATCGAGATCAATTCAGAGCCTGCGATAAACTCAATTTCTCCTGGCGTAAAAGAAGCTTGGTGTGTACGTGGTATAGCCATAACGAAAAAGTAAAGAAAAAAAAGAAGAGAAAAATTTCTTTTTCATTTTCTAAAAGACAGATCCGGACAGTTGCCTATTTGGATTCGGGCACGCTTTTTCCCTTTTATAATTTCTCTTGTAGAAATGACAGCAATGCACAAGACAATAACCAAAAAAACAAGCGACTGGGAACAAGAAAGACACACTGTTAGCTCAATTTGATACGCTTGAAGAAGCGGAAGGATATATCAAGAACTATGCTCGATCGCAAGGCTTTTGCTTGACACGGCGTTCGTCACGGCTCAGCTCAACCAAAGGTGCTCGTTATATTAACCTCACCTGTGTTCAAGGAGGTATCTATCGAGAGACTTGGCGAGTGAAGTCTACTACACACCCAAAAAAGTGAGCGAGCATCAAAATAGGATGTCAATATTCCATTCGCATCACCAAGAAATTCAACAAATGGCATGTCGAGTCGCCTAAAAAACCAACATCTCAAACTCCTCCTTATTCTTCACAATACCAAGAATTTGAGGATTTATTGAGTCAAACCACCAGCCTACAACGAATACAGTGTTATGCGTTAAAGATGGTATTGTTGTTTTTTCGCCTTCAATAATTATTTAATTAAACTTTATGTCTGTGCTTTTAATGCATCCATTCTTTTATAGCAACTTTTAACAAAAAAAAATGTCCAGATACCGCAATTGATGGCATTGATTTTACCCAAAAAAAAAAGCTTATTACAAAGCTATTATCAATTGGGTAAAAGTTATCGAGATATTGTTTGTGTGAGCTATCTTGTGTCAATCTGTGTTGCCTTAAAAGAAAAAAAGATGGGGGAGAGATGAACACAAGAAAAAGAAATGATTTATTAAGATTATAAGATTATATTTATAGAAATGCCAACAGTGAAGAAAGAATGTGAATGCAAGAAATATGGAGGAGTGAAGATGGGCACCGCCCTATGTATAAAGAGTGTATATGGTTTAACATGTTTGTTCTGTATCAATCAAATGGTCCATGTTAAAATCTAATAAAGAGGGGCATGGTTTGTTTCTTAGTTATGTTGAGGAGGATGTTAAGTATATTTTACCATAATCTTGTTGATCTGTTGAAGTGTTATTGACAAGCAAAGTATCCCAAGGATCGCAAGTTCCAGAAGCAGTGTTTTTAGGACTATTTCTTTGTTCTTTTTCAGGCTGCTGATAAGGATGATGGCGTAATGACTTGTGATTTCCGGATGATTTTTTAATTTGGTGTGGTTGGGGTTTCGAGTATGAGAAATTGTAACCATTCGTGAGACGAACAGGTTCAAATGTGGGTGTTATGTCTTCTTCTTCTTCTGCCACTGTCGTAGCATGGCGTAAAGTAGGTGATGGTGATGAAGCCGTATTATAAGAGGAGTCGGAGGATAGTGATGAAGCATATGATGAGTTATTTTTAGGATCTTGACTAACTGTCTTTCCAAAACTAATACCCAAAAGAGCAGAGATATCGGTGGGATTTAATTGTTGATGGCTGTATTGTTCCAACATTGGTCCAAGGTGAAGTTCGTTTATGTCAACCTGTTTGCGTTCTTCTTCTTGTTGCTTTTGTTGTTGCTTAAAATCAAGTTCACCAAGACCTTGAAGGCGTCTCCATTTATTCGTCGTGCGTCTCAAATCATAATCGATCGTCAAAAACCAGTATTTCTCAAAAAATTCAGGTGGCAATTGCCAATTGGCAGCAATAGCAGGGTCACCACCATGAAAGACAGAGTGGGCTAATAAACAGCGGAAACAATCATCTAAATCAAATTGATCTCTAAATAAGATCATTCGGTCTCGCATATGTGGTGTTGGAATCAAGTCAATACGTGGATCATGAGGAATTGTCAACTGTATTTTGTATTAGTCAAGTTTTTTCCCCACATTTTTTTTTACCTGCAATAATGTCGGCTGGATAGCAAAAGGTATGGAGTCCATGCGAACACAAGCAGATTGAAGACGAAGGCGAAGTCGGAGTGTTTGAATAGCAGCGAGATTAGAAGTAAGTGGCTCTTCAGCCAACATGACAGGGTGTGGGGTATGGGTTTCTGGTTCAGGACTATGATTAGAGACAGGAGGGGAAGGTTGTTGTGGAAGAGAAAGAGGGGATTCGGAATCTGAATCCATAGAACCTGGAGAAAGCGGAGGCATGGTAGTTGCTAATTCTTCATCATGTTGTTGCTGCTCCAATGGATGTACAAGATGCTCAGTGGGAACATCTGAGCTATAAAGTCTGTCTAGGGAATCTTGCGATACAGAAAGACTTGCTGTCTTTGAAGTACGGTCGGACACAGAATGAATTCCATCTTTCGTAATAACAATTGAGCCGGTGGAAAGATACCGATCACGCTGCTTCATCGTGTGTCGGTATCCAAATAGTTTGGAGGGAATGGGTAATTTATTGCTAGCATTTACACTAATATAGGCTGCGATGGGTTCAGGAATTGACTGTGCGAGTACTGAAATGGCTTGCTCGTTAATGTATGGCCCATGTTGAGGAATCACCAGATTGTGTTGAAAACACACAAGCTGTAAAGTGAGCACAATCCCTTTCAAGTACCAATTTTCTGAGCGTAGAATCTCTTGGTCGGCTTTGAATTGTTCGTTTTCTACATGTAACTTGTCTCGTTGTTCTCGAATTTGTTTGATGGCTATTTCAAGTTCTCGCATATGCCGTTCTTTGCGTTCTCGAAAAGCTCGTTGAGCTGCTCGGTTTTGAGCTTTACGAAGTGCCGGGGAAGCAGGATTGGGCTTGCGTCCAGGCTTTTTTCTGATTTTGATAGGCTGTCCATTCGACTGCGTTTGTGGTCCTGGTTGAGGTGTATCTTGTTCCATGGCAACACTTTCGTTATCTGACATAATTCGAAACTAAGAGAAATAAGGAGAAAAGAAAAAAAAGAGGAAATATTTCAAAAATAGCTTTTATAGAGGTCAAGAGAAACACAAAAGGCGGGGTGATGTACAACAATAAAAAAAGGGATTATTTGGCTACGCCAATAAACGTTTTTCTTTTCCCCAGCTCCTTCCCACACTACAGAATGATTCTCGGCTAAATTGGTGCTATGACAGTGTAACATCAAAACTTTAATTGTATCAAGGCTAATTTCCCTAAAGCTGTCATGATCGTAAAAAGTTTTGAACAGAACTTGCTATCTTAAAAAGAAGTTGATTGAAGGCTTAAATAAGTCAGCCGTATCGTATTGCCTATCTTTTTTTACTTTCTTTCTTAGTGTCAATTACTTCATGCTGCGTCTTTTATCGGTAGTATATTTACTGCTTCTTTTTGAAATTACAGTCGCACAGACACTGTACGATGAAACCAATCAAAACATAAGATTCTACGAGTTCAATATCACTCAAAAATCCATTAATCCAGACTGTTCAAATCAAACAACGCCTGCTTTCTTGATCAACGAACAGATGCCCGGTCCTGTTGTATCTGCGACACAAGGTGATATTGTGCGTGTCCTTGTTCGTAACCAACTTGAACATGGTCCAAATGAAGTATCTATTCATTTTCATGGTATTCGTCAGTATGGTTCTGTTCATTCAGATGGTGTGCCCTATTTAACACAAAAGCCCATTGCTCCTGGAGAGACATTTTTGCATGAATTTCGAGTCATCAATCAGGCCGGAACTTTTTTCTATCATGCACATGTAGGCATGCAGGAATCCACTTTATTTGGGCCTATTATTATTTATGAATCCGAGGATGCTGATCCGGAGAATTACATGAAAAAAAAACGATTAAGCCGCCTTACCTTTCCAAAAAGTAGCGATGATGAAGACAGCGACGAAGATGAAGATGAAGATGAAGAAGAAGACTATCGCATGTCTGCTGGTCCTTATGAATATGACGAAGAACGTACCTTGATACTAAGTGAATGGTGGCATCGAACACATACTGAATTAGAAGAATACTTGTTGGGTCCTAATTTTAAAGGCATTCCTGAAGCAGAGACAATTCTGATTAATGGAATGGGACTAAGAGACCCAAATAATATTGAAGAATCTGAATGCCGAGGATACGATGTGATTCCTGTAAAGCCAAACAAGACCTATCGATTAAGAGTGATTGGTGCCACTGCTTTCCGAACACTCGGCCTTGCCATAGCCAACCATAACTTGACAATCATTGAAGTCGACGGTGAATTGACTCAGCCTCATACCGTTAATGAACTCGAAGTTGCTTCGGGCCAGCGTTTCTCAGTTCTGTTGAAAACACATCATGATATCGATGACTTTGGTATTCAAGTCGTTCGACGATGGTCTGACGATATTCAGAGAGCTACCAATGGTCTGGCTGTCTTGCGATATGAGCCTGAAGTCCATCAAGAATCCAATGATCGCGGTGTATTGCATCTCAAGAACCCATTTGTCCGAGTTGCACCCCATCATGTTCCTTCCTTTGATGGTCCCGATAAAGAACTCCCTAACTGGCTTTGGCCCAATATCCAACCTCTTCATGGTGTTGACCCTATTGTCTACAAATCTCCCAGTAGAACCATTGTGTTACGAGCAACAGACAAGAAACAAAGTGATGGTCGTTCTAGATGGTATATCAATGAAGTGTCTTATTCAGAAGAAATGAGCCATGAAATGCCTATTCTTGAACAACTCAGATTAGATCGTCGTCCTTTGCCTGCCATAGATAACTTGAAAGCTTCTAGTAATGGCTATGACCGCAACTTGGGTACTTATCCTATACGACACTTTGAAATTGTGGACTTCGTATTTCAATCTACACATATACCTGGTGAACCTTGTCGTAGTCATCCTTGGCATACACATGGTCACTCTCATTGGGAAATAGCCAATGGTATGGGTGAATACAGTCAAAAAAAGCATGGTCATATAAGAAATGTCAAGACGCCTATTCAAAAGGATATTACTATGGTATACCCTTTTATTGATCCTCAACTTTCTATCCCACAAAACAACCGTCGTGCTGTAGGTTGTGGGTGGTCCAAAGTGCGAATACTAGCTGTAAGTTTACCAATATCTCTCACTATACTCATTCTCTATAGGATAATCCGGGTATTTGGGCCATTCATTGTCATAACACAGCACACATGTTGATGGGCATGATGACAGCCATTGAAGAAGCGCCAGAACTTATTTCAAGAACAAGTAGATCAAGATAATAAAAAAAGACCACGATTCATTTATTATACATATGATTGGCCACCACGAAGAGCCAACACTAAATGAAGAACAGAACCACCTTCGATACCATAATGTGTAGCTGTCATCTCATCAGCCCTATTATTTAATCTATTAAAACACTATATTTGCTTTCTTTTCTGTTACATTTGCTTTCCACTGTAAATAAGACGTTGTTGAGGAGGAGGAATGCCTTCTTTTTCTTCTACTCTTTCTTTGATACGGGAGATCTTGTCATTGGGTTCAATATCAATTTCAATCTATGGTTCATTTTGTTAAGAACTTTTAAAAGAGGAAGGGAAATGCATACTTCTTTACCAGTCAGGGTCTATCAATAGATAAGAATACGTAAACTTGTTTAGTATCTTACCTTCACTTTAACAAGCATACTTAATATACAGAAAAAGGGTCATCGTGTAGACGCGTTTCTTTTTTTCCTTACTGTCTACGTCATTGCTTACATAATCGACGTGTCTTTATTATTATTATTATTATGATGATGATGAAAGGTCATCTCCTTCCCAGTCAAATTTACTTTTGGCTTTTTTATCCTGTATTACTTGCTGGTACACTCTTAAATAGTCATATACTGGACCTTGATCATATCCTGAGCGTTCCCAGCCTAGACTATAGGCACTCAGCATCATTCGAAGCACGTATTCTTCATGCAATAAAGGTGATTTGGCTATCTGTTCATAATCCGCAGCTGCACGTTCAATAGCCATGGCAAGTTGACTTGTTCTATCAAACAAATAAGCATTGGATATGTATCTACTTTCAACATGAATATCGGACACAATGGGTGCGGGCGCATCATCATCAATGGTACGACGGATCAGAAACTCGGACAATCCTCCGGCACCTGTCGAAATCACAGACGAACCAAACATCAATCCTTCTGCAGCCACCAAACCAAAACTCTCAGTAACACTAGGCACATAGACCATATCGGCTGCTGCTCTTACGTAGATCAGCCATTGACGTTGTTCTTCTATTGTCTTGAGTAACACAACATGGTCTGGATAGTGAGCAGCTAATCGCTCAACCCATGCCAGAGGATAGTTGTTGGGTTGTCCAATAATTACGAACTTCATATTGTGTTGTTGAAATAAGCGGGCTGCTGCCTCGAATGTCTCTAGTCCCTTATTGTACTGAAATCGACCGACAAATAACACAAGAGGACGTTGGATATCCTGAGGTTGAAGAAGACCATGGTCTATCAGGAATTGTTTGGCTCTTTGTTTGGCTTCAATCACGTAATCTTTCTTTTGTGTTGAAAAAGACCATGCATAGGATTGGATAGCCAAAGTAGGATTGGTGATGCCATCTCTGACATGTTTTAGCTTTTGGTGAATGATTGACTGTGCATAAGTTGGATAATCTAATCCTGCCTCTATCAATTGAGACTCAGTAAATGGGTTGATGGCCCCACTGAAATCCAGGCCATTACTGATACCATAAAATGCTTGATTCTCTGCCCGCACAAGTAGATTGGACATCATGACTTCCTTTAAATAGACTTGTAATCTGCCTTCCACCATGTCTTTGGCCATGGTCTCGCTCACAAAGGTCACTGCATCTGCTGTATCGATAGCCAAGGGAGACATAAACACGCGCTTACTATGAAAACGATAAGGCTCGACTAACGCATGTAATGCCTTATCCACATCACCACCATGGTCAGGCCTATTCATGAATTTCTTCACATTGGCTATCGTGTTGGTGTACTGTAATTCATCTAGATAATCATGCATCGTATACACAATCGCAGGAGGCACTGGCCCTGTTTGTTCTTGTCTTAAGAAATGAGCCACAAAGGCATTGGTAGCACCATGTAAATGCACCGTATCTACTCGAGGTACTGAATCCAAAGGTGCAAATAACGATTGTTCTTGTCTTCCTGTTGCTCTCCATGCTAAAAAGGCAGCTGTTGCCTTCACAAAATACAGATCTTTCCATTCTTGAGGTAGTTTCTTAGGCGAACTATAAATGTCTGTCACTCGATGGGCTCGAAATGCACTTGTGAATGGACTCCATGTACCACGACCAATCAAATAAACAGTGATGGTAGGTCTCTTTTCTGCTCGAATCGCTTGTTTTTCTTCATCGGATAGTCGGTTGAAATGTGCCACAGGATGAAAATCGTATTGTAATTCAGACACATGAAAACTGACAGGTACCAGGCGGCTTTTTGTATCACGGATAGGTATGATTAAAGTAGTTGTCTTTTTAATGGGGTATTGTTCCTGTTCTTTTAGGAATGAATAAAAAGGGAGTACCACATACGGTGTGATTTTGCCTGTACGGAGTTGGGCTTGCGTGATAGCTGTTAGAACAGTACCCATGCCACCCATGGTAGCAGGGCCAAATTCCTTAGTGACATGATAGACAGTACTGTTGGATGTCAGTGTGATGGGTGTTGTTCTGTCCAGTGGCTGATAATCAATGATCGGATAATGTTGAATATCTAGAGTCAAATAAGTCATACTAGTTTATCGGCTGTCATGGTTACCAAAACGAATAGGATCTGAAGCATGTATCAATAGAAAAGTACTGATGATAAATACAATGACTTCAATACAAGACAAGATAACCATAGCCACTGTGACCATATGATACCAACGCCAGTGTTTTGATATAGACATTAACTGGAAAGGCAAATGGGTGGTTTGTCGTGTCTTATTTCTTTGCCTCACTTGTGTTTGGTCTATAGACACTACATGGTCTTGTCTTGTTGCCATTTTAAAAAAAAAAAAATTAAGGAAAAAGTAAAAAATAAATAAATAAGGGATCGTGGTTTAGATTCTCGGTGAATATCAAGTCCTACAAAGAAAAAAAAAAACCTATAGGGTACACACACACACACACACACACACATTATATTCTTTAAAGATGTGTAACATAGACATTGGGATTTATTCTAAACTTGCCGTATATCCATTTGAATTCAAGCATCAAAAGAATCTCCCCTTGCCTATAAGTCTAACAATCCTTGTCTATATATATACATACACTTTGATAAGAGATGAAAGAAATAAGATGGTCAAATCACGTTATCTCGGAGCACGAATCACACATATATACTTTATTTTATTTTTTCTTCTTTCTTTATTCTTTGTATTTTATATATGTCCAAAGTAGTCATAGACCCTATAGAAAGAACAGAGGAATATGTCTCTTTTATTGAGGATTTAAAGATTTTTCATGCTTGCAAAGGGTATTCACACTTGATCTCAAACGACACACGATCCTTAGTCTTTCTTGTAGGACAACGTTACTTCCCGAACCTGTGTTGGGGGGCAAAAAAATTGATTTATTCAAGTTGTATAAAGATGTCGTTGCTGCAGGCGGCTTCGATCAAGTAAGACTCTTTTTGTGTGTGTGTGTGTGCGTATGAGTAAAAGAATTGATATCTGTATGTTTTTATTTTTAGGTCACAAAAAAACGAAGTTGGAAACAAATTGGAGCCGTTTTTGAATTCCCTGCTACATGTACCAATTCAGCTTATATACTCAAGGGTCTTTATATTCGAAATCTAGTAAGTTCTATGAGTTTGAAATGGGCTCTATTGACTTTAGATTTCAGTTAGGATGGGAAGAAGAAAAGGTCTGGAATAAAGAATGGGTTCCTCCAGAAGAACTCAAGGGACCTGAAGCACATAAAGCATCGACATTAGCTGGAAAGTCATACAAGAAATGCAAACATCGAGCTCATCAACATTATGAACATGGTAACCTATCACTTCACAAGAAATAGTAGCTAACACGCCTTATAGTCCATCATGAAACATTGATTTTGCCCAATACAGCCATGATCAAGGCAACCATGCCTCATATTACCAATGAAGGTCATCATTGCGAAATATCTGAAAGACACCATAAAATACAACCATTTCAACATGTTCATTCCACTGAATCCGATGTTGACCGAGATTGTGTAACAGGTAAGATGTGCTAGATGTACCCTCCTAGTTATTGACATTCAAAAAAGGCAGTCAATTTAATGAAAGCACCAAACAACGTATTCTACCTCGACTTCAATCTTCAAACCAAGCTGATGTGGATTGGGCATTAAACAACATTGTGACGATCTCTTATGAATGCCCTCAAAAGCTACTGCTGAATGAAAACCCTGTGCTGCTTGATTTATTACTCAAAAAGACATCTTCTTGCCTACAAGATACCATGTTCTCTGAATCTTATAGTCATACAGTTGCTCACAAGATTATCTTGAAAATACTCCATATCTTTAGAAACTTCTCATTTATTGATTCCAATGTGCGTGTGTTGGCTGCCAATGCCGATGTCAAACAAATGTTGATCAAATGCCTTGTGATGTCCAATTCTGCGCATTATAGCCATTGCATTGATATCTTGGAGAACATGGCTCCTTGTATTGAATTAGGCCCATTTGATTCGATCATTGGTTGTCTGCATAACTTACTGATGCATGTGTCTGAAAGGTCTGTTATTCTAGGCTCTATTCGTATCCTTACCATCTTGGCTTCTTCCTGTGCTGTGAACCTTCATTATTTATTACCCACGTCCACCCAAATTGCCAGTCGAGTGACTCAATTCTTGATTGCGAATGATGAAGAATTGATTGGTGCTAGTCTGGAATACTTGTATCAATACAGTCGGCTCTCTGTTGCGTTTGGTCAATTCTTATTGGAATTAAGAGAGGGTGCTGATATTGGCATTATGGTCTCTCTCTTAATGGCTTCTTGTAAATACTTTCGACCTCTATTGACACAGTCACCATCCAATCAAAAGGACTCGTTTGCGCTTGAGCATAGACACCACCATCATGACAGTGTGCCCTGTATGCCCAACTTGGCCTCGTATCAACAGTTAGATGAACCCTATCGATGTCTAGGATGGCTCAAAGACAAATTTGAACTTTCGAGTACGAACAATGAATTATCGTTGGATGACATGTACTTGTTGTATGAAATGCGATTTGGACATGAAAAAGCCTTACGCATGAAGGAATTCTATACTGTACTCAAGATTGCATTTCCTATCACCACTGAATCAGACTCACCTCAACAAGGAGCTATTCTTGAAGGCACCACCATACGAGGATTACAGGTCAAAATGTGTATTTTACATGATGGTAAGTCATGTTCTATTGACTGCTGATTCACATTATCATCTAGGGTCAGAATTAATGTGTCAATGGACGAATTGTACTCAACGATTCAACAATGAACAATTGCTTCAATATCATGTCTTGCATGACCATCTTCCTTCATCCCACACCAATTGCCTCTGGATGGACTGTGATCAAGACAGTTCATTCTCAGATCCAAATGAATTAACACTTCATATCAAAGATTCCCATTTGAATAGTTATGTAGATACTTCGGACATTGAAGGCATTGCACTTGTAGCAGCTCAATTACTCAACTTACTCTCTACTTTACCCAATAGCCATGTTGCCTTTATGCCTTATGAACAAGAATTGGCCACCATGACCAAAAAGAGACCGAAATCAGCTCCTTTTATCGAATTCATGTTTTCTAATTTCTCTGTAGGTTCTTGTTCTTCCAGTTGTTCATCTACGCATTAAAAATTTCATTTCGTCATCAATCGCCCCCTTCCTTTTTTTTTTTTTTTGCAATTTAATTTAGTTGAGTTCACTCTCTTTCTCCTTTATTTTCATTTTCCTCTCCTTTTTATATATATATATATATATTTATTTAACATGTCAAGGAACTTGACAATCTCAACACAAAAGAAATGGAGTCCTTCACCAGATATGGCAATACGAGAAGAAGATGGTGAAGATGCTACTTCACAACACCTTATTGAAGAAGAAGACGAAAGTGAAGAAGAAGAGGAGGAGGAGGAGGAAGAAGAAGAAGAAGGTTCTGATTTTACTTCTTCTCCCAGTATTCCAGATGAAAATATCAATTTTGATCTTGTGTATACACTTCATACATTTGAAGCTACAGTAGATGGTCAAGCATCCGTCAAAAAAGGGGATGCACTCACCTTATTGGATGATTCAAATTCGTACTGGTGGCTGATTCGCGACCTGAAAACGTCAGAAGTAGGTTATATTCCTGCAGAAAATATTGAAACACCTTTTGAAAGATTGGCTCGATTAAATAAACATCGCAATGTGGAGGTGAATAATAGTAATAATAAAAAGATATAGCAAGGCATGACTTATTTTTTTTTCTATTTATATAGCTTACTTCATTAGAACAAGCAGTTCATTATATAACTCAATCCACCAAGAAGCCTATGTCACATAAAAAAGTAGTCTTGTCTACTTCTTTAGATGTTCAACTTCAAGTCTTATTGACAGGTGAAAATGAAGAAGATATTCAAGATGAAACGTATGAAACTTGGCAAGAAGAAATGTTGGATGATGAAGACGATCATGAACTGAATATCAAAGAACCAGAACCACCGATTCAGGAGTCGATAGACAACAACAACAACAACAACAGCGATAACAACAATAATAATAACAACAACAATGAGCCTGCAGATCCAGTGCAAGAATCACGTGATATTCCTCTTGATTCAAAAGTATTGCGAGTCTATGCTGGCAATGTGGATGTGGGTGCATCTTATTATTCTGTTCGAGTGACAGAAAGAACCAGTGTGGATGAACTACTGACCCATGCCCTTGAGAAGTTCCATATCTCACAAATCGAGACTCAACATGGTCGCCATGTGGGTAAACATAGCTGTGTTGAGTATTATTTGACAGTCAAGGCACATGATGGAGATGAATTCATACTGGATCCACAAGATAAACCGTATGCCATTCATGAATCACTTACTGCTCATTTAACAACACCCATGCCTTCCTTAACTCAGTTTAGACAGCTGGCTTCTGGTAATGACTATGCAAAGCGAAAAAAGAAGCGACATACAGATGCACCCCTTCAGTTCTTCATGCATAAACGTATCAAGCGAGTCAATGATAAGAGTGGACAAGTCCATATCAAAGTGTCTTTGATGACCACGCCACCTACGGAAAAGACAAACACAATCAAGAAAATGACGACACTCAGGAGATTCAGCAAGAAAAAAGAGACAAAAGCAGAAAGGATCGACAAATTAATTGCTACTCCTGCAAGCATCGCTATTTCCGAACTCACTTCTATTGCCCTTGTCAAGTTTCATTTGATATCAGACAAAGATCAACCACACACATATCGTTTGATTCTTCATGCAAATGGAAAAGGTAACCCCAATATCACAAAAATACAGTCACTAACATTGTTAGACACACTATTACATGCTGAACAACGCTTATCAGATGTACTCAAAACACTGGATGGAACTGAAAAATACTTTGTACTTCACAGCTTCAATTCAATTCAAGATAGACCCGCACAATCTTCCACCATGAAACCAACAACATCAAGTAAGGTCTTTCCAGAGACAATTGTTCACAATCGCAATCATTACTTATCTCGTGGTCATCCAGTCATGACCCGCCTTGATAGTCAGACTGAGTCTATTCTGAAGCGTATCGACGCTGCTCTAGAGGCTTATGAAACCACCGCAGTCCAGAAGAAACCCAATGCGTTCCCTTCTCCCATGTCTGTTTCTCGTAACAAAGATGGAGTTGATATCCACTTACCTCATGGTTTATTGCGAAGTACTACTTTAGCAGATAAAAAGACACAATATTCATTGATGAAGTTTCCAAACACACTTGTGCTACAAAAGACAGTGCCTGGAAAGAATACAGATAATAGTAGTAATATTTCAGGTGAAGACATGGCTACACTGGTGAAATATGGATCTCAATATTTAGATGCTTATGATGCAGCCAATAAGCCTCTTGTTACCGGTCGATTACTCGCTGAAAAAGACAGTTCTGGTAAAAGTTTATCAAGTCTTGAAGATTTGGAAAAAGTAAAAGTAAATTAAGAGACTATTGTACTAATTGAATTTAGGAACTTCAACGTATCATATCCTCTCATTCATCTTAAGAATTTATATATATATATATATATATATTTCATTATATACAAGCATTTAATCTATATCATAAACATTCATTTATTTTATCCATTGTATGAATATCTTTCTTTCTTTTTATTATTACAACAATAAAACTGTATTTATGAATCAATTCTCTAATACGAATCTAAACCGAGGTTGACCCGATTTAAAGTCTTGAATGGCTTGATTGATATCTTTCATAGGATATTTCTGGAGCCAAGGCTTTACTTGCTTTTCAGCAGCAAATGCAAGCATCTCTCTGATATCAGCAGGGGAGCCAACAGCCGAGCCATGAATAAAGCATTGATTTCTTATCAAGACAAGAGGAGAAATAGCAGGAAACTTCCAACGAGGATGATTGACATTCAAGAAATAACCATTGCAATGAATCAGGCCAAGGTACGTGTTCCCTAAGGATGATTAGCTAAATAGAAATACATTTAAACTTACATTCAAAATCAGGACTACAACCAGTGCAAAGAATATGAGAAAACTTTTTTGTGTATCTCTTCAAATCTTCAGGGTCACGGGAATTGATATAATCATCACAGCCAAGTTCCTTGGCAACTTCACGCTTATAATCACCGCTAGAGATAGCAACTGCTTTGGCTCCCATGGCTTTGGCCCACAGCACGCCATAATGACCTAAACCTCCAAGGCCCATGATGCCCACTACAGAAGTAGCATTGACATGTGTACGTTTCAAAGGAGCAAATGTCGTAACACCCGCACAAAATAAAGTAGCAGCCACTTCATTAGATATAGAATCAGGAATCTTGAAAACAAATCGATAGTCGCCCCGCCATTTATCAGCATAGCCGCCAAATGTCTTGTCTCCTGTCTCCCATGTCGAATTGTAAGTACCAATTCTACCACCATAGCATACATTCTCATGGCCGGATTGACAATGGTCGCATCGATGACAAGCACCGGATTGAGCACCTACACCTACACGGTCGCCTACCTTGATATGGGTCACATTTTGACCAATTCTGGTGACTGTGCCAGCAATTTCATGGCCAACCACACAAGGATAATTCGTCTTTACCCATTCTTCAGGATCTTCAAGTGTATGAACCTGACAAACATGAGTCTTAGAGAGAGCTTTTTTTTTTTTTTTAGTGGCTCACTTACATCACTACCACAGATACCACAGTGTGAGATATCGATATCAACACAGTTTTCACTCCATTGTCTTAATGGAAGTCGCATTTCTTGAAGAGGTTGATCGTTGGCAATACCAGCCCAACCATAAAGTGTATTGTTTTCAGTAGACATATTGATTTTTTTTTCTGTAAGAAATTTGTGTTGAAATTATTCCTTTTGCTCTCACTCTCTTATATATATAAATACAGGCCAAACGCATTTGGATTTAAGGTTGTGTTTTGGAAGTAGCAATTACGCCAGCATTCTAATTTATATTAAAGTGATGTTTATCATATTATGGAATCGCTGAAAATAACATCGCTCGATATGTAAAGATATATATATACATACATTGATCTTGGTTGTTGTCTTTGATTGCTTTTCTGACAATACAGTACATAGAGAACATGATGACTAACAGAGCCAAAAAAAAAAGAAAACGTATAACCATTTCTATTTTTGAACCTTAATTTCAAATTAGGATTAGAGTCGTGCCTGGAGTTTAAATAACTTACGCCTGTAAGCTGAAAGAACAAGCCGAACGATCTATTGAGTGCCTATGACTTATGTTGTAGGGTAAGTCTAGCATGAAGCTACGGTTTACTTTGAACATATTGGACAACCAGACTCTCCTTTCACAAGACGTTCATGGTATATCATGTCCAAAGTCACTCTCTTTAGCCTCAAAAGTGTCATATGTTATAGTATATCTTGTTCTCACATTTATTGCGCATCATAAAGTGCTAGAGTGCCCATTTACTAGTTAATATATATCATAATGGGCTTATTTTGTACTAATTACAGTGGGCAACGAACTTTGATTACATATTTGAAGGTGATGCCCAAATAAACTCGCTTTTTTCATCTTAGCAAACTCGCTTTCTTTTTCTCAAAAATACCTAAACTTGGTCTTATCTGATTTCGATTGGGTCATTCCAAAATTTCCTGATCGAGTTTTGTTTTTCATCTTCACGGACCTCCGTGGATTCCCCATCGGTCAAAAAATAAATTTTACCCAACAGCCATGCCAATGGCAACATTCGATTTCTGGACCCAATGTTTTAAATGAAAAGAGGAGCTATTTTAATAGTGTGATTATCGAGTAATGGCCTATCAAAGATTGGCGTGTTAAAGTTGTGTTTTGGGCTTTTTTTGAGCATTTTTGCTCTAGAGGTCATACAAAATGTGATACAAATAAGCTCAAAGAGAATCATATGTCATATAGAGTGCTAAAAACATAAAAGAACAGAAAAATAGGTCTCTCCTAATGCAAATGTGGGGGGGGGGTAAATGGACAAGGACATACTGTATGGCAGTGTGCGAAGATTGAAAATGGAAGGCATCAACCTTTCATCGAGCAGCCAATAGAAATTATTAGGGCAGACTTGTCAAGCCCTCGATTCTGAAAAAAAAAAGGATCAATTCATGTTTATTTTTCAATTAGTGCAAAAAAAAAGAAACGAGTATGGTTAATACGATATGGCAGAATAGAAACACAAACAAGGAAATGATAAGTCAAAATATAAAATCAAAGAGTGATACTATCTGGATAAGAATGGTCCCAATAAAAGCTTTTTCTTTTGTACCTTGCACGAACTTAAAGGGAAGTATTGGGCCAGAAACTTGACTATGCTGCAATGATACATTGCAATTTTGTATATTACACAATCAATACGTAAAAAATATCATCATCATTGGATGAAGTGGGCCAATAATCTTACAAGATACATTGTCTGTTCAGTTCTTTGCACCTCCACTGGGCTTTGGAACTTCTGAATTCGAGGTAAATAGAGATCAATTGAGTTTCTAAAACTCTAAAAGGTCCGTTTTTCGACCAAAGCCTCACTATGGATATAAGTTTTAGACCTCTAAAAAGAGCACTTCATCGTTTTTTTAGAGGGTATACTGACAAACAACCAGACAATGGTAAGGTTTTCGTCAGGTGAATGCACTTCTATCGATCTGAAGGTTATGCTATAGTAAATCATTACATTAGATCTCTTGAGTTGGTACTGTATGACTTAACACAGTATGAGTAAAATTAGGTACGAATGTATATTTGATTTAAATGCAGAGATATATTAGATGGAGTTGGTTTAACCATTGTTCAAAATACAAGTATACCATAAATATGCCTACAACAAAAAAAAGTATGTTTGATCCATGAAAACCCAAGCTACATCTTGATTGGCTTATGCAATTTTCCTTATAAAATGACGCTGCATTTTTTTTTCTTTTTATTTATTTATTCTTTGCTTGCATCATGGATAATAAGCTTTTATCTCGACTTGACTTATTAGCAGACAACACACTTCCTATTGTATTTGAAAGAAACCGACTAAAAGAACTCAAGTAAATATACTTTCATTCTTTATTGTCTCTCATATTTATTTCTAGGTTAAATGTCGACAAATATGAAGCCAATGTTAACAAAAACTTGACTCAGTTACGAGAAGGCATTCAGGTACTTGAACAACAACTTTCCGAACAAGAACAAACAGGTGCCAAGTAAGGATGAACTAGATGGAAACTGTCTATTGACCTAATGTAGAAACACAAAGTCAGATGAAGACAAATTGATTCAGTTACAAGTCAAAGTAGACAAACTGGACGCTTTGTTTGGGCTAAAAGAAGCATCGGATGCTCGCAAGATCTTGTTGGGCGATAAGAGAGGTAAAAATACCAGTGTCAAATTTACTTCAATCGATATGGACGATGTGGAAAATGGACAAATTCTTCAATTACAACAACGTATTATCGATGACCAAGATCAAGACTTGGATCACTTGTCAGAAACTATACGTCGTCAACGAGAACTAGGGTTGTTGATTGGTGATGAGTTGGAGACACATGCACAACTGATTGATGAGACAGAAGACATGGTGGATCGTACTGATGAGAGATTAAGGCAAGCCAGAAAGAAACTAGATTATGTCAATAGGAAAATTAAGGACAATAGTAAGTAATATACAGCACAAACCTGTTTTTAAATTGATGATAACGATAGAATCTGTTTGTATTGTGATTGCATTGATCATTGTATTCTTTATTCTGGTTGGTCTGTTTCGATAGATAGATTGTCAAGTGGGCTATATAAGAATAAAGCATCCATGTCCTTGTACAAGCAAAAGAAAACCGATATGCTTTGTATAGATTGACAATCATGCTAATACAGCAGGACTTTTAAAACTTTTTGAAGTGTCCGAAAATTGATTATAAATCCATCTTTTTTTTCTTTCTTTTCATTAAACAATGACAAACAATACACAAGCGCCCATTCCGGACAATGCAAACGAACATTGCCCTGTAAGTCATTTGTTTATGACAAGACGGTACTTATAGACACTTGGATAGGGTCCCGAAAGTGAAAAGGCAGGTCAATCAGACGCATGTGCAGGTTGTCCCAATCAAGCCATCTGCGCAACAGCACCCAAAGGTCCTGATCCAGGTATTTTCTTCATTCTATATAGATTTTTACTCATCCAACTAGATATTTCTGTTATTGCTGATCGTTTATCGGGTGTTAAGCACAAGATCCTTGTCTTGTCAGGCAAAGGTGGTGTTGGTAAATCCAGCTTTACTTCCCAATTAGCCTTTGCACTCTCTGGAGATCAAGATATTGAAGTAGGTGTGATGGACATTGATATCTGTGGTCCTTCTATTCCTACCATTATGGGTGTCGTAGATGAACAGATCCATCAAAGCAACAGTGGATGGCAACCTGTGTATGTGCAAGATAATTTGGCTGTCATGTCTATTGGATTTATGCTGCCTGATAAAGACGATGCTGTGATTTGGCGAGGACCTAAAAAGAATGGGCTGATTAAACAGTTCCTAAGAGATGTCGAATGGGGTTCTTTAGATTATTTGATTGTAGATACACCACCCGGTACTTCAGACGAACATTTATCGTTGGCTTCCTTTTTAAAAGAAAGTGGCATAGATGGCGCAGTGATTATTACAACACCTCAAGAAGTGGCACTACAAGATGTCCGTAAAGAGATTGATTTCTGTAAAAAAGCAAAGATTCCTATTTTAGGATTAGTCGAGAATATGTCTGGATTTGTATGTCCCAGTTGTCATGGTGAATCTGTCATTTTCCCTCCCACAACAGGTGGTGCACAAGCATTAGCAGATGAATTTGGTATTCCGTTGCTAGGCAAGATTCCTTTGGATCCTCGAGTCGCCAAGAGTTGTGATATGGGTTTATCCTTTTTAGATGAATATCCTGATTCACCCGCTTGTGCAGCTTATGAAGACATTATAGAATGTAAGTCTTTATAGTATTTATAACATGCTTCTCATTATGATTTATATATAGCATTAAGAGACCGAGTAGAGAAATAAATCACTTTTTTTTTATTAGTTATTTACAGAATGCGAAAATAAATGCGAAATAATGAAATGGTGTGTATGTGAAATGCGTTTGAAAGGATATAATATTACATGACAGTTAAACTAGTGACATTTTTCATAGACTCTCTTTCTTGCTCACTTAAAAGAAAGCCTCTTGTTGGATCCCAAGCCATTTTACCATCTTGATAATTGACTTGACCCAACACTAAGATTTGGTATTGTTTGTGTTTACCAATTGATTTGTCATCCACACGAAATGGTTTGAGTAAATTGGAAGGTAATCGGTTATTCTTGAATCGACTTAGAAATCGTTTTCCTATATGAGGTGTAGTATCTTCATGACTTAGGATATCAATCTCTTCTTCTTCTTCTTCTTCAGTTTCGCTTTCTTGCTTACTGTGTCGATATGAACGAAGCATTCTTCTGCCAGGATCAAACATGATCAAATTACGTTTACCAGACTTTAATAGTTCAATACCAACTACTGTTCTACTGTGTCCTTGATGTTGTAAATAAAGTGGAGGGTGATCTGTGATATAGACTGTCTTGTTTGTCTGTTTAATATTTGTGCTGAAATACGATTGAATCCAGTCCATTAGTTGATGATGTAAATGATTAGGACCTGGTTGATGGAAATCAATGATAGTAGATCGAATGCCTAAATAAGCAAATAGTGTATACACTTCAGTTGTACCAATCCACTTGCGGGTCTTGAATACACGATGATCCAATTGAGCAGCACCAAGAGTGTCAAACCCTATAATTTGTTAAAAATAAAGGCATTCAAACGATTGTTTTACCTTCTTTCCAGGCTTGTTCAATTAAGAGTTGAATACCATGAATATCAAGTACATGTCTTAAAATAGGTTCTCCATCTTGTTGCTGTTGTTCTAAATAGCTCATCAACATTTGGCAATTGCGATATCCACATCCCCAACCCAAATCCATAAATCCAGTAGACAAATGGTCTGTAGCAGGACTACAAAGGTAAGCAGAGAGAGTGTCTCTTTTTTTAAAATTGGGTTCTAAACGAGGAATAATGCCTTTTGATTGGTAAGCACACTGTAAAAAAAAAATTTTTTTTTTTCTTACCAGAAGTTCTACTGTCTTGATTTAAGATGGGTATTTTATTCCAGAATTCAGTATCTGTATGAAATGAAGGCTTTTGTTTTTTATGTTGATCATTGGCATCGGTGGTTGAATCTTTGCGCTATATTGAATGAGTTAACTTATACTACGCTTTTCTTTTTTTTTTTTTTTGTACCTTGAGTAAATTGGCTTTAACTTTGTCTGAGCCTTTTACTATTTTAATAAGTAAATATATATATATATATGTATTTGAGGTCTATTTTTACCTTGTGCAGTCATTGTTTGTGTCATAGTAGCTGCTATTTTCCTTCTATCTCGGTTAGAAAGAAAATGAAAAAAAAAAAAGATGGCTAATAGTCAGAAAAAAAAAGGCTAGTTTTTCTTATTATTTTTTTTGATTTACAGCTACCAAATAAAAAGTGATGATTGTATCCTTTTTTTAGTTGTTCATACAAGCATGAAAAACGCGTGTTATAAAAAGAGGCGTTTTTAATGCACGCGTTCTAAGCGAATGATGTGACGTTGGCATTTTCTCTTTTTTTTTTTTTTTTTTTTTATTTCCTGGCGTTTAATTTTCTTTTTTTATTGTTTTGTTTTTTGTTCTGCATACTAAACGCGTTGAACATGACATACATTTCTATTCTCCTCGAGAATTTAAAATGGTTAAGTTTCGAAAGTGATACTGTGGTGTTGGACAAACAATTATTTACTCGTTCTTTGGTAAATAATCGTGCATTTGAAGCCATCAGTCATTACTTGTTCTCTTGTCTTGATACACATCGTACCAACAAAGACTTTCGAGGTTGTTGGCCTGCTCGTGATGCCTCTTCAAGTCTTAAATATCGTCAAGTAGCCTATAAATGGCTCAATGACCTTCGTTTTAAAAGTGAATTTCTTCTTCAAGTATCTGTCAGAAAAAGTACTCTTCAAAACTGCCAAGGCCTTGATATGGAACGTCTTATGATGGCTTTCTCTTCTGCTGTACTTGAACTTGCGTTAAAAACCAAAGAAAATACAAGTAAGCAACAAAAATCTGAAGGCGCAGCTGGACTCACTTTTTTTTTTTTTTTTTTTTTAGATGTTGTTGCTATTCACACTTTGGACCCCAAAGCTGTTCAAAAGCGTGTGAATGAAATCGCTGATACTTTTTCTGAACTAGAAAAAGAATATGCAAAAACGCATCGAATCAAGCCCAGCTCTTTACGCGAAAAGACGCCTTCTCAAGGTTCATCAAGCAAGTCTTCTTCTGGTTTATTCCAAAGAAATAACAACACTTCTCAAACAGATAAAAAGCCTCATCTTGTTCGTCGTCTCTCTCAAAAGCTGGCTCAAAAGTCTAGCTTTGTTCGTCGTCTTTCTGCTAAATTGACCACACAAACGACTCAAGATGAAAATACGCCTTCTTCCAGCAAGGGAAAGCAACCCATGACTTCTATTGTAAATAATACATCATGTGAAAATACCAATCAAATGGCTTATCAACCTGTTTGTCCTCCATTCACAAACAAGTTTACTCTTTGTACCAGCACCAATCAAACATCCAATACAGATACCAAATCACATGTAAATACTCACTATCAACATACTACTTCAACCAATCAACGCGCTGCATCTCAAAAAGCTACTTATGAAAAGAGCAAGTCTACTCAAGACAACAAGCCTTATTCATCTGTCTATAACACTCAAGCAAAGAGCAAGTCTCCTATTACTTATGAAGAAAGCAAGTCCCCTATTACTTATGAAGAAAGCAAGTCTCCTATGACTCAAGCAAAAGGCAAGCCTTCTGTTAACTCCACTGAAGCATACAAGCCTTATTCACCTGTCTATAACACTCAAGCAAAGAGCAAGTCTCCTATTTATTCCACTGAAGCATACAAGCCTTATTCACCTGTCTATAACACTCAAGCAAAGAGCAAGTCTCCTATTTATTCCACTGAAGCATACAAGCCTTATTCACCTGCCTATAATACCTATCAAAAGAGCAAGTCTCCTGTCTATAATACCTATTCAAAGAGCAAGTCTCCTATCAGTTATCAAAACATCAAGTCTCCTGTTCAAGACAACAAGTCCTATTCACCTATTATTTATTATGCTCAAGACCAACCCAAGTCTCCTGTTGTCTACTCCGCCCAAGCACAGACCTTGTCGCAACGCGCTGAGTCTTATCAAGAGCAGCCAATCATATCACCCTATCATACTTCCATCAGTCAACATTCATCTTCATATACGCGTCATCAAAGTACATCCATCACAGACTATTCTATCCCCAAGTCTCCTTTCAGCTATGGTCCTCCTCTTCCTGCTCAGGTCTCAAGAGAAGCCAGTCAATCGCCCTGCTTTATTCCTTCATCTTCAAGCCGTGTTGCGCGTTACTCACCTTATTCTACTGTGAGACCTAATCAAGACAAACCTTCTCGTGCCTCTTTGTCACCTTCTTCATCAAGCTCATTATCTGACAAAGCAACCCCACCTCCACCTTCTTCTTTAAACGGCATCAAGTCTTCTTTACTCTTGACTCAGAAATTCACGCCTGCTGCTGTTCGCCAACGCGTGCGTGATATTCTCTCAAGTCCTGTGATTGAAACTCAACTCTCTATTTTACCTCCTATCACTCATGAAGAAAACATGCCTGTCTCTTTACCAAGACTCTCTTGTTTAATCACTCCTCCTCCTCCTAAGAGGCAATTGGAAGATGACGATGATGACGAATTACCCAATCAACGCAGGCGTATTCTTTCTCCCTTAGAAACTGAAACTGGTACACCTTATACCAACAGATCTGCTTCTTCTGTCTTTAATGACTTGGAGTCTGTAGCTTCCATTCGTAATGAAAGACCACCATGGCAGCCTATTCAACATGAAACTAGGTTATTTGATATTGATTATTACACTCCATTTCGTTAAATAAATAACTTTATTATTCTTCATCTTCAGGATCAGCACCGAATTGCTTATAGTCAATCTTTTTCCCTCTTGTTCTTCTTCCGCCTGGAATAATCAGACTTGTATCCAAGGTTTCTAATTCGTTTTCTATGGTTCTTTAGTCAATTGAACATGTATGGCTTTCTATACCTGACACATCGCTTTTGTCTTCTTCTTCAGAGACTTCATCGTCACTATCCTTCTTTTTCTTTTTCAATGGCTTCTTGCTTTTCTTTAATTGCTTTTTAGGCTTCACTTCTTCTTCTTCTTCTTCTTCTTCTTCAGAGACACCTAATTCAATTAGACGAGATAGGATCGACTGATATACTTACTGTCTTCTTCTTCATCACTGAATTCTGGTTTCTTTTGCTTCTTGATAGCAGAACTAGATTATTGAATACCATGTCAACTTTATAAAATACGATACCTCTTGGACTTCTTTACAACAGGTTCTTCATAACTACCTTGTTCTTCAGAAAGTTTACGCTTATTAGCCAATGCTTCAAGCTTTGAACGACGATCAGACATGGTTAAGAAAAAAAGAGAAAAATGACGCGTTTAAACAGTCCAATGTTAAAAAATAAAAAGAAATTTGTATCCTCTCTTTCTCTGGATGAAAGGATAGTAAAGAAAACTAAATAAAGCATGCCACTCTGTATTCATTTCATTGACTCAATGTTCTTCTTTTTATTGCTTCTCTTTGGTCATAATGAATATTTGATTGGTTATGGCATAATATAGAAAATAAGCATGTACATTTCCTGCAAATTCTTTTTTTTTTCTTTCCTTTTTTTTTTCTTGATAATGAATCGAGATAGCTTACAACCATCTGAAAGTGATATAGACAATGACCCTATGCATGACAATGAAGAGGATTGGCAAGATGCGGAATCAACTCAACCGACTCAAAAAGAACTAGAAAACCAGATTATCAATGAAACAGAACTACGACGTCAAATCAAAGCTATTCAACTCACCAACTTGACACCTCAGGAAAAAGCAAAAAAAATACAGGCAAGTACACCTCATCAAAAGACATTCAAACTTATAGAGTCCATAGTATCTAATGTCTCATGGCAAGACAGAACCATCACAAGCTAGTTCAAGTAAGGATCCTGTCGATCATGGCTATTGTAAATCCTATCATGTAAGTCTTGTCTATACCTACCTGTGATTGACACACACACACACACACACACATTAGAATGAAGAAGAGGATGTGTTGGGCTGTAAACATTATCGACGTAACTGTAAATTACAAGCCAATTGTTGTCAAAAACTAGCCAGTTGTCGTTTCTGTCATGACGATGTAGAAGACCATACGATTGTTCGGTAATGAGACAAAGCACAAAACAAAGACTAACAAGGTCTTATAGAAGTGACACCAAGAACATGTTGTGTATGTTTTGTTTAAAACTTCAACCAGCAGCACAATCATGTATGCATTGTGGAGAACAAATGGCTCGTTATTATTGTGATCAATGTAAATTATGGGATGATGACCCAAAGAAGTCCATCTACCACTGTGATGATTGTGGTATTTGTCGACAAGGAAAAGGACTAGGCGAAGATTTCTTTCATTGCAAGAAATGTAATATTTGTCTCAGTATTTCAATGAAACAGCATAAATGTATTGAACGCAACTTGGAAAGCGATTGTCCTATTTGTGGTGAATACATGTTTACCAGTACTTCCACTGTCATTTTTATGGTAAAGTATATACAGAATAATGGGCTCATTCAATGCTTTCTTTTAGCCTTGTGGACATTGTATCCATAAACACTGTTACACTGCTTATATTCAAACATCTTATCAATGCCCTACTTGTCTCAAATCTTTAGGCGATATGTCTGAATACTTTAATCGACTCGACAAAGACCTGGAAAGACAACCTATGCCTGCTGAGTACGAAAAGTACATTTCACACATCTTTTGTAATGACTGTGAACAAAAGACACCTGCAAAATACCATTTCTTTTATCATAAATGTGGCCATTGTGGTAGTTTCAATACAACTGTACTCAAGACAGAGAACACAGAAGAAACAAAACGAACACAACCGACCACATCCACAGAAGTGTTTGGATTGGCTTCTTCTCATAATTCAGACCAAGAGCAATTAATGCAAGCACAAACAGCAGGTAATTCAACCAATGCATTCTTGGGCCATCGACCTCCTCCTCCTCCTTCTGCCTCTAGTTCATCTTCAAGAAGAAGATCTGGAGCTGAATCCAATGAAGGATAAAATAAATGTTTATTCGTATCTTTCGTATGCTTCTGCTAAAGCTCTTTGTAAATCCAAGTCTTCTTCTTCTTCTGATCTATAACGTCTATAAGAAATCATGATCATGCATAAATACACACTTACATCTCTTCATCATCCGTAGGAAATGCACCAGGTGCTTGATCTGCTCTTTGTTCTCTTAATTGCTCTAGTTCAGTCATGACTTGTCGAATATGTTCCTGATCAGCAGCAGGCATTCTATGTTGACCCAATAAGTTTCTTAGCATGGCCATCAATCCTCCTGCATCTGTAGGTAAACCACCCATCATAGGATTAGTTCGCATACGATCATCTAAATCATACTGTGTGGTACTGTCTGAAGGTGGAAGAGGGTCATACATCTGATAGCTTTGTGAAGTGACACTGGAAGGCAAATAACCCATCAAAGACTGTTGATCCATCAAGACAATATAACGAGACATACTGAGTGGCATAGTGTCCTTTTGTTGACACATCAATTTGAGTTGGACTCGATGGGGTTGTACATCGACAACCCTGTTGGCCTTAAGCCAGCCAAGTACTTCAGGTTCTTTCCACATATCATATGTACGTTCCACATAAGCCAATTGAATCATGTCCATATAAGGATTGGGCACCATCGTCAAGGGTTGACTGGGCTCACCTAATTTCTCTAATAAGCGACAGTAGACAAAAGGGAACTTGTGAATGGCTTCTTGTAACGTCTTGCTGCTCTCTTCTTGACCTAATTTGAATTGAGCATAAGCAGCTGAATAAGCAAAGTTAGGCATGTTCTTTAGATCCACAGGGTAAAGATCACCCGCTGTCTTGTATTCAGACACCATCTTGAGAATATAATCATAGTCTCGAGAAGAAAGAGCATGATAGTCAAGCGACAACAAAGCACCTAAAGGGTCTGTATCAGGATCCAGGCTAAACAAGAGCTTATTGAACTCAAATGCAGTCTTCCAGCATCCACGGCGTGTCAAGAATTGAATGTGTCGAAAGACAGCCAAAAAGAAAGACCGGTTTTCAGATCGTTGATAAGCCAATCTGACAGTGCCTGAACTAAGCGAGAACTGAGGATGAAGTGCTCTTTCACAAGCATACAAGGCCCGTTCTAACATCAGTCATGAGATATACATGTAATCCATCCTTTATGCTTGCTTACCAATCAAATCGCCTGCTGTAGTCCAGTCTCCACTATGCTTTGCAATTTCAGACAATTGAAGTAAACTATCGACATGATAAGGATGTCTTCTCATCAAGAACATCAATGCTTCAGGGCTGTGGGTTGACACAGCACTCAAGAATTCAAGTTGGACATCTTGGTATTGTTCACCATGTCGAAAAGCATAAAACGATACATTGTCTTTTGTCTCTACAAGTTCCATAGAGAGTCCATTACGTTTATAAGGTGGCCAATCACTCTTGGGTGTTGTGAATTTAGATTTCTTGAGGACTCTGCCTTGTACTGTGCGTTCATTATTGACGACATGAGAGCCAAACAATCGCTTCATTTCTGCTTCTGCATCCAAGTATCGATAATTCACAGCAAGTAAGTTATGATGAACACGATGTGGTGTTTGTGAAGGTGTATTTGCAGCACTAGACGTATTCAATAAAAGGCTATCAAGTCTAGCTTACTTACTTGAGTTTGAGATCCTTTAATACTTTGTCTAGTTCTTTCATACTGATCTCTTCTGTTGCATGTGTGGGCTCATGGTTCTTTTTGTTCTTTTTCTTTTTGGATTTCTTGGACTGTCGATAGTATAAGATAAAGGAGGGGAAACACTATGGTCTACTTGCCTTTTCATTTGAGGGTTTTTTGACAGGCACAGGCATGGGCTCCTGTTCCTCTTCTTCTTCTTCGTCTTCTTCTTCGTCTTCGTCTCCACCCAACTAATAATGACATAAGTCTTCAATACAGTATGTCGCGTTTATGTTACCAAATCAAAAGGATTAAACTTTTTGACAGGCTTTATTTGTTCTTCTTCATCACTGTTGGTCTCTGGAGCGAGATCAATCTCTTCTTTTTGAAGTCTTCTTAATGCGCGAGAAGACATGGTAAAGAATTTTAATAAAGAAAAAAAAAACAAAAAAAAAAAGTCGGATTTTATTCTTGAGGTGAAGGAGGAAGCGTGGTTTGTTGTGCTTCTTGTAACACTTGTTCTTGTGTAGGTGCCATGTCGGGTGCATTGAATATCGTATCACTATAGTTAACATCTTCATTCTGTTCTTCTGCTTGTTTCTTCTTTTTTCGAGGAATACGATGCAACAGTCCATAACCCACATCACAACCCAATGATCCATTACCTCCCCATTCATGATTAGGCACAATAATACACTATGGCAAAGATAAATGAAGCTATCTTACATACCCGACTTACTTCTCGGCAACTATCCCATTCTGAATTGTACAGATACAATCGAAGTGGTTTACTTAGATAGTCTTCCACAAGACGATAGAAATCATCTTCGCTTCTTAATGTCATGTGTGGACTGCCTATGATATAATCAGAAAAGGGAATAATGCCAGCCATTTCAGCGGGTGAATTAGGCGACACGTCCAATACGTGCCATACATTTTCACCCGCCTTTTCAAAAGAACAAAATCGAATGGAGCAGCCTATGAATGCATGAGTGATTGAGGATAGATATTTTTTTTTCTACCTATCAAACTCTTTTCATGAGGATCGTTAGGATGCCAGTCTCTGTTGGGTATCAATGTGATCTCTAGAGGAGTTGTTGTTGTGTAAGATAATGATGCGTATAATGGTATGTTTACCTCGAAATGACTGTTCTTTACTTGAATAAATACCCATAGGCAAAGGCTTCCCTTCATATTCTTGTAATGTCTTGAGTAATGTTTGACTATCTCCATTACTCTATTTGCTACATCAATATCGCAACATGACTTTTTGATGTACTTGCCAATGGAATCCCATTGATATTCACAATGTAATCAAAAAATTGTTCAATCCCTGCTTGATAGGCAGGTGAATTCTCCTTGACCTATTTCTAAGTTAATGTTCTTTACCATCTAGGCATTACCTTGAGTACATGAAAACCATATTGTCCTTGTTCAGAGCTTTGTGCTCCTCCCATTATAAACTATTGAAAAAAAAAAATACAGTTCAAAAACGCGCTTTTTTTCTTTTTTTATTATTATTATTAAATAAATTATGCAACTGCTATTGTTATTGTTATGGATAGCATGTATACAGGCTAATACAGAAAAAGCCATTCTTCATGTCAACCAAGTTCCATCCATACCATGTCAGTCTAACTCACATGTGTTATTATCTCCACCTTTTACGCAAATACAACAGAGTTTGATTCCTTCATCAAAAGCGATTTATGTACTTGATCATCTAGAGTATGGATCAAAGTATGAGATTAGAATATCTTATCCTGCTATTGTAAGTCTATATCTATCTATGCGTATCCCCTTATTGTAAAGATATAGACACCTGCTGATTTTGATATTCACATACTGAATGGCTGTCAACAACAAGATGGCATAGCCTATCTCATCCAAATATCAGCCAATTATACAGGCATATCTACCTTGCAAGGAATAGCATCACATCCAATTACATTCCACCTTGGTAAAAAAAAAAAAAAAAATCTATACTTTTATACATACTCTCACACATACTGTTTAGTTTTAGAGACACTCTATCTTGGCTTCTTATTTTATCAGGTCTATCGAATCGTCATGACTATTCTATTCATGTTGTTGATTGGTTATTTTATCTTACCTTTCATTCGACAACGCATTGTGAAGATAGTAAAAGATGATGCATTCACAAAGCAAAGCTAAGTCGATATGTCACATGATCTTGATCCAATCATCCATACAATGTCTTACCGCATAAAAAAATAAAAAAAGGCGAAAATTAATTTACCCGTTTCTTTCTTTCATTTTTTTTTTTTATTTTTCTCCTCCTTTAAATATGTTGATAGATAACACGCATACAGATATAGCTTATACCAAACAATTCTGGATAGGCATAGGTGTGTCTGTATTAACCAATTTGGTTCAATCATTTGCGATGGCATTTCAAAGAAAATCACATTTAGAGAATGACAATTATCCAATCCAAGACAGAAAACATGCATTCAAAAGACCTTTATGGGTGATTAGTTTTGCAACATTCTTGACAGCCAATATTATAGGCTCCATTTTCTCTATTGGCTATCTTCCTATTGTCATTCTGGCTCCGATAAGTGCGATGGGTCTAGTATTAAATGCGGTGGCAGCCAAGATAGTGCTGGGTGATCCATTTAGACGAAATACAGTGTTTGGTAATCCGTCTGACACAAACACTTTTTTTTTTTTTTTAATCGATTGACTAGGCACACTCCTGATTGTGATGGGTGCATTGCTCGTGGGATTATTCGGCATCATACCAGAACCAGACCATGACATAGACGACTTGATTCGATTATATAAAAAGCCAGGCTTTATTGTTTATTTCAGTATCCTCGAATGTGTGATTATCACTGGATTACTGATAACGCATTATTTTGAACGCTATTATTACCTGATGGAGTCAGCTGCTATTCCCCCACACACTTGGGCAAAATGTTGGGACAACATGTCAGTATGGGCGACTTGAGAAAATACGTGGGCATCAGCTACGGTGTCTTGTCAGGCAACATTAGTTCTCAGTCCATCTTGTTTGCCAAGAGTGGACTGGAATTAGTCATCTTGTCTGTTGTATCTGATAAAAATCAGTTGCAATATGCACTGACTTATGTCTTGTTAGTCATGATGGCATTGACAGCCATCTTACAGGTAACAAAGAGAAGAATACAGAGAGCGATAGTAACACAAATACATAGTTATATTACTTAAATAAGGGATTACAGTTGTGTGATACAGTCATTATGATTCCGCTGTCGTCATGTACCTTTAATGTGTCTTGTTTGTTTAATGGCTTAGTATATTATGATCAATGGCCTCGTATTGTTTGGTGGCATTTACTGTTTGTCATGCTGGGTGTGGCTATCACTATTTCAGGTGTCTTGCTTATTTCTTGGAAACCAACAGCTGAATTAATACAAGAACCCTTGGCGGTGGAAGAACAGCAAGCTTTATTGGGTCCTAAAAAGACCTTGGATGTGGCATGAGCCATAAGTCGTGTGTGTGTGTATCATAGAGAAGCTATCAACAATGACGATTGAAATAAAGATGGCGTAAGTACATAGAGAGTCTAAATTTTTATGTTCGTCATATGATGACAAAAGGGAATGACGCTATCATTTGATTTCATGAGCCAATCTCCAGAGGCAGAGTCTGATTTAGCTTATAGCCCATTGAATGAATTTATCACAAAAACCATAATGTCAGCTGTTTATCATGCGCATGCTTCTTTTGATTCCAATTGGAGATTGGAGGCAGTGATGACGGAGATTGTTTTTTTTTTTTTTTGACTTGAAGCTATTCATCATACAGAGAGGCTATATGTGAAGATTGAAAAGGAAATGAGGTTATTAAAAAAAAATTGAGGTTTTGCTAAAGACGCAGTTATTGGGTTTTGGTGCAGTGATAGAAGTTGCAGATATCTACGTTCTGAGTCTAATGACATAAGAAATACAACTACTTTACTGCCAAAATATGGAGCAAAGAGACAAAAATATTTATGAAGTTTTTCGCTCATCATTCATTATTTCTGTAGTACAATTTACAAACAAACACATTCACCAAAAACTAGAGCATTCGACACACATTTTAAGTATTCAGACTTGCTGGTAGCTATATTTTTCGTCTTTTAGCGTCAAAAAGAAGTCCAAAGAGTTATCAGGTTGATGATTTTCATGAGTAATACCCTTTGGATCAGAGTGATTTTTGGCCATTTTTTACAAGTCTCTTTTTTTGGTCCAAATCAGCTCTAGAGGTATTGTAGGTATTTGAAGCATTTATATGAGCATAAACAGGTTCTATGCTACCTTTATATGTTCCAAAAAAAAAAAGAAGATCTGTATGGATTGTTGTCTTTTTTTCATTAAGTAGTTCATATACTACCGAACCGCTTGTTCACATGCAAATAGTTTATCAAATTAAAAATAGAAAAAGGAATGTTTGTTTATGAAAAATGTCAAAGTGTCGAGGAAATTTATTTTAAGTTTATGGTATCCAGTTATCCTTACATTAACTCTTTTAGAAAGTTCTTTTTTTTTTTAGGTAAAAATGTGGAGTTATGTAAGTCTCATCTATATTAAAAAATCAAGAGCTTTTAATAGAGGTGTATTTTTTGAAATTCACTCTCAATTTGCTTTACTAGTCTCATAGTTCTCGAAGGTTTAAATAAGTGCCTTTTTTTTTTTTTAGGAAGATCAGAAAATGTCTACAACTAGATATTCAAGCATCATATCACTATATAATACATGTATAATGCTATAAGGAAGTGCAATTCATGTCTTTGCTTAAGAAAGCATAATAAAATATATGCTTATTTACACTCTCTTTGTTGTACATACCTTTTGCAAAAAAGGAGTGTCAATAAGGGGTATCTTTTTTTGATTTCCGAAATGCAGTATTGCGTTCTTGATTAATTTTCTCTTTTTTCTCTCAGAGTTCCTTTTATATAATTCTATGTTGGAGCAGGCTAGTTTTAGTCTATGAGTGTTAACGACTACTCATATTCTTACCGTCCAACCTGTAGACGACTTGTTTGGCTTTCTCTTTCTCGACTTTTAACACTACTTGTACCTGATTTTGTTCTTCATCATGTAGGAGGCATGACATCTCCAGGTAAATAACGTATATATGTATATGTGTTTATTCATTTTCACTACTAGCCATGCGTATAGCTTGGCGTGAGAAGATAGCACTCTTGTTTCTTTTTCTTTTATCATCTGCATTTTTTTGTTTTTGGCTGGAATATGTATCAATGTATTTTTGTGATCCTGAAAGAATATATGATTATGATCTTGTCTTTTCAAATGACTCAAAGTTCTCGGCTATTAATGGCAAAGTGGTTGATTGGCGACATGTATCCAATAACCCAATGGTTGACTTTGTCAATAATTATTCTCATCATGATTTATCAGCCAATTTTCCCAGATTTATGATGCTGAGTCGTACGACAACCAATACGCCTTATTCGGATAGTATCATCAATGACTGCGTGTATTATCAAAATAGAGCATCTGCTGCTGATGCTTGGTTAAACTATCTTCTCTCAATTGATGATGGTTATGTTTATGACAAGGCAAGCAAGACGCTTTTAGAATGTCCTGTACCAAACCATCCTAATATAACTGGTGCACCCTGTTTTTATAGTTCAGATTATAACTCTCTCTTTTATGATTTGCCGATAAAAGGAGGTAAAAAAAAAAAAAAAAAAAAAAAAAGACCATAGACTATTTTGATGAATTTATTGACATATCAAATAGATATTCAGTATGATCCATCAGTAGTTCAATCGTCTTATAATGCATTACCTTCAGCAACAAACTATACCAGACAAGCCTATGTGATTTTAGACGGATATGTACTTGATGTAACAGCCTATTTAAGAGGTGCAACCACAGTCATTCCTATCTCCTCAACTGTCAGTTCTCGGTCTTTTGCACTTGATCGTATGTTCTTGCCTCTTGATCTTACCATCTTTCTATACATCAATCTTGGAAAAGATATTTCTGATTACTTTGATGGCAACGTAACAGAAAGCCCGACTCTTTATCGACAATGCCTTGTTCATTTGTTTAAGAAGGGTATTGTACCTTCGCATGTTTCTTCTGGCTGTGCCCAAATCAATCCTGCTCTTTGGGCTACGATGGGTGCAGGTCTTGTTTATTTCATCATTAGAGCTAGTCTTACTTATATTTCCCGGGTCTCTTTTGTTCAACGGTTCTTGTTTTCACCTATACCAGAAAACACTTCGGTCACACTTTATCACCAATGGCCATATACAGTACTTTTAGTCCCCTGTTTTGCTGAATCGTTTGATACGCTCAAGATGACAGTCGATAGCTTATCTCGATCCACCTATGAAGATAGTAAAAAATTATTGTTGTTTGTCTGTGATGGTATCACAACTAGTGCTCAAGAACAAAAACACACGCATGATCTATTACTTGAATATTTAGGCTACAGTTGTAAAGATGATCCACTTTGCCATCCATACACTTCACTTGGACAGAACAAAAAGAAAATCAACCATGCCCGTGTTTATTCTGGGTTCTATGAGACTGGTCGTAACCGTGTGCCTTATTTGATAATTGTCAAAATTGGTCAACCTCAAGAAGAAACAGACTATTATCAAAGCCATATGTCTACAGCGCCACCAGGAAATCGAGGCAAGCGCGATTCAATTGTGCTGGTTCTTGGCTTCTTTGAGCGTTGTATGAACTTGGCCAACAATCGACTTACACCTTTAGAATATGAAATCTTTAATCAGTGTTACAATGTGCTTGGTATTGATCCTAGGCAGCTAAAGTATATGATGGTGACAGATGCAGATATCCAGGTTCAGAGTGATGTTGTGCAGAAACTAGTATCACGCTTAGAGGGAGACAAACGCATGCTGGCTGTCAGTGGGCATGTACGTCCTGCAAACCCCGAGCAAAATTTGATTACCATGCTACAGATATTTCCAGTCTATTTATCATTCTATTCAGGATTAGCTTATGAAGCTTGTATGCGTAGTGTCATGACGATTACTGGAGGTCTTGTTATGTACAAACTCTGGACCGAAAACAAGCCTCAACCATTAGACGATAAGTCCATCAAGAGATACAAACTATCAAAGCAACAAAATCCTCGAAGACCTTCTCCTATCAGCAAATGGCCAAAAATCAGTGATGAGATTATTGTGACAAATCCATTCAGTGGTAGCCGAACAAGCTCATTGACGAATGATACAGTGACGACGATCACTACTATTACAACCACTGCTACAAATCGACATCCATCGCAAAGACAACGAGTACATTCAAAAGGTTTGAGTAGTTTTGAGAGTACCCAGCGCTCTTCTACTAGACCGGAATCTCGGCTCTCATTATCACCTAGTCTTGATGTACAGTTGTGTTGTGCCCATCCCACAGTTTTGCGTAGTCTTGCAGTACTTCAAGCCGATACCATGCATATGCAAAATGTACTATTGTTAGGTGAAGAAAGAGTGCTATCCCTTGTCTTGTTGAAATCGCATCCTAATCATCGACTGGGGTTCGAGCCTGAAGCAATTGGTTATGCTACTTTGCCTACCAGCTTGTTTTCTTTACAAGGTCAACAGATCCGACGTCTTCGGTCTGCTTTTCATACACAATTGGAAATTCAACGCATCGCATGGCAATTGGGCTTTACGTATTGGCTCTTGTCTACCACAGAACTTATTGATATAGTGTTTTCCATGCCAGTTATTCTCTACTTGTACAACATTTTTGGCCGATCTTTAGAGAAACTAGGCTTGTCGTATTTTATTATTGCCTGTTCATTCTTGGGTCTTGCCGTACTTCATATCATATTTTTTTTACTTCGACGTCAATTTAGGTATGTCCTGTGGTTCATGTTGTATTGTGTGATTTCTTTGCCATTGTTCCATGTATATTTTCCTCTGTTGGCTATCTGGCAAAGCAATTACTCTGAATATTGGTATGATGTTTGGCCAACAGCAGCTGGTCGCCGTTCTCGCCTCCATGGTCTTGTTGACCACACAGTGACCCAAAAACCACAAAATAACCAAGCAGTTCTTCCCGAAAAACTTCCCAAGGATACAATTCCTTCTCAAAAGACATCCAGACAAAGTGCATATGCCTTACAAAAGCCTCTAGGTGAGCATGGAGAAGAAGCTGTACCAAGAATGCGATTAAGCGAATATGAAGTATTTGAAGCAAAGCGGTTGCATCAAGCCGCAGAAGCTGCATTGGATTCCAAATTTGCTGATTTTACTGGATTTGCTCATGAAGGACTCAATGAGTCTCAGTTGGTAGAATCCCTGGTCACTTCGCCTCCATTAGCTCAAGTGAGAGAAGGAGTGCATTCAACTCGAAATATAGGAAACTATCGCCCTTCAAGTGTTGAACTGTATGACTTTAAACATCGATACCCAAACAACAGGTTCGACGATAAACCTGATTCACCTATATCCAATCCTAGTCCTCGTGTAGAACAAGAAAACCCATTTGACGATAGTTATTCTATTATTGTTAGGGATTATTCTGAGGAAAACAACCGTGCTCGACATCAGCATCGTCCAACATATTCCCAATCCTCCTATCTTACAAATAGCAGTGACAATTACTATGCTCTAAAACAAAATACATTTCATCATAATCTTGATTTGGACGGTATTGCTACTTTACCAACAAGTCTTAATAGCAGTGGATTTGCAAAGACGCCAAACACCGAATCGCTTTTAGTAGACGAGATCTTACAGGCAGATCAAGCAGAAGAAGCTTATGCTCAAGACGACCGTACTTCTACACTATCTATCTCATCCAATACTTTCTCTATTCGTTCGCCTGAAGATCATAATTCGTCTACTTTTGTACCACGGCATCGAATAGGAAACTATGATTCTAAAGCATCATTTCCTGAAGACCACCTTCATGAAGGCCGACATCGTGCTGTGCATAACCTGACTACTTTACAACAACATGGTTCTCACGCCAAACTTCGACAGCAGTTTGAAAATCATGCAACAATGCGCATGAACTTGATGCTCAAGCCTAAAAAGCCCAAAAAAATACCAGCTATGCCATCTTCTAGTTCGCTTTCTCGACATTATTATGAAACGCCTAAATCTAACTTGATTACAAACGATATGAATTTAGCTCAGGTACAAGGAACAATCAAAGCTGAAATTCACGATTATTTACAGGTGGTGGATTTAGAATCAACAACAAGAGCTCAAGTAAAAGCACACTTGATTGAGCATTTTGGTCCTCAACGAATTAATGAAAATGATGAAGAGCTTATGAATTTTGTGAATATTTGTATTGAAGAGATTACATTTTCGTTTTTAAATCCCATTGAATAAATGAATAAATGGCTGTCACGTATTCGGGAAAATCATATTGTTTCTTTTTCTTTCTTTGTAATATATCCAAAAAAAAAAAAAAAAAAAAATGGCAGAGGAAATATTAAATAATGTCATTTTCTCAGGATTCTTGTTAGTATTAGCTGGTTTTTCGCTTGCTCTTCAGTCCGGTAATATTTGAATAAACAGCTTGAGAGCATTCGATTTATATTTTGGCAGGGTGTAATGCTACCTTGAGTAGATACAGTAGTCGATCTTTTTCTACTGTAGTTTCATTTACGCTTGGATTATTGTGTTGTTTGATTTTTTTTGGGATTGATATAGGATCCTTGGGCACACCTTTACCTAATGATAAAGTGAAAAGTAAGAGATCATGTTTGTTTACCAAATGATTGAGTCTCCGTTTATTTTCTGGAATAGGTGCACCTGGATATGCATGGATTGGTAAATAAAGATGTATTTTATGGACTGATTTACTTAGAAAATATTAGGTGGTCTATGTGGATTTTTTTATGTTGCTTCCAATATTTTTGCAGTGCCTCGACTAGGTGTGGGTGCCTCTTTAGCATTATTTGTTTGCTCACAAGTAAGGAGTTTCTTTCAAAAAGAAAAATAACAGGTTATGGTTCTTATAGATGATTGTGGCATGTATGATAGATAACTGGGGCCTTGTAGGAGTTGCTGTTAGACCGTATACCACTTGGAGAATCTTGGCTTCTTTAGGCGCTGTGTTTTGTGTGGGTGTCATCACTAAATATTAACAAATAAAGTAAAGCTTGTGTCACAATTCAGACGTTGAGTTCAGTACAAAAATAAGATAAGGTAGGCTCTGTCCTTACTCTGGGTTAATATATATTTCTAAGGCGAACAACTTACTATCAATCAGCAAGTCTTACATGTCAATTAGTCTTTTTCACTCGATGTTCTCAGCTTTTTCTACGCCACTGTTGAAAACAAAAATGTTTATTTCCTTCAGTTTCCTTCAGTAATCCATAGTTTTCGAGTTAATTACTTAGAACGAACGACAGCATAATCCATAGGCATCACATTAGCATCTTCGTCCACTCTTATACCTACTCTAAACAGCGACCTCATTTGCACAAATGCATTGAAAAGATGATAGTTTATTTTTAAAGTTTGCGTTGTTTGTCATAAATTCCATACCTGTTATGAATACCAATATCCTGTGATTCGAAATTTACGCGTTGGTTCTTGAATAATTACCTGAGAAGAAAAGTGTTAAAGAAATTCATAACCCATATACTTTACAAACGCCAAAGCTCTCTTTGTTTTATTTGTTGTCTTTTTATCCACTTGAAGATATGCTGCCATCTTATGTTTCACAAAAGATTAGACAAGGATGTTCCTAAATGGATAATTACTGTTGTAATATACATCCTGTTAACTTGCACAACATTTTGTGTGCTACATTAAGTGCTAAGCCAGAAAAAAAAAACTCTTGATTTCTTCTATACATTTGCTTTGTTCTTTTTTTCCCTGAAAGTTATGGATACTACTTATTTAACTGTTGACATATCGACGCCTAACTCGGAACTCGAGGATGGAATGATATATCCACCAATCGATAACTATGACAGCTATGTTCATCCTGTCATGCTTGACATGTCTTCAAATAAAAAGTTTCTGGCATATATCTCCAGAGATAAAGCAAGCAAAAATCAATACAATGATACTGATGAAGACTTGTCAGAGAGCTGTGTCAATATCATTGATAACTACGCTGACCTGGGAGGTGCAGTGCAGTATTATTTAACGATTCGCAGCTTAAGAGAGGTTGATCCAGACTTAACTCCACTGCATCTGACAAGAAATGTCACGGAAATTTTTTCTAATTATGTTAAACATCCTATTGTGTTTTTTCTTTCTGTTTCCCAAGACGGTAAATTCATCTCATTATCTTGCTTTCAAAAATATTCAAGTGGGAGAGCAAGTATCATATTTGAAGTTCAAGGCAACAAAATCAAAAAAAGAAAGGAAATCAATGAGGACGAAGGCCGTGGTGTATTCTTGGACGATGGGCAATTTGTCATGGTGAATCTTGATTTTCTCTATACCTATAATAGTGATTTCTCTTTTTCGAAATGCTTTTCCATCAAAGAACTGGCTAAGAATACTCTCCATCAGCCAAGGCCAAAACATTGGCCGTTATTTTCAGGAGTCTATACTGGTCGAATGGCGTATTCAAAAGCTGATTTATATGAGACCTTCGCGTTATTCTGTATTAGCAAGAGAATCAAGCAAGGCATACTACTGTTTCGGAACCAATGTTCTCTTTATAGATTCTCGGCTTACTCTATCGGTCAAGATTTGTCTATTGTTCTAAGCTATGTAATGCCTGACATGATTTATTCAAAAAACTTCAAATTTGCCGCGGGTAAATCTGGTGACGCCTTGGTGTTGTATAATGGTAACAAGGGTTGTAAGTCTCATCGATTGCTATCATATAATAAACTCGTAAAGTTTATGGTGACTCAGTTTGAATTCTCAGAAGATGGAAAGTATCTGGTCTTGGCCGGCATAAAATCAGACGCTGGTAAACGTTCCCAGCTTGCAGCTTATTTTGAGGTCTGGAATATTCGACATGAGAAGATTATTTATGCTTTGGAGAAAGAACTCGACTACAAAATATCTCCCTTAATTCATACACAAGTACTCATTTATCCATTTATTGTCATCCAAAAAAACGAAAACAATAACACTTTTGCAGATCAAAATATATTGGGCTTCTACACAACAATCTCAGATCAAGGAAAGCACGAATTAATGTCTTTTCCTTTGGGATTTAAGACAAGTTTATCTGTCAACTATATCGAAAACACGCATTCTATTCAACAAGAAACGCGCCGGTTCAGTTTAAAAAATAGACTTCAAAATATTTTCGATACAGATGTTAAAGATGATTCAAATGGACAAGACACGAAGCCACATTTTGTTACTCAGATAAACGACATTAAAGAGATTTGCTTTAAATTTGAATATCAAGACGAAAAGTATTGTTTGATACTGACAGATTTGTCGATCGAATTATGGAATCAAGTAACATGTAACCATGTCAATGGAAAAGAAGGCGGAACTTCATTAGCAGAAAGCGACTACAGACTTGTATATACTCGTTCCTTTCAATATGGGCCTATGGAAGCAGGCTTTTCAACAAAAGAGAAATGGACAATTCAAAATTACGAAAAGATTGTGAGCTCTGATAGGTCGCAGCTGCTTGAGGAAATGAAGAACAGCATACAGATTGTTCAAGAGAAAATTGGCGGAAGAATTATCATTCGTCTTGTACTCAAAAGAGACGATACAGAAGATATCCGTGTAGAAGATATTTACCTTCCTCTTTATGAAAGGAGCATAAAAAATGATGGGTTCGATGCCTCATATCGCTCTAATTATTTGCTTGAAGGCGCATGTCAAGCATTGTGTTATTTCTCTCAGAAGGAAAGTTTTTCTACTATGATTCATGCTCTGTGGGTAAGAGGAATGCTTCGTATATAGCAGTAGAACTTACCATCAAATTCAAATCTAGAAAAAAAGGCTATGTCGATATGCGGAAGATATAATCAATGAATCACTCCAGGATATGAAAGCATCCGAATCTCTCTATTTTACAACGATATCTGGCAATGGTACTTTGTCCTTATTAGCTTGTTTTAAAAAGGGGAGAATAATCTTATTTAAGATTGTTCAAATGAGAGAGCTCAAAATATGTTTATACAGCTATCGAAAGCATTTGTCTGATAAAGGCTTTGAACGAGAAAACGCTTTGACAATTTTAATTGAAAAAATGAGCTTTGGTCTGTACAAGTTATTACTTAACAAGATAATACAAGATACATCTCAAATGTATCCCCGTTCTATTTCGCTTCCTGTTACAGATGCTCTGATACTACTTCAAAAGGCAGGGTTTAAAGGTAATCATTTGCAACTCAACAAAAGTGAATTAACGCGTTGCCAATGAGTAGATCTTTTATCGAAGACTATAAAAAGTCTGGATTTTATCCCATTATACGATTTCAACCTCACCAAATGTTCCAAACCAGGGTTTTATCATGAATTTGATATTTCTGCTGAGCAAGAGCTAATAGAAGACAAACATTCATATAGAAATGGCTGGGTAACCATAGAACAAGTATATCCAACAAATTTCTACTATCAAAAGCTTCTTCAGTTACTATTCAAAAAGAAAAGGACTATTGTTAATCCAAGAACTAAAGAGCAAAAACATATGTTGGCAGAAAAGCGAGCAATGGAACTCGATTTATTGAAAGGAAGTTACATAAGACCATGCGTTATACCCTTAGTCTATTTTAACACCTACTTTGATTTCTCTTCAGAAACAAACCTAACTGTTGAAACAGACGAACAATTATTCCTACAGAAAAAATCAAGTACATTTCTCAAAATGGCCTCTGACAGATCAAGATACAATGTCTTTGACGAAGGAGATTTGATTATCCCTTTGATTCTGCGTTATAAATGGATACAGTTTGCTTCTTTTCGATTTTTTCAAGTTTGCTTGATCCACCTGGTATTTTATATTACTTACTTTCTTGCAGTTCCTTTCTCAATTGAGAAATTCAATTATGAGCCAGGGCAATCGTCCATCATGAATAACGGTGAACATCTTGCATGCACAGTCTTGTGCTTTGTATTTGGTGCAATCTTACTTACCCAAGAAATACGACAATTTTGGTTTTCGCCCAAGAAATACGTCTCATCTTTCTATAACTATATCGACATTTTGGCTTTAGTCTTGTGTTTGGTGACATTCTTTCAATTAGTTTTTGGTCTCGAATATTTTGTATGCGACACTTAATCTATGGTAATTATTCTCATTTTTTGTCTATTTTTTAGGATGAAGTAAGCAGCGTCTGTACGTTGGTGATATGGCTACATGGTTTACTGCGTCTGAGAGCCATTCAATACTTCGTAAGTTTCTGAATATTCCAACGTATAAGTGATATTCAACTTTCCATGTATAGGGCATTGCTCTTGAAGTTGTTATTCAGTTGTTCTACAAAGTTTCTCTAATCATTCTCATCATGGTGTTTGTTGTTTTTGCTTTCACGAATGCCTTCATCGTACTTCTGCGTCACAAAGATGATAGCTACTTTCAAGAACAATACACAGGTCACGTATTATTTCCAAACTCTACTCCAGCGCCCGAGAATGATCCAAATATTACTTTGGTTGATGGTGGGGCAAATGAGTTTACTAATGTTTTCAAGGCCTTCAAGGATGTGTGGTTCTTTATCTATGGTGTTTGGGACCCTATAAATGCTGGAGATTCAGCAGATAATATCATGAGTATGATTCTTGCAATCATATTCTCATTCATTGTGCTCTTACTTTTCTTCAATATTGTCATGTATGTGTGTTTTACATGAGATATATCTAATTTCGTATTTAGTGGTTTCATGTCTGCCTCAATTGAAGAAGTAAGACAACGAGGTAGAAAAGTATGGTAAGTTGTATGCAATTTGTTTCTCTTATAAATCCAACACTAATACCCAAATGAAATAGGCTAAGTCATCTGCGAGGTAACGAAGATTTGGTATTCATTACAAGTTTGTATTAACATCTTTATAGATGTTATAGCAGAGATTGAGCAAATCTGGTGCCTCGAATCCGAAAAAAGAGATCGTAAAAACAATCCAGCATACATTTACTATGCTGCAACTGGTGATGAAATAAGAAAGCAAAAGAACAAGCTGGAAGAAGAAACTGAATATCTGATAGAGGAATTCAAAGAAGTATTTGAAGAAGAGTAATTTCAAATAAACATTGTTCATTTAGTTTATTTACAGTTTTCTATCGATAACCTTACACATAATTATGACACTCGATTAACACAGTTGACAATCGTCGAAAATAAAAGAGACAGGTTTTTTTGTGCATAATTTAATTTAGAATCCAGGCCTGTCAGCAATTACACGATGAGCTGAGTCAAGTACACAATGGATAGGTGTAATATCTGCCTGAATGATAGAAGCATATAAGAAATAAACACGATATAGATAACTCAATAGATGCACAAGTATATCCAAAAAATTTACTAAAGCGTATCCTTGATCCAAAAATATTTTTTTTTCAAGATTGATAACATCTTTTGAATCGAGCCCCCCAAAATTCCTTCTTCCGACTTGCTTCCACCAATGAAATAGTACAGGCTGTTAATCTCTTCTCCCCCACATCTTTTTTTGTTTGACTCATTGTGGGACTTGTAATTCGTTTAAGGTTTAAACCCATAAACATAAAAGCTATCAATCTAATTTTTTTTTCTCTCTTCATCATTTCTTTTTCTTTGTGTGTGGCCTATAAACAATGTTGATTCTTCCTGGCACTTCCGCTCTTTCATCCTTTAAGAGTGCAAGTGTTTTGAAGTCTATTCAAAAGACTATTCCCTTGGCCGTTTCAATTTCTGCTCTTCATGTCCATTTCGTCCAAGCACGTACAGGTCAAGAAGCTAGCTTAGATGATTCTTTGGAGTCTGGCCATATTTTGAAGCAACTTTTGACTTATGGTTACTATACCATTGACGCTCGAGAAGAAGAAGCTATTATTTCCTTCCTCAGCACTAGCCAACAACAACCAAACGCATCCATTGTACTTGTTGTTCCTCGCGCTGGTACCATTTCTCCTTGGTCTTCAAAGGCAACCAATATCGCTCACCTCTGTAACTTATATGACCAAGTCGAACGCATCGAACGCGGTGTTGCCTATCGCATTGTTAAGGAAGATGGTTCTCAGCTCTCTGCTCAAGAGTTAAATTCCATTGTAGATCTGATCCATGATCGTATGACTCAAAGCATCAGTTTGGCTTTACCTGAGCCTGAATCGGTCTTTCACCATGGCACTCCTGCTCCTTTGACAGTGGTCGATTTACTAAGCAACAGCACTGGCACAACAGATGCTCGCCAAAAACTCGTCGAAGCCAACACAACTTTGGGTTTAGCACTTGCAACAGACGAAATTGACTACTTGATTGATGCTTTTGTTGGAAAGGATGGTAAGAATGGGCTTCAACGTAATCCTACAGATGTAGAGCTCTTTATGTTTGCTCAAGTCAACTCTGAGCACTGTCGCCACAAGATCTTTGGTGCTGATTGGACTATTGATGGTGAATTGAAGCCTCACTCACTCTTCGGCATGATCAGGAACACACACAAGTTGAATCCTGATGCTACACTGTCTGCTTACTCAGATAATGCCGCTGTTCTCAAGGGTTTTAAGGCCACTCGTTTCGCTCCCAATACCAAAGAAAATAACACTTATGAACATTTCGAAGAAGAAGTTCATTATCTTGCTAAGGTAAATAATTAATGCGAGTAGAAGAGAACATGGTATTGATGTTAAATAGGTTGAAACACACAACCATCCCACTGCTGTATCACCTTTCCCCGGTGCTTCCACTGGTTCTGGTGGTGAAATTCGTGATGAAGGTGCAGTTGGTCAAGGCTCCAAGCCCAAAGCTGGTCTTGTTGGTTTTACTGTTTCTAACTTGTTGATTCCTGATAATGTTCAGCCTTGGGAAACTGATTTCGGCAAGCCAGGCCATGTTGCTTCTGCTTTTGATATTATGATTGAAGCTCCTCTTGGTGGCGCCGCCTTTAATAACGAATTCGGTCGTCCTGCCTTGACTGGTTACTTTCGTACTTTTGCAGAAACTGTGCCAGTAACTGAAAATACGTCTGAAGTTCGTGGTTACCACAAGCCTATCATGATTGCTGGTGGTGTTGGTACAGTCCGTCCTACTCACGTCTTTAAGAAGCCCATCTCTCCTGGTGCTCATTTGGTTGTTTTGGGTGGTCCTGGTATGTTGATTGGTTTAGGTGGTGGTGCTGCTTCTTCTATGGCTTCTGGTCAATCAAGCGCTGATCTTGATTTCGCTTCTGTTCAACGTGAAAATCCTGAAATGGAACGTCGTGCTCAACAAGTTATTGATGCCTGTACCTCTCTTGGCGAAGAAACTCCCATCCAATCTATCCATGATGTTGGTGCTGGTGGTCTTTCCAATGCTTTACCTGAAATCGTACATGACAGTGACCTTGGTGCTGATATCGATCTGCGTAAGGTCCCTTGTGATGATGCTTCCATGTCTCCTATGGCCATTTGGTGTAACGAATCTCAAGAACGTTACGTCTTGGCTATCTCTCCAGACAAATTGGCTCAATTCGAGGCCTTCTGTGCTCGCGAACGTTGTCCATATGCTGTTGTCGGTACTGCTACTGCTGAAAAGCGTCTTGTAGTTCGTGATCCTCTCTTAAACAATGTGCCTATTGATTTACCTATGCCTGTTCTCTTTGGCAAGCCTCCCAAAATGTCCCGTAAGACTGTCACTGAACAATTCTTCAGAAGACCTTTTGACACTACTCTCCAGACCTATCTTCCTGGCCAACATGATGTACTTGCTGAAGCCGCCTCTCGTGTGCTTCATTTGCCATCTGTCGCTTCCAAGTCCTTTTTGGTGACTATTGGTGATCGTTCCATCACAGCCATGGTTGCTCGTGATCAATTCGTTGGCCCTTGGCAAGTTCCCGTTGCTGATGTTGCTGTCACTACCTCTTCTCTAGGCTTCGATATTGTCACTGGTGAAGCCATGGCTATGGGTGAGCGTACTCCTATTGCTCTCGTGTCTCAGGCTGCATCTGCTCGTATGGCTGTTGCTGAATCATTGACTAACTTGGCTGCTGCGCATGTGAACGATATCAAGGATGTTATCATGTCTGCTAACTGGATGTGTGCTGCTGATCATAAGGGTGAAGGTGCTGGTTTATATGAAGCCGTCCAAGCTGTTGGTATGGATCTCTGTCCTAAGTTGGGTATTGCTATTCCCGTCGGTAAGGATTCTATGTCCATGAAGATGAAGTGGCAAGATCAAGATGTTGCTAAGGAAGTTACTGCTCCTCTCTCATTGATTATCACTGCTTTTGGTACTGTCATCAACAACCACACTACCTTTACTCCTCAGTTACTTAATAAGCCCAAGACTGCTCTTGTTTTTATTGATTTGGCTAATGGCAAACAGCGTATGGGTGGTTCTGCTCTTGCTCAAGTCTTTAAGGAAATTGGATCTGAAGCTCCTGATGTAGAAGACGCTGTCTTGCTTAAAAACTTTTTCAACAGCATGCAACGTGCCAAGGAAGTTGTTGGCGAGCCTCTTGTTTTGGCTTATCACGATCGTTCTGACGGTGGTCTTTTTGCTACTGTTGTCGAAATGTGTTTTGCTGGTCATGTCGGTGCCGAAATTGAGTTAGATAGCATTGCTAAAGAAGGCGATGTAGTTGCTGCTCTTTACAATGAAGAATTAGGTGCTGTTGTCCAAATTGAAGCCGCCCGCTACGAAGAATTTGCCAATTTGATGAACAATGCTGGCGTTCCTTCTTCTGCTGTTCACAAAATTGGTTCTGTTACTGAGCACGATAGTAAAGACAACATTTCATTTAGTCTTGGTGGTCAAGTAGTATACAATGCTTCCCGTATCGATCTTTACCGTGCCTGGTCTAAGACTTCTTACTTGATGCAATCTGCCCGTGATAATGCTATTTGTGCTCAACAAGAATACGATGCTGTTCTCGATGCTGCTGATCCTGGTCTTCAATATCAATTGACTTTTGATCCTGCAGAAGAGCCCGCTGTTGCCTCTAAATCTGATAGACCCAAAGTTGCTATCCTTCGTGATCAAGGTGTTAATGGTCAGATCGAAATGGCCTTCTCTTTCCACTTGGCTGGATTTGAAGCTGTTGATGTACACATGACTGACATTATCTCTGGCAAGGTTAGCTTGAAGGGCTTTGTCGGTATTGCTGCCTGTGGTGGTTTCTCTTATGGTGATGTTTTGGGTGCTGGTTCCGGTTGGGCTCGTACTATTTTGTTAAATGCCCGTGCAAGAGCTGAATTTGCCGACTTCTTTGCCCGTAAAAACACTTTCTCTTTGGGCGTCTGCAATGGTTGTCAATTCTTGAGTCAATTGTCTGAATTAATTCCTGGTACTGAAAACTGGCCTCGTTTTGCTCGTAACGAATCTGAGCAATTCGAAGGTCGCACTACCCTTGTCAAGGTCGATAACAGCATTAATTCTGTCTTCTTAAACGGCATGCAAGGTTCTATTTTACCTATTGCCGTTGCTCATGGTGAAGGTAAAGCCACATTCAAGTCTGATGCTGAGCTCCAAACATTACAATCTCAGGGTCTTGTCGCTGTCAACTATGTTGACAATTATGGCAATGTCACTCAACAATATCCTTTCAATCCTAATGGCTCACCTCAAGGTATTGCTGCTGTTGCCTCTCCTGACGGTCGTGTCTTGATCATGATGCCTCATCCTGAACGTGTTGTCTTGAAGGAATCCAATTCTTGGTATCCTGCAGAACAAAACTGGGGTCAGGCCGGTCCTTGGTTAAAGATGTTCCGTAATGCTCGTCAATGGGTCGGTGACAACTACTAAACACAAACACACATACATACTTTTAGATCTATATACATATTTCATTTTCTTTTTCAAACACTTGTACACATCTTATTACATAATCACTGACATGAATAATAAAAAAAAGTCATACATGATCCTCCCCTGCTGTCCTTTTTTCTTTTCTTTTCCTAAAAAAAACTATGCTTCGACTAACAACTACTCGTGTTGGAAAACACTTTTACTCAAATAATAAGCACTTTACAGCTAAGCGTCTTTTCAACAATACACAGGGTTACGACTCTATTGTCCTTGGCGCTTATACTGGTGACAATATCAGTTTGACAGCTACTGAACATATTTCTGAAAAGACAAAACAACTTATTAGAGAACAACTTGCAGCTTCCAACCTCAAAAAAGCCGGCGATGTTCGAACACTCTACAACATTAGTGGTGTAAAGCAAGTTGCTGTTGTTGGTCTTGGAAAAGAAGCCGAGATCAAGGACAAGCAAGAAGCTGCACGCAGAGCTGTAAGTGAACACGCTGGATGCATGATAGACTTATCAATTATATAAGACTGCTCTTGGTTTGCATGCTTTGAAATCGCAGGGTGCCAAACATGTTGGTATTGATGTATCACTTAGTAGCCATGGTGCAGGTGAAGGCTCTGTCCTTGCCCAATTCTCTTTTGACAAGCTCAAGAAAGAAAAAGACTCAAATGAGATGGTTGTAGGTCCTTTCTCTGAACCAGCTAGAGCAGAGGATGGATTGACATGGGAGACAGGCCAAATTTATGGTGCTTCACAAAATGTAGCTCGTATGCTCATGACTTCGCCTGGCAATTTGATGACACCCAAGTTGTTTGCCGAGGAAGTTGCCTATTTGTTGGCTGGTTTAGAAAATGTTGAGGTTATTGTGAGAGATGAAGAATGGGCAGCTAAGAACCATATGAATGCCTTTTTATCCGTTGCCAGGGGAAGGTAAGAAAAGACAACCCTTAAACTATTACTGATTGTGATTCAGTGTGGAGCCCTTAAGATTCTTGGAAATTCATTACAAGGGTGGAAAGGAAGGAGACAAGCCTCATGGTCTTGTTGGTAAAGGTGTTACATTTGATGCGTAAGTTAGTTTAGTAAATCGATTGGGGTGCTCTATTGTACTTATTCTTATTTAGTGGTGGTATTTCTCTTAAGCCCTCTGTTAATATGGCATTGATGAAGGGTGATATGGGAGGTGCAGCAACTGTAGCTGGTGCTCTTTATGGTATTTCCAAGCTGCAATTGCCCATCAATGTGGTAGCAGTGACTCCTTTATGTGAAAACATGCCTTCAGGTAATGCAACTAAGCCAGGTGATGTAATCAAAGCAATGAACGGCAAGTCTATCGAAATTATGGATACAGATGCTGAGGGAAGATTAATATTGGTAAGAAAAAAATACATGTGTTGCATAATAGTAATATATTTATATAGGCTGATGCATTGTATTATCTCAGCTCTAAATATTCACCCAAGAGTTTAATTGATTTGGCCACACTTACAGGTGCTATGGACGTGGCACTGGGTGATGTGTTTGCGGGCGTATTTTCTAATTCAGACACTCTCTGGCAAAATCTGGAAAAAGCAGGCAAAAAGACTGCCGATCCCTTTTGGCGTATGCCTTTGCACGATGGATACTTGAAAGAGATGCAAGAGTCGATTGTGGCCGACTTGAATAACCTTGGAAAAGGACGATCAGGTGGTGCTTGCTCAGCTGCTGCTTTCTTGCAGGAGTTTTTATCCAGTAAAGAAATTGATTGGGCTCATATTGACATTGCAGGTGTGATGGACAGTCAAGGTACAGATGGATATCATATCAAAGGCATGAGTGGTAAGTTGATTCAAAAGCTATCGTTTTATTCACTATTAATATAGGTCGTCCCACAAGATCTTTGATAGAGTACATTCGTGGTTTTACTCAATAAAAAAAAGCCAAATGTAACCATTGTCACGTGTTGTTGAGGAGTTGGGAATAATCCTCTCGTTGGGTCTTTTATTTTCTCTTTCTTTTTTCTTTCCCTTTTTTTCTATCGCACAACTCTTTTTTAAAAACCCTAAAGAACAAAAAAAAACTTTTTTTTGTGCACAAAGAAAGACACAGCCATTTTCTCTTTCTTTTTAACAAAAAAAACTACTATGTTGCCCATCTCTTTTGACTTAGCCAAGTATCCAACTGCAGATACAATTCGGCTATTAGCCTCTTTACTTGAGCGTATGACCATAGCCAATGATTTGCTTAATAAACAGCAACCCCAGCAACGTCGTGCTTCTCTACAGTCCTCTTCTCAACCAACAACGCCGGTCTATACTCGGTTTCATGCCCGACTTGTACCTTCTATTGATATCTATTCGTATCTCTCTAGAATTCTAAAATATTGTCCTTGTGCAAATGAATGCTTTCTAAGCTTATTGGTCTACTTTGATCGCATGTCGAAAAATTCGCTGGCCTTGACTGGAAGACCATTTACTATTGACTCATTCAATATCCATAGACTTATTATTGCCGGTGTTATGGTCTCTTCCAAGTTTTTTAGCGATGTGTTTTATACCAATACAAGATATGCAAAGGTAGGTTTGGAATATGATCTAGAGCGGTTCCTGACGTATGTTATAGGTGGGTGGATTGCCAGTATCAGAGTTGAATAGCTTGGAAATTGAATTTCTCAAGTTGAATGGTTTCAATCTCACCGTGCCTATTAGCGAACTACAAAAATATGGTGATCAGCTTCTTAAAGTAGGTTATATGACTCAAGAAATGAGGAAGCCATCTTCCTTCCGTCATAACCGTTCAAGTTCCTTTGACCAGGCACGCTCCGATGTTGATAGAGTCTGTGACTTGACTCAACGTATGTCTTTGGATGAACATCAATACTATGGCCAACAGCAAAAATACTACTATTATCCTCAGCAACAGCCGACTAAACGAAATAGTTACAATAATAATAACAATAATGGCCAGCAGATTCGTCGTATGACGAGTACAAACAGTCTTAAAGAAAATGGCCGCTATGGTAATCATCATTATGACCAACCAAGACATTCTCGCTCAAGTATCAATCTTCATCAAGGTTTCTGGAAACCAAGTAGTCCTCTCCCACAACAACAACAGCAACCACAACAACAACAACAAACATATGACGAAAATGCGGGTCAGCTATCTCGTCGCTTATCAATCACTTCGATTCATGCACCTCCTTTTATACCAAGCAGTGAACTGCTGGCACAGCAGCAACAACAAGCTGGTGTTTATTACTATCCACCCATGGGTATACCTACACCACCACCATCTGCTTCGCCTATCCATTATCAGCCTTCCAGTGCTAACAGCAGTTCGACCACAGTATCTTACCCTATCATGTACTTGTGAAAGGTACAATTACATTTATTTGTCTAATAACTTACTCTTTATTGTTACTTATTACTTATTACTATTTACTTATTTGCACTCCATACAGAAAATCCTCTAAAAAATCACCACTTCATATTTTTATTATTTGTATATATATTTTATCAAGTCTTTTTTTTTCTCTTTACATATATAGGATATCGCTTTACTTTTTCAAATACTTGAAAACATTATAAATAATTTGTATAAAAAACGATAAAATGTTTATTATTATTTATCACATTGATTTTTGTGCTACACTACCCCCCTTTTGTGTGTCTTTGAAACAATTCGCTCATTTAAAATGAAATTGATCCCTTTATGAGAACTACCAGAAAGACACAATCGTGAGTCTATTTCAAACAGCCTCATTCTTATGATGCTTAAGCTGTGAATGAGTAAATAGGCGTTTCATTATGGTTGTGAGAATAGCGAAATCAAAAGGAGTATGGATTCATTGTTTCCATTATTATGCACACTTAGTGTGACGACATCGATAGAAAGTAAACGGGTGAATCAGGCACGAGTAGAAACCTTCGAGTAGTTTGCACTAGCCTGATCCTATTATTTATTTTTTTCTTTTGCCAAATATGTAATCGAATTTCTCAAAGTTACAGTATTAAACCTTAAAAGTGAATCATAAAAAAGTATTCTTGATCTTGGTATAATTGTTGATTTTTTTTCTCGGTCTGTCTAACTGATCACATCAAATATTGAACAAAACAAAGCCGGAATGCTTTCCATGATTATGAACCGCAATCAACTTACGGAGCCTCAATTCAAAAACTATGTGTAAATAGAATGATATATGAAAATTCCAACCTTTTTTTTTTCTAAATGATGAACTTAAAAAAAACTAGTAAACTGAGCATCTTGAAAAAGAATAAAAAAAGGAGGCATGTTTAGACGTAATTTGGGGGTCAAGACATTATTTCTCGGGCTGTTCTTTATTGTCCACGAGCAACTTTATATTTTTAATGCTACACAAATAACAAGTCAACTAAAAACACGGGAACCGATTTTTCGCTTTTCCCTTCTTTTTCTTGTTATATGTTTATTTGCTAAACAAAAAAAATGGCACCAAGATCTCGAAAAAACCTTGTGTCAAACTTCAACTTGATGGTCGTTGGCTTCTCTGGTGTAGGTAAGACATCTTTTGTTCGCACCTTGCTAGAAACACTTCAACTTGAGGAAGTCGCACAGCAAGAAGCTTCTCCAACAACTCCAACAAAAAAGAAGAGGCGTGATTCATTCATGAGTGAAAACTCGGCTATCATCGTACATGAAGAGTTACAAGGTCCGATCGAAAAAACCTTGCAGCCTTATACCATTTCAAGGGAAATAGACGTTGATAAGAAAGAGCGTATTGTTTTGACCATCATAGATACGCCGGGTTTTAGCGCAGAATACTTGGTTGACAAACAGCTGCACGACATTATAAAATACATTGAACACCAATTTGATTTAACCTTGGCAGAGGTAAGAAAAAATTTATACACTTTGTGTCATTGTCATACGTATGCTAAGCATCAAATAGGAAAGCAAAGTAAAACGTAATCCTAAGGCAGTGGATACCCAAGTTCATTGTTGTCTTTACTTTATTGATCCAAAGAAATCAGCTCTAGACGAATTTGATATTCGTATTCTCAGAAGATTGTCTAACCGTGTCAATGTTATTCCCATTATTGGAAAAGCAGACAACCTGACACTCGCTCAAAGAAACCGATTAAAGCCCTCCATCATCAAAGACATTTATACCACTCATAAGATTCCTATTTATGGCATGCCTGAAGATGAAGAGGACGACGAAGACGAAGAGAATGAACCCACTAAAAAAGAAGACAAACCACAAACATTAGAAAACTTCTTATCTCAGTTCAATTACGAGCAAGAAGACGCAGATACGCAACAAATTCTTGACTACTTGAATCTAGTTCCTTTTACCTTTATTGCTTATGAAGACCAACCAGAGACTGGTAATCCTATCCAAATGACAACGAACACTAACATCAAATTGGGCCGTGATTTTGGTTGGGGAACAATTGATTGTTTAAGTGAAAAATACAGTGATTTTGTCAAACTCAAACACATTGTATTATCAAGTCATCGACGATTTTTGCAGCTTGACACTGTGGAAAGATACTATGAACAGTATCGTACAGAAAGATTGATGTACAAAAGAGCCACTAAGATTGGCTTAACATCTCCTCAAGTCTAAACATGAAAATCTTTCTATTGTATCTTTAATATTTATATCACTCTTTTTTTTATCAACCACATTATTATGGTCTAAATAAAGTATTCAGGCCCTTTCTTTTGACTTATCTATCCAATGAACGTAAATTGGGATCTAAAGACAAAGGCATGTTTTATTATATTTTGCTGCTTTCAAAGGTAGCTTTCTTTAAACGATCTCTGGCAATCAACATCATGTCAGTGATACCTGTACGCAATTCCTTCTCGTGACTATTAGAAGCCATACGTTCCTTAATAATAGGAATGATTTCATGACGAGGACGACCGTTAACAAACACAACAAATTTAAATCCATATTGATCTTCATAGGCCTGATTTAACTTGGCTAGTTCGGCATTTACTTCTTGATCTTGAGTGGAAAGCGTGCTTGTGTGTGAGTTATAACCTTGTTCCTTAAGTGAGTTGGCGGAAAGACCAGCTTTGGATGCGCCAATACGTGGATGAGCATTCATGACTTCTAATTTTTCTTGCTCGTCAAGTTCGTTACCGAGGCATACCTTTTCAGCATAATCAATCAACTCCGAATAAGACGTGTAGGGACGGTGGTCAAGCAAGCGTCGGGCAAGTGGTGGTGCAGTCTCAAATAAGGTATTGATGGCTTTGATAAAGTTCTCAGAACTTTCTTGGTTGAGCTGTTCAATTGCAGGAAGAGAAGTCATTTATTCAAAGGGTGAATAAGGAAGGCAAGTAAAAAAAAAAAAAAAAAGGACAGAAACTGATAGCAATATAAAGTGGTATATTTATATTGACTATATTTTTTGATGTGACTGAATTATGCTTATTGGCTAGTATAATATGCATGCAAGTGCTTGGTTGGTTAATAACTTTTGTCCATACTAACATACGCTTTTTTCAAAAAGAGGCAGAGAAATTGTTGCCAATATCGCATTTTATGTCTTTGTGATATGTCTGGTTGACCTTGCGTCTCTCAAATGGAAAGATTCATATTGATTTCGTAGCTTACCAAAAGATATGAAGACAAGGATGCTGATTTTTTTGCAAGATATAAATGCCTCAAAAATATTTCTATAACTGTTGTGTACTTTTGGTTTCTAGTTTTTATCAACTGTATTGCCAGAAGGACGCTTAATGACGCTAAAATCAGAAGAAAAAGAAAGGAACCACAAATTAGGGTACAAAGCTTAATTACAGTAAATTGTTCGATAACTAAAATTATTCAGCTTCATGATTCGTTTTATGAGCAGACGAACACGGCTAATCAGGTAAGTGCAGAGAAGCTGTGCTTAATAAAACGGTAGAAGAAATATCTAACCATTATATAAGAAAGATATACAGACCTCAGTATTAATTTTAGTTCCCTTAGATAATGACCAGAAAGCAATCAAGAAGCTAAATGTTTTTGAGGAGCTCTCAGCATAATTGTAACTATAAGTTCCATTAGCCTCGAATTGCAAACTCTTTTATAGCAGTATCAAGTTGAATTTTTTTTCTTTCAATTGAGTGTAACAATGTTATTAGTGTGAAATAGAATTTTTATTGTTTCTGTTAGTTTACTTTTTGCATTTCATATGCTTCTTAAACTGAGAAAAATAAGGTACTAAAATACCCAAGGATTATACTTTTTCACATACATTATGAAATTGTGACTTTTGTTCTCTTGAAGTCGAACTGTCAACCATTTGTCATAAAATGACTTTGATACAATAATACTACCACTTCTTGTCAATACAGCTTATATAGCACTTTGGAGCCCCTTTACATAAATTAACACAGCTATTGACTTCTTTCACTGATGTATGTAATTTAGAATAGTTTGTGACCAAGTAGTACATGATCTTACCACATTTACTAATACAAGCATCATCTTTAAGGTCACAATCACATTTGGCGTAGCATAAAGTGATCCAGAAAAGAATAGGTACAAGAGAGAAAAACTTCATTCTAAGCTCAAAAATAATCTTGTCTTAGAAGAGACTTCTATTTAACTGAAAACCAGTCGTGTTTTTAGTGAATTCTTAAATGTCAAGAACTTTAGTATTTAATAATTAAAGAGAGGGGGGAAGCAGCAGCATGTGAAAACCCCACATAACTACAAATCCTTCTTTGGATTTGCTTATAGCCATGTGATGCTTAACTATTTCTTTCTTGGTGATACAGTGACAGCCAAGTGAAAGGGAATCAAAAAGAGGAGAAAGAAATTTTCCCCATCTTTTTTTTTATCTTTCATATCCCTTTTCTTCAATGACTGAACTTTCATTTGAACATTTCGACCCTGAAATTGAACTATGCAATTTAGATATACATGGAAGGCCTATCAAACCGCGCAGAAAACCAGGCAGAAAACCCAATCCACCGTCACCTGCCCAACGCAAAGCTCAAAATAGAGCTGCTCAACGTGCATTTCGTGAACGTAAACGACAGGAAATGCATAACGCAGAGACCAATATCAAAAAATGCATTCATATGAGAGACCTAGCAATCAAACAAGTCAAGCAGTTAGAACAAAAAGTCGATGAACTTTTGTATGAAAACAACTTTCTCAAAGGACAAGTGCTGACTCTAAAAATTGCATGCATGGCAAATCGAGTAGATGTGCCAAAATTTTGGGACACTGGTATCCGAGATAAAATGGGATCTGATATAACAACATCTTCTCGGACAAGGGAATTTCCACAACCACTGGAGTTTTTTCTGGACAATAAAAAATTCATTATCACAATGAATGTGAATGATCTAGCAGCATATACTCCTCCTCCATCGGATGCTCCCATCTCGCCTGATTTATCGACAGATCAACAAATGCCAACACAAGTAGTCAATGACAATAGCTTTCTACTTGATTCCTTACTCTCGCCTCCGCCTGATCAGCAATCACCATTAGCCGGTTTACTTCAAATGGATGATATTTCAAACCTTATCCAAGCAGCTTCAACTGCTGATATTGATCCTATGTTAATTGACTATTTAATGCAGCCTAATACAATGAATGAAATAATGAGCGTCATTAAAGATGTGCCACCTGAATTATGGTTGACTTTGATACCACCGCAATTAGTTACACTCATTCCACTAGAAATTCGATCTTTTATCACGACTGTTCAAGAAGAATCCATACAAAAGCAGCATCAGCAACAGGAAGTTATCTCTACACCTTCTACCACTACTACTCAATATGATACTACATTCAAGCCTGCAATGCCCGTAGAAGATGATTTTTGGACTGATATTAAAGACCCTGTATCACCATCTGCAGCCAATAAAGTATACGTAGCTGGACCTATATTACCATTAGATGCTGTAAATCAAATGCGGGCTATACGAGATCAAAATGATAGCCAATATTTATTGAAACCTAGTGAGTACAGAAATATTTCTCTTATTGAATTCTTACATTTTTTTTGTCTAGCTGAACTTCAGCGAAGAATTCCTCATGACCCAAGAATTGATTTAATTCCAGGACCTACTATGCGAGATTATATGATTATATTTCAGGATTTTTATGATGCTAATGAACTGTTCAATTTCTTGATTGAATCTGCCATGTTTATAGGAGGTGAGCTTGGTAATCCAGATTGTTGGTTTGTGCCACCAAGTTTTATTTCCAAGTATTGGTTCCTGTGCCCAAATTATAAACCAACACGGCCTGATAACTCTGTTGAGTTCGCTGTCTTTTTAGCTCAGAGAATGCTGAATCGATTAAAAAGACGAAAGGAGTTGTATATCATGCGAGACTTGAACCCAGATCTGTTTCCTTCTCCAAACATGGTGAAGGAAGAGATAACTGACTACCAAGGAGACGAAGAAAAAGATAAGGCACAAACAGAAAAGAATGATGCATCAATAGGTAATTTCGTTTAAGGATGTCACAATTTATTTAACGCCTTATGTATAGACATACTTGTGATTGAAACAATCAATCAGAAAGCGATTCCACGCATTAAATCACCTAATGTTTTTACAGTGTAGAAATAAAACTATTCGTAAAAGGTCGAATATTACCAAGTGCTTTATTTAATCAGGGAGGAAGTATATGAAAGCGTCATTTGTGAAACTTTCAAGGCCGTCAAATAGTACCGTAAGGAGTAAACTGAACCGTAAGATAAATAATGAGAAAATACGTTTTCATTTTATTACTTTCATTACCTCCTTTTTTGTTCTTTTTAATCATGTATATCATTTCGATCTGGGTATTTTGGTTTTTTATTACATGCCAGTTACTTTTAGCCCGTGCAGAAATAGGTAAATATGCAAGAGAAAAAAAACATCACTGCTAACTTTAAATAGATTGCGGTCTGATAAACAAAAAGATTTATTGTTATAATGGTCAGTATGCTTCACTATATAGTCTTGATGTTGTTAGTGATACGCCAGTATCAATGCTTGATCGCCAATGGCAGCTACAGAACGTGTCTTTGAATGACAAACGAGTATACAGCACTTTTGTAACTATTACAAGCGCCAACAGCTTATTTGTCTATGGAGGACTTGGTATTGATGCTAACAAGAGCCTCACCAACCATGCAATAGTATACGAAGCCGAACCAAATATTTGGGAACGAATCTCAAACTACACAAATTCAAAGAACAATACTAGCCGACAAATGTACGTACACAAGTCAGTATATGAGTATGCTTTACTTAAGCAAACCTATAGATTTTTGGCAGCAGCTGTTTATGCGTCTAGATTGGGTGCTGTTGTATTTTATGGTGGTCATGAAATGTAAGAAAACACTAGTATTGATGACAGCCTCTAAAAAAAAGTTCTAAAAATTCAGGGTATCCACCAACATGTCTGAATCAAGTAACGCAAGTGTTACCAGCGCGTTTGGCGTATCTACACGTCAAGGATTTGAGGTAGCTACATTATACAACTTAGGAACAGACGTATGCTTTCTATATACATTTTTACAAATACATTTATTGAAAGACTTCGTTGTAGACTTGGAGCACTTTTCTTAACCAAGCAAACCCAATGGTAGGCTCTTACCCAATTTTGCAAACAGCTACATTTCATCCATCAACCGGAAAGATTTTCTACTTGGGTGGATGGTATATCTCAGCTACAATATCTCCAGCATCTTTTGCTTACGGCATGGTTTTTAATACGAATAATGGGATGTGGTCAAATATATCATTTGGAGGCAAAGCGCCATCACCAAGAGACGGTCATACAGCAACACTATGTAAGTGACTATGCGATATGTTGATAAAAGTCATTTGCTTATAAAGAATAAAGTGCCTAGTGGAAATGACATATTATTGTACGGCGGATCTCTTAATTCTACTGTAGGTAAGGAGATATGATCAAGTATAATAAAGGGCCTTGGTCTAACATATTCATTTAGCTCTATCAGATTTTTGCTATTCATTGAATCTAGATAACATGTACTGGACAGAGCACACAGAATTATACGATAGTAAGGCTTCAGGGATAAGAACACGACATTCAGGTAAATGTTTTTGATTTGTTTCTCAGTATATTCATAGCATATGTACAGCTGTATTGATAGATCAAACGCTTTTTATATTGTTTGGCATAGACTCAAACGGCAACAAGCTTAGTAATATGCTTGCAGTTAATGTTTATGATCCAAATTCATTATCTTTTTCAAGTGCGTTTCATACAAATCGCAAGAATTTGTCCGTAGGTGCTATTGTAGGCATTGTAATTGGATCCGTTGTCGGTTTAGTATGTTTAAATCTCTTTAAACACCTTTGACTCATATTCTATTTAAATAGGCTATTGTTCTTATCCTAATTATATTTTATTTGAGAAAAAAGCTAGCACGAAGCAAAGATGAGAGCATGCTTGCTTCTGCGTTCCAAAAAGAAGTTGTCGAGTTGGAAAATTGGGAGAAAAGCGAGATTTCGGCTGAAGCAAACCAGCAGCAGCCTGTTCATGTTGAGCAAGTTGAAATTCTTGCGCAAGATGAAGACCATACTTTGGCTATAACAGCAAACAATAGCTCTATATCAGTTCAAGAGAAAAAGACATCAGAGTAAATGCCTTATTGTATGGTTTGTAAATTATAGTTTCTCTAATTAAACTAATCAGTAAATAAGAATAAGCACTTGTGCTTTCAAGTTTCATTTCAAAACGAGGCTGAGCTTGTATTACAGAATAACTCAAGAACCACAAAACCACTGCTGCTTTTAATTTGTTTTAGTCAACAGTTTTTTTCTTATGATGGGACCTCTTTTATGCACAAAAAAAAAAAAAAAAAAATTAAAACCTATGTAACCAAATAATCAGAACATTGCCCTCTTTTTTTTTTTGCACTGTTTATAAGATATAGCCATTCTATTCAACGCGATTCAAGAAACACTTTTTTAAAAGTGTAATATGCTTCGGTGCTAATCTTATTTCAATCTTTCCTTTCTTTTGCTAAATTATTCATTACCTCTATTGTTTATACAACAAAAACAAGCCATTAGTTACACCTTTGTTTACTTCTCTTCGAAAGCAATTAAAAAATGGAAGTAAGATATCAAGAGCATAGTTAGTAATGAATGATGAACAAAAGATCAAAGATTGAAATAAGCGTCCTCATTGAAATTGTATAAGTAATGGGTTCAAAATAAATTTTTTGTCATCAGTACTCGTTTGAGAGAAGAAAAATAAGCCTATTCTCTCTTTTTTTATAATATAAAATATAAAAGACATGAAGTTGAAGATTCAAGGATTCACCTCGAAAAAACAAGAAAGAATTGACAAAACTATAAGACAAGGTCAGGATTCATTTTGCAGTTTGATAGGTTGGTTAGGATAGAAAAAAATACCAATTGCGCTTTTGTCAGACCCAATTGACCAAATAAACTAGTACTACTGTTGTACATCTTAAAAAAGAAGTATAAAATGACTTTATGAATTCTCTCCCTTTTTTCATTTTCTCTCTCTCTCTTATCATAAATTTATAGTCATTGTTCACTTGAGTTTCACATTGACACTGAAATTGATAAAATGAAATCCATGTATCAGTTAGTATGTTTAATACTAGCTTTTGTTATCAGCGTCCAATCGATTGAAATCCAACCTCGAAGAGCTGCTGGTAATATCCAAATCACAATGACTCTAAAATACTGATTTCTTGACAGATTGTGCTCTTTTGTTGAACAAAATCTATTGTTATGGTGGATATGTTAAAGGTTCTGGGGACGACGATAGCTTGGTTGTACTTGATATTAGCAAAAACAACGGTCAACCTTACCAGAATTTAATAAGTCAGTGGTCAAGTGTCACAACTGTACCGACAAGTATTGTATTTGAAAGACGTGCTTTTCCTCAGGCTGTGCCATTACCTGATGGAAAGAGCTTGTTGATACAAGGTGGCTACAATTATAGAAACTCCACTATTAAAGATCAAACAATTGTTTATAATGCCGAAACCAATACATGGAGCATTTTACCAGATTATGATGATGCTAGAAATGGTGGCAGTCGACAAATGTAAGAGAGTCTGTTTTCTTACATGACCTTAACTTGCCTATTCCATACTATAGTTATTATGGAACAGGTGTATATATAGACTATTTGAACAGTATTGGATTTTATGGTGGATATCAACAGTATGTATGCAACTTTAAAATAGTCATAGTTACATTTTATACATATATTTGTAGGCATGTCCAAATGGGGTCTGATTTTGTAGCACCAAGTGGCGCAAAGATTCCTAATTTGACCTTTAATAATACAGATGGCTACAGTAACAGTTACGCCGGCTTTTATTATTTCACTTTGTTTGATTTAACCAAGAAAGTATGTAGATGTAGATTCAGATCGCGTTGACTCATTCAATCTTAGACCTGGAGCACTCCATCACAGTATAACTTGCCATCGTATCATTATATATCTCAAAGTGCAACCTATGTTCCTTCAAACAAAAAAGTGTATTACATTGGTGGAAGTTATTACAATACGACTGATGGATCTGTATATAATATCTATCTGAGTTATGCCATCACTTTTGATACTATAAGCGGAAAATGGGAATATGCATACATGACTGGACCAGTTGTTCCTCAAGAAAGAAAAATGCATACAACGACATTATGTAAGAAGACAACAGTATTATCCTTTAATTGACTGTTATTTAGTACCTGATGGGGAAACAATTTTGATGTATGGTGGGACAAATGACGATACTTCAGCTCTTATGGATTACTGCTATACTTTAAATCTCAAAAGCATGCAATGGACATACCATAACCTTGTTGCTCCTCTTGGTGTATCCGGACCAAGATCGCATCATGCTGGTAAATACTAGGCATCTAATAAGAAAAAAAGTTGACGTATAACTTGATAGCTGTCATGGTTAATGATACGAATCTGTTTATCATGTTTGGATTGAACAAAGACTCTAATCCTACCAACGATTTGCTTATTTTGGATATTCGAGATGTCAACAAGATTGCATTTGCAGACAAATACCCCATTGACCTTGATAGTTCTGTTGGTAACATTACGGGAAATAATGATAGTATCAATAGAGATATTACTGGTAACGAAGGTTTAAGTACAGGTGCTACTGCTGGCATAGCTGTTGGCTCTATTGCTGTAAGTCATGACTTGAGAACAGACAAAGAATGTCTAATATATATGTAGAGTGTTGGCCTTATTACCGCTTTTCTCTTGTTTTTCCTAAGAAAGAAAAAGAAAAATAAGAATACAAATGATGCTCAAGTAACCAATGGATCCCCTGAAAGTCAAATGCTTGATGTTGATTGGGACAAAATCGATAGTCATTATTACCAAGAAGTGCAGCCACCAGAACAGTTTTTGAAATCGCAGCCGCCAAATGAGTACCAACAAGCATATGTTTCGAGAAATTCAGTGGCTGGAGATCGTGTTTCTGAGCCTTCTTCAGCGACTGTAGTTTCTCCGGATGTGAGATTGACAGAACACTCGCCGAGAATGGTAATGCATGCTGTAAAACCTAATGGAGGACATTAATTACCGTTTTTTAATTGGTGATCATTACATATAATATTAACTTGTAATTCAATAATAAAATCATTAATTTTTTGACAGTTCTGAAGCTTATTCAACGACCACAATTGATTCAGGCACATCGTTGATTGAACCATTATTCAGCAAGCAATAGTCTTTGAATTGACTTTCTATTTGTACTAAATATTCTCTATGCATCTTACTATAAGACAGGAATTATATCAGTAGAGTGTCTGAGAAAAGCACATTACTTAGACTGATTCAACTTTCAACGTTTATCGTGGAGTTTTAAAAAATTCTAACAAACAAACCTTTCTTCGTTTTTTTTTCTTTTCTTCTCCTTTCTTTTATAACTCTTTCATTAAAACAAATAAAGCCACCAGCACATTACCATTCAACGCGTTTCTGGCGAAATATAGGGTAACACACAAGAGCAAGTAATTTAAGTTTTAATTTATCAACACACATACTAGTGTTTGTGGCCCTTTTTTTCTTCTTGTTCTTCTTTATTATGGCACAAACACGTATACCAACACCTCAGTTACTGTATACTTTGGCCAAACAAGTCTCAAGATACGAACTTTTGGACATATTACTGACAAAAACAGAACTAGAATATTTTAAACAAGCCTTAACTTCTTTCCAAGAATGGCAAGCATTTATTCAACTCGAAAGCACTTCTCCACCATTGTCAGAATATCAGCGAGCAGCCTTTCGCGTTCGAGTGATGTTGGTCGAGCAGCTTATTCCTCGCTTGTTCGGTTTGGGTTGTCCTGGCCTTTTGGAACGAGAACTCGTCCAGACCTCGACAGAATCCGAAAACACTTCACCTCGACCCAATATTCATTTTGAGGACAACGACAATCACCTTTGTTTGCTCGATGTGTATCATACACTTGAATTTGATATGGCAGCTATGTTAGAATACAAAGAGCGATTGGATGAAATACAAGCGCAAGAAGCAGCAACTCAAGAACAAGAAACACCACAAGAGAAAAAGGTAGATTCCTATTTTGAGAAAGCCGATACTCATGCTACTTAGCTTGCTTTGTTTCATGACATGGAACAATTCGATCTTAAATATCTACTCAAAGGCATTGTAGAAAACAGAGACAAAACGGCTTTATCAGATCGTGAACTCAAGAGCTTATTGTTGGACGTCAAATCGAAATCAAAATGGAACGGCAAATCAGCTCAGGAAGATTTATATGAAGCATGCGAAAAAGTGTTGACGGAGCTCAAGAACTACACTGAACATTCATTTCCTTTTCTCACCAAAGTCAGTAAACGAGAAGCGCCTGATTACTTGGATGTCATCAAAGAACCAATGGATCTCGGCACAATGACAAGAAAATTAAAGCACTTTGAGTACAAAAGTAAAAAAGAATTTGCCCGAGATCTTTATCTGATCTATGAAAACTGTCTTGAATACAACACTAATCCAGCAAGCGAGTACAGAAAACATGCAGCTGCCATGCGTCGAAAGACAGATCGGCTGCTGATACGGGTTCCTGATATCGAGATCAAAGAAGAAAGACAATTGCAGGATGATTTTGATTTTGAAGAAGATAGTGATCATGATTTGACGGAGGCATCACCTTCAGTTCGAGAACGTTCAGTCACACATGATTCCATTGCAGATGAAACCATAGACACTACGCATACACATCATAGCGGAAAATACCCTCTCAAGACAACCACACTGATACAAGATACACCTTTATCGCATGAAGGCATAGATTTAGATTATAGAGAATTACTTTGGTTAGATAAAACAAAAAAGACAAGAGCCAAGATCAACTTGGATATTGAACGGGAATATCAATCTGACTTTAGCAATCGACATATTATCAAGCCATCGCCATTTGATATAGAGCGATTTGCCATCATGGAACATTTGTACCAACAACCTCACCATGTTCAGAAATTAGCGCGGTGTAGTCCAATTGCTTTTTTAAAGTGGATGAGTCGAAATGAGGATATTCGGTTGACATCAGACGAATATAACGATGCATTGTTATCTGATCTGGACTCGGATGACGAACAAGGCAGCTTTTTTTCAAAACGGTCTGATAAGCCCAAGTTATCAGATCAAGATAGAGATGATTTGTTCTTACCAGAATATTTGCCAGTATTTGGACTGCCTGATATTGAAGGTTTACCAAGTGATTATGATTCAGATGAAGAAAGTGAGGCATTGTAAGTCAAGTCTTGATGGTTGTGTTATGTTAATCATCATATAGAAAAAGACCCACTTTTGATTCATTGCCAACCACACAATCTCCTCAACATGGTCTAAGTAGTTTGATCCATAGAAACATAGACACTTTATCCAAAATACGTACAACACATAGTAAATGTAAATTGATTTTAAACGATACACTGGTAAGTCGATACGTTATTTTGCTGTACAAGTATTCATCATGATGTAAGCCTGATCCATCACCAAGTGATGATGATAGTGATAATGAATCCCTTTCTTCACCTATAGATACACCTATACCATTTCCAACAACACCATCGCTACCACACATTGAATTGAATCAAAAAGCCGTTCATTGTTTATTACAGCGTACGATTGTGAGTTTGCTTTCTCATGCTGGATTTGAAGGAGTGCAGGGCAGACCTTTAAATATCTTAACAGAGCTTATGTCCAATCATTTGTTTGACATGTTCAAAATACTACGTCATTATTGGGATGATCACAACAAGACAATGACGGGGGAAGAAATAGTAGCGCATGCATTAAGAGAAGGTGGCGTGAATCAACTAGATGATCTTGATGGTTATGTATCGGGCATACAGTCTTATGGACAAGGACTTGATAATTTACAACAAAAATTAGAACAAACCTATGAACATTTAGTGAATGTAAGTAACCTATTTGATTACATAAGCTAAACTATCAACTTTTAGGATGAAGACCAAACGGATGCTAGTCTGTTGGAAGAAGACGAAGCATTTGTCACGTAAGAAATGAATCCATAAAAAAAGAATATGTCTAACTTTTATTATTTAGTGGTTTATTTGGACAAGATGTGATTGAAGATTATTTTGGCTTCAATGAAATTGGCCTCAATCTCTCGCAACAGATACCCGCAAAACTTTGGTTTGGGAATGATGTCTCTAAGATCAATCGATTTGCTTCTACTAAAAAACAAAAAGGTAAAGCAGCGTTTATTATCATTTATTTGACATTCTGTAGAAATCAAATATCCACCTCCTCCTAGTTTCATACCCGTTACAAATCAGACGCAATGGATTGGTCTTTTACAGCCTTGGTATCAAAAGAATCCTGACCGAATAGAAGGTGAATACAGCGATCGAAAGAAACGTTCACGCTATCCTCCTGTTCATCTTCGATCTGCTATAGAGTCTACAAAGCGAGTATCAAAAGACGAAGAAAAGAAACGAAAGAGAAAAGAGAAAACTCTCAAGAAACGCATAAGAAACAAACAAGTTTAGACTATTTCACTGTACATACATGCATATAAAAAATATATTATATCAATTTTATGTAGAAGAAGAGAAAAATAATGTATAGAGTTTCTACGTATGTAACAATCTAACTTGAAATGAATAAGGGGGATTTTGTTTTTTTTTGTTATAGAAAGAAGATATATGCTTGAATATCTATAGCTTGAGAGAGAAAATACAAATAAATCATGAATTATGTACGTTGAGAATCACCTGTCATCATGTTGGCTGCTGTTTCGGTTGGAGTGATATGAATAGAGGTATTAGGAGTGAGATTAATATTAGAATTATGGGTAGTAGTAATAGTATCATGATTACAAGAGGTATTTAAAGGTGAAGGTGTGATGCTGAGGTTTTCAACAACCAAAGGGGATGACATATGAACAGCAGCAGCAGCTTTACTATGCATCATTTGTTTCTCTACTTCTAAACATGCTATATTAGAGTAAGTGAGTTGGATGAATGGAATAACGAATGACTTACTGCTAATGAGATGTTTGCCATAAGTGTACTTCTTTAAGCCTTGTAAATGAGGCTTGATTTTAGCAACCAAAAGATCACGTTGTTCACCATCGACTACATCAAGCATCTTTTGAACAACGTAATTAGCGTATTGATCCTTCATCATGGACATCAAAGGATAGGATCTATAGATACATGAGTAATAGGTAATATTATAAGTCTAACTTTACCCGTCTGGACGTGTTGTCAGGACTTCATCAATCAATGCCTGCCTGTCTTCTTGACAGCCATAAGCAACACATTTTTCTACTACATTACTAGCAAACTTATGCTTGCTTAATTGAAGTGTATGGCCTCTCACTTTACTGATAATTAAGGCCTTGTCTTTAGGTTTACCATGTTCCAAAATATGTTGAATAACATAGTTTCCGTATTGATCTTGAACAAGTTGGTTTGTACTTTGATGAAGTTCTTCTAATAAATGCGCCTACCATACATATAATTAGAAAAAAAAAAGATACTCTATATAGGATATACTTTACAATTTGATCTTCTGGACAGAATTCAAACATACGCTGAATAACACGACAACCATAGGGATGAGTAGCTAAATGACAGACTTGACCACAAAATGTATCAATAATAAACTGAATGTGTTGAGCAGGAACACGCTCAATGGCCTTTTGTACAACATGATTGCCATTCTGATCCTTGACACACTTAAGCACACAGCCATCCAATTCACGAATCAATACAGCTTGTTGGTCAGTCAAGACATACTCCAATGCCTTTTGTACAACACGACAACCATACATTTGTAAAGATAAGGAAAGAATATGGCCTTCCATTTGTTTGGCCAGAACAGTCTTTTGTGCTTGGTTGCCATGTTCAAATAGCTTTTGAATGACATAGTTACCAAACACGTCCGTCATTAATTGAAGGCAGTTGGGAAGGATTTCATCAAACACAAATTGCTTGTCATCACTGGTGGCTGTTTCTAGTTTTTGTTGAATAAAACGAGAGCCATGTTGATCTCCACTGAATTCAACAACATGGTGAACAATATCCTAAGCAAAGAATTAAGTCTTTTTTTTTTTTTTTTTTGTAAACTGTTACTTTACCTTAAGTCCAAACTTCTTGTTCTTGTTGTTTCTAAATTCTTCCAGCAGAGCACTACGAACAATGGGTACAACAGGCTCTGTGGTTGAAGCAGAAGAAGGAGATTCATGCAACATCATATTACGATTACGAATAGCAGGTGTAGTGGGTACAGACATGGATGTATTTCCAAAATAGCCTGTGTTTGTATTGATGTTAGGTAATTTGGATTGCTGTTGCTGTTGTTGTTGTTGTTGTTGTTGCTGTTGTTGTTGTTGTTGTTGTTGCTGTCTAAGCATTTGTTCTCTCAACATCAAAATCTGTTCCTGTTGCATAAGAATTTGACGTTGACGTGATTGCAATTGAAGTAAAAGACGATCATTGTTGTTAAGAGGACCATCAGGACTCATCATCATACCAGATGACATTAAGGTGGGTGTGGATGGCTGACTATAATCATTGGTAATGGAAGGACTTGCTCTACCATGTACAAATTCATCTTGGATCCATTGTTGTTGTTGTTGTTGTTGTTGTTGTTGTTGTTGACGAGACATGTCTTTTCTGGTATCATCCCACAAATGAGGGGTATGTGCTCGACTAGTGCTTGCATCTAAGAAGGGTTAACCATGACGTAGATTCACGTGCTACTTACCAAGCCAAGGATGTTCATTCAATACAGCAGCATCTAAGCTCTGAGGTGCTTCTTGTTGATTGATCCATTGAAAATAACGATGTTGTTGTTGTCTTCTTGACAGTATATCTTCCTATGATAAAAAGGGGAAGTATGAATAAAAGCAGGGAGACTATGTAAGGAGTAATATATATATATATATATAAAGGGAGGAGGGAGAGATAGCTTACTTTATCGTTCAGATTGGCTTGATTCATGCCTACTAAGAGTTGAGCATATTCATATTCTTCCAACTGTCTAGGCGAAGTGAGGTGATGATTGGCAGGCGGAGTGGAGTTTGCACGAGGTGGAGGTGAGGCTACATATTTGCTGCGGACAGGTGGTGACATGGGCCGAGACAAAGGGAAACGTGCGTAAGATGGATGATCTGCATTTTCAAAAGCAGGAGAAGATACTACTGTTTCTTCTTGAGGAAATACAGAGAAATAGCCTCGTTGGTAGCTTGAATCTTCTACCATACGATGACTACTGCTACTACTGCCATTGTTGTTTCCATTCATAAAATGATGGTTGTTTAGGCCTCGTTTGGATGATGGTTGAGAAAAAGGTGAAGCTGATCTCTAAAATTGGGCGTCAATGGGAGGATAAACGCGCTAAAAGAAAGTTACCTCAAACTCAAATGGATGGTTTTCTTGAAGTATTGAAGGTGTCCATACATTATAAGCTTCTTGGTGAACTCGTTTTTGTTGCTGTTGCTGTTGCTGTTGTTGTTGTTGCTTTTGTTGATTGGACCATACTTGTCGAGAAGAGGTTGGGTCATAAAGAGGAGAAGAGACTGCTTGGTTATTTGGCTTCCAGGCATTACTATTGTTGCGCAACATAGTCATATGGTGTTCACCTGATAGTTGAGAGACTATAGGAAACTGGAACTGATGAGGATCAGGGGGTGCACTACTAGGTCGTTCGTGCTGTAAGTCTAGATACGGTTCATTTTCTGAGTCAAGACGCCCTCTCATCATAGCAGCAAGCTACACAACATGAGAAAATATACCAACGCCTTTTTCTTTTTACCTGTCCTTGAGGTTGATTTCTAGCTTTAGGTTGCTGTAAGTCAGGTCGAGTTGAAAAATCCACTGAAAATGGATTCTGTTGCATCATGAATTATACGCGTTTTTTCAATATTATAAAAAAGAAAGCATAAAAAAAAAGGAAAAAAGAGTTCTTTGTCTTTACGTTTACTCGTGTCTATGTGCCTTGGCTTCCCTTGCGCCCCTTTTTTAGACACTATCCACGTTTGTAATCACTCCGACTTGATTTATAAAAAAAAAAATAGAGTCGTCACAAGAAATAAATGGCATTGGAAAACCACACTATTTAAAGGAGATACTGTCTCAACTTACTTGCCAAAGTTTCTGATTGTCTCAACAGCCTAATTCTCTCGTTGTAATTTGAATTAACAAAATGAATGCATATCTTTCAACAACTCACAGCAGAGAAGGTCATTGTTATCCTGAGCAATTCGAGGACTATATTGCTAGGTTTTTGAAATGCTCGTCAATGAGGCAGAATATCTTTGTTAAATGATAAAAAAAAATCTGATAAAAAATATGGAGTACAGAAAATATGTAGAGTTGTCTGCTTAAATTTTCCGTGACCCTTTGCTCCTTGTCCTTAACTTCGGACTTGTGTGTATCTTTTTTTTTTTTTTTTTTTTTTTTTTTTTTTTTTTTTTTTTTTTTTTTTTTGTAAGGAAATTATTAGATTTGGCATAGGCATGCTTTCACCAGAAATTTAAACAACAAATAAAAAGCGTCATTTTTATTTCAGGATGAACAAGAAAATCAAGAAGAAAGGAGAGCAGCTGTTACAAGGAGAAACCTCTCAAGCTGAAAGGTCATTCTCAGCGGCTATCGAGTGCTGTGAAGGACAGAAAGATAATGAGACGGTCAATTCTGCATGGTATGAGCCCAATGAGCCTTCCAAATTTCAGAGAGACTGATCAAGGCTACCATGGCTACTGAAAGAGGATAGCTAGTTTGAGCCCGAATCCGAGAAAATCTGAAGGATACAAGTGTATCTGTAATTAGATCCAGAGAGGTGCCTGGCCACAAAAATTCCTTAATCAAGACATCCCAGAACAGAAATTATGTGGGGCAGCGAAAATTTTGGATTAGAGATCGATACATCACGTTTCTCTGCAAGGCTGTAATTGGCGCGCACCAAAAATACTTCCAAACCGCAAAAGAAACCTCTTAATGGGCAACAAAATCAGACAAGGCAGCTTGTGTGATGCCCTTACGGAAAGTATGGCCACCATTCTTGAGAGTAATAAAATTTGCATTGTCAAATGGCAGTTTCAGCGTACCTGCAAAAGATAAGAATACAATAAATTGCTGTATTGCAGGAACATGCAAAGGACTGTATAACTCTAATAAAGTACTCATACAGATAGGAAATTGCTACTGTACGGAACTTGAGAGGCAAGTCAAAAAAAGGTCAATTTTTGATGAAGAGTTGGAGTTTCTTTCCGATTTCTTTTTTTTTTATTGCTCCGCGTAAAGTTATCCTAATGGCACTCAAGAGGCGGGCGCAATTCATACTGAATTATATTATACAATTATGCTGAAAGCAAACTAAGCAGAATAAAGTAAAAGATATGCCACTGTTATTAGTGGGGAAAAAAACTACGAGAAGAATTACAGTCTTGTGTGTACTTGCTTTTCATCTGCAAGCAGTTGTAAAGCAGTACGTGTTTGTTGTAGAGTGGAGTAGGCATCAAAAGCTACGTTGTCCATGACAAATCTCCAGTGTACTTTCCAAACTTGTGATACGGCTTTAGTGATAATGTCAACAACGGTTAAATTATTTTTTTGTGAGTAATCTATTCTAGTGAAGTTTAGTGTAACCAGTGCTTCAATAACATCTTCGACAGTGGTTGTAGGCCAAAGAAATTCGAAGATGAGATTGTTCCAAAAAAACCTCTTTGGTGGGCAATAGAACAGGAGGTGTTGCTCACTTTCCAGATGAATTGAGCAAATGGTACAAAGAGGTGAGGGGTACTTCTCAGGAAGTATATAGTGAAGAAGTTGTCTTGTGGGTAGTTTGGAAACCAGGAATCGGTATATCATATTACGAGCAACTGGCAGCAGAGACCAGCTCCAAAAATCAGTCCAAAAGTTACTAGAGATAGTTCGTAGGCGCTCTGTAGCAGATGTAGCACTCTGGCAAGTTAACCGAAACTCCTTTGTCGATACCCGGGTGATTGATCCAGTCAGGGTCACAAATTGGAAAGAGTTGACAAATGGAACAAAAGATAAAGGTGGTGAGGACGGCAAAGTAGGCAATACCTCTACAGTAGGAGGTTGGCAGTGTTTGACAAAGAAAGGAAAGAATTGGTACTTGTTACTTTCTAGCCTTCGGGTGATCTGAAAGTAGAATTTTTGGAGCTCTTGCGGAATATGATCCGGATGCTTCCAATGGATTAGCTTAAGATCGTGGTTGAAAAGCATAAATGCTTGAACTGGGATAAATTGAATCCTTTTCGGCAATGACGGAAGTCGTGGTCTTAAAGATTGTAAGACGACCTTCATCGGCAAACTAAGACATGCTTGGTGAGCTAGTGTCATCTGGTCAAAATCTCCAGGCAAGCGATCTATTGAGGCATAAAATAGATCAATTGTTGAAATACGTTTACCGCACCCAAAGTGAGAGGTTCTATTGTGTCTAGCCAAAGGAAAGAGCAAAGGAATAGCTACCTCATAATATCCGGAGATATTTTGGATATGTCTTGTGAATATACGATGCCAGTGTGCGTTGATAGAGCGATTCAACAGAGGAAAGACCCAGCGACTATAAAGCGCGTCTCTTTTCGATAACGGATCAAGGACCCCTACACCACCATCTTCTTTCGGTAGAGTCCAAGTTGGCCAAGCAATTTTCGGAAATATTTTGGAGTTTAGGAACTGCTGTGCTAAAGGCCGGATTCGAGAAATCTCAGTCTTCGTAAACGGCGTTACCCGAAGAAGATACCAACATTTGGATAATATTAAGGTGTTAACTACCGTGGCCCGGCCTAGTACTGACAAGGAACGGGCAGAATGTATCAAGCAGGCAGATTTCATCTTTGCCAAAAAGGTTTCAAAATAATTTTGTCTTTGTGCAACTGACTGAATTAATGGAAAACCTAAGTACACAATAGGTTGTGCATCCATGGAAGACTGAATGCGCTGTATCTGTAGTGGTAGCAGATACCTATGCCAAAATAGCCAGGGGTTTGTACCAGATAAAGATAGAGCTTCAATCTTGTTAAAGTTGATTTTTGCATTTGATGCGCTACAATACGTTGATATATGTCTTTGCAGTATTGCAAGATCATTCGGATCATGTATAAATACTAAAGCATCATCTGCGTAGCAAAGAATTTTAGTTTCTATAGGAGCAGAGGAGGAAGAGTCAGGCCTTGGTGTTTGTTGTCGAAACTGATATCCTTTGAACCCCCCATCTTGTATAATCGAGCGTAGAAATAGATCAAATGTCAAGTTATACAAAACTGGTGATAGTGGATCGCCTTGTTTTAATCCTTTTCATTTCTTGATTTCTTTGGTAAAGAACCCATTAACATTGATTTTGATCTTGTTTTTTGAGAGCAATTTGTGTATTGTATCGGCAATCACTTCCGGGAACCCGTAGCCTATCAGCACTCTTTTAAGATATGTGAGGTGTACCCGATCGTATGCTTTCTCTTGATCAGTTAAAAGCGCTAAATCATGGTCACTACTTCTGCCCTTAGTCGTATCTTGCTGTACTCTGGCTTGTGCGTCTTCCATAATGGTTTGGACTATCAATCCATTTTCTGCGATAAATCGCCCTGGTATGAAACCCAATTGAAATTAAGTAATCAATTGTGGAGCAATCATCATTATATGGCGGTTTAGTATCCTTGTAAAGATTTTATAGTCCGTGTTATCCAGTGTGATTGGTCTATAGTTCTTCATGTCGGATAAATTGCCTTTCTTAGGTAGTAACACCATCAATGATTCATTCCATGACATTGGAAGACTACCAGCTAAACTATCATTATATACATCCGTAATCAATGTGTGAAGACTAGGATGTTTCATGATAAGATTCAAAATTTCATATGGAAGACCATCGGTGCCAGGGCTACTTTGTCTTGGAGTTCGCTTGGATTCTTCAAATATTTCATTCATAGAAATACTCAGCATCATGGTGTCTCTTTGACTATCATTCAATTCCACATTGTTAGAAACTTTAGCAATCAATCTGTTCATAGCATGGTAATTGGGAGGGTCCGGAGTATATAAGTTAGAATAGAATTGTTGTACTATTTTCTCTTTAGCCTCTTGATCTCCACAAAGTCCACCACTGACAGGATCTCGTAGATCGCCTACTGATTTTTGATGTGTTCGTACTTTGATCAACCTGTTTAGAAAGCCTGGAGACTTCTCGCCTTTTTCTCGCCAACGCTTTCCCGCTCTCAGAGCGTCTATTTCAGTAGCTTCCTCTTGCAAATCTCCCAGTTGTTTCTCTACTATGGATAGTATCCAATCCACTATACCACGATGTTTCTGATGCCGAAGGATTTTGTTACGTTTACGTTGTAACCGTTTAATCTGTTTGTTTCTCCAATTGACTGTCTCCAATTGAAATGATTTGGTAAACAGTTTGACTTCAGCTTTAATCCAGTCCTAATTTCTCTGAGCAGTGTAATGCTTTCTCTGATTCTGGAGTTGCAGAACTAGTGTATCCAAGAA